CCGAACAGATACGATATTGAAATCTTCAAGAAATGAGCTTATTCCTTTTTAAAATACCAACAACACACTTGCTCATGGGCGGCGGTAATCACGGTGCTTGATATATATAAAAAAAGATACAATTTCTACAAATTACACACATGTTTGTAAAGTACAAGGAAGGAGGAAAAGATAAGTACGCCTACAGATGAATTTCCTTACAATAGACACGAGTTTTATCGTTAATCAATAGAAATGCAAATGAACTTGCTTGCGATTAGCTAGTGCTCGCAAGAAATCGACCTTGCGCTCTGTTCATACATTCAGTCACATATTTGTATGGATATGGCACCTTCATTTATTTTATTCCAATATATAACTACATTGTACATACTGTGGAAAATTTTTAATATTAATGAAATAGTACTGAAATTGTAAAATTCTACTGTCTAAGCTCATATTATTCCTTTTGTTTTAATTTTTATGTTTTAATTAGTTTAGTTTTAATTAAATTCATTATAAAAATGTATTCGACTGAAGGACTTGTATCCATGGTCATGAATTGATGAAACTTTACAGTAATATAGCTTATGCATCACATTAACACATAGGCTATATTTTATATTGAATTTTAACGCGGATGAAACCGCGGGCTCTGCTAGTAATATTATAAACACGAAAGTTTGTGAGAATGGATGCATGTTTGTTATTCTATAACACGAAAACTATATATCAGAAGAACACATAGGCTATAATTTTAAAAGATATTATGTAAATTGTGCACAATATAAAGTCAAGTGTGATGCAGACGAAGTCGCGCGCGTCAGCTAGTATCTATAGTATATTTAGCAGTTTGGATTCAGACAAAATTTTCAATATCTACTGCGGGATAACATTTATTTCAAATTACACCGTGCGCGTTTTTTGCTCGATCTCCTTGTGATGAGTCTGCTTTCCGAATGAGAGGTAGAATAAAAAATATTACATGACTATTAAAAATTGCTTGTATTAAGTTTATTTGAATAAAAAATATTTCTATTGGATTTACAAAGAGTACAATTTTAATCGTTTTATGTAGTTTATAAAAACGTCCCGAATATATAAAATTATTGACGTATTTATGCCTCTAAAAATTAAATTAAAAACTGCAATGAATATAGGAACGTATTCTTTTTGAAGTCGGTAAACAAACGACAATATTTCCTTCAATATCTCACATAAATTCACCTTAAACTAACGCTAATCGTAGTAAATCCCCGTGGTACAATTTTTATGTTGGTAAGCCTACCTTTGCTGCCAGATTTTTTTATATGATACTGAAATAGTGTACCCGCCTGCGATGCACAAACTCGATGTAAACAAATCGCAGTCGAATTACCGTATCCTAATACTCTTATTATAGTTCAACAACGTGAGTAGATACCTGAACGGAAAAGGCTTGCGCTCCCTGCGCCGACTGTCGGTTTCCGGTTGCGCACGCGCCACTTCCCATAATGAGTCGCGGAAGTCGTGCCATTCATGAATCGCTCCCTTTACGCCCTATATGTACACGCTAAAGCATTTGAAAATATATGTACATGAAATTATAGCGACATCAACTTTCAACCAGCCATATATGATTACAGTACAAACGATAACTATGCTTTTTAATTTCTTGTACCTCTCAGCTCTCTCTATAATAAAAAGGTTATTGCGTTTCAATTAATACTCTTTCATAAACGTGTAACGATCTCGGTGGTCTAGCATTCCATCTTACTTCTGATGGTCGTGGGTTCGATATTCACAAACAGTTTTATTCATGAGTATGATTATATCGATCTGTGTTTTATATACATAACAAGTATTTACAAAAAAATGTATCTAAGTATTTATATCTGTTGTCTAATACCTATAACGCCAGCTCAGCTTAACTAGGGACTAGATGGCGCTGTGTGAAATGTCCTGAGATTGAATTATACTGAGATGTTACAAGTCTACCTCTAAGTTCAAGCTTAATATTTAATGCAATCAAATCCAGTATCATAAAGTGTTTTTGAAACGCAATAAAAAACTCGAATGAATCGATTACATTATAGTTTTCTTTATTCATATAATCAGGAAATATGTACTCATCATCATCATCTGCTTCTTCCTTATCCCATTTATTTGCGGTCGTCGTAATATGTTTTTCTCTTCCATTCATCCCTGTTCGCAGCCAATAATATCATCACACAGTCCATCCATCTCTTTTATACATATAAATACATATAAATAAAATTGGAGTGTCTGTTTGTAATATTGAAATAACCGTTTTTTACTACTTGCATATGAATATAAATACGGTATATACAACAAAATAACATTTTTTAAAATTATTGCCTGTCTATCTATTTGTATCGGCTAATCTCTGAAATGGCTAGACCGATTTTGACGGGACTTTTTTTGGCAGGTAACTAATATAATAAGGAGTAACTTAGGCTACATTTATTTTAGAAAAAATCTTGTATTTTAGAAAAATATAGTTAATTTCCATGCGGATGAAGTTGCTAGTTTGTATATAATTCAAGAGTACGAAAAATGTGAAATTCCTCGAATAGAGAAAATATTTCTTTCTAAATAGCCGAGAACACACCACACATAATAAAACATCAACCGACTTAGCCGAAACCAAATATCCTTTGCCTCCTATGCTATAAAAAATATAAATTATTCTCATTAGAAATAGGTTTTAATGTAAACGTATATCATACCGGAAGACCTTATTTCATGCAACAGACCATGACAATCGAGATAAAATTTTAACGAATTGCCATAAAACTATTCCACTATTTCGAAGGTCTACACAATAAAACATTTCCGTATAACATTCTATGCTTACTTGGAATTTTATTATTTAATTACAGACCTACGCGAATTGGTTCAAACTGTAGGTATAAAATTGTGGCCTACATAAAGTATACGTCATATATATTATACTTGAACAGTAGGTGGGAAAGTCGCTGTCTTAGTATACTAGCTACTATTTCTAACACTTATTACTTTTTTTAATTTAATGTTGTTAAAGATTAAAATTCAGTTTTAAACGCAGCGTTCCAGTCCTCGGGCTGTAATTCTCCTAACATATATTCTTTAATCAGGCAACATAATATTATATATAGAACAATATTGGCCCATATTGTATATATCTTTAGGACTAACATATATAGAAAATAATAACATTGTCTGTGTAATTTTGTTACGAAATGAACCATTCAGAAGTTTGCAGTATTTAAAGAATTTTTTTCCTAGCATATACCCAAATAAATGACAAATTGTGTGAAACAAGATATGATAACTTAAAATACCAAATCTACTGTACCACAGTTTATGCAATAAAATTTGATTTCATTCATTTCATAAAACACGTATACAATAAACACGTTATTACATTAAAAACATATACAAGCTTGAATATAAATATTTATTTTTTCTTTAAGGTTCACTTCGACCGAGCATTCACTTACGATTACCACATTCAGCTGGGGAGGGTGATCCCCCTCCCAGCCTCGTGTGTACGGCCATAGACTGTAGATATGTTCATCACAAGGCCACATGAATTGCCAAAAATTACGCTACACCCAGACAGCGGGGCACGCCATAAATGGTCATAATTACACACCGCGCTTAAACGCACTTGCACTTTCGTACGCCCCGAGCAGTGAAAGCAACAGGTGTTGCGTGTATTGACCTTTTGAGTGCGGAGTGGCCACCTACGGGCGGGCCCATTGATGATCATGACTTCACGAGATCAATTGATGCTGTCACACAGCGCGATGCGGATACACTATTGCATTTGCATAGTTAATAATGTGGATGTTATAACTTGACGTGAAATTGTAAGTGATTCATGTATTAATGGAAATATTGTTTAGTCAGCACCATCTGAGTTGACGAAAACACTCCCATATACTGGATTTTTAGCAGGATATCTTTGTAATATATTAATTACTTACTCAATGAGTATTTTTATAAAGTTTTTTAACAATGTCATTAGACCTGTAAAGAACATACTTTTTAAAATTAGTTCTTCTCCTGTTTATACAATTTTTATTCCACAGTCTTTTTATTGTGCCTATCTATATTGAAGTATTTTTTATTTTAATTATATTCTACACAGCATTATTTATTTAATAAAAACGAAATTACTTATCTAATAATAGTTTCCATAACGCTAGCATTCTACATGTTGAATTACTAGGAAAAGCCTTTGAGAAACCTATTATTTATTTTATATATTTACTTTTGATGTGTATTCTGTAGATGATTATAAATACCATTATTTTCAGATGTCAATTAAACTTAAAATATACTAAAATAAAACACTTATTTTTCATTTACAAATTTATTATGTACTCGTAAAGGTATTTATAACCTATAAAAAGGTTATGTTCCCGTAGGCATGGATTTATACAATTTCAATTTGCTTTACTATCTAAAACAGTGGAATTATTTTGTTTGTAATGTTAGTTCATCGTTTAAATTAAAATTTACCTTACCCTACAACATGTTACCACGAAAACACGTTTGTATAAGTCAGTTATAAAAATTTTGTTCTGTCCAGGGTTAGTCGAAAAGGGTTAAAATCCAAGTGAAAACCCAGTGGCAGTATTAATGAATGATTTAAAAAAACTAGAAATTTAAAAATCTATATCAACAAATAAAATTAAAGTGTCTCTTTACAGCTTCATATTAACAGTTTTTCACTAATTTCATAATAAAGTATACACAGTATTTAAATAAAATATTTTTTTGTCTGTATTTCTGTCTGTTTGTTTTTACTAATCGCTGAAAAGGGTTGACGAGACGTTTAATTTTAACGTTAAAGTTTAAACTTGTCAAAATTCGTTTTTCTTGGTGAGTCATTTTCAGATATAACTAATGTAATAAGGTGGTTGAAAAACCACTTTACGATATTTCTGAATATACAGAAAATTTCATCAAAACATGTTTAAATTTGTTAAATAATAGTTTAAACTTGTCAAAATTCATCAAGGATCCTGTGTAGTTTCTGCATTGCACCAAATATGTTTTATATTTGGGGCATGATTGTTAACTCCTGTTGTATCTATTCCCCCAGCCGCGACGGTGATCGTCCTTGTACTCGTCCATGTTGCGCTTCCTCTGTAACTCTTCAGGGTCGTCATCATCTTCTAGAAGCTCCTGAAAAAATATTTATTTACTTGTGTGAATTGAGATGCAGTGTCCCTAAGTGACTTCTTCTCCTCTAGAGAATTGGATTTTACTAATATTTGAATTAGGGAGCATATGTTTCTTAAGTAAAAAACTTGGTTTGTCGTCACTATAGGTTGCAAGGTCATAATATCCAATTTAGCGACATTTTGCTATCATTAAATTTATGCCTACACTTAATATTTCTGTCCATTTGTTCAATTATGAACTGTATACTCACTAGTTAGGTACTACAATCTATTAAGTGGCGACACCTCATCACATCATACATAACGCTACAGTGATGAGGTGACAACCGCTACAAATTCTTACTTTTTGAATTTTCTCTGCGTCATCTGGATCCGTTTCAGCAGTCTGTATAGTTGTGTGCGGTATATTAGTACCGTTCCCAGGAAACACGCCGTCCCTAACTCTCTGGTCATAGAACTCCTCCACCGTCATGGTGGGCAACGACGGGTAGCCGGCTCCGTACACTGCTTTCTGTATCGCATCGCGAGTGATTATGACAGGTTTTAATGGAGGCGCTCGAGGTTTGTCTTTCGTTGGCTTTGCCTCTGTAAAAAACGTATGCTTCATTTTAGCGACGTTATTTTGTTAGGAAATAGAAATAAAAATAATCTTTATCCAAATAAAATAAATATAAACACTTTTGAATAGTCATATTTTTTATTCTAACAGTAGGTAATATGGTACGCTGACGCATCACAAGAAGAATGCGCAAGAAACTTGTGAATAAATGTTTATTTAAATAAAGAGAAGCAGGTTTCAATTAATACTCTTTCACAGGTGTATAACGGCCTCAGTGGCCTCACACCGCGACACATGATTGCGGGTTCGATTCCTTCAACAATACAAACATTTGTATTCATGATTGTTTGTATTGATCTGGGTGTTTTCTATGTACACAATGTATTTACAATAAAAAAAAAATATGTATTTAAATCAGTAGTCTATTACCCTTAATACGCTTTGGAGTTGATGGCGCCTTGTGAATTATCCTGAGATACTATTATTTGAAAAGAATGGAGTTTTTAGTCATTTTTTCAAGGCTCCAGAGTACTCTTCCAAGTACTTCCAGAACGGATGGTAGATTTCATTTATCATAAATGTTACATACATTTACGAGTCTGGTCGAGAATTGGTCGGTCGCGGATAGCGCGCGACGCACATGAGCTATACGTTAGATGAGTCTCATGATGTAGGTACTTACTATATATATATCTCTCTCTCTTACAATATTAAAATTAACGAACCTCCAGCATGTTTCGCCATATACTCAAGTATAGGTTTCTCCTGCTCGATACTGCTTAACTCTTCCATTGCCTGATTGACATAATTGAGTAGTAGAGTTGTGAAGTACTCCCGCTTGGTCTCATCATCCACATTGGGAGAGGACATTGACTTTGATAATGTGCTCAACTTTTCTTTTAACTCTTTCTGTTCCTTGTACCTTTTGATTTTTGCTTCTCTTGTGAATACCTGAAATGGAAAAATTTAGCAAATACAATTATTAGAGTCTACAGCATGCAGTTTTGTATGAGGTGTAATAAGACTTTACACAATACTAGCTATTACATCTTTGATTTTGTAACAACCTGAGCAGCTTAAGCAGCATAAGCAGCTGATTTCCAAATGGTTGACAAGCTTAAGGTAAGTAGAAGAATTAAAGTAACTTATGTTGATTATTTAGAGGAGATAAGGAGATATGGAAATCTTAATGCTTAGAGATACTCCTGGATGTTGCAGTTGAATTGTGCTTTTAAGATAAGAATTTCGATGGTTGATTAATCTTAAGATTTTTTTCGAGCTACTACTATGTTATTGGCCGCATCGGGCCTTTACACCGAACGATAGGCGAGTGCAGATGTCACTCCAAAGCAAATGGACTTATAGAGCAGCTGATTTCTGTATGGTTAGCAAACTGTTAAGGTTAATAGAGCAAATAAAAAAAAAATATTGATTAATTAGAATTATTTATTTATTTTAAATAATAAGAAAGATTTATTTTATGAAGCAAACAGAAATTGAAAATTATGAATACTTGGGGATACTCATGTAATATCCTTGATGCTGCAGTAACAGCTTAAGCATAAGGTAAGCATTTCTATGGCCATCTATGATAAGATATTTTTAGAACTATTCTAATGTTGCTGGCCGCAGATGACACTTCAAGCATACGGAAGGACTTATGGAACCGCTGAAGACCAACTCCTTGTCTTAACCGTCTATTTGTTGCTATAGGTTTCATTATTACACCAAAAGCACTAAACTAATAAGTTTTAAATGTTATGATGATGTAATGTAAAAGCAAATGGAACAATGTTTATTTCTTGATGAACAAAAATGAAAACTGAAGGTATTAGACAGACAGAATTTAGTAGACCTACTAGTAGGGCGAGCCCAATATCTGTACAGGTCACAGTGTTATAGGTCTTAGCACCTGACAATAACCCCCCAAAAGTAGTTTCTATTACAGCATATTAAATATATAAAAGCAACTCATTATGTATAAGAATTCCAAATATTTTTTTAGGGATACCAACAACCACAACACAGGTTAGCTTATCTGGAGTTGGATCAACTGTATTCTACAACTTTGTCATCATCATCATCAATATGATTGATGATATTGTGAAACTTTGTAAATTATTGTATAAATATGTGAATAAAAATGGGAGTCTATTTTATTTGTAATGTACTGACCATGCTCGCAATCTTGGCTTGTTCAGTCTGTGGCCTGGATACTGTGCCCTGACTATTGTCACTAGTCTGTGGTACCTCTACATCTGTTACACCATAATCTTTACACCTCTGGAGGAAGTCTCTGGAAATAAAAAGTATGTATACTTTTAGTATTTATGGCATGCATAGAAACAAACATAAGGTAAAAACTTGATATCATTATTTTTGGGATAATGAGCTATTCTTTTTATATGTGGCATGCACACACAATTTGACCTCTAATCCGTTGTTTGTACTTATATTGTATATTGTTAACTGACCATTGCAGTGGTGTATTTACATTGCATCTCTCTTATATTACTGTACCTTATGCATCTGTCCTTTAATGGAAATTAAAGGTTTGTCTATATGACGTATATGTCATAACAATGATAAAATTGTGTTCTCAAGTCTAATAGTTTTATAAATTGACTTTATTCATGAACACTATGTTGAAGCCAAGAAAATGCTTTCACATTATTAAAGAAAACTTAAAAATCTTGATCAAATTTATATGGGAGCACATGAGAAGAATCTCACTTAAAAAAGACTGCATATAAATAGTATATTATATTATTTATTTTGAAAATAAACCTGTAAATATTGTGCAATATATAGAAATCTTTAGATAATAAATAGTAGACTAACCTGAAGTAAATTTCGGCTACATTAATAACTTCTTTTCGTGGTTGGCCAGATAACTTCAAACTCAGTGTGCCTAAAAGTACGGGCAATAAGAGGTACTGTAGTGTCTCCGTTGGCAACTCCTCAAGGCTCTCATTTCTGCTGAACATGCCTAGCATGGACACCATGTTGGTGGCCTTCTCAAATTTGGAAATAGCTGCTTTTATGCTCATCTGAAAAGATATAATATAATGAATTCAATCTTACTACTATTCAATAGTAAGACAAATATTTCAAAACTAAAATTGGCCATACTGGTCCAGCCATTCCCAGGTTTTTAAATATTGTAGAATGCCAAGGAAGTAGGAAGGTTTTGACTACTGAGAAAATATGAAGAAATTGCATGGAAAATAGTAAAAATAATAATTATATGCACCCTGTTTGACAGGTACAAACAGTTTGTATAGGAATATACAAACTGTTTGAACCTGTCAAACTTTTTAATTATAACTATTATAATAATTAAAATAATTAATTTCTGAATGCACCCTGCATTCAGAAATTAATTGCTTAGTTAAACTTTAAAAACTTTGGCATACTATTTTTTTTTATATACATAATTTTGACTGTATTCAGTCTTTACTACACTGCATAACAAGTTCTAGATATATAAATACCATAAGGAGGGGATTGTGAGTAATAGGAACCAGTACTTGCAGGTTGAACTCCATGCAGTTCCTCTGGAAACAATTATGTTTAATTCTGATTTTACTATGCCACACATGAGCTCATGACCATTTTATCAATCTCCAATGCTATCCCATTCCATTATCAATTGAGCAAAACCGTGCACACTTCATTAACAAGTACCTCTAAATATCTAAGTGATTTTTCGAGAAAGAAAAAACTATTATCGCAACGGAAGGCGCAGTATCAACGTCATGGTGGCACATCAGCGCAATAAAAGCCCATTTCATATACCACAGGTATGGAAGCGGATATATTTACCATCATTATATGCTTCTTCTTTATCCCATTCATTTGGGGTCGACGTAACATGTTTTTTTCTTCCATTCATCCATATTCACAGCTATTTCGGTATGTATACCATATCATATATACCACTAATCTCTAAAAACAAACATTCATACCTGTACCGGATCGCTGTTGGTCGCTTCATTACCATTTTCTATGCTATCGTACAGTTTCATGGCATCATCAAACAAACGCTTCAGCGGCTCCTCATCTGTGGATTGTCCTGCTTCGTTTTGTGCCATACTTGATTATTACGACATATAACTAAAAACTATGAATTAATTGTGTAAATTAAGGATTTTTATACTTGTTATTGAAGTGATTGTGACTTTATTATTATCATATATTTGACATTCAATTTATTCCTGACAATTCGATTGACAGTATTTACAAAGCTGTCAATGTCATATTAGTTTTTATACTTTTTCACGTTCATTTTAATGTAGTTATGGACTTATAACAATACAGCCATAATTGTTTAATATAAAGAAAACCATCAAGTAGTACATAATATAGTGGTAGTATATACTTAATTTCAACTTATTTGCGCTAATATAATGAAGACACTGTAAAGAGAATAAAATCAGATCGTAGTTCCTCTGGTGGCGACACAGAAACTAACTCCGATGAAAATCAACTGCTGATAAATATGTACGTAGCTAGAAATAAAGTCATAGGCACAATTATTCAGGCGTCTTGGCCTCGTTATTTGATAAGGGTGACGAGACACTGATATTTGTAGACGAATTTGTCAATATTTCATTCAAATATTAATGAATGGGAAAAAATGCAGAAGAAGAGAAGAATGCTAGCTTCCGGATGCGTATTCAGAGGGCGACCATTGATTACAGCAAGAGTCTTCAGAATTAATATAATCATGGAAACTCAATCATGAAGATTGGCCAGGAATAGTTTGTACTAATGGTACTAAACGCGTAATACTCATTAATTTATGAATTATAGCAGTACTAATTAGGATACACACATTTTTTTTACATATTACCTCTGCTTCGCACAATTGACACAGAATTCCGAAGTTAGGTAATATTTTAATTTCAACCAAATAGCACGAAACCACTTTAAATAAAATTTCTTAGATTTCAAGGAATGTATTCTTGTATGATACCTCGATAGCGCCTGTTAGTTTCATATAGCAATATCTCATAATTTGTTAACAGAATTACTTTGTACAAGTAGGGTATTTTCTTTATCTCTGCAATGTGTGCATGTATTCTAAATAGCAACACCATTAAATAAATAATTTGTTTTTCAATAATTACTGGTTAATAACAATGGCATTCTATTATACTGCTGATAATAGAGTGATCAACTGTATAATATGTCTTAGTTTTCATGTTAAAGCTTACGGCAACACTCGAAGTACTATCGATTTGTCAGATCACAAAAAAACCTAAACAATATAGTATATTATGTACTTACAGAATCATTGAGTGGCTAAGCGCCTGTATGAGCATCAACCATTGTCAAGTAGGTTTCATCATTTCATTCCGCAGTAGACAGTTTGTGGTCGAGTTAGGAGCACGTACATCGAGAATACAGTCATGTAAGTTTGTTATTTATCGTATGCATCGGCCCGGAAAATGTACCACGTGACCTTTCGGCTCGCGTCACGTCTCACGGACGCCCAAATTTTTGTAGTGTTTGAAGTAGGTAAGAAGTTAATCAAGAACTAAAATACGATGTTGACATCACGCTGTGTTACCTAGAGATTATAATTCAGTCGGTTATTCTAGGTGTTCATGTTTTAATTGATTAGTGAAAAACATGTGGTTTCCTCAAAAATGTACCTAATTTAAACTCGCAATGACTTTAGCATTGCATAACTTGTGCAGTTATAAGTGGCATTTACACAACTTTAAGTACATTTCTTAGTAGATATATATAGGTATATACCAATATATATAAACCTTATTATATCAACGTTACTAATTTAGATATAAATATACATTTTGTCATGTGTGTTATTTCTTATGTATTATTTATAAGTTGCAATACTTTATATGACGTAGTCTATCGTCGATCAATTTTAGAACCATGTTTTTACTATAGTTTTCCGAATATTTATCTACTATTTCATACCATAACCTTAAATCTGAAAACCGTTTATGTAATTAATAAACTCAAGTTTGTTTACAAACATTCAAAGGAGAGATGAAAGTAAAATAACGGGTTTAGGCAAATACCTACACGTGTAATAGAAAATATATATACTATGAGTGTGCTATTCAATATACTAACATAATGAATAAATCAGAGCTTGAAGAAAATAAAAATACTTTGATTATAAGTAAAATTACCATGTTCATCCCACCATATTTTATTCGAGAATAATATAACATATTTCCTTTTTACAACTACCTGGCAACAGAATTATCACATACAGCTTAAACCCATAGAACAGATAAATAATTTTCCCAAGCGATTAATATGCTAATAATAGCCTTAATATATTTTACCCACTTGACTTGACCACCATTATATTTGGTCTATGGTTAAAATGCGATATCATCACCCATTTTAATTGTGATGGGTTTGCAAAGACTATGTAGAGTTTAATCATATTGATTCTCTACTAATTTAGTCGCGAATAATCTAAAACCTACTCAATAGGTTTTAGATTATTCGACTTATATCATATTACCGAAAACCTATCGGAAGCGAAAACTTTCCATCTAGACCTAATTAAATGGTCGATATAAAGCACCCGGTGGGCAGTCGTCCTCCACGTACGAGTAGGTATCAGGAAAACATAAATTGCTGTTAGTTTATACGTCAACTGAATGTTGATGAATAATCCCCAAAAAGAAGAGGATTTAATATTAATCTTCTATAATAATATAACTGCAAGTTTCTTGCTCGTTTTTCTTATGATGAGGCTGCATTCGGAATTAGTAGAATCAAAAAGATATGCACTGCAACTAAAGTGTCAATTGAAAGTAATCTGTTAAGGGTATAATTGAATGTAAAGTAATTTAAAGTGCTGGTAATTGAATTTTTATTCATATTTTATTATAACTTACATTAAATTATAATTAATTACAAGCTGTTTGCATTTCATGTTATGACATCTCATCAATTTTATCCCGTTTCACTTTGTGATCTTCCCAAATTAATTTCGTGTTAGAAAAAGGAAAACGTCTATATATTTACGTATATGTCATAACAATGATAAAATTGTGTTCTCAAGTCTAATAGTTTTATAAATTGACTTTATTCAGGAACACTATGTTGAAGTCAGGAAAACTAATAATAACAGAAACATGTGTTCGACCGTCCCGACACAACCACAACAGAATATTTCTAGAAAATTCTGTCGGGCAGTAACTCGTGGCACACAACAGGATGACCGCTATTACATTGATTGTCGTCTCCACTGTCGAGTACACAATGCCTGTTTTAATTCAACAACGAGCTGGAATGGTTCCTAACAGAAAGGAACGGATGACCGCGTTTAATTAACTTATCCAATACATTTACAATCATCGATAAGTGCACACTTAATAAATAATAATTAATTAAAGGTTAAGTTTCTGCCTATCACCTTTGGGTAATTTCCACGATCAATTCTGCAATTCTTATTAATATTACCTATAAACGCGAAAGTTTGTGAGTATGGATGGATGTTTGTTACTCGTTCACGCAAAAACTACTGAACGCATTTTAATGAAACTTTACAATAATATACTTTATACATCAGAATAACATGTACAGACTGTAAATTTCATGCGGATAAACCGCGGGCACAGCTAGTCAAATATAAAATTAGTTGATACAATAACAAAAAATAAATGGACTGTGTTGTTTTGCTTTGCTGTAATTATAGACTTATTGAATTTACAGGATAAGAAGTATGACATCTTACGTGATGTCCGTAGTGTTGTTCATGTAAATATATAGGCGTCGGTTAGGTACCGCTTACCATCAGTTGGGCCGCAGCATATGCCATTCAAATTACATAAAAAATCGTGATCTGTTTTGTATATTCTGGAATATTCCTATGGACTCCTGAGATACCAAGGGTGTCACGTGCGCGTTCTAATGGTGCTCCCGCCTGTGCTAACGGCTTACGATGGCGGTGCACCAGTGAAGGACAAGATAACCTGATGTCAAGTCAGTAAGCCCATCGTGGTAATTTCACCAGTAATTAATGCCATGGTTTCTAGGGAAAACGCGCGGTGGTCAATCTGACATGACACATTGCTACTATCGTTATGATTTGTCCACAACTAACAATCCACTTCCCCTCAAATTTAAAATTTACTTAACCCACCTTACTTATCCTAAAAAGGAAAGCTATTATACAACCAATATAAAATTAGAAGCAACGTAGGGAAGATAATCTGGATTAAACACAAAGTCAACATTTACATTACGATTACAAGTAATCCATAATATAGTAGATTTACGAGGTAATATAACGAATCATTTTACATGTGCCTGCGAATGTTTACCGTAAAAATTAACGATCCTAACATAATCACGTCTTCTAATCAACACATCATGCGAGTTTACTAAACAAGACCTTATTCTCGTTCCAGATACACTCTAATATGGATTTTAGCATTGGACTGTGAAGGGTAATCTGCTTGAAGATGGGGCAGTTCTCGCTACTTATATTTGTCTTCATATCCATCAGTTTCACATATGGCTTCAACGGCGACAGCTTCGAGCTGGAATGTCCTGATGAATGCGACTGCCACTACTTCAGGATCAATTGGGTGACAGATTGCTCCGAGAGTAACCTCACCGAAGTACCATATGATGAGCTCAGTATGAGCGTTTACATCTTGGATCTCAACGGCAACAACATAACAAAGTTAAACACGTTCCCGAGCGATATCAAGATGCGTCGCCTGCAAATCGCTAACAATCACCTGAGGAGCGTAGATAGAGACGCTTTTAAAGGCTTGGAGTACCTTATTGACGTCGATTTGTCAGGAAATAACATTAGTTACGTCGACCCGGAAGCTTTCTTGTAAGTACATATTAAATTTTAGTAATATTATCAAATTTGATCGTACCTATTGAAGGACGACTACCTTATTGTGTCTGTCGTACTCCTTGTTTTCGTTTAATCATTTAAACCGCAGAAACTCTAAATTTGAAGATTTAATTCTAATGCATACATACGGTTGTTATAGAATTACCTGTTTTTTTTACATATTAAGTGAATTTCAATACATGTAGTAGTAGCAGTATAATGAAAAACAAGCATAAAAGTACATTAAAAAACCATATCTAAGTAACATCACATGCCATAGACTAAGTTGCAGTGTGGTTTCAAATAATATTCAGATTCACCCGTACCGATTTCAGTATTCCTTCTATTACGAAATTTGCAGGCCTACATATCACAACATTTCCATGACCATTTCTAAATATGGCCATAATTCTCCAGAACTAGTTATCTACTTACCGAAATTTTAACGCCCTCAACGAAATCATTAATTAACATCTGATTCGAATTTGGCAATGGCGCTACCAATCGAGTGGCGCAAATCTTATTGTTTGTGACCATCGTATTCGTATTGTACAAATTAACAAGGCCTAATTACCGCAAAATTAGCGGCCAGGTAGACATTACAATTCCCTTCTGATAAAAAAAGGAAACATGAGAAATCTGGAAGATAAAACATTACACACCTCACTTAAAAGAAAATTAACAACATCGAATGCGAGCCCTACTTTTAATGATAGCTGCATAAATATTGTACCTATAATTTATAATCACATTGTGTTAATAGATACTTAAAATTAAAAAAAAAAACACCGTCGTAGTATAAACAAATAGTATTGCAAGCAATTGTTTAGTTTTTAAGGTTTTCCTCAAATATTCAAGCCCGCCTAAAAGAAACTTTGTTTGCGAACTTTTCCTTTATAGGAGTATTATGTGATATAATATTCGTTATGAGAACATATGGATAGTGTCAAATCTTATAAAACGTAGTGTTAATAGCTCTGTGGTACTAACTTCAGTTTACTTCACATTGAAATAATGGGCGCACAATACACGTTACAAATTACAAATTACAAACAGATACAATAAAAAAATTAAAAGGTCTAAATTCATTGAGAGAGCTACGAGTGAACAAATTACCTCTAAACACCTTCGTGTGTGATATAAAATGTAACATTATCATCAATGTTCGAATGACTCACTGTTTACTGCACACTGGAAAGATTTTTTTCCCACGAGCGTTCAATGTTTGCGTGACGATTCTGACACTCATTCCTGAACGCACAATGGCTCTGATGACAAAATTGTACCAATTACTTGTGAACTTGTTGTGTTCACTAGTACGGCAGAACGCGACAAATTGACGTTAACTCGTGATGCCAATATTAGATAATGGTCGCGCAACGAATGCAAATTGAATTTAACGCCTAGAACGCTATGTTCTTATCTTAGTTCAGGCATAATGGAAGTGTCTATATTAAAATTCATTGAATTAAAATCTAAAGACCCGATTTTAATTCTTTCTGCACTACTGTTTATAGCTTTTATAATAATTTTAATTATATTTCATTACAGAGATGCGCGTGGTCTTCTAAACGTAGAGCTTCAAGATAATCCGATAAGTATTGTGGATGGGCCATTCCTAATCTCCACTACATTGCAATATCTGGACATTAGCTCATGTAACTTGTCAGAAATAAACCCACAGTTTTTCGAGAATATCACATCTTTAACCACAGTTGATCTTTCTAATAATCCTCTGATAACATTAGACACTGGTGTGTTTGACGTCTTAACCAGTCTCGATACTTTAAAACTGAACGATTGCAAGTTAACCAGTATTTCTGAAAACGTATTCTTCACCTCCTTTAACTTAAAGAACTTAGAATTAGCAGGAAATCAACTTACCAACACAAATTGGCCAGAATTATTAGGAAAACTAATAAGACTTGAATATTTAAATTTGAGGAAGTCTGGAATAACTTCGCTATCTGAAGACACTTTCTCCAACTGCACAAATCTGGTCACATTAATTTTAGCTGATAATGAACTACGCGACTTAGATGTTGGGGCTATATTGGGCAGCAGTGTTGACCATTTAGAATTATTGGATCTGTCAAATTGTAAAATACAAGGACCGATTGCAGGAGAAGCATTTGCAAATGCGAGCAGGTTAAAAAGCCTGTATCTTTCTGGCAATCCATTATTCGCACCCGACTTGCAGGAGGCGTTAGAGCCCTTACCAAAACTGGAGAGATTGTTTTTAAGTAACTGTGGCCTGCGTAATCTGCCTGATAATTTCAATGTTTTTAACAATTTACAAGAACTAGATATATCCCATAATCCACTAGTAAATGTATTCACGAAACTCCTTGCGCCTTTGGAAAAATTAGAATATTTAAATATGGGTTATAGTAATTTGTCTTACATAGGCCCAGACACATTTTCCAAAATGACATCAATGAAAAGGCTGGTCTTATCTGGTAATGATCTATTGTCTCTTGAAGCAGGTCTTTTTGGAAACTTAACGCAGCTTACTACACTTGAACTGGAATTTTGTGGATTAAAGAGGCCATTAAATGCGAATGTTTTCTTTAAAAATTTAACTTATATGGATTTAAGAGAGATACGTCTGGGTGGAAATCCACTGGTGATTCCTGTTTCAGGTCCTGTTTTCCCTAAACAGTTATCTCAAGTCACAATACTTGAGTTGAGCAACTGCAACATTACTTCCCTTAATGCTGATGCATTTAAAAATACAGAAAATCTGACAGAATTAAATTTGGCTGGTAACAGAATAAAATCTGAGTATGACAGTCTTTCATTCTTAGAAAGATTACATCAACTAGAAAAGATAAACTTGAGTAACAATAATTTAACAACTATTGACCCTCAAGTATTTGTTAATAATCCCAAGCTACATTCTTTGAATTTAGTTGGCAATCCATTTGTTTGCGACTGTAAGATCGCGGAAATGTGGGATTGGGCAAATATGATTAAAGGTAATTTAGATGTTCTTATTGGAGCTAAAAGTGCAGAAAAAGACATAGTGGTGAAAGGAAACAAGAAAAAGAAGCATTTATATTGTCATTACAATGAGACACAGCTTCGCAATATGTCTATACCTGTCAACAAAACAGTTCCAGGCAGAAGGCCATTCATAAAACCAAGAGAATTAAGTTTCGCTAACAGGACCTGGGCAAAGTACGTCAGAGAATCGGGATGTGAACCTGTTGTGAAGATACTGAGACCAGTGGCTTTAGTAGCTGAACTTTTCGACTTCAGTGATGGCCACTTTCCAACAAGTACCATTGTTTTGACTGTGTTATCACTAACTTTAGCTGCAGCTACTATTGTGATGACTTTAAGGCTATTTAGAAGAAGAGACGTTGAAGTAGTAGATACAGAGAATATAAGGAAACTAAGATAGCAAAAAGAAAAAGAAAGTTAAACATAATTAAGTATAAACATGAAATTTACAATCTTATGTCATCACGATATATCAATAACTACTTACTACAAACACGAAAGTTATCGATATATGACACAAATAGTACAATAACATTAATTATAAGTTATTTTTAATTGAATTTTAATTGGCTGTACTTTTTCCATATGTATACATACAATAAAGATCCATATAAAAATAATTCAAAGTTCGCCTACTACCACAGACAAAACAGTTGCAACATATGCCAATATATTTGTAGTAGCATCACCTCGCAAATATTTGCTATGCAGAATCAATACTACCAGCCAGAAGACACTAGCATAAAATATTGTTCCATTAGCTCTAAACGACGTGAAAATTACAGGATCGTATACTAGGTTAGTCGTAAAGATCAGATTACCTCTTCGTTTCTTAATGAAATGTTCCAATTTCATGAAAATATAACTTTCGTCTCGATATACCATTTACGACTAATCCTGTACACTTAAATTTTTCAACACGCAAGAAATTCAGAATTTTTTATTTATTTAATTCAGTCTACATGGCCCGTATTACATATATCTTACAGAGTAATATACAGATATAATAATAAAATATAAATTGTCTGTGTGGTGGACAGCACTGACGACGGCAATCTGCCACGGTAGCGCCGATATAACTTCGGCCAGTATTCCTTCATGAAAGTCAGCATCTTGATGGGGACCCGGGCCAAAAACGCCTTGAAACTCGCGTAAACATTATCTCATGATATAAGATTGTAGATGTTATTTTTACAATAGAATATGTATATTGTTTATTTTTATACTCTTGCATAGATTTAGAATTACGTACGGTTAAAACAGCACACAAATAGGAGCATTTCAAATGAAATATTTTTAACTAGTCATACAATTGGAAGCTTTATATTATTTATAGAATACGGTTTTCATAAACGGTTTAAGAATTTATTATTTTACATTAATTTGTCCCAATAAATCATTCAAAACTTAATTATATGTTTAATTTGTGGAATATTCTAATAACTGTCAGGACTTCTGGCCTTGAACAAGAACCTATAATCATATTTTTCCATCTCATCTACCTCTTGCCTAACTGGTCTCTTACTCGGATAAAAGCACAATCTTTTCTTCTTCAATAATAATAATTATAATAATCTAAGGACAATTCACACAGCACCATCTAGAGTCAAGTTAAGCTAGCGTAGCGTAGTTAAGCTAGCGCAGTATCCACAACACAGCTAGCTGGCTAGCTAGCTATGTTGTGGATACTAGACAACTGATACAAGTACACAGATATTGATTTTTCGATAAATACATACATATAAAACACCCAGACTGATACAATCAATCATACAAACAAATCATGAATAGAAATTATTGTACTGTGCGAGGAATCAAACCCGTGACCATCGGAAGTAAGGCAGTGTGCTAAGCCGCTAGACCATCGAGGTCGTCATATATATATTTTATATTAGATTATTACTACACATATAATGTGACCTATTGTATGCTATTGTATGCTATTGGAATAGTTTGCAATTTTTTTTTTTTGATGATGATGATCCAAAATAATAAAGATATTTGTATTCATAACTACGTAAATACATACGTAAATAAAAGTAAAGTAACGTACGTAAATGTTACAACTAAAACTACATATCCCAATGGACAGATAATTTTAACTGAATCTTATGAATGAATGAAGAAAATGCAATTACATATACAATTATGTATAAAATGATAAAAAAAATACAATATACGAGACAAAGAGGTAACAATGGGCGGCCTTATCGCTAAAAGCGATCTCTTCCAGGCAATCTTAGGATGGAATCTTATTAGTCCTCCATCATTTTTTCACTAATTCTGAACTGATTTTAATGTTTTTTTAGTGATATATGACATAGTTGACTGCAGTATAGTAGTTGCACAAATAACATGGTAATGCCACGCTATTTGTGCAACTGCAGTCTGTTTTTTTTTAACAAAAGTAACTAATTGCTTAAGCAACGCTCTCGTATTTGTCTTGAAGAATCTATTCATTCAGACCTTGCAAAATCTTCGAGGTCGTCACTGCATCAATTTTTACTATTAGTCTCAGTACTTGTTGTTGAAATTTGAAAACTTAACTCTGATCGTTATTAGTTATTACAGGGTAAAGTCTAAACTATTTCAGAGGAAGGTGGTCTAGGCATATAGCAGACTGCTTTACTTCTGATTGTCGCGAGTTCGATTCTCGATCTCCAGCGTTCTCACTACTACACTCATACAATACTGGGCAGATTTCTAGTAAACTAAAAAAGTATCTAATTTGACTTTTTGATAACTCGACTACGTATGTACCTTATCATCAACTTTTTCAGCCACTAAACAGCTTGTATAAGATGTGTTTCGTTAGAAGAAGGGAGTGAAATTACTGAAATGTATGTGATATTACAAGCATTACATGCAAACTGTCTGTAGTGCTGTATGTATTTATATATAATAATTACATATACATAGCTCCTCTTACCATCAGATAGGCGGTTGGTTTGCAGTTCAAATTATATAAAAGAACTAACTAGTAGGTATTACAATTAATTATCAATAATAGTTCATTAATAATAAATTTATTTGTAATATTACCAATGTTACTGTAAATTATTATTTATGGTTCTTTATCGTTGGATACTTAGATACTTCACAATCTGTCACCTACAAAATATTGCATCACCGTTAATAATCTATTTATTCATTTTCTATCCAAACCTACAACTGCAACTTAGACAACAAAAAAGAAAGAAATACTAATCTTAGCGCGCGCCAGACTGGTAGTTGGTTGGTGGTTTAAATTTCGCAAGAATATAGTACTGAGCAAGTAATCACTACGTTTTGATCATAGCAATTTATCTAAGTATTACAGATACCTTTTTATTTTACCTACTTAAAATAGAACAACTAAACCTATTTTTACACTAATTTGAATTTTATATATTTATACTTACATTTGTTCGAAAAAATATACAACCGAGTTTCTTCTGAACCAAATTTCTGGATTATTTCGGTAGAATTTAAAAAAGTACTATTCAATAATGTCTGTGTATTATGTTAAGATTATTTGAATAAAAAAATATTTCTATTTTATTGTAAAATTGCTAATTATAAATTAAATTTGGAGGTCGTAAATTGTTAAAAACTTGCTAAATATAATTCTTGGATTTTGACTTGGTCACGTCCGGCGTGCACGTTTTTAAAACCATTTATTTCCCCAGCGTTGCAGCATTTGCCTCCGTAACGTCAATTCTCTGCATCCGCTTGCAATGGGCATGCAAAATCAACTTTTTGCTATTCTACGGTGACTGATTTTCTTGATAACCAGGCCAGTGTAAGTTTTTTTTTATTTACCGATGTACAATGTGAATGGGCGGAACAAATAGTTGTTGTCACGTAATGTATTGACTGACAACGAAAGTTATATTGCACAACAAGACTATCTATTGGTCATCTATACATATAAATAAAATTGGAATGTCTGTTTGTAATATTGAAATAACCGTTTTTTACTCCATGCATGTGAATATATAGGTACGTACACCAAAATATCATTTTTTATTATTTTTGTCTGTCTGAAATGGCTGGACTTTTTTTTGGCAGGTAGCTGATGTAATAAGGAGTAACTTAGGCTACTTTTATATTAAAAAAATTAAATTATATTCCACGCGGAGGAAGTCGCGGGACAACTATTTAAAAAAAAATATTATTAAAGAAAAATAAATGTCATTTATTTTTTATTTACTTTCATGAAAAAATATATTTTTTATTACCTTAACGCTTAGAAACTAATTTAACAAATTATCGATACGCATTATAATAATAAATAGTTATCTAACCGTCATCAGCTGGCCGGCTTACCACCTGCCGTGCTAGTTTTCTTAATGTACCAATTCTCTTTGTAAACCTTTTTTCTCATACCCGGCTTTTCGCTCTCAGGACTATTGTTGGTCGCCATTGCCGCTAACTCGCTGTCCAGTAGCCGCGGTAACGAGATAGGTTCGAACCCATATTGGAATTGAGGCTCCACGAAATATGTTCTGCTCTTGTATCTTTGATACGGGCGCGACGCGTGCGCAGTGCTGTCCTTATTTCTAGGCGCTTCTTTAGCATAATCATACTCATATTGATATTTTTGTGGAGATGCTTTATATTGAGCGAAATAATCATTATTTTTCTTAGGCTCAGAACCGAAATTAAAAACGGACGCCGCAGTATATTTCTCTTTTTGTTTTTTATTATTATCCTCATTGGAGAAATATTTTTCGGGTTTATACTTGTTGTACGTCTTATAATAATCTTGTTTCTTTTTACGGTAATCTACTAAACTTTCAGGTTTACTGATTGAGTAATCTGAATAGTAGTCTTTTTTCATGTTATCCCTTGCGTCTTTGTATATTAGGCGAGCGGATTTTGGAAAGTTATCGCCTTCCGCTTCATATGCTTGGAAAGGTGTATGTTCGATATCATATTCGGCATCATCTCGAGGAACTCCATAGCTATCCGCATTATAGATGTCTTTTTCAAGATCGTCAGTAGACTTTCCATAAGCTGGAAAACCATAGGCAGCATCTTTATAAGCCTTTTCAAAGTCTTCCTCGTTATTTTCTTCTTGCTCTCTCATTTTGGCCATAAAATTCTCTTGATGAGAATGTACTTCCTCAGGAGTTTCCTCTTGAATAATAATATGTTTTGATTTTTCAAGTATATGTGGCACAGGCTCATTGTTGTGTCTCTGTTCAGGCTGATGTTGATGGTGCTGATGGTGTCTATGTCGAATTGGAGATGGACGTTGAGTTTGATGTTGCTGGTGAATTATTGGTACAGTAGGATGTTGTTGATGTAACTGTGGAATGGGGGATGGGCGATGATTTTGATGTAATACTGCTGGTGTTGGCCTTTGTATATGTTGATTAGGATCAACTTTGACTGCGGCATTAGGTCCTTGCGTTGGGTTCAACCGTATATTTTCCTCATATTCCTTTGTTACAGGTTGAACATCAAGCTCATAGTGTACAGGAACATTATGTGGCTGCGAGTAATGATTGGATGAAGGTGGAGTATGATATTCCTCTCTGTGTTCAGGTCTAAGCTGCTCCCCGTGTCTTGGTGTTTCTTCGTACTCTTCATGATGATAATTGTGATCATCTTCATCATTTTCTTCTGATGAATTTGTTTCGCCAGACTCCGATTGTGGTGGATGACGAGGTGGTGTGTCTCTTTGTTCTTCGTCATTTTCTTCTTGTTTGAATGAGTATACAAGATGTTTTGGTTGACCATTGTTTTCATAATGGACTTCTTTAATTTGCATTGGTTCTTTAGAGCTATGGACATAAGAGTGGTATACCGGTGCTTTTTGTACAGTTTTTCCATAACTATATGTAACCGGTTCTTTTACTGTCTTGTGTTCATAGTTGTAATTAACTGGTTTAGGTTTCGTCTCTTTATTATAACTCACTACTTGTTCTTTGTAGGTTTCCTTGTAATTCGGTGAATTAATTTCATATGTAAGTTCTGGACCATCATTTGGAGTATTTGTAATAGTTATAGTTGGCTTGACAGGTATATGTTTTTGAGGTGTGTTTTCATTATACGATGGTTTCTTTTGTTTCTTTTTCGTCAACTTCTTCTGTTGTCCTTCACTATTAGTTTTCTTTTGTTGTTTTTTACCGTCTAAGTTAAACTCCGGCAGTTCTTGGTAAGTAGCTTGATTAATCCTGGGTAAGAAGTGCTGTACTTGTGGAACAACAGGATTATCAAAGTGCAACGGTTCCAAAAGTGTCAAATCTAGTAATGGTACTGGTGGCTTTGTCTCTACGTTTATCACTGTTTTTTGTCCATTAACAACGGTCGTATAAGTTTGAGTTCCTGGACTTTCTTGTAATTGTTCCTTATCCACTTGTCTCGATGAGATTAATCCACTCTCATGTTTTGCCACAACATTATCTTTAGGCCTTTCTTCAAGCCGCTGAAATTTTGGTTCGTTCTTTAAATCTGTATACTTTATTATCGCTTGAGAATTTTGAAAAACGCCATTATTAATAGTAGACTGCTTGGGTGCGGCTAACCTCTGAGCTTGACTGTTAACTTGAATAGTGTGTGAGGGTGCCACATGTTGAATATTTTGAGCATACACTAAAGGCTGTGTGAAGCCTGTAAAACGGTTTATAGGAGTAGGCACTGCCGTTTGTAGCGATGGTATTCTATACTGTGATCCATAAATAATCTGTGGTGCAGCTTGCTTGATTTGGTAACTGGGCACTGTTGCAGGTAACGGGTTCACGAGATGAACCGGTAACCCTTGCAGCTGAACGAATTGCTGCGGAAAAGATGTCTTGTAAGCAGATTGAGGCGTTCCCACAAATCTGTTACCGTACGAATCCTTTAAAAACGTGTTTGGATTATGCACAATGAGTTCTTCTTTCACTGGTATGACACGACTTGCTGCAGTTTTTGGTGCTGTTACAAATCTTGGAATATGAAACGAGTAGTCTGCGTGTGGAGCAGCACTTGCATACACGCCAATAACGGGTACATTACGATATAATCTCGGAGCACTTCCTTCACTTATATTGTCCTTAGTAACTAAAGTATTTGATACGTTCTCATCCTTTGCTAAAGTCCCACTAAACGTAACCCAACACAAAACCGCTAGTAACGCCTGTGAACAAAGAAAATATTAATTTACTAAACATTAAAACAGTTATCAATAATTATGATCATCAGCATGAAACAACTTACTACGTTATAAGAATATAAGAAAATTCAGCTGTTGTAAAAGACATTTTTACAACTATTTATTGCAACTAAGTTTTTTAATTTTATTTATAGCACTGAAAGACTCTACTCTTAAAAATATTTTGTTTTTCTTAGTTTTAAATAAAAATAATGAATTACCTTTCTCCCCATTGTGGTGGACGTTACGTCGAGACAGTGGTAGCACTGCGCGGCGCCGGCTGCACCTTGCGCTTATATCGAAATGCGCGGGCGGGCTACAGCCGACGTTCGCAAGCGCCTTTTTGCTCCATTAGTCACCTATATTAAATTGTGCACAAATATTCCTTTCTTAAGATATTCCTTTAACATCTTTATATCCAGTCATTCAATAATAATTAGGTGTAGTAAAAACAAATTACTTTAAACACCACAAAAAACCAACTTCAATCATAACTTCATAATGCATTACGAAACTAATACTGTAGTAATATGTAGCGATTAAAAAATAAATCAGTTTACAATTAATACGAAGATATTGGATAATATTCCCATTTAACTACAGAACTAAATAAAATTGTTTATTTATTTAGCTATTTCAAATTTTTGGCGCCAAAAACTAGAGGCAAATGATATTTTTTCAAAGATAAATAAAATCTATACGGACACGGAATAAAAAAAGGTTGTATTTATTTTTAATCTAGTAGAACTATTTTCAAATTTCGAACACTAACAGCTACATACAATTATATTACTTCAATAATGATTGGGTCAACATGTTAGTAGTAATACCTATCACCAGGTACATCCATAGGCAGTATCATGTAGGCAGTCTTTCCTGGAAACCATTGTGTTTAATTCCTGGAGACTTCATCTCTGATGGGATGACCATTAGCTACCGTTATAGCAGATGGTGTTAAATCAGTTTAGGTACATCACACAAAAGGTCAATTGAATAGATAGTAGGTATCTAAGAAATTTGAAACCAACACCTTTACTTTTTTAAAATATAAACCAAGTCATAGAATCTGTAGAGTCGTGTCATAGGGATTCCGCTTTGTATCTTTAATTTGGAATAAAATTTTAAAATTACTTTCATCTAGAAAATTGTAAAAACTTCTTTCTTTCGAATAGTTATTTTTAAACTTTCGTGTTTAATATACATTATTTAAATTTTTAACCAGGTCTTAACACGAATAATTTTATGGCAAATAAAGTTATTTACCTCTCTCGACGTTTCGACTTCTTTCTTTCGAAGCCTATTGAATTAAATATATAGGTATCAATTATTACTTCCGGCGTTGAATTTCAAAACTGATTTAGTAATATTAACAACAATAGATATAAAAGCACGCACTGGCCGTTATGTCACCGGAGAATGGTCGAGATCGAGTATTGCTTGCTTTCTGTGGTAAATATTAAATTAAACAGTACGATACTCCTATTATTTAATCTCTACCACAAATCTTAATATCAATAACATTTTCACAAACTCGTAACTTAACACATATATCTATATAACTCAAAGGTGACTGACATAGTGATCTATCAACGCACAGCCCAAACCACTGGACGGATCGAGCTGAAATTTGGCATGCAGGTAGATGTTATGATGTAGGCATCCGCTAAGAAAGGATTTTGATTAATTCCACCCCTAAGGGGATAAATTAACGCGAGCGAAGCCGCGGGCAAAAGCTAGTATTAGTAAAAGTGTGCAATATTATATTATCTGTTTGGAGTCAACAGAATATCAGCGTTGCAGATTTGTAGCTTCATATTGAGTGGTTTGTCTACTCACCTTTGCGGCACATAAAGCCAGCTACATTTCTTTTATATGTACATTTATTTTTCTGTACCTCATACATGCTGGGTTTTGTAATTGGTGAATGAAGAATCTATCTATCTAAATACCATACAAACAAGAATGAAATGCTTAATTCTAAAATTTCACGGTGTAGGAAATATGCAAGGATAGTACTTCTTACAACAACTGAATTACCACGGTGGAAATAGGATTAAAGACAACGCAACATCAATCTATGGCGACAGCGAGTGGTTTCGCTAAGGGACAATTTGTTACAGTCAGCGATCACTAATAAAGTGAGCTGTGCTTACATACAGCCCTGTGTAGCTGGATATTTTTTTATTAATGACAATACTGATTGTTGTGATGGTAAGTGGCAACCGTTGCCTATACATGAACAGAGCTACGGACATCAGGTCAATGAATCATATTTGAGGATTAAGATGCATGACTGGTCATCTAGGGAGGTGGAGGTTGGAGCATCGGGACGAATCTTTGCCCCGGCATCGACTCCAGGGTTAGCCCTGGAGTGGTTTCAATTTCAATCCAACCACCCTCTGGGTAGTTGGATTGAAGCCTCTTAGGGAGAGTATAAAATTAAAATTAAAGTATATTGGGGATTTTTTTTTGTTTCTTGCTTTTCTTTACTTATTGGATTAAAGTATCATGCCGTTACTATAATTTAACTGCCATATCCCGCCTTCAAACAAGTTGTGATCAAAGGACTGTATATATATGGGGCTGGTAGATATAATTATGCAAACACGGGTTTTAGGAAGCAATAATATAATATTATGTACAAAAGTATAATAATTAGCAGAACAAGAATGACAATGTCATATATATTTTTCTATATAAAATAATAGACAAAATACATAAATAATATACAAAGAGGTGCGTCGTGCACACAAGTAAAGCCACTTGATGGTTAAAATGCTCATCCATTTTAGCCATCAAGTGGCTTTACTTGTACGACGACTTTGTACAAAGTCTACCTCGACTTTTAATAGATTACTTCCACTGTCATAGCCCGGGGGCACTCCACACGGGGATCAAAATTACGACGGCCTGAACCGATGTTCGAACCCCTAAATGTCGATGTCCTCAGACCAAAGTCGTATCTGTCAGCCGGGAGATAATCTTCAGCCGTTCCATAAGTCCTTCCGCGGGTTTGGAGTGCCATCGACACTAGCCCCCTATCGTCAGGTGACGCTGTAAAGGGCAGATGCAGTCAAATGTATTAGAATAGTTCGAAAAAAAACTGGAGAGATCTCATTCAGAGATAAGAACTGACCCTAGCTTAAATTAATTTATAACAATGTTGGATTTTATTATATAAAAAATACACTTTAATACACATAAAGTGTACATAGATTTCGCAAGCTTGCATGTCAAATTTTTGGCTGTACCTAAATTAGGAACTGTGGATATACGTCCACCTGTCATCAGAGAAGTCTGCAAGGTGGAACATTGATAGGTATGCTCATTCTTCCATCTTTAACTAATAACTAATACTAATAAAAGTCAACTAATAAAAGTCCATGGAACGAATGCCCAATTTATACCGCGCCCAATAAACACCTTACCTACTAACTTGCAAAATAGTATTAGGCAAGTAGGTACGTGCTGTCAAAATATAAAATGTAAAATTATAAATTGTAATTTTAATTAATTAATGTTCAAATATTGCTGTTTGTTATTAAATTAAATTCTTTAAGCGAAAATGAATGCGACGTGCCACAGACGTACCAACCTCAATATGTAGTTTATATTATGCGAAATATGCATTGTGTATTCCAATAAAAAAAACTATAAAGATTTGTTTTTAGAATGATTTGTACATCTAATAGATATACAATATTTTGGACTTCTAGTTTATACAAAGTAGTGAGTTTCACGAACTCTATGGCTATTTGAGCTTGTTTGTAACCCTTTCTATTACATAGATGATTAAGTTAAGGTTTTTGTTTGTTTTATTCAAAATATATTAATAATATATTCCTTGAACTGTTAAATAAGTAGACGCCATCAGTAGTGATTATATCCGATGCGAGAGACTGACAGAAAATCAACGTTGTGCAGCGTACATGTAAACGTTACACTCACAATATCAGCTGAGTCAGCCGCTTTTGCCCAAAATATGTATAGTTTCGGAAGTTCATTTCATTTTTGTTTATTTTTAACTAAAAATTGTACGCATGCAAATGTATGATTGTATCTTTTCCTGGCAATAAATCATTTATATTACATATTATCTTATTATTAATATTGTAAACGCGAAAATTTGTGATTATAGATGGATGTTTGTTACTCTTTCAGGCAAAAACTGCTGAACGAACTTTGATGAAACTTTACTGTAATATAGCTTATACGTTAGAATTACACATAGGCTATAAATTACACGCGGGGGAAACCGAGTGCATAGCTAGTAATAAATAAATGAACATTTGATGAAGAAATCTATTCATACATTCATTGCATTATATGTATGTTAGTTATTGGATATCTGGTATCAGCACTTTCCCACCACGGCTTTCTTCGCTTCGGTCACGGTCATAACCTTGGGAATCTACGTACTGGAAACCCAGTGAAAGTGATACCTAGTATACGGATATCAATTCTTCTGCGCCCTATAACAGATAGTAAACTTATAAAATAATAATTAAAACACTTACACACTGGAGGGAAGGGTATTGTTAGTATTGTGGACTGTTGATCCCATTGCTAGCAATGTACCCTGTCAGGTTGACCTCCACGCGGTTCCCCCTGGAAACCATCGTGATAAATATATGGTAAATTTACCACGATGGGCTAACTGTGTTCATCTCATTATCCTCCAATGTTGCCCCGTCAGCGTAAACTGTTAGCGCAGGCGGGTGCACTATTCCATTCTCATCCTTTATAAAAACGCACTGCACTTGGATTAAATGAAATTCCAATGAAATGAACTTCTACCCCGTAAGTGTATTACACTACCGCAGTTGTAAGCAATGTGTAATAACCGTGGACAATTCACACAGCGCCATCTAGTCCCAAGTAGAACTTATGTTCTAGTAGTAAAAAATATATTGTATTCTATATGCGGCGGCGTCCTTACCCATTGCGAGGCTTTGTCCTACATGAAAAGTCTGTGATGCGAACGATTATGCAGAAATTTTCCGCTGATTCAAAAAATTTATGCCTTGTTTTATATTTATTTAAATGTTTTTTTTTTGTTTGTGTATTTTAACGACAGTAATGTTTGTTGTGATTGATTGTGAACAGTGATTTGTTCATTTGCGATTAAATGCCTAAATCGGGATGTTTTTGCAACTTCCCACTAGGCAAAATGCCATTCGCTGATTATTTTAAATTGCAAGAGCTAGGCCCCGGGCGATTGCCCTGTTCACCACCCCCTAAGGCCGCTACTACCGGTATAGACTTGAAATAAATGCCTTACTTTGTAGGACATGTCGTGTCTATAGATGCAATTTTTTCACCTAGACCTTGTTATGCGCGTGAGTCGTCTGTACTAATTTACATTTAAGACAAATCCTTGCGCGAACTATTGATGATTGATAATGCGATCGCATGCGAAACGCTTTCTAACACAAAATTAACGTTTTACATAGTTGCATTTCCTATTGCGTATTCACTGTGTACTCACATGATTTTGTCCCTAACGGGTGTGGAAATTTTGATATATTGTGATGGCACACCAGATGGGGATATTGTAGCGAACTCCTTGAAAAGTTTTTATACTAATTTTAAATTTTATAATAATATTCTTTGACATATTCTTTATTGTTACTTTCTAATCTTTCTGTATAGATCACCTTTCTATAATAGATATTAGTCGTAGTTTTATTTTATCTTCGTATTTTAAAAGATATTAAAACCCTCAGCACATCTCACTCATCAGACACATTAGATACCTTCGCTTCAGGATATGATAAACGTATTAGCCTATTTTTTTAATAATGATCTTTTTCTAGGTGTTATAGCATGGTGACCTACAGAGATTTAGTGTACTCGCTCAAAAAAGTAGGCTATTGTCGTGAGTATAACCATACCTTTTTAGGAGGCATGGGGATTGTTAGTAATGTGGGCCAATAACCCCATTTTGTTAACAATGTACCATGTCAATTTGACCTCCACGTGGCTCCCCCTGGAAAACTACGTGATATATTACGGTGAATTTGCTAACTGACCTGACCTCATGCTCATCTTGTCATCCTCCACTGGTGCCCCGCCAGCGTAAGCCGTTAGCGCAGGCGGGTGCATAAAAAAACTTACCATTGGAGGAATCGCTCACATGCATGTAATAGTCGTATATGGGGGAAGGTGATTATTTGTAATTTGGACTAATCACCCCATTGATAGACCCCATAGCGCATGTAGTGACCTACTGTTACATCTGACCTTACTGTTCTGAATCTGACTTAATGTTCCACATTAATTCCAAGTTATCTTGACCTCCACGCGGAAAACCATCGTGATAAATTCCTGGTGAATTTGTCAGGATATAGGCTAACTGATTGATGTGCTAAACCGCTAGAGACCGATATTTGCTAAACTGTCGCTGAAAAAATAGATTTTTATGGTAAAACTACATTTATTTGGAAACTTTATTACAGAATATATGCTTTTAGTATTTTTAAGTAAGCTTATAATAATTAAAATACAAGTTTATTGCAAAACTCGTATTTTAATTATTGAGATTTAAGATTTTCTAAATGATTACTTAAAAAGAACTTTTTAAGTAATCATTTAGAAAATCTTGAAATGTTTATGAAAAGTGAGAGGCAATGCAGATGTTACGTGTCGCTCTAAATTTCAGTTTGAAAGTAATCTGCACTGTAAGAGAGCGTCGTGGACCAGTGGTTTGCTACTTACTCCCTTGGACTAAAAGGTCGTAAGTTCGAATCTCGTTGACGCTAAAAAAATGTTTTGCGTTGTTTTGTTTTGATGGAAACACAGATAACAAACGACACTTAATACGAGAGACGTCAATGTAATTGACCCCTACCGCGTTTATTTTCAAATATATATTTTTGCTTGGCAGTGGTACATATTTAAAAATGTATGATTAATGTGTTTTTATTAATATGCTGTTTTTTTAATATATAATACATAAAATTCTAGTATCACGGTGTCTGTAACAAAACTCCTTCCAAATTGATCGATTCCTATAAAATTATGTATTTTCAGTAGGACTTTGAATAGGATATGTGTACACCCCAAAATTTATGTTTGAATTTTTTAGACAAAATATTATTTTAATTTTTCGGATGTGATACGGCATTAAAAGTATGTGTAATCCTAAATTTTTACCCATTATATATTTTAATAGACATATTAGAACTTTTCAATTATATATGACAAAACAATGTTTGCCGAGTCAGAGAATTATATTATAAAATTATTTATATTAAGATGTAATATTAATATATCTATATATCTATCCACCTAGCCCGTGAAATGCCGACGCGACGAATTTCCAATGTCTCTGTCCACTCCCTCTGTGATAAGAGTGTGAAGATATTATTATTATCAGAAACACCAATAATACAGTGAGAGTTCAATTCTATTGTAACATTAAATAATTACAAAACCCCAGTTACTAAACATTGTATAATAGTAAAAAAAGATTAAAAAAACATTGGAGATGACTTTCATATCTTTTATTTAATGCAAAAAAGTATTTACAATTATTACAAAATAGAAAATACGTAACTTATACATAAAAACTAACTTCTTCGTTCAAACCCATTCCAACTATTACAGTGATTTGTCATTTTCATTAAAAAATCATAACAATAATAAACCTGGCTAATTTACACAGCGCCACCTAGTTCCAAGCTAAGCAAAGCTTGTGGTATGACTACTAAGACAACAGATATAAATACTTTTTAAACATATTTTGGTAGGTACATACTAGGAAACACGCAGATAAATACCAACAATCATACTCATGAATGCAAATGTTTATACTGTGTGAGGAATTTAAGCCGCGACTATCGGAAGTAAGATGGTGTGCTTAACCGCTTGTCCACCGTGGCTGTTTAAATATAGATACCAGCCCGAGTGAAAAAGACAAATCTATTCTATAACCAGAATGGGTTTATTCATTTTTGTTATTATGAGGTAATATTTAGTATTTTAGTAAATAATAATCAATTTCAAACACAAAAGAGCACCCCATTTTTTACATGAATGTAATTATAAATCATATATTTTATTAAGTACATAAAAAGGAGTACTTAGTAGAAAATACTTAGTTATATATATTTTTATTTATAATCCATAAATTTAATCATTTATCCAATAGGTGTTTACAAGAATATTTATTTAATACTATGTTAAACATAGTTTATGTTTACTTCATGTCCTTTTTTATAATTAAAGTTCTTTAATTCACATTCTAAGTCTAAGTTATGTCAGGTTATTCGTATGAATGTCAGTTTGTAGGTGCCTCTATGTGCAAAAACCATGCTTTTGTTTATGTATGGTGTCTATGCACCAAACATAAACTCGTGCTCACAAGTTCACTTTATACATATGTACATTTAAACTAAATAATTATGTAGTTACATCTATACAAATAAATAAAAAGGTTGTGTCTCTTTCTAATTTAAAATTAACAGCTTTTCACTAAATACATATGAAAACATATAGGGTACTTGCTGTACCTACTTATATTTTTTTTATCTGAATGTCTGTTGTCTTCTTGCTAATCTCTAAATATTCCAATTTTGACGGGACTTTTATAAGAACGGTTATGAAGAGTAACTTAGACTACTTTTATTTTTGTTATTTTATTTATTTAATAAAAAAAAAAGTTAAATTTAAAGTATTAAATAAAAATCTAAGGCATTTCTCACACGATACCCAAAGCATTAATTTTTTTTATATCGAGATTCAAATTTTGTTTAAAAAAAAATTCTTTGTACACAGTTTATAATTTATATATTTTTTAATTAAACTTAATAACATTTTACTTCTGTTTTAGTTTCGTGCTAATTTATCTATACTAGTATTATAAAGAATAAAAAAGTTTGTTTATTGAATTTGGATTGAATAATTAGGTAACATTATACTTACTTAGTGTAACCGTTTACCATCAGATGGGCCGTATATGCTTGATTGGCGCCAGCGTGGTACAAAAAAACTTATGCTAAAATAACGTAAAACTATATAAAAATAATCGGTACATATACCGATAAAAAAATAGCGATGTCAACAACATAAAATACATCTATATTGTCAATTATGAGTGATAAATAAATTCTTTTCATATATACCAATTAACTCGAATAGAATAGAAAAGAAACTTCAGAGGCTGTTGACAAAAAAAAACAATACGACGCCATCTCGTGTCAAAAATTATTTTTCATCTATACGAATAAATAAAAGTAAAGTGTATGTTTGTAATTTCAAATTAAAAGCTTCTCACTAAATGCATAAAAAGAAAAATAATTTAAAAAATCTTGCCTATGTTCTTGCTAATCTCGGAAACGGCTTGACCTCTTATGACGAGACTTTCGCTAACATGATATAAAGAGTAAGTTAGGCTACTTTTATTGAAGAAATTATATTTATTTCAATAAATAAAAGAAAGTTAAATACCACGCAGATAAAGAAAACGGCTAGTTATCAATACTAGTGTCGCCGAATGGTCGAAATTCGACCACAATTAATATATTGAACATTTGTAAGGTCAAAAATAAAAAAAATATTAACAATCTGCACACAAAATATCACCTATATACTACCTACCTATAAACTATATGTGTTCGAAATTTCATACTCCTCCATCCGCACATTTTCGTAATAAGAGGTACAAAGTTTTTGCTTCACGTATTAATATAATGATTGTACATACATTCTCATAGTAATGAACGGATTTTCCTTACCGGCTCAACATTAGCGCAAACTATATGTATATATAAAAATAGAATAATATTTATGGCTAATTACTACTACTCTGGATTGTAGCAATGTTTATCGGCGATCAGTAGGCTCCATTATAGTTAGTACTTACGGTATGTACTTAGTACATTATTTATTCTGTTAAGCTTTCTAACGCATTGTAAATTTTTATATTGTTATTCCTATGACTGAACCATACATAGAAAGCATCCACAATACGATTCGTAATGATAACAATCTCTTAAAACAACTGACTACAAATTCCTTCCTCAGAATGAGTACATTAATAAAACACAAAACACATTAAAAACAAACTCGTCCTTATGGCACAGAAAATCATACACCTAGCCTATTGAATACGTTTCTCGTAATTGTAAGATTGTTAGCATTCTTATTACCTAGCCTAGCTTTAACTCCATTATTGACTTCTGGCATAGACAACCGTCTCTCTGGTTTGTTAAAGACCGGCGTAAATTTCTGCGGCAACGCCTTTGGTTTGACTACATTCTTCTGGTGTGTTAATTTCTGCGGCAACACCTTTGGTTTGCCTGCATTCTTCTGGTTCATCTCTATTTCTTTGTACTCTACATGATTTGAAAACTTTACCGATTTCGATTTAGGCAATGCTAATTTATCCTTAATATTAACTGGGGTCTCGTCTGCTCTCATCGTACATCCCATAGCTATCTTCCTAACATTGTTTGTTGACGTTGTGACGGTGACAACCTTCGACCGCGTAGCTATGACTGGAGTCTTGAGTATGCCTTCATACTTGAGGGCATCCTTTTGTACTGGTATAACAACCTCTTCTTCAGCCACAGCAGGCTTGGATCCCAACCTAGCGTATATTGCTTTGACGGTAGGCTTTGCGGTTACAACTTTGGCCGGCTCTGACTGCCCGAGCCGCGAAAACACTGTTGTCTGCTTTGTAACTGCAACGAAACGTTTTACGAAGATGTAAGGATAAGTTTAAAAAAATTAATAAGAAATATGACTCACTTAAATGACAAACGTGCATGGCAATAGTTGTTCATGCACAGAATTTTTATAAATACTAGACATAGACACCTATATAACTATACAATGTAAATACACGGGCTTTCAAAAAAGGTATTCAGTTGAGTTTCTTAAAACTACTTAAGTTACAGTATTTAAATAAGCAATTTTCTATTCTATTCTATTGTGTGGTCACAATTACCTTCTTTCACCGATGCTTGTGGTGGCGACGAAAAACGTATGAAGCGAGCTTTCTTCATACTGTTGCTTTCCGTGTCAGATCTATTCAAACATATTTCACATTTCTGTCACAAAACATATTGTATTGTAGTTTTTTTTATAATTTCAATAGTTGGTTAGCTAGTCTATAATATATCTTTACGTAGGATAAAAGAAAGCCGACGCTGCTGTCTGTTCGCTTGGATGTTTTAAATTACGCAATGGATTTTAATGCAGTTTTCAGCAATAGATAGTGATTCAAGAGGAAGGTTTATATGTATAAATGCGTGTTATAGTACAGAACAAGCCGAAAAATTCCAATATTTGTAATGTAACCATCCGAAGCCGTGATGGGGCTAGTTATAATTAAATCTACAAACCCGGCATTTGTGAGCTTCCTCTTTTGTTGCAATGGTACCGTAGGCGATGATTCCCGCACGTTTGTGTTACGAGTATAATGCTCTAATATACGGCTAGCGGCTGTAAAAAAGAGAAAATAAATGTTTTTTAGCTTTCAGCTTAATCAATCAGATTTTTGGGTTTTATACCGTTTTCGAGAGTAGTGGGCGCAAGATGGCGGACTATTATTTGTGACTCGGACCAATAAAGATATTATTTTGAGCGTACATGTTGTGGCATATTGTGAGTGTGTTTCTAGCATATTTAAATATAAAAAAATTAAAATTTCATCTATTCTTGGCTAACTAATATCAATATTCTACGAATGTGGGAAGCCTACTTACTTCTATCGTTCTAGATGTTTTATAAGGTTGTCTTTAATACAGATATGTCACATCTAAACCGGTGTTTTAATTATTATTAAATTTGGAAGCTAATTATTCAATTCCATTATTATAAAGAGGAACCGATGTTTTAAATATTACTAAATTGGGAGCTAATTATTCAATTCCGATATTATAAAGAGGAATGATTTTATTTTTTTGTATGTTCGTTTAATTTTAATATTTCCATCCAAATTGAAGAACATTTGACCAACTACAGTTATCTTAATGCCATTCGCCAAAATATGGCTATTGTCAGGCCTGTGTGTTACGAAATGCACCCCAAGAAATGGAAAAGTCGAAATATGGATTATATTTCATTTATGGCAAATAGTTAGCTTTGAATCATTGCATTAATGTATAAACTGACAGACCCGGCGGTCAGAGGTGTAAGGCTTCCGATGGTCGCGGATCCGATACCTCCGACGAAACATTTGCATTTATGATTAAGATTGTATGTATCGGTCTACAAAAACAATGTACTTAGATAACTTATCTAGTACCCACTAGTTCTGCGTAGCTTGGGATTAGATGGTGCTGTGTGAATCGTCCAGGATTATTATAGACAAATTATTACAAAACTAGACTAACCAGAAGAAGGCTGAGACACAGTGGAGCGTCCTGTGACAGCGGCGACGGGCACTTTGTTTGTGACTGCTGTGCTCAGTACACGATCCCTCGCCGTATTCTCATGCACTTGCTTAGAATGCCTGTGTATAATTAAATAATTATAAACGTTATTTCTTACTAGCAGTTGCTCCCGTAACCGTTTATAGAATAATAGCTGCTTTACAGGAACACTCTTTCATGTAAATCGCTTTTCACGCAGGAAAGAATACAAATGTAAACAAAGCGAACGAGAAAAACAGCGCGCCGCAAGCTTGCGCATATAGCACCTATGTTCTACAATCTTGCGTGCTTTAGAACCTTTTTGAAGTAATTAATTGAAATTGCAAATGACCTATGTAAAAATATTATTATAGTTATTGATAATTTATAAATCTTAAATATATGCCTAGAAAAAATCTGTGATTTAAGAAATAATATTTTAAAAGTTCTGAAATGATTCATAGAAGTAAACACATGTGAAAGAGTGAACAAAAGAAACAGTTAATAGAAACCCCTACCATGGATTTCACTGGATTTATTTTATTTATTAGTTATTAATAAATAAAATAAACTGAAATCCAGTATGAACTTGCAAAGCAGACAGCACAGAATGGAAATGAAACGAAACGAACTAGACCTTGTTATTGATTAGTAACATTTTATATAATAAAATATAATAACCATATGTAAAACTATGTATAGCAATAAAGGTTAAAAATTTTATGATATATTTACTTAATTATGTTGTAACATGATGACCTGATGTTAAGGGCCCATTCGAGTATTACGTAAGCACTATGGGAGGGCAGGGGGGATCTTTGCTTTGCTTATTTTGGAGGACATCAGGGGTAGGGGAGTCTAAATGATGATTATGTCATCGGTAGTTATTTACTTTCTTACATGTATGGCAACCCTCACATTGTCTTTGCTAAAAAAATAATACATTAATTGATAAATAATTACGTAAACATGGAGGAAGGTGATAAGAGCTTTCCTTACTTTTGCTGACAAGGGGGATGGGGGGTAAATAATTATAATAAAGCTGCTTACATAATACTAGAATGCAGCAGCACTCAACACATGTGTGCTGATAATCTTCCAACTGTTCAACAATTAAAATAATAAAGAAAAATATTATGACCTCACCGCAGTATGGCAATAACGTCTCCCATCCTGGTGATGCCCATATCTCTGAGATACTCCTTGTTCAAGTCCAGTAGCATATCATTTTGGATCCTGTTCTCTGTGAAGGTGAGGGCATATGTAGCAGCAACATCCGATGGTATGCCAGCTGTAGTGAAAAAACTCACCCACATGCCTGTAATGATCATCATACTTTAGATTATAAAGATGTAAAATCTGTAAGTTTGTGAGGTTTTAGGGGGAAATTAGAAAAATCTTTTACCAATATAATACTACTACTTGCAAGTGTCATAGACTACTCTTATTAATATTATAAACACGAAAGTTTGTTAGTATGGATGGATATTTGTAACTCTTTCACGCAAAAACTACTGAACGGATTTCGATGAAATTTTACAGTAATATAGCTTATACATCAGAATTACATATAGGCTATAAACTTCATGCGGGTGAAACCACGGGCACAGCTAGCATATAATACGTACATAATATGCGCCAAACCTTCTTTGAAACCATATTGTGAATTTCTGACCGTGCGTTAGTGTAGGCGGGATTATCATTACATCATTATAGACAAACAAAAATACGAGAAGAGATTAAAATAATAAACACATCTTTCTAAAACAACACTGTCCTATCATTGAACCTTGAAATTTTGACAAAATTCTATAAATTAGTTCCACATGAATATATAGAAAGATAAATATTCACCAGTTAAATTGGAATCCATTTTATTCAGTCCGGTACTCATTTGTTTCCGTTTTTATACAGTAGCAATATAAATTTTTAATTCTATGTAATTTAAGACATGAGATGAAAAGAAAAATATAAATATCAAATAACTATTACAGGAATTAAAGACAAACTGTCAGACTAACGGATCAGACTGACTGCGACTGATTTTCTAGATTATGTTTTACGGCTCTGGATACAAGTCCTTTCTACCATTGTCAAAGATGCCAGGTTAATCTGCTTTACCTCGAAATTTAGACTCAAATACCCCCAAACTTAAATTTTCAACAAAAATAACATCATAAAAAAAGTTGCCTCCTGACTTTTTTTATGTTGAAGTACAAAAAAAGCAAGCGTACTGAAATTATCATAGAAGAACTATGACACTTTTCAACGTGCTTGCTTTTTTTGTACTTCCTTGGCTTCTCAAACTGATTAGGCAGCGGGCTCGTATTTTTTCGTTAGACATACTGTGGGCATATATACAGTCAAAGCCCTCCCACAACTATCAAATAAAATGTTTTCTCCACCGCTACAAAATTTTGATGAGTGGAAAATCTCCCAACTGTCATCGCGATTGACACAGTTATTACTATTATACTGACATTTACTGTATTCGATACACAGAGTAATTTACTACTTTTCTTTATGCATTCCTCTGATATACTTACTTTACTCTTTGATGTATTGATTGATTTTTCTTTTAAAGAATACTTGCATATATCAAATAAAATCAATATTTGCAGAGTGGTGCAAGTAAGTCGTATAGAAATTACTGTACAGTAAATATTTGTTTGGTAGTGTATTAACTTAATCTCAAAGCATCAATTGGTTATTCATTTGCAGGTTTAATTTCGTTACAAACCGTCAAAACAATGGCATCATCTTCATTGGCGGATGTGCCTACTGTAGATATAGATCCATCTGGGGTATTTAAATATATCCTAATTAAATTATATGATACAAAACAAAGTGAAGACGACTTTGTATATATTGTTCGCGGGTACTACAGATGCAATTACCATTCAGACGTATATGATGAGGTATATAAACTTAATTTGTTTCTCTACATTTGTCTCCTTTTTTTTCAACTCGAATTTTAAACATATTGTTATTCAAAATATATAGTTATTATAGTACTTATTAGCAAAATATAGTCACATGCTGCCGGATAGTGGATGAAATCTTCCACTTGCCAAAACTGCTTGGCAAACAAGTTGATGGCAATGGCAGCAGAAATATGTAATAAGGAGGTACTGCACACTAACAACTGTGCTTATAAATAGAATGGAAAGAAACTTAATGTAAACTCATTTGAATTGTTGTATAACATATATTTTTATATAATTCCATTACTACATTGACATGTATAATTATTGTTTTTATTTTTAGGTACAAGAAAAACTGCATCCATTAGATTGTGAAACAGTGGGTGGAGGTAGAATATCACATGAGCCAAGTATTAAGAAGATTCACATCTATGGTTATTCACAAGGCTATGGCAAAGCAGACCATGAAATAACAGCCAAACTTATCAAAGCTGCATTCCCTGACTATAAAATCACAATTAGTGATGAGGGATATTAAATGCAGTCATATTGTAATATATTATTAAATTTAATGTTTAAGCTTTTATGTTCTATTTAATGTATATTCATCGATGTATTATAAATGTGCAGTTAATGGAATTCTTAGATATAACTGTTATGAGTAACATGTATACTATAACAGCTAATAAATATATCATTTGAATTTCAAATTCATAATTGTTTTATTAAATATATTAATATATAAATTATTAATATATTTATATAAATAATTTGTTAATAACCATTTTCATTTAATGTAAATCTATATACTAAAAGCATTATAAATATAATGTAGTGTAGATATAGTGTAGTGGAAGACTTATAATATTTATTATATTCATATCATTCCATGTCTTTAATTTTACTAGACATAGTGCTGTGATGTGCTCTGGGGTCTGGGTTAATATATACAATTATTAATGCTGAGCCCCTTCAATGTGATGTTGTTTTATTGAAAATTTTTTTTTATGTATAATGAAAAATATCTATTGAATATTATATATATTATCTATTGAAATAACATATTCTTTATTAGGTGGAACCTAGAAACAAAAAAAATCCTTGCATTATGTGTCACTATAATTATTATAATATTTATAAACCATAAAATTTTTCCCCACCCTCATCTTTTGCGCAGTAGTTGCAGGTTGTTCTACATGAAATAATAGATTTAAGACTAGCCTATAAGGAACAAGAAGCAGTTGATAAACAAATTGGTGAGTGGTTACAAAATGGTATTATTAAACCTAGCTTTTCAGAGTATGGATTAGTATTAGTTAGAAAAAAGATGGTAGTATAAGAGTCTGTGTTGATTACAAATAAAATAAAAAAATTGTTAGGGATGAGTAAAACAAGATCAACGTCGGTCTTTATACTCGTTTACGCTGAATTCAGTTTCCTAAAACTTGATTTATACTGCGAATGGTAATATCCAGTCTAAGCGTTACAAGTAACGAACTACTATATAGGTATAAGGCTACAAATTATAGTTGAAAATTCAAATCGACACAAACTGAAATTTCTCCAAATCAAAATCAAATGACAAACACCTTGGCAACCCAGCTTTGGACAGATCTTTGACAGTTATCTCAAAACAGAAAGCATAGATTACTTGCCAAGTTGACACATAGCAAGTTCTGTGCTTTCTGTTTGTTTACAGTCTTCCTTCTTAATATTTGCTGTTCACCTATTTCAATAAAAATTAATGTAATTATTTCCTAATTTATTTAATAATAATGTCTAATTTAACCACAGACGGCAAAATATGCATTGAACGTGAAATATCTATTGCAAATGAGAGCAATGATTTTGAAGATATTGTACCACGTTTTTATGTCGAGGAAACATGCAAGTGGATTGTAGATAATAATTTTTTGAAGGTATGTAATTTTACTTGTAGTTATTTTTATTGATGATAATAGAATGGTGCAGCCGCCTGCGCTAACAGTTTATGCTGGTGGAGTACCAGTGGAGGATGATAAGATGAATATAAGGTCAGGTCAGTTAGCCTATCATGACATTTTCAGCAGGAATTTATCACGATGGTTTCTAGGTGGAACCGCGAGGAGGTCACCCTGACATGGTACCCATTGCTAGCAAAGGGATTGTATATTACATTTACCTTATTACGAGATATTATTTTTTCCTATGTGTGTGTACTATAAGGAATAAATTATATTAAATTTATCAGCTATTAAACAGTTTGTAATGTCATGTGACTTGATAGTTGTATTGCCAGTTTTTGTTTGTATTAATTAAATATGATGCATTTCTTTTGTGTAATATTTCTAAAACATTTATTGATAGTGTGTAATTGGATCTAAATGTAATTGTTTGTTTGCAACTATATAGCAACATTACAAGTTCCCTATTATTATATTATTCCGTAGACAACCACATGCTTTATTTTGAACAGATCTGCCTTCAGTTCCCTGATGACTTATTGTGTGTGAGTGTGGCCATTTATGAGGAGATAAAGAAAAGAGTGGGTGTTGACTTATATATTCTGGGTGATACTTCATATGCAAGGTTTGTTAAATTCTAGAAAAAAAATACTTAATGTCTTCCTTCATGATACAACCTACCTTCACACTAAATTATATAAAGATCTTTATGTAATAAGCAGTTTAGTTATGAACCAATATACACCACTTTACTTTTAATGGTTGTGGGTTAGATTCTTCCCATGGTGCAAACATGAGTATGTAAGTACTGCCTGGGTACAAGACACCCAGGCAATACAATGTATAATAATATATTATAATATTTTTATAGAAGTAGTAAGCATACAAGTACATACCTACATAAAAAATTAGGTATATCAGTTATTTAGCACCCATAACACAAGCCCTGCTTTGCTTAAGACCAGAGAGGATTGTCTGTATTATTAAATATAATTATTATATTTCCCTGAACACAACAATTTCATCTTTTTATTAATTACTTCCAGCTGTTGTGTGGACACAGTGGCTGCTATGCATGTACAAGGGAATGCAGTGGTTCATTACGGCCACACTTGTTTCTCCAAGACCAACCTTCCTGTTTTCATAGTGCTTCCAAGAGGAGACCTCAACATTGATGGGACAATAAATAATTTGTTCAATAACTTCAATTCTGACAGCAACAACAGTTTATGCCTGTTTTATGATACTGAATTTGAGCATTGTAAAGGTGAATTATTTTTTTTTTCTATTCAAGAGTTACACTATTCATGTATGTATTCATGTATTTTTTAAACAAATATCCTACAAATTTTGTGTATATAGTTTCTTATAATTATGTTTATAGATTAACTAGCTACCCACCCTGGCTTCACATGGCTGTATATGTATTATACATATAAACTTAATTAGAGTATATTACTCTAATAAAAATATTAACATTTTATATCTCATAACTTTAAATATAATTTATTTTGCAGATGAAATATCAAAGTGCTGGTATCAAAGGTACCCTAAAAGTTATATTGCTTATATAGAAAAAGAGGAGACACCGGAGAGGTTCCTAGGAAGAGTAGTTAAAGATGTAGAGGGAACAGTGTTACCTGTTGAAACACTCAGGGATTGTATATGTATTCACATTGGAACTAGAACCCAAACACTTTTTAATTACACAATATCTGTTGAAGGTCATTATTAATAAACTAATATATTATCTTATTATTAAAAACTAGTCTCATAGATGTTGATATGCATACTAGGTCATACCAACACTGTAGTTTTGAAATGAAATTGTTTTTGAAGCTAATAAACTTTTTTACTTGTTGTTTCGTCTCGGCACAACTCCTTCAATATAAATTGTTTTACTATACCATTTTAATGACAACAGAATTTTGTTTCTGCAATCTAATCTCTTAAACTTACTCTTCTTTTTTCATTTTAATAATATATTATCACAATTTAAGGAATGTCTATAGTACAGACTTAAATAATTAATGAAAGTATATGTAAAATAATACTTTTATTTTTTCTACAGCAAAAGAATGGTATTCACTAGACCCAGAAACTGGTAAAGTTGAACATAAAGATGAAACATCGTGGGTCAAACGGAGGCGGTTTCTTGTGGAGAAATGTAAAGATGCCAATGTTGTTGGTATTCTGGTCTGCAAATTGGCTGGAAACCAGACTAAGGATATAATAAACAGGATGAAGCAGCTTTGTCGTGTGAATGGCAAGAAAAGTTACATCGTATCTGTCGGCAAACCGAATGTTGCCAAACTAGCGAATTTTCCAGAGGTAAATAAAATGAAAAAACTACATACATTGTATATTTTACTAATATTATAAACATGGAAGTTTGCAGCTGTGGATGAATGGACGTTTGTTACTTTTTCACGCAAAACTTCCGAATGGATTTTATGAAACTTGACAATAATATAGCTTATACATCAGAATAATATATAGGCTATAAATTTCACGCGGGTATAGTTATTCCGAAATATAGATAATGTTCCGCAAGAAGTCCATTGCCCATAAAAGAAACTAAAATAGCTACATATTTTTATTACTAAATATAATTTAGAGTACTAGATTATATTTAGTAATTTTAATTTTACATTATTTATATTATTGACAAATTTTACGGGCTCGATGGTCACCTTACCTTCTATGGTCGCGGGCTCGAGTTCTCGCACGGTACAAATATTTGTAATCATGATAATTGTGTGTCGGCTGGGTGTTTCTATATATTTTATATCAGTTACGTTGTATGTATTTTATAACACAAACTCTGCTTAGCTTGAGACTAAGTGGCACTGTCTTCATTGTCCTAAATTATTATTTTTATTATTTCAGATTGATATTTATGTAATGATCGCATGTCCTGAAAACGACCTGTATAGCAGTAGGGATTTTTACAAACCAATTGTGTACCCTTACGAGTTAGAAGTAGCTCTAAATTCTAATCGACCACCTTATTTTGCAAATCACGTCACAGACTACGACGACCTACTGCCTGGCAAGAGGCATTACTGTGAAATTAACCAAGTAGAAGAGGGCACCGATGTTAGTCTGGTTACAGGAAGAATAAGGGAGATTAAAGTAGGCAACCACAATGATACAAGCACAGAATTATCAGAGAAACAAAACTGGGCATTGGAAAATATTGGAGGGAATTTACAAGAACGCACATGGAAAGGTCTAGAACAGAAATTGGGGGAAACAGAAGTGAAAAAGGCTGAAGAAGGTAGAGGCGGAATACCACTACAATACAAGAATGAACCCAATTGAAACAAACTGTATTAATAAAATTTATTTACACACATACTCTCCTTTTAAAGAATTAGTTGTACAGCAACAAATATTCCAAAACAATTGAATTATTGGAAAATGACCTATGTTATCTATGGCTTCTTTAACTTGAAATTGTAAATGTATATTGTTAATAAAGCTATGTTTCAGTATTACCAATTTTTTTTTTATGTCAGTAAACATGAATCTTTCGTACAAATGACATGTAACAAAACTACTACTAAAATGGAATAAACTTTTGAGCCATATACACTGTAGTTTACAATTTAATATAACAGAAACATGATAGACAATATGTATAAATAAATATATATTTTTTAATTTTTATTAACAAATCTCATACTCTTTTTTTAACTTGATTTTGGTGCTGAAGGGACGGACCTGACTTATACGATTTTAATTTGATGCCATCGTTAGGGAATCAGAACCCTGGTCAGATAAATACATTATAGATTACTGATGAGATATCAACTTCTCTAACAAGCTTTTATTCCACATAGAGATCAGTTTTTACTATTCACAAAGGTATCATGTGAGATATCAATCTCAGGGGAACAGGCCATTGTACTGTTTTTTTTTCAATGCTATGTAATATAAACTTCACATATTGATGAGTTCAACATAAACATATAATTAAATCATGTTAGTAAATAAGTTACAAATTTTTAAACAACTAAGATCACATCTGATTAACAGGATTCTGTGGTGATTTGAGCCATTCTTTCCTAAGCATCTGTTTCAGTTGAGACAGCCTAAGAGTAGGATTCTCCGCTTTAATTCTTGGTAAATTTATTTCTTCAAAAGCTGTATATGCAGCCTTCTGTCGTTTCTCAGGATGTCTATCCATGTCTGATTTATCACTGAAAAATAAAGAGAAATAAATTTATAGAGTATATAAAATTTTAATTGAAAAACTTCAAACATTAGAGAAACCAAAGTGAAAAGATAAGTAGAAGAAAAGTTAGTATTTTGTGTAACTAAATGTGTACAATTTATATTAATTGAATTTGAAATAGCCCTAAGGTGTGTGTTTTCATAATACATTTTTGTATGGAACTATCAGTACTCGGTTGTAATTTTTTTAAATTCATTGTTTTAATAATTTCCTTAGATACATTTTTGATAACTTCAGTGATACTAAAGGTAGTCTGTTTACAGTAATAACTAGCTGTTCCTGCGACTTCTTCCGCATGGAATCTAACTTTATTCTTCTAAAATAAAAGCAGCCCAAGTTACTCCTTATTACATCAGCTACCTGCTGCCTAAATCGGTCCAGCCATTTCAGAGTTTAGCCGGAACAAACAGATAGACAGACAGGCAAAAATTTTTTTAAATGTTATTTATTTTAGTGTATGTACAGTATTTATATTCATATACACATAGCAAAGAACTTTTATTTCAATTATTTTCAATATTACAAACAGACACTCCAATTTTATTTATATTATTTAAAGCATAATATTAGCATAGTGATACAATTCTCACCTGAGTATAGATATAGCTTCATCCACAGACTGTGCCAATTCACCATCAAGTTGTATTCTATTAAGATTTTCTTCCAAAGGAACTTCTTCAATGACAACCCGTGATGGCTGCAATATATTATTATAATAGTAATAAAAAACTGTTCAGGCATTAACATATTGACAATAGTAATAACATATTTAGTTAGTAAGATGTAGTAACATTTTACAGTAGTATACCCCAAGTATGGTTAGCACTTATCATGTAGGCCTTTATATGTTTAAGTAATAATTAAAGACTATTACACATAATATGAAATATTGTCATAAAAAATCATCACTTAAACATACAAGGATATATTTTTTAATTCAAATTGCATTACTGTTTCATGTGGTTATACAGAATAAGTTTCCAAAATGAATGCTGCAAGGGCACTGTATTTCATATTAGCATAAATAAAATATATAATGGCAATCTAAAATGCCTTGCTGACAAAGTCCTGCATTCTATAGTAATTTTTATTGAATATTTGTTTTGAACAATGACACTAATTTGTTCATGAAATATAAATGTATGTAGACCAAAGAGATAAAAGATAGGACTTGTGACTCAGGTGTAGGTTTAGTTGGACGCTTTGCCAGATTCTTTATTGTACTTGCAAATTTAATTTTGGAATAAGTAAAATATTGTGATTGAAGTCTACTCTTAACAGGGAGGTAGGGATCGTTAGAAACATGAAACAAAGTACCATGTCAGGATAACCTCTATATGATTTCTTTCGATTTTCTTACATGAAAACCGTTCTAAACAAGGTGGACTCAATAATAGATTGTCAATTTCATTGTACACAAAGAAAATACTACTAAGATGTAGATATTTTACCACTGGTTTTGGTGGTTCAGCTTTTATAGTCTTTTCCTTTAATTGTGATATCTGTGCCCGAGTAATTTTTGGTGGTGGTGGTGCATTTTTCACAGTGCCTTTCAATGATTCCATTTCCTTTTCTAATAGAGCCTTTGCCTCTGCCTTCTTTTGTAGCTGTTCTACACGTTTTCTTTCTTGATCTTCCTGTAAATTGTAAATTACATATAAAAAAATTAAAGTGTAACACTAAGCTTTTTGCTGAGGTAGACTTTGTATAACAATTATTATGTGTAACTCTATATCATTTATTTCCGCCAACAAACAATATGTCAGCTGTACTTCCATAAAGATTGAGACATAACTATGAAATTCAGAGACAAAAAGGAATAGTAAAACATGAGGGTTACTAAAGACGTCACATAATAACATGATGCCTGCGGTGCAGTTCATGTGAGGATTGCCATTTATCACCAGGCCGTGGATCATTCCAATTACATAAAAAATATAATTTATGTTTACCTTTTTTTGCTGCTTTTTCTTTAATTTGTCATCGTTGTCCTCCCATTCTGCATCCTCTATCATTTTCTTGAGTTTCTGATCTTTCTCCTGTTTCGCATTCTCTTTGCGTTGCCGTGCAGCGACAGCTTTGCTGTTTTCTCCCGCGAATTTTTTCGGCATTCTGGCTACAAGTAATCTAAATGTTAATATTCATATATATTCATAAATACTCTAACCTAAACTGTAATTAAATATTAGCACAGTACCTTTTATCCTGTTCTGGTGATATTAACTGATATTTATTATATTCTTGGAAATTGGAATTAATAATGAGAAAACATATTTCGAAAAAATAATGGAAACATGACTACGAATCGACATATCAATTACAATCGGTGTACTGACAGTGACACTAATGACAATGACAGTATGAATAATATAACATATTAAATAGTACCTATGTAGAACTCATCTCTTTTTTTAATAATATACCGATATTTTACTTTTTCAGTATGTTTAGTCTGGAATTGAATATATATTATATATATTATTTTACTCGTTGCTTCGTTGCGAGACTTCGGTAGAATTACTGACAGCCACTTTTCGATCTGTGCTGAATTCCTAGCAATCTCTATATTACTCTGTGTCTCTGTGCAGTGTATTATTTATTTTTATGTGTTCTGAATCGTATACTTTCATTATAAATCAAAGTATTTTATTCTATATTATGATTCAAGTAATTCACTAATTTTAATTTCAATAGAATATACTTTGTCTCAATATAATATTAGAAATCAACAAACATTAATCTTTACATATAATGGCTCTAGTTGCTTACGACAACAGTGATTCTAGTGATTATGGAGAAGATGATGGTGATACTTCTTCTGTATTGCCAGCCAAGAAACTGGAAGGTAGGCTAATAAAGGAAAACGAACATTTGTATATTGGAAATGCCTGACATTTAAGTTCGTTTGCATAATCAAATGTAATTAAAAAAATATATATATCATAGTAAGGGGGGAACTTAGGTACTTAAATCTAAGACATAGTGTATGTCTTAGATTAAGTACTCCAATAAATAAAGTTACAATACCAGTGTGCTCAGCTATATAGTAATGTATTAAATAGACAGACACATTTGCAATTTATCCATATAATCTTTAAAGTTTTTTCCTTGTATGTAACTTTTACCTACCATCACCTACCATCTGAGCATTCGAGCCGCATCATCACATACCAAACATCAATCCATACTCACAAATTTTTGCATTTGTTTACATTAATAATAGTAAGATTACCAGAAATTAATTATGTTTAGTTTGAATTAATAATAATATAATAATCTCTGGACAATTCACACAGCGCCATCTAGACCCAAGTGAAGCTTGCTAAAGCTTGTGTTTTGGCTACCACCGAGGTCATCTAATTATCTCTTCAGAGTGTATGCTGACTTAACAACTTTTTATATTGGAATAATATTAAAGTGCACCAATATCTGCTAATGGTATACACTGTTGGGGCACTAGTAAGTGACTGATATGATGGGATAATGGTCAGGTCAGTTAGGCCATTGAGATGATAAAATGTGGGAGTTAACATGATGTTATATTATGGTTTGCCCATTAGGTGCCTTAACTCAATATTCAACAATTTTATTACAGAACCTATAGTGCCATCTACAAAGACAGATTCAAAAGAATTAGAGACATCACCAGAGGCAGGAGACATAGGATTATTCAATTTTCTGCCACAACCAACACTGAAAAGGTCAGCTGTTATTGAAGAAGATGATGAATTCTTGCACAAAAAGGAAACATCAGATAGTGTGAAACCAAAAGTTAAGATTACAGTGCCTTCTTTGAGCGATGTAAGTTTGCTTAAAACTGGTTTCAGCCCATAACTCTTAATGACTAAATGGACCACAATGAATATCCAATCTTTTATCCAAGTTACAGTTCTATAGCAAATGTCGTAATTATAAATTTAATTTGGTGAGATATTAAAGTGCAAGAAACATACTATCACATTTATAATATTAATTAAAAATAATGGTTACATTTTTAAATATTAACATGTTTGCTATTTCATATTAGATTACAACTACTGGATAAATTTGATAATGAATATGAAGAAACCATTGAAATAATTAATTTAATTAATATAAAAAAAGCCTTAATTTTTTACAGTTCAAAGATGTGGATGGAAGCACACAACCTGCTAAACCCAAGATACGAAATGGGGTAAGTTGATCAATATTATTATACAAATATTATTTAACATCTGTCATGTATGCATAATTTTTGGATTGTATTACAGCAAAAATCAGGGTTGTTAAGTATACTACCACAACCAAGGAATGCCAGTTTATCCATTAAAGCTACTACAAAATCATTAATACCACATGTACTCACACGAAATAAAACTATGGATATAAAGAAAAAAGCCCCATTACCTACACCAATGAAAAAAGCTAAGACAGATGTGAAAGCTCTAGCAGACTATTCAGATGACAGTGACAATGAAGATGAAGTACAAAATGATTTCTTCTCAATCAACAAACCAATTGAACTGCCTGCTGTTGAGGATATTCCTCTAGATATAGATGATATGAGAAGCAATGTGAAAAATGTATCAGCTCCAAGGGCACAAAGAGAAGCATCTAACATTCAATCTTATTTCAAAGACAATGTTACAGAAAATTATGTGGATAATGAGACAGTCTATTCAGAAGGTAGTAGTAGTAACCCTGAACAGTACACAAATAATGAAATATCAAGTACGAGTAGCAATTATGGTGCTACTGATAATGCAAATGAAATAGTCCTTGATGACGAAGCTGTAAGTATATCTGTTCATAATATATTAGATCTTAGCTTAACAATAAGCGCCTTGTTGATACTCTAACATTTAAATTCAATAATTATTAAATATACTACTGATTGAATATAATAATTAGAAGCTTCTATAGGTAGTATATTGACAATATTCTAGCTATGGAGCCTGATAAAATATTTATATTCAGATCCAAGTGAAGCAGATCCCAAATTGAGTCTAATGAGAATCAAAGTTGGATATGAATCACTCAATTCTATATATCATACAATGTTATACAAAAAATACGCCTGTAGGCTGCAGGCTGAATACACTGGATATTATATTTTAATATTATATAAATTTATAAGCTGTTCTGCTAATAAATGATTTTATTTGATTTGATAGAAACTCGATATAATGTCATTGAATGAAACACTATACCAAAACAGATGTTATAAGCAGTGTAAATTATAATTATATGATTTTATTTAGAGGCAGGGTCCGATGTTGTAATAACGACCTGTCTCAATCAGTCATAAAGCAATTACTGAACTTTATTGTCAAAACAATTTTTTAACAATATTAAATATGTTTGCAGATATTAAAATTGTGTGGTGCACGTGGCAAACGCAAAAGGGAAGACATCCAAATAGTAGACGTGAATCAACAGGAAGTACTTGCGGATGCACGTGAATGGTTATTGAAGGGACTTATGGATGACACAAGTAAGCGTGTCTCATCAAGTAAGAAGAAAGGGAATGAACCTACAACGCAACAAAGGAGGAAGCACCAAATTACATATTTGGCACACCAAGTAAGTGTCGATAATTACTGAATATACTAAAAATATACTTTTCCTGTTTATGTTGTCTATATTTTTTTTTGTTTTTTCCAGGCTAAGGCAAATGAAGTTGAACTACAAAATCAATGGGCAAATAATAGGATGTCAAAAAGACAGACCCAGTCTAAATATGGATTTTAATGTAAATAAAATAGGTATAATAAAACTGTAAATATTTATTATTAAATCTATATTTTTATTATAATTTTTTTTAACTAGATAATAAATGATAAATATACATTATTAACATCAGTACAAACTAAAGTCTCCTTGCTTTCCTTGGCCTTGGAGGATTCCATGATACGTAAGTATTATCTGTTACTGATACCACTTCCAAACCACCCATCTGTAGTCCTTTTACTGCCGCCTGGAAGATAATTAAAAAGAGATAAAAATTAATGTTACAGCTATATGGAATAATATAATAGTAATATTTTTTTTTACATGTCATAACTTTTATCTCAGATTGGGTAGTCACATAATGTCATGGTAAATGCGACACCTGATATTGCCACACTTTGCTGGGTATATCAGAATTCAATATAGCAGGAAGTGTGCCTACACCCAACTCTCAGATTAATCTTTGGTTTGATATTGGTATTTCTTCAAAAAGGTCAATCAGAAATATTTTTTAACACACAAAGTTTTTTTCTGTATCCTCCAGATACAGAAAAAACTCACGACCTTTAGGCTGTAATTCAGGGTTAGTATACCACTAGGCCACTAAATTTTTAAAATTTGTAATATTCCAATATTATTTCTTAAGTATAAAAAACATATTAATTATACATACCAGTCTTCCTGGGCCTAATCCTCTAACACGAACTCTGATAGTCTTCACACCTCGATCAATAGCTTTCTGTAAATATACATAAATTATTATAATTGTGTAAGATCAAATTCAAGTTGTTTGTCAACAATTATTTAAGAGCAACATGCAAGTATCTTTTTCTTACTTCTCATGAGACAACTTTCCGAAAGATAGTAAATTAAAAAAAAATAAGTTTGACTATTTAAAAGTGCTTAAATTTAAGCTTATTATTAGAATTTACTATAGGATTCTATTTCAATACAACCTTCAAAATTGACATATGGAATGGCTTAGAGATAAAGAATTTCATTTTATTCTTTCTACAGGTATATAGAAGTTAGTCTATATTGTATTGTAAATGGCAAATAAGTTGAAAGTTCCATAAGTAAAATTGAAATGTATAATTATAATTGCATAATTCCACATAAAAAAATATATTGGAACACAAAATGAGTAAGTGAGTAAAATAGATATGAATATTTTATTAAATAGACATTTCAATTATAATTGAAAGAAAAATAGAAGAAAAGAGGAGTAGTAGAGGATACCAAGCAGATTAAGGAAAATGTTTGAGTTTGGTTGTATCAGTACCCAAAGAGATTTATGGAAGATTGTATAAAGTAGTAAAAGCTCTACCAAGAAATCTACTACTGTTAAATTATAAATGAATGAATGAAATAGGCACAAATTTATTTAAGAACTAACATATAAATTCAAATATGAACTTACCGTTGCAATACTAATAGCAGTAGTCTGAGCTGCTATGTTTGTGCCCTTTTTTGTGTTTTTGAACCCTTCAATGCCACAAGATCTGATAAGTTTGACTGTTCCTGCTGCATCGGTCATTGTGAACACGGTGTTATTATGTGTTACTCTTATATTACAAATGGGTAGTTGTTTGTATGGCACCCCATCAAATAGTGTGTTTTCTGATTCGAGGGTCGGGAATAGGGATTGTTTTCTATAAACATATTACAAAAATAATTGTATATGCAATCAAGATTAGCTTGTTTAAATTAATAACCTTAATTTCAATTTAATTATATTAAATATAAAAAGTTACTCATTGAATATTACAGTTAATATCTCTAATATTAAGTGTAAACTTTATTTAATAGGCTCACAACATATAATAATTATAAGTAACATGAGTGTAAATTTAATTAATAAATGATTACAATAATACATGTATTACATTTCCATTTTAAAATATATACTCATGATAATTGGAATAAAAAGCAGTGCACCCTTTTCCTTTATAAATACAAATAATGAAAATTATATAATAACATACGCTTTAAGAACAGAATCCAGATCAATTATCTTTTCGCCTTGTACACCCTCATCTTCTTGGGGTATACGTTTGTGATCGAATTTTTCAGTCGCTAGTGGTGCTGAAGTTTGAAATAACCGTCCTATATTTATAGCGGGAATACGCAAAGTGTTCCTAATTGCTGTAAGCATATTAAATGCAAATAATATTATGAATTTCTAATATTCAATAGTTTTGTAATCGTTGTAATAATAATAGAAACAACTTCATAACCTCAAATAAAACACTGAGGTTAACATATTGATTGACGTTTAACAAATTGACATTGACAGTTATTCTCACGGGTCTCTTATTTTACATAAGCAATAAATAAAGAAAGCATAGTGGTTATTTGCTCAGTGGACATTTTGCTGTTTTTCGGTAAATTATCGAATTCGGCACTACACTCACAAATGTGGCCTCGTTGGTGTAGCAGTTTAGCACACCGCCTTAATTTCGATTATTCTTTCTGGCTTTTCTATGAATATTATACATAGATATATGCATAATATTCTAAAAAAATAAAACTATATATTTCTATCAGTTGTCTAGACTCTAGATCCATAACACAAGCTCTGCTTAGCTTGGGACTAGATGGTGCCATGTGAATTGTCCAGACTTATTATTATCATTAATAAAATATTTTATTAGTCAATAAAGAAAATTCATGTTTATGTAAGTAAAACTATAAGATTATGAACCTAAATGGGAGTAGAATGAACTCGAACGGGGTATTAAATTAATTTGTCTGCATATGAATTTCTATGTTATGTTTATGTATCAGATTTAATTAAAAAATAAAACAAAATCACATTAAACATTGATTTAATATATTATTTTTTACATAATATAGACATAAATATCCCCGTTTAATTCTTACTGAACATACTTTTGCAATATAGAATAGATTGAGAGAAACCACGAAGCGGTGAGGGCACGCCGATGGACATCAATCGTAAATGACCCACTTCTGCTAAATAGTTAGCCTTTAGAAGCTCGTTGGTTGCCCATTCTACAGTGTACGTACTAGAAACTGGCTCCCCGGGTGTAGCCTCTTGAGTTACAATATAGCTAATTAATGGTGCATATAACGGAGTAGATACCAACTTCAAAAACATTCCACTGTCGAGTAGTTCCTTTATAAGGTCTTCTTCAATGTCTTGTTGTTTGATTGTATTCTGAAAACATACTCACAGATTAGGTAGTTTATAATATACTATCATTTTATTATTTTGTATTCTACTTAAGTAGACATTAGCTTTAAGTTTCAGATTAAAAAGGTAATTTTTAATCTAAGCTAATGTTTAGATATTATAATGCCAACTGCCAACTATACTACTATAGTTGGCAGTTGGCATTGACATACCGTATAGAAAATATACTATGTTGGAAAAGCCCTACTACACAAGTAACTGTTTATGAACATTGCAAAATAAACTCATTAAAGCAGTGCAGCCAGATTGGTGCAAGCAAAACTTTTACATAAGTTTATCTTTGCGCCAAGTCACTTAAATTATGTATAAGCACTGAGAACCATGTGGCAAAGGCCTCTACTCAATTCCTACTTCAATGTTGACACTAGTGTAATAATACCTTTATATTTTTGTAATAAAGTACAGAAAGGATATTTATGGCGCTTGACTTTATGTATATCTATTTTCCCCACTTATACTTAAGAATATTAAAAAAAATACTAATAATTTCTTCTCAATGGAAGTTTATAATCAAACAGTATAGTGTTGCCTTTGATTATGTGTTACCCCTGTACGTCGTTGTAGGTCAAAGACAATAATATTTACCTTATGCTGTAATATAAAGTTGAAAGCGAGAGTTTGCAACTGTTCACATTTGCTAAGTAGTACAATCCAAATTGCGTTGATTACCGCATCGGCAGGGGCTGAATCCGCTAGCCATTTCACCTCCTGGTAAATAGATATTTTATTATTTCTAATATAACAATAAAACTTCTTTATTTCGCCAACGTTCAAGACATATACGAAAAAACAAGTAGTAATATTACTTTCACATTTTTTTTAATTGTAGGAAATCTTTATTTTTTTATCTATTTCAAATTCAATAACAAACACGCATACACACACACACCCATATGCAAACAACCACGCACTCGTGTGGAAATTTCTCATTAAATTCACCAAATAATATATGTTTAATATACCATACTAATGCTAGAATTGCTCTCTACAAGTTCGGGAGGTGCAGTAATTCACAAATGATGTACTTAATTAATTAATTGAAAATAATAATAAACAAATAATTATTACAATGATGTTATATATACACATACTATGTACACATGTATAAACACATAACTTATTTATCTCTGGCTTGTTAAAGTATTTAGTTGTAGATACCTCTTCTGTGAGAACAGGACGTTGGAGCAATAATTTTATGAGAACTAAACTCTCCTTGCAGTCACTCGTGTCTGTTAACAGCGACCGGAGAAACACGTAGTGTAGGCTTCTAGATTCGCTAAAGAAAAAAAAAGTCAATTGTTAGACGAATTCAGTAAGAGGGTTCTGTATTATATAAGTTACGAGCTTTAGAAGTGCACGAATACAACTGAATTTTCCTTGCATTCCATCTTGTTTATAAATTGTATTATCATCTCTGATCGCCGTAATAATGTTACTTTGATTGTTAAATTACTTTCATTCTTGATATAGGCATAGCCCAGCGTGGGGCCATAGATAAAATGTTACTTAAGTTTTGTGAAGTAAAAGTTATTTTACTCTTATTTACTTTAATTGTTATAAAAGCATGGATTTTGATGAAATTTACAGTAATATATACACATCACAATTATGGACTCATGTGGGTGATACCGCGTGCACAGCTAGTTGTTCTTAGTAAAAAAAGTTTTCATTATTGTAAGTTAAATAATTTCAAAAGTAATAGTAGAATTTGCTTATTATTAATCACGCAATATTTGTTTTATATATGGTTACATTTAATATGTATTAATATATTTTTGTAATTGCAACGACAAGTAAGCTTATTTAGCTTGCATATTATTAATTAAGTTAACATTTACTTATTTTTATATATTATTGGTATAGAATATGTGAGTACCTGTTCTTAGTTGGAGGCCAGCAGTTCAGGACATCGACCAGCGCTTTCTTTTGCTGCCACGTGTCTGAGGTCTCCAAAAACTTTTCGAATGTTTCACGCCGCCCTTCTTCAGTCAGTAACTTTTCCTCTATAAGGAAAGAGATCATTTTAAAAATGTATACTGTTATTTCTAGATAGACTGAATCCAGTTGCGGTAGTCAAAAGGTCTTTTAAGAGTAGGACTATAAAATCGTGGAAGTATGTTGGAAAGTTGCCAGGAGCCGATTGCAAGTTAGCAACTGCCTTAGACTCGCACTGGAGGTACTAACTGAAATTAGTCTTTATTCTCACCATCATGAGTTGGCAACCTTAGTAACCTTACACAAGAAGAACCGCTAAACTCGTTTTATTTTACAATCAAGATATTATATTCTCGAATTCGTCGGTACCACGACGACCATTTCACAGCGTGGTCATGTACCAAATGTGTAAAGTGTGTAACTGCCTTTACACAGCACGTTAATTCACGCACGATCAGCTACAGTGTGTACCGGTGAGTGCAGCGGCGTAGTGTCGGTCCGAGCACTGCGCGCGCAGCAGGTGCGCGGTGTAGTGCGCGGCGTGCGCGGGCGGCGCGGCCGCTCCCAGCGCCAGCAGCGCCACCTGCCGCCCGGCCGGCACGCCCAGCACCCGGGCACGCTCCGCCGCCGCAGACACCACCTCCTCCGGCACCTTCACGCCCTCCTTGTGGTACTGGCATATCCGGCTTATTACCGTTTCCATTTCACTGCAAACCGATAATGACTAAAGTTAAAGCGATCTAAGTATGGTAAGGGACGCAGTTCTCGAGTAGTAACTATAACATTGTAACGTGTGAAACGCGGCCGGCGGCGGCGGGCACGTGCAGGCAGTGCAGCGAGCACAGTGTGCGGGTGTACTGACGCGGGGGAGTGCGCGGCGAGCAGCGCGGCGTGCAGCACGCGGCCGGCGGCGGCGGGCACGTGCAGGCAGTGCAGCGAGCACAGTGTGCGGGTGTACTGACGCGGGGGAGTGCGCGGCGAGCAGCGCGGCGTGCAGCACGCGGCCGGCGGCGGCGGGCACGTGCAGGCAGTGCAGCGAGCACAGTGTGCGGGTGTACTGACGCGGGGGAGTGCGCGGCGAGCAGCGCGGCGTGCAGCACGCGGCCGGCGGCGGCGGGCACGTGCAGGCAGTGCAGCGAGCACAGTGTGCGGGTGTACTGACGCGGGGGAGTGCGGCGCGGCGTGCAGTGTACTGTGCGGGTGTACTGACGCGGGGAGTGCGCGGCGAGCAGCGCGGCGTGCAGCACGCGGCCGGCGGCGGCGGGCACGTGCAGGCAGTGCAGCGAGCACAGTGTGCGGGTGTACTGACGCGGGGGAGAGCGCGGCGAGCAGCGCGGCGTGCAGCACGCGGCCGGCGGCGGCGGGCACGTGCAGGCAGTGCAGCGAGCACAGTGTGCGGGTGTACTGACGCGGGGGAGTGCGCGGCGAGCAGCGCGGCGTGCAGCACGCGGCCGGCGGCGGCGGGCACGTGCAGGCAGTGCAGCGAGCACAGTGTGCGGGTGTACTGACGCGGGCGGCGAGCAGCGCGGCGTGCAGCACGCGCGGCGAGCAGCGCGGCGCGAGCACAGTGCAGCACGCGGCCGGCGGCGGCGGCGCGGGCGTGCAGGCAGTGCAGCGAGCACAGTGTGCGGGTGTACTGACGCGGGGGAGTGCGCGGCGAGCAGCGCGGCGTGCAGCACGCGGCCGGCGGCGGCGGGCACGTGCAGGCAGTGCAGCGAGCACAGTGTGCGGGTGTACTGACGCGGGGGAGTGCGCGGCGAGCAGCGCGGCGTGCAGCACGCGGCCGGCGGCGGCGGGCACGTGCAGGCAGTGCAGCGAGCACAGTGTGCGGGTGTACTGACGCGGGGGAGTGCGCGGCGAGCAGCGCGGCGTGCAGCACGCGGCCGGCGGCGGCGGGCACGTGCAGGCAGTGCAGCGAGCACAGTGTGCGGGTGTACTGACGCGGGGGAGTGCGCGGCGAGCAGCGCGGCGTGCAGCACGCGGCCGGCGGCGGCGGGCACGTGCAGGCAGTGCAGCGTGCTCTGTGGGGGACGCAGACGCGGGGGAGGGCGCGGCGAGCAGCGCGGCGTGCAGCACGCGGCCGGCGGCGGCGGGCACGTGCAGGCAGTGCAGCGAGCACAGTGTGCGGGTGTACTGACGCGGGGGAGTGCGCGGCGAGCAGCGCGGCGTGCAGCACGCGGCCGGCGGCGGCGGGCACGTGCAGGCAGTGCAGCGAGCACAGTGTGCGGGTGTACTGACGCGGGGGTGTGCGCGGCGAGCAGCGCGGCGTGCAGCACGCGGCCGGCGGCGGCGGGCACGTGCAGGCAGTGCAGCGAGCACAGTGTGCGGGTGTACTGACGCGGGGGAGTGCGCGGCGAGCAGCGCGGCGTGCAGCACGCGGCCGGCGGCGGCGGGCACGTGCAGGCAGTGCAGCGAGCACAGTGTGCGGGTGTACTGACGCGGGGGAGTGCGCGGCGAGCAGCGCGGCGTGCAGCACGCGGCCGGCGGCGGCGGGCACGTGCAGGCAGTGCAGCAGCGAGCTCAGCGCGGCGGACCGCAGCGAGCCGCCCGTCGCGAGTCGCGCCAACGCAGCCACCGCAGCTTCCTCCGCTCCGTGGCTCATCTCCACCTCCCTGTGAAATACATTCACATTATATATTTTTTTAAAGTTAACCAGAAAATGCTACGTTTTGATATGGCTTTAAAATAACACTAAAAACAAATTATATCTAAACAGATACAGTCCACACCATAAATGCTGGTAGACAAAGCCAAAATATTTTCCGAATACTGACATACTGAATGCACGCTCGGCACGTGCGCGCTGCATTTATTCTTCGTCCATAGTACACAGAGTACCAATTACGGGAACCTTTGTACTAAATTTTTGTGGAAATCTAAATCACTTAGTATCGATTGCAATTCTGGCTCGACTATGTGTAGTTCTTCTACTTCCTAGTAGAAAGGATGAGAGTGAACTGACCAATAGTGTGTAGTAACAGCACTACCAAATATTATAACTATATGTAAACTAGCACAACAGAAAAATACATATATCAGTAATATTGTGAGTGAATACTAACGCCCACATGTCGGCGGCGTCGGGCGTGCCGCTGTTGCCGTCGACGATGGCCTGCACGGTGGTGGAGTGGAAGTTGTCCAAGAAACGTGCCCACCGGGTCAATTCTTGGCCTGTCTGCGACCACGACTGCTCACTGCTGTGACCGAATTATTGCTATATTTTAGAACATCTTCTAAAAGAATGGCGCTTTAATTTTACTGTATTTTATATCGTATACATAATGTCGCCATTTCTCAACCACTTTCATAACATTTTATGAAAGTGGTTGAGAAATGGCTTTTGTTTAAACATAAATGTTTAAATGCAAACATCTATTACTTACTCACTCTGTAACATAATTTCTTTTTATTAATCAAAAATAAATCTATATTTTTCATCAAATCGTTCACAAAACAAGGATTTTAAACAAACTACCACTAGTGTCGATAATTACACCGATTCATAGACTAATCGCGAATATATTTAGATTGTCTAGAATCTAGAATGTCACACCACTCACGTTTTGTTAAACTTCAAGTCGTTCTCTTGTTCCTGTTGACAGTAGTCCACCGCTTGCATTATCATTAGGTTTCTGGTGCCGTGTGGAACTCTGTCGTACATATACAAGAAATAATAGTACAATATTTATAGTTTCTTAAGAATATTTTTAGTCGGGTACGCTGTGGGTAAAAATTAAATATTTTTAAGACTTTTGAATGATATTTTTAGAGTGAATAAATCTTAATTTTTTAAACCCAAACCCAAGTGATCACTCGGGCTAATGTAATATATAAAAAATGTATTATATAGCGTATAATTGCAACACCACTTTCAGACCTAAAGTGTAGATATTTACCTTTCTACAGCATCCCGCGTGAAGCACGTATTATTGACGAACTGCAGAAGGTCCTCTGGAGAGAGTTTGTTGAAATAGCTGGCGCATTGTCGGTACTGCTGCATCCATTTCTTGTTAGTGGCATTCGCGGGCGGCACCTAACATTATTGATACTACCATTACAAGTTGCATTAATTATATAAAAACAATGACAAATATTTCATATGATTTATAAATTTGCTGTATATTTTATTCACGCACAAATTATATTTCTGATAGTTTTGTTGCGGGTAAATTGATTACAGATGGTAATAAACTGTTAATATGTACATAGAAATAATAATCTTATATACTAAATAACAATAGGAAAATGTAAGGTGGGGTGACACAGTTTAGACACAGCAGTGCTTAGTAGACAATATTGAATTTGTCTTACTAAACATTATTAAATGCAATTATTATTTTGATGTATCTAGATAACTGTGTTCCATAAGTTTCATTGGTAGAATACAAACCCAAACACCTATGCAAAACCAAAGTAATCTGAAAGCTGAGATATGCTCTCATTCAGTCACTTTGGATTCACGTATATAGCGCAAAATGTGGGCATTTTTTTTTCTCACACAGTTACATCTAGACCCAAGTTAAGCTAGTTAAAGCTTGTGTTATGGGTCTACCGAGGACGTCAAATATTATATGTTCTTGTGTTGTGTACACCACATATAACAGCCCCGAATGCTTATATTATTTACATACCCTATCATACCATACTAGTGAGCCCTTAAAATGGGTTCCTATTTGTTCATACATCATATAGTTACTTACGTTAAAGAAGTGTTTGGTGAGCCACATAGTGTATATAGCGTTGACCGTGAGAGGAAGTTTGATGGCGGGCGGCAGAGAACGCACGAACTTGCAAACCATTCCGATATTCTCCGGTTTCAAGATGGCCAGCAGGTGCTCAGATAACTGCTCCGGTGACGGCTGCTCTAAAAGCAACTTGTAGTCCAGCTCTGCGCATATTATCATTTAATCTTATTATTGAACTGTTTTAGCTTTGAGCTATAGTAATCCGGCTCCAAGGACCAAAGAGAACAGCCAAAATTGAAGACCTGCGTTTTAGCCGTACTTTCATACTTATTAAACGAATAATTCAAATTTATTGAACGTTAAATTAATATAAAAATATTAAGCCCATAAAGTAGCCCATAATTTTAGTATATGTCAAAAAGATAAGGAAGCATTATGCCGTCTCTAGCGCACACAGATGACGTTATGCGGCTATTACACTGTAACCGGCAAATGAGAATAGCGGTGAGTGTCTGAGAGCCGATAATTAGGAAGGTAAACAGTACATTAACATAAAACGTGTCAGTATTATACTAATACAAAACGCGTGACGGTGCCTGCATTTATTACATATGTACCTGGCGAGGCGGCCTTGGCCTTTTTGAGCAGCTTGATATGGTCGGCGGCGGTGAGTCCAGCGATGAGTGGCCGCTCGTCTACGCTTCGGAGCAGCGACACCAGATTCAGCAACGTACTGTGGTCGTGCCCCGCCACAAGCGGCCATAGAGCCTCTTTTATTCTGTAACATCATATGACTATTTTAGCTCGTATACTGTGTAGTCGCTTCAACTTGCGTAATCCGCTCAGAAGATTGGTGTTTCAGCAAGAAACGTCAGACATTATCAGACCCAGGGAATATTAACTGTATCGAACTTAATATATATAGCAGCGTGTGCGCTGCGTGCAGCCGCTGCAGGCCGGGCGCGGCGGCCGCACATGACGTACGTAACTGGCGTGCGCTGCGTGCAGCCGCTGCAGGCCGGGCGCGGCGGCCGCACGTGACGTACGTACCTAGCGTGCGCGCGCGGCAGGTGGCGTGCGCTGCGTGCAGCCGCTGCAGGCCGAGCGCGGCGGCCGCACGTGACGTACGTACCTGGTGTGCGCTGCGTGCAGCCGCTGCAGGCCGGGCGCGGCGGCCGCACGTGACGTACGTACCTGGCGTGCGCTGCGTGCAGCCGCTGCAGGCCGGGCGCGGCGGCCGCACGTGACGTACGTACCTGGCGTGCGCTGCGTGCAGCCGCTGCAGGCCGGGCGCGGCGGCCGCACGTGACGTACGTACCTGGCGTGCGCTGCGTGCAGCCGCTGCAGGCCGGGCGCGGCGGCCGCACGTGACGTACGTACCTGGCGTGCGCGCGCGGCAGGTGGCGCGGCGCGTGCGCTGCGTGCAGCCGCTGCAGGCCGGGCGAGGCGGCTGCGTGTTGCAGCCAAATTTGCAACGCATCCAGTTCGTGCCGCGCGCCCAGAGACATCGCCGCCTCCAGGTGCTCCTCGTCACCGGACCTGCGCACCAACACTCCTTAACGTCAATAGGGCATTCATAACTACAACGCAAAATTTAGATGCGTTCAAATTGCTGCTATTTTGGTACTCGTTTTGTATAGTACCCAAAGGGTAGCTTAATCACTTTCGATTGAAAAAATAATAATTAAAGAGAGAGAGACGAATTTCGTAGCATTCCGTGGGTTCAACTTGGGGAAGTGGGGTACTTCGTGTGGCATAGAGGAAAACTCCGAGCCTCTAGTCCGGTCGGTCTAAAAGGTCCGTGCGTACTGTTGCGGGTGAATAATACGATGTTGCTGGTCGAGACGATGTATATTACAGATGATGATAAACTGACAATGTATACATAGAAATAATGATCTTATATACTAAATAAAAGTAGGAAAATGTAAGGTGGGGTGACACAGTTTAGATACAGCAGTGCCTAGTAGACAATATTGAATTTGTCTTACTAGACATTATTAAATGCAATTATTATTTTATGTATCTAGGTGACTGTGTCCCATAGATATTCCCCCCTTGAGAGAAAAAAATATATATATTATACACAAAAAAAATTATAAAAGTTAACTGTAAAATTTAAGACGTTATCCACTTTAGTAACAATAAAAATTCATTATACCCAAATAACGACGTAAATTTTCGACTGTCGTGGGTTTAGGGTACTCGTGGATTGCTTGCCATTTTTCTTGCGTTGGTTTCATCCCTTGGCTCGTTATATGATAACCAAGAAAATCTAACTCATTTGTGAAGAATTTGCTCATATTAATTGTTTGCGGCGAATAATTTGATTTCGCTAGCGCTCTCTTTGGTCTGTGCTTGTTTTTTATTCATCGAGATTTTTTGCTCCGGTGTCCACCAAAATTCTATAGCCACTGTTAGAGTCGGTTATAGCTAGGCGGTTAGACGGATGAACAGCATAGCGTTTCCGTCTTATTCTGCGTCGAATCTAGTTTTCCGACGGTTGTCTATAGGAGCGCGGCATGTCTCATTTGTATGCCTTTTCTTTATATTTGCGATGATATAATATAAATAATAGTCATTTTTCTGACTATGCAATGACCGTAGGTGCGAATTTGACCTAGATCGGTAGTTGCTGCGTCTGTTTGTGTGTGGCGAGCGTTTTTCGCGTATATCAGCAATTTCTGATCGCAGTGTCGCAATTAGTGACGACAGTGTGCAATGACGTCGGCGGTAACTGTTGGCTGTACTTTTGTAGACAGAATTTTGGCTTTATTTTTCCAGTTTCAATTTTTCGTCCAGAGATTATATCCAGCAGGCAGTTGTGTTTACTGGGGGTCAGTAGCACGGCAGGATCCTTGTTGCGCAGTATTGCCAACGACTTTTATGCCTCGCGCGGCATTTCCGAGCCGGTGAGACCCGCTTCTGGGAAGCCGGTGGAAATGTGCAATCGTTGGTGGTGCGCAGGATGCCGTATCGTTTGATCTCGTCGTTTTCCCAGGTATCGTCTCGACCACGTCGGCCAGATCACGTCGGGGTCACCACTGTTGCGGGTGAATATTACGATGTTGCTGGTCGAGACGATGTGTATTACAGATGATGATAAACTGACAATGTATACATAGAAATAATGATCTTATATACTAAATAAAAGTAGGAAAATGTAAGGTGGGGTGACACAGTTTAGATACAGCAGTGCCTAGTAGACAATATTGAATTTGTCTTACTAGACATTATTAAATGCAATTATTATTTTATGTATCTAGGTGACTGTGTCCCATACGTACGTTAAGGAAAGAGCCTTAAAAATGGAAAAAATGTGACTATTCTTTTTATACAACTTGCTACATACCTGGCGAGACGGTATATGGTCTCGGCGCGGTAGTCCGGGTCGGCGTTGAACAGCAGCCCGTTAACTGTGTACCCGAGGCGGCGCACTATCTCCACGTCCCCAGTGCCGCTCAGTTTGTCTATACACTGTCGGATTATTGCCAGTTGTGCCTCCGATGCGCTCTTATGTTTCAACGTTGTACGCGCCATCTAGTTCAACAATTGGATCATGCTTTACTGTATTGTCCACGTAACTTAGAATGAACTATAGCATTATTGTTTGGGATGAAAAGTAATTTATGTCCTAGGTCCCTAATTTTACATACATTCCAAATTTTTAAGTTTGTGTTCATGTTGGCATTTATAACAATAGCTGCCTTTACACGTACGCTCTTTTACGCAGGAAAGAAAGAACATGTCAATGTAGACAAAGAGAACGAGAACGATTGCACGCGTGGGCTTTATCAGTGTAGGCAGCTATTAATTACGACTTCACTGACCACTGAGGGTTTGACGAGGTAAACGTTGTCGCGCAGCTCGGGCGCGTTGCACTTTAGCAGCGCGGCGTACAGTACGGCGGAGGCGGCGGCGGCTCCACGGGCCACCATACGAGACACGCCCCCGGCGACGCCCGCGCCCCCGCCATCGCCGCCGCCCACGCCCTCGCCCCCTCCCGCGCCCGCTCTCTCACCCCCTCCCGCGCCCGCAGCGTGGTCGCCGGCCGCCCGCAGCAGGCACGCCACGCTTAGGGCCGTGTCCTTGTACACCAGCTCTTCGGCACACTTCTGTACCACTGCGACAATGAAAGAGGACCGTTTTTAATTGTACGCATAATTCTAGTCATAGGCCTGTTTCTGTAAGTTTGAAAGTATAAGTTTCACGTGCTAACGTTTTTAAATTGTTCTCATATTTTTGTTTTTTGCAATATAATAGAAATCTGGCGCGAAGGACCATAAAGTAATTACACACTATCATAATTAGGATATTGACTAATATTATTACTGGTCTACTCCACAGACGCACGTAGTCATATATGTACTAGTGACCAGTTGGTATCTAGCTAAATCACGACGATTTTGTTTAACTAGGGACAATTTTCAGACATTATTAGGATACAAATATCAGTATAGGGTACATAGTGGTCACCTTCGGTCTCGAGGTGCAGCGTGCCGCCGCCGTCGAGGCAGTTCTGCACGTAGTACCAGTGCAGCGCGGCGGGCGCGCGCGCGTCCGCCTCGGGCGCTGAGAACCGGTCGTACCGGTAGCGCGCGCCCCCCGCCGCGCGCCGCACATGTAGCGACTTGTACCACTCGGCCACCACCACGCCGCGCAGAACGCCGTCCGTGTCTTCAGAAACCTCCGTGCTCTCTGCGTCCTCCACGCCATCTGACTTGTCGCTTTAAACACAATTTTATTTTATTTCTACTCTTACAACTATTTTGATGGCCTCGGTAATGTAACGGTTTAGCACACCGCTTTAATTCCGATGGTCGATTCGATTTCTCGAACGATGGAAACATTTGTATTCCTGAGTTAGTACAATTTGTACATTTTTCCACTATATACACTGACTAAGAAAGAAAAGAAAACTTCCCTACAAAACGTCTATAATTAAATAAAAAATCAATTATGTAATCTTACCTAAAAGGAAATTTATTCTGGAATGTATCAAGTAGATAGTTTAAAAGTGGTTTCTTCTCGGTTTGAGGTGGTGCTACTAAATCTTTCTTTTCTATAACCGGCTGAAAGAATTTTCAAAATACATGTCATTATTTGTTTGATGTAATCATTTTAGTGATGGTTAGAAGAATATTACTTACAGTTGTAATTGCGTCGGAGAACTCATCATCAGTAGACGGCCAGCGGTCGTCTTTCAGACGATTATGTTCTTTCAGAGCTGCACCCATTTGTTGCAGCCCTTCCAGTTCCAGTTCCAACCTATAGCATAATAAACATTTTTAAGATGCAGATAATATATAAATCACGTTACCCCTCTGTTTAAGTGCTATTATTGAGAACCACAAAGTATTTTAAAATATTATCATTAAATTATTTATGTGACAAGATATGGTCAAATTGAGTGGCCTTAATTTTCTACTTTGTAGACCATTGAATGAGTATCTTGGCTGTAAGGCGAAGAGTGATGTAGTTCTGCTATTGGCGCGCAGTAAGTTCAGCGCCGCGCCGCGCTCGCCGGCCGCGCCGGGTGTACAGTGCGGGCGGCGTACCTGGCGCGCAGCACGTCCTCGAGCTGGTGCGGCGCGGCGCGCGCGGCGGCGGCGGCCAGCAGGTGGCTGCGCTGCGCGCGGTCGGCGTGCGCGCGCGCGCTGCCCGCCACGCGCGCCAGCAGCGCCGCGCCGCGCTCGCCGGCCGCGCCGGGTGTACAGTGCGGGCGACGTACCAGCACGTCCTCGAGCTGGTGCGGCGCGGCGCGCGCGGCGGCGGCGGCCAGCAGGTGGCTGCGCTGCGCGCGGTCGGCGTGCGCGCGCGCGCTGCCCGCCACGCGCGCCAGCAGCGCCGCGCCGCGCGCGCCGGCCGCGCCGGGTGTACAGTGCGGGCGACGTACCTGGCGCGCAGCACGTCCTCGAGCTGGTGCGGCGCGGCGCGCGCGGCGGCGGCGGCCAGCAGGTGGCTGCGCTGCGCGCGGTCGGCGTGCGCGCGCGCGCGGCCCGCCACGCGCGCCAGCAGCGCCGCGCCGCGCTCGCCGGCCGCGCCGGGTGTACAGTGCGGGCGACGTACCTGGCGCGCAGCACGTCCTCGAGCTGGTGCGGCGCGGCGCGCGCGCGGCGGCGGCCAGCAGGTGTCTGCGCTGCGCGCGGTCGGCGTGCGCGCGCGCGCTGCCCGCCACGCGCGCCAGCAGCGCCGCGCCGCGCTCGCCGGCCGCGCCGGGTGTACAGTGCGGGCGACGTACCTGGCGCGCAGCACGTCCTCGAGCTGGTGCGGCGCGGCGCGCGCGGCGGCGGCGGCCAGCAGGTGGCTGCGCTGCGCGCGGTCGGCGTGCGCGCGCGCGCTGCCCGCCACGCGCGCCAGCAGCGCCGCGCCGCGCTCGCCGGCCGCGCCGGGTGTACAGTGCGGGCGACGTACCTGGCGCGCAGCACGTCCTCGAGCTGGTGCGGCGCGGCGCGCGCGGCGGCGGCGGCCAGCAGGTGTCTGCGCTGCGCGCGGTCGGCGTGCGCGCGCGCGCTGCCCGCCACGCGCGCCAGCAGCGCCGCGCCGCGCTCGCCGGCCGCGCCGGGTGTACAGTGCGGGCGACGTACCTGGCGCGCAGCACGTCCTCGAGCTGGTGCGGCGCGGCGCGCGCGGCGGCGGCGGCCAGCAGGTGTCTGCGCTGCGCGCGGTCGGCGTGCGCGCGCGCGCTGCCCGCCACGCGCGCCAGCAGCGCCGCGCCGCGCTCGCCGGCCGCGCCGAGCCCGGCGGCGGGCCGCAGCGCCGCGAGCCGCCGCGCCGCGTCCGCCGCCGCTCCGCCTCCGCCCGCCCGCACCGCGTACTCGCCCACCAGCTGCAGCACCGCCATCTCCCTGCGCAGCGCAATTTGACGACAATTTGAAGCGGAAAGAATCGCCTCAATTTATGTTTGCGAGGATGCATCTCTGAATACTGAATCGTAGCTGACTTTCACTTGACTTTATAATACAACTATCTTAACGTATTCTAGATGTGAGATTGGCGCAAAATATTAGGAATTTCATGGACGGAGCGGAGCTCTAATGCTATCTATACTGGAACAATTGGGTGTCAGAACATATCTCTCTACTGGGTGCTCCCAGCGTCTGCTAACTTTATTCGGCCACGGTCCCATGGTAAACCAGAGAATTTGGAAAAATGTATAATGGTAGGCCACGTGGACGGAAGAAAGGGCAGAGGTAGAGACGTGCATATACACTTGGCGCAAAATAAAGATGACTGGAGAAATTTGGTTGGAAAAAAAATTCTGGTGATCACCTGCCTCAGATCACAGAATCAACGAAGAAAAGTTTTCAATCCATTTCAAAAGTTTACTGCCGACAATAAATAATTTCAGAGATAATAGTCTCTGAAATTATTTATTGCCCTCAAAAATAATCATGAATGAGACCACAGTCCATAACCACAGGTATAAAAAAAATACAAACCTCGTCTGCTCATCATCGCCTGCGACTCTTAACAACTTCGCCAACTTCAATAGTTTATGGCTTGCCATGTACGCGTTTGGGTCCACTTTTAAACAATCTTCGATCAAGGTCAATCGATCTTCGCAAAGACGAACTGTAGAACAAAGAATTTCATTTCTAGATAGTTGTAGCCAAATTTCATACTCTGTAATTTGTAGAGTTTAGTTTATAACCGATGTTATTTATTAAAACAACAATGTGAGAGTTTCTAAAACCCCTTAGTTAAAGAATTCTTCATTTCCATGAATACTATCACTGTATTTCTACTCTATATACTTTTTTTTTATATACATGTGTACCTTGTATGGGGATAATACTCAAGCCGAACTCGTTCAATATCTGTAAGGCCGAAATTAGATCCAGCTCTTGTTCAATTTCCTCATTGTCCTCCTTTATCAATGTTAAACAGCATCTACAGAGAAATAAAAATAATTCAAGGCATTATCATATTTTTCATGTAGTATTATTTCCAAATAACATTGTGTGAACATAGTCCAAAAGTTATGTGTATCGTGCATGAGACCATAACATCATAATTCATACTAATAAAGAAATTATTTGATTATTATGAAAGACTTAATCTATTTTATAGTATAAATATTATTTAATCTGTAGAATGGACATAACTGTTATAGATAGCCATTATAGTACGTTATTCTTTATACATTTTAAGACTACATAACTAAGATTAACCATTCAATTAAGGTTAGCTAATTCTGATGCTACAAATGTAAACTTTTGTAAAATTGAATTCTCGAAAACACTTAAACGGCTCAAGGATTCAAGACGGATGGTCGCAATCCCCCGTCCATTTTCAAACGTTATCAAAATTACAACTATCTGAGCCGAGGTTCGAACCTCTAGCGGTACCTTAAGACTAAGGTTGTACCCGTCAGCCATGAGGCATTCAGTCGCCTCATAAGTCCTTCCGAGGGTTTGGAGTGCCATCTACAGTCACACAGTCAGTGAATTTACAGCTGCACTGAATGCCTATCATTCAGTGCAGCTGTAAAAGCCAGTTGCGGTCAACAGTATTAGAATAGTTTGAAAAAAGAAGTTGGGTGGATAATTAATAAAAGAGAGAGAGAGAGAGAGATAGAGAGAGCGAGGTGTCTACCTGGCGAGGTCGAGCGCGGGGTCCGCTAACGAGTCTGCAGAGTTGAAGTACTCGCGCGCGGCCGCCGTCACCAGCGACACGCGGCCGGCCGCGCCGGGCCCGCTCGTCACCACCTCCACGGCCAGCCGGATGCTTGCCGCGTCCCCCGACGTCAGCAGCGACGACGCGTATATCTGTACGCGTCGTTGATACTTTCACTTACCCGGCTCGAAGGACCGATTCATGTACGCTATAACGACTAGGGCTCTTCCAAGTGAGTAACAACTACATCAACTGTCAGTTATTGTCTAACTATGTTAGGAGTTGTCAGTTGACGTACTGATTTGTGGACATTATTAGAAATTTTATCAATTCCAGTAACATCAAATCCTATTTGGTTCAAAGGTCCCTATTGTTCTTCAATAATGATACCTTTTTAACACTACTCTAGGAATAGAGTAGTACATTCCAAATCATTTTATGTCAATTGTTATAATAATGTGGTAGTTTAGATGATAAGGCCATGTCCCAGCAGATACTGAGATTAGTTACGCAATAAATATCTGAACGCACCCTGTTTGCCAGGTATCATCAGTTTGTATGCGAAAATAAAATTGTTTTTATCTATTACATGCAATTTCTTCATATTTTATCAACGTTTAAACTTTCCCTGGACTTACAAGAGTATTTCAAGATTAAAATTAGCCAAATCGATACTATAATTACTTTAATTTGTCAAATATCATTGTTATTGTACCTTAATTTAATCAAATCTTAGCCATACCTCATAACATTCTTCTTTGGAAACGTTGGTGAACAGCGTTGATTGTAATTCCAGCATATCCTTTAGCAGATCGGCCCAATCTTGTTGAGTAGGTTTTTCAGTCCCGCGACCACTGGCAGTGTTTTGAGTACTAAATAATAAGTAATATAGATGAATAATAAATAAGTGACGATCGATCAGGGTTGTTAAAAAGCTCGCTTTACACGAACCATACTCATAATAGCTGCTTTTACATGTACGCTCTTTCACTCGCAAATAGATTTTCACGCAGGAAAGAAAGTGCTTGTAGATGTAGACAAAGAGAATGACAAAGACCGCCCGCGTCGCCAGCTCGAGTATTCACGCGACGTTAAATCGCTTTAGCACTTTTTTACATTAATTAAATATCATTGCAAAATGGCGAACATCAGACTGCGTAGCAAAGACATAACTATAAAGAGATTAATAATTTATAAATCTTAAACATGTCTTTGGAATATAAAATCGAGCACCCCGCCACCGGCTCCTCCAGCTCGCTGTTAGAGTGAGAGAGGTCAGAGACCTGCGGCAGAGTCCGCGCGCGATCCTGGCGAGCACGCGGCGCGCGCTGGCGGCGTCCCGCGCGACGTCCCGCAGCTCGCTGGGCGGCTGCAGCACGTCGCGCGCCGCCAGCACCGAGCACCCCGCCACCGGCTCCTCCAGCTCGCTGTTAGAGTGAGAGAGGTCAGAGACCTGCGGCAGAGTCCGCGCGCGATCCTGGCGAGCACGCGGCGCGCGCTGGCGGTGGTAGCACTTTTGCAGTTGCATTATATTACTTAGTCCCGCGCGACGTCCCGCAGCTCGCTGGGCGGCTGCAGCACGTCGCGCGCCGCCAGCACCGAGCACCCCGCCACCGGCTCCTCCAGCTCGCTGTTAGAGTGAGAGAGGTCAGAGACCTGCGGCAGAGTCCGCGCGCGATCCTGGCGAGCACGCGGCGCGCGCTGGCGGCGTCCCGCGCGACGTCCCGCAGCTCGCTGGGCGGCTGCAGCACGTCGCGCGCCGCCAGCACCGAGCACCCCGCCACCGGCTCCTCCAGCTCGCTGTTAGAGTGAGAGAGGTCAGAGACCTGCGGCAGATATATATTTGGAGTTGGTATTTTGTTTGCCGCGCGCGATCCTGGCGAGCACGCGGCGCGCGCTGGCGGCGTCCCGCGCGACGTCCCGCAGCTCGCTGGGCGGCTGCAGCACGTCGCGCGCCGCCAGCACCGAGCACCCCGCCACCGGCTCCTCCAGCTCGCTGTTAGAGTGAGAGAGGTCAGAGACCTGCGGCAGAGTCCGCGCGCGATCCTGGCGAGCACGCGGCGCGCGCTGGCGGCGTCCCGCGCGACGTCCCGCAGCTCGCTGGGCGGCTGCAGCACGTCGCGCGCCGCCAGCACCGAGCACCCCGCCACCGGCTCCTCCAGCTCGCTGTTAGAGTGAGAGAGGTCAGAGACCTGCGGCAGAGTCCGCGCGCGATCCTGGCGAGCACGCGGCGCGCGCTGGCGGCGTCCCGCGCGACGTCCCGCAGCTCGCTGGGCGGCTGCAGCACGTCGCGCGCCGCCAGCACCGAGCACCCCGCCACCGGCTCCTCCAGCTCGCTGTTAGAGTGAGAGAGGTCAGAGACCTGCGGCAGAGTCCGCGCGCGATCCTGGCGAGCACGCGGCGCGCGCTGGCGGCGTCCCGCGCGACGTCCCGCAGCTCGCTGGGCGGCTGCAGCACGTCGCGCGCCGCCAGCACCGAGCACCCCGCCACCAGCTTCTCTAGTTCGCGCACACGCCGCAACAGCTCACTGTTGGAGATGCTGCCGTCGCTGCAACAGAACATGGTCATAGATCATGCTAACCGACTCAATATTTAAAATATAGTAGTTAATATTGTCTGAATTCATTAAGACCCATGTGTCGTCTCGAATGTATTCTCTCCCCATTAGTTACTATTGCCGCACTACCTATCTATGCTGTAGCGTGGGGCGCCATAGACTAACAACTGACACCGTATTAATTCTAGAAAAATTGTGTAGAAAACATAACGCTGCTATCTCCAGGGCATAACTCAATGGCGCCCTCTATCATCTTTCAGAAAATCATGACACTATAGCAAAGCATGGTGATATAGTTTACCTTTCTTTTAGTATGGTATCGAGCAGGTCACAGGCCTTGTCGAGGTCCTGAGTGCCGTTGTAAGCTAGCAGGCAGCGCTCCGCGAGCTCGAGGTGCGTGCGCACGTCCAGCTCGAACTCATTTGGAGACTGCAGCACCTACGGCCAAAAATGAACCAAACTCTTTGCGTCTTTACATAGTAAAAAACAAAGGCTCCGCCGCTGTCAGCTCGCTTATATCTTTTACATTACGCAACAGATTTTAATGCAGTCTTCGGCAATAGACATGAGTAATTTAAGAGGTAGTACTATTAGTATAATACATGCGTTATAATATAGAACAAGCAGAGAGATTCAGACATTTGTAATGCATCCTTGCAAGCCGAGACGGGTCTCAAGTTTATAGTAAATTCCAAATTACTGCATAACAATGCACACAGGAAGTATAACGTTTTTATTATGTAATACGAATGGAAAACAAGCTGATGGCACAGGTTATGGGAGCGGTACATAATCATGTCACACATGTGATACCCCTCATGCGTTGATATTCCAGAGGACTAAGATCTGCTTCTTATCCTGTTATTTCATAACCTTAAATCTGCAGCTGAGGTGCACTACTTTATACAGTCTACCTCTGGTAAACTCATAACGTCTAGAACAGATATACATCTTAAAATGTCCTATAAAAATTACCAGTATATAGAAATTGTAAATTACCAGCAGTATGCAGGAGAGATCATCACTACTCATGCTCTCAAGGTACTCGGTGAGGCCGTTGATGCACGCATCGGCCCTCTTCGACAGTTTCTCGTAGCGCTTCAGGAACGGAATCACAAACGACTTTAGGTCCGACACAAATGTCGAAGCCGTCGACTGTAACAATTGTACAATAATAAATTTATTATCTGCTTTTACACGACACGTGCTTTCACGGGCAGTCTGAAGCGCATGCGATTTAGTGTTAGTCTTTTGCGCTTAACATACGCGTCATGTTATATCTTTCTTTCAAAATTCACTCTCTTATAATATTCCACAGATTTTATTTTCCAAAAACACGATTAAAATTTATAAACTATATATCAACAAGTCTGCGTCTGCATAAAAAATAAAACAGGCACAGTTGTAGGACGAGGGAATATGCGAGATGGGAGCGCGCGAGATCTATCTCGTTTTCTTTGATCTATTTAGATGGTTTCCACGCTTCAAACCAATCGATTCGCGCGTGAAAGAGCGTACATGTAAAGCTAGTTATAGTAATAATGAATGAAAATAATATAGATGCTTCTATAGACGTTTACTATAGCAGCTCTGCTATACTGCAGGGACAGAAGTAATTATAAAACAAAATGTATAAAAAGAACTCTCTTATTTTAAATATGGATAAACGAATATAAAAATTGCCAGTGATTGTCATTATAGGTCTAACAGTTATAAATGTGTAAAGGTAATTATAAACTCTCTATTACTGCTATTTATGCTGCTGCTATACATGGGATAAACATTTTTAAGTGGAATGATTGTACTGTCTGTCTGTAATGGATGACTTTTATTACCATATAAACTGAATATGACATATTTGAGACGCATAAAAGCTATTAATATAATTAAAAATATGTACTTTTAGCAGAAGGCTTCATTATATAAACAAGACTGAATTATAAACTGATAATTTTACACTATATTATTTTTTTACTATTAACAACAAACTAAGATTCAAATTGCTTTGACTCTATGGACAATCCTCGATTATGTTTCAAACTTTAGTAAGTTACTACTCACCATTTCCATTAGCACACGACAAGTTTCCAAAATAGACATCTTCTCGAGCTGATACAACGTCACGTCCTCGACATTGATGTCATAAATGAGGGTGTCAAGGGTTAGGAGGTTGAACATGAGGTCATCAAGGCCTTCTACTCCACCACCCACAGAAGCCAGGGTAGCCAGGTGCAGCGCGTGCGACACCATCCCACTACGACTTTCTATCTCTCTCGCACGCCTGTCGTACCACGCTGCCAGGTCTTCGTTCGTCGCTTCGGCCGTTTCCGTTTCGGGTGTGGTATCTTCTGACCAGTTCGAACTCCATATCGATCTATTTAATAATGAGTTGCAAATAATATATATAGATATTTTAATTTATGGTATATAAAACACCATAAATTAAAATATCTTTATAGATGTAGATCTGTTACAGACTCTTATGATATGTCAAACCTACCGTTAGTTTGTGCTTTCTAGTTAAGAACACGAAAAAAGAACAAGAAAACTAAGCTCTTATTCTTTTGATGAAATGAAGTGAGCTCGTACATGATTACAAAAATACGGTCTTAAACAATCTAGATTTTACTTATATTATATTATATATAAGAAACAAAGGCAATAGAAGTTAAATTACTGAGATTTGATGAGTTATAAAATGGTGTATATCGACTATCCTACCTGAAAATTTCTTTCCTGCACCAATCGTTATCGTATTTTGAAGGTTTAATTTTCACAGGCGGCTTCCTTTCGAACCACTGTAGCGGATGCTTGGTCGGCAAGAGATGCTGATAGTCCACTGGATTAATTGTCTCTGGCAACTTTTCAAGTACTGCCAACTGCATCGCAACGGTCTTGATATTCGGCCATAGACAAGTGAGGGCTTCTATGCGGCCTTCTTTAGCGATCTCCATAGAGCTATGGACAATGCTGTTGCTGCGCAGGCGGTCGTATTCATCTTTCACATATACAGACTTCTCACACTTCAGTATTGCCTATAACAATATTTTTCTGTAGTAGTTTGAAGTTGTAATGAACTAATTCTGTATATTCTTTGTTTATGGTGTTTATATATAGAAATAAATTTTATTCAAATTACTTTGAAAATTATAAGCTCAATTTTTTTATTCTACTACTAATTCGGAATGCAGACTAATCGCAAGAAAGGTGAGCAAGAAACTTGTCCGTGTTTGTTCTTCCATTTATATCTATATAATGTCAGTTTGTTTATCGCCGCTAAGTTATCAGTGTTTCCGTATTCTTAAATTTAATTAATAGATAAACTTTCTTGTGCCAACTAAATTCGAACTCACGTCTTTGAGATTTAAGTCGAGGTAGTAGACCCAGTATAGACCAAACTTTATACAAAAAAAAAATTAATTTCTGAAAAATAACATGTGACATAGCAGTTCTAAGCATAAATTAGGTTTATAGGTATTCCTTTTGATATTTAAAATGCTGTAAATCGTTACTACATACTATCAGTAACTTCAAAGGGTTTTCCTATTAAAACTATACTACTTCCTAACCAGTTTACCACCTTGTTGTATTTATACATGTTTAGTTTACTAATTAATTGTACCTATCTTCCATCATAGTATAATATAAATAGACATATACTATGTAAAGTAAAATAGTGTGATAGTCAAGGTACCTCATAGAGCCGTAGCCTCTCGTTGTAGAACAGCATCACGTGCCGGCACCGAAGCAGTTCGCTCGTGTACGCATTCAGATCCTCAAGTGTTATCTCATCGGGAGTCTTCAGTTTGTTCTCATCTCGTTCTTTATTTATCTCTATTTCAATAATAATAATAATTAGAATAGAACAGCATAGAAAATTCTTTATACAAATTAAGTACTTTTGAATAGTCATGCTTGTTTCGCTACCGCACATTCAAAAAGCTGTCTTATCACAAGAATGGTTAGAAACTTGCGTGTTTCTCTTTTAAATAACTATTATAAATTTACATTTTTAAGTTGAAATGTGTGATTACATATGACTAACAACAATAACTTAGCTTTATATAGAAATAGAAATAATCACACAGTACATTAATAAAACACTTTTAGTATGAACTGCATGCTCTTGAGGACAACAACATTTTTCAAGAAGAGTATATTACATATATAGTTAAAAATACTATTTATCACCAAGGGCGGATCGTGAATTTGTGGGGCTCTGGGCTAAATGTACATAGGGGTTTACCTAATTATATTACTCAACTAAAAAAATACTCGGACCAAAACCAAGCAACCAGAAATTCCCCATGCCTTTCGATAAACACGTTCATGCATGGGTTGATTGATCTCAGGGTTGCCAACGTTATGATAGGTTTTTTTAACATTCTAGACATTTTTAAATATTCTAAATGTCGTTTCAATGGGGATGTGAGGCCCTTTATATCCTCGGGCCCTGGGCTGCAGCCCAAAAAGCCCTTAGGTAGATCCGCCCCTGTTTATCACTATAAAATGATGTATGAACCTTTTAATCAATGAAATAATTTCTCAAATGGATGCAGTCCTTCCCGAGTTTACTTTCCTTGTAACAATACAGGCTACAGAAGAAAGAGATTGCACAAAAAAATCTACAGAAACTATACCATTTATAATTTTTTCATCAGTCAGCTTGATGCCGAATTCTAGCAGTTCTTTAGCAGCCGGGAGGGTCTCCGGAAGCCTGTCTACACACTGGTGCACAGCCCATATCTTCTTTGACACTTTACTCTGAAAACAATAGTTTATATCATTTTATATATTATTATGAATTGTTACCATTATACAAAATTGTCTTATTAAATGTTAGATTTTATTAAGTTTACTTTTTACATATTTGATGGAAGCAGAAATACATCCGGACCCAGAACTATTGAGTCTAATAAAATATTAAGAGAACCAGTTTTTTTTAAATAATATAATTTTTATTGAACTCATACATATTCGTTAACAACTTAGAAAACTTGTGAAATAAATTGTCGTTAGTAATGAAACAATATTAATCTTGCACTTACCAAATACTTCTCGATGGCTTCTGTGGAGACGGGGTTCTTCCTCCACTGTTGTTGGTACACGAGGTCGCTGTCCAAGTTGAAGGTTTCCGCCAGTGCTAACGCGTCATTATAGTTGCCACTTTCAATCTGTCAAAGTTAATCATAACTATTACCATTTTTTTAGTACTTTTTACACTTTATTACACTAAATACAAAAAAAAAATCAATATAAATTACATAGCATCTCAACCAACCTTTTTAGTATCATGCCCTACCATAATCTTTCTAAAATTTTTATGCCGAAATATTATAATATTATTGCCAACAAACTGCTCTGTAATTTGGCGAGTTATTCGTTATAATAAAATGTTAGGTACATTTGCGCGTGAAACCGTGCGTGTAAGGGCAGCTATTGTCAGTTCAGTATAAAGAGGACAGCTCCGGATCTTTTTCGAGGAGGGGCTAAAAACTTAAAAATTACCTCCCTAACACTCCCCGCTCCCTCCTCCTTCGCTTAACATTTTACAATACAATATAGCCAATCAACATGCAATATGTCGAATTAGTAGTTAATTTATATTGTTTTATGTTAATAGACCATCATAGTTTGAAAAAGTATGGGCTCTGCGAAAAATAATTTACTTGACGTCTCAGTGGTCAAGTTGTCAAAGGTGCGTTAAGATGAGTTATGTATTCACCTGCTAAGTTCGAATTTGCCGCCCCCAACACTTGACAAGAGGAGAGAGGAGGAGAGGACGAGAGAAGGAGAGGAGAGATGTCTTCTTCTACAACAATGCATACCTTCCTGGAGAACAGTTCACTGGGCGTGGTGCTCTTGACACCGAGCAGCCTGTATATCCTGGAGACGACGGTGATGCGGCGCGGCCGCGGCTGGAACGTCTCGATGTCCGTGATCGCGAACAGCACCGATTTGATCAGCTCGCGCACCGTCTCCATCATAGAATCCTCTGAGTCTGACTCCAGTTTCACCACCTCCATCTGATTATCAATCATATATAATACAAGGGTATGTCTGTCTGTCGGTTAGTCACGACTAAACGGCTCAGCGTCGGATAAATGGAATATGTTCACAGACACAGACTATTTTTTATCTCGAAAGAAGCAGACGATGATATAAATAACTACTATGCCAGTTTAACGCAATAAAAGTTTTTTTACAGTACAATGGTAGCAAACATATAATACAACCCTATTCACCATTCTACCATCAACAATTGTTTTTAATGGCGATTTTAATTTATACGGCAACACAACGTTTCGGGGTAACTAGTATTATATATTCTATGATACTCACGCTTTCATCGCTCCGGGACTTCTTAGCGGGCAGTACGTTGGACTCACACTCAAGCACCATAAACGTGCCGTCGTAAGCGCATGTCACCTGATAGTACAAATAACATAGATATTAAAAATATTACTAATGGTCTTGATGGCCTAGCGGTTAGCACACCGCTTTATTTCCGATGGTTGCGGATTCAATTTCTCTCACGGTACAAACATTTGTAGTCATGAGTATCAAATCGAGTATTCGAATTTGCGACCAACAGAAGTAAAACAGTGCGCTAAACCGCTAGATCACCGAGGCCGTCAATAATATAACAAAAACTAATCAAAACGCCCTGTCATTGCTAAACAGTGGTATCATGCAAATAATTTCATTTCGGGATAATTCAATTAGGTATCAAACATAAGATTATATTAACAATCTTATGAATTAGAAAAGAACTACTTTTGTTATTAAGTGTGACAGACCCGCGGAGATCCTTGGAAGAACTCGGGCTTCTTTCCCAATATATTCACCATATCTTCAATGTTACAAACGGTCACAGCACCACTGAATCTGGATACTATGATTTCCTAAAAAAACACGAAATAAAGATAGATTAGAAATAAAATAAAATTAATAAAGAAAGATTAATATTAATATAACTTTTTATTGTGCACACAAAAATATTTAAAAAGAAAACTTTACATAAATTTGCTAACCAAAAAGGCATTAAAAGCAATCTCTTACTGACAACTTTCGAGATCGAACCTTATATTCTCTGTGTTATTAGGTATATTTGCTGTTTAGTTTATTTAGACATCACAAAGCATCTGACATAGAGACCTGGATTCCTAAGATACAGATCTCCGAACTAGTTTCGGGTGCAATTTGCTACAAATTTTATATCATAACACTGCTGTCATATTCAAATTAAAATTAAAAATATTTTTTGACATAACAGAAGAGTTTGTAATAAACCTATTATTACAGACTCTTATGTTATGTCAAATCTACCATCAGTTCGGAGTGCTTTCCAACTGAGAACAGACAAGAAACTCAGTTCATATTTTTTTCAAATAAAGTTGTACATGTTTACAATAATAAAGATTCATTTTTAAATTCAAATATGGGAATATATTTTATGAACACTGTGGGGGTTCAAGCCCATAGTTTTGTGATACCGATATTACTTGATATATTGATTGATTGATGGATTGATGGATTGATGAGGGTTTTTGCTAAATATAACCGGGTTGGTTGAATGCTACTCAAACACTGAATTTATTGCTAAAAAGAAATGTAATGAGGTGAAATGCATTATAAGGTGAAATTGCATGTGTCGGAAATTATGTATTATGCACGTATAAACACAGCGAAGAACAAATTAAAAAAAAGTTAAATATGCGTGCGTACATTATCAGACCACCAGCTGAGGTCGGCGGGGGGCGAGGGTGCGGCGGTGGTGGTGGTGGCAACCGTGGTAGCTGTGGCGGTGGTGGCGGGCAGCGGGCTGGGCAGCGCGTGGTGCGGCTGCGTCACCAGCGGGTGGTGGTGCAGCCGGACCAGCAGCGGCAGGCGCCACACCGACACCGCGCCCGACCACTGCACGCACACCAGCTTCGACGCATCCGAGGACAACGCCATTTGTACCACCAACTCCTAGTAGTCATATGGGAAAACCGCGCCTTGGTAAACGATTGGTTGGATATTAGTAGTACTATTACTTGGTCAGTTTTTTTTTTTCTTTTGTATTATATATATGTATAATATTTTAATACGAATAAAAATTCTATCTATCTATCTATTACCATTGATAGTCTGCATGTAATCGCTATTGATTTGACAAGATATTGTAACTAAATTATAAAGTAAATTCAACGATTTAATAATTTTAGGTGGCAACAGTATTGAGCAACAAAATTGAGACATAATTTTATTAAAAATTATTAATGACATATTTCTTAGAAAATATATAAAATGTATATCCAGTACAGTACACAATTATAGTAGTACTAAAAAACATATATTTTCAGAATGTAGCTATTTTTACACAGTTATAATTTTATACGTACCAAATTCTTCGTAGACACAAACGGTATATAAAGCTGAAATCTTTCATTAGCCAGTTGAGCTTCAAGTTCATCCGATACTACAGATAACTTGTAAAACGGATCGTCATTTAATATTCGCCAAGCAGTTATACCGGCCGTAAGAGGTGATGCTGGATCCTACAATCAGATTATAAAAAGGAGGATTAAAATTCGGTTTTGGCCTTAGCAATTACACACAAAATACAGAATTCCGTGCTTTGAATTTTAATCAGAATTAATCAATTTCCGTCAGGATCATGATTTATTTACTTGTCATTCCAAAAATACAAAATATGTTTGTATATTTGTTGTATCATAGATATTAGGTAATTATGAAGAACGATCATAATTACCGAAGAAAACAATGGAATATAAATAACACTTAAATTAGTCAATATTAAATTCTTATCCTATTCTTGTAAAATAAAATCAGAATAGAGGGACTATTTTATTTTTCTTTGAAAATCCAGTTTAAAAATGTATCTATATTATTTTACACTACACTTTAACCGTTTCATTGCCATACATATTTTTTTACTAGTGAAAGCAGAGCGACGGCGTTCCTTGGCACTAAAAGGGTTAAAAGAAGACCGGTCATAATATTTCAAAAATATCATTTACATATACGAATTGTTAACAAATAGAACTTAATATTTGAAGTAGAATATGGATAATGGTGGAATGTGGGAAACTGGAGTGTGTGGTGCTAACCTTCGCACCAGATCGCGGCAGGCCGGCCACGTAGAGCGTGGAGTGTGGCGCGGCATACAGCACGGCGCTGACGCCGCCCGCGAACCGGAACGTGTGGTGGAGTTTGCATCCCTCCGTCTGAGACACCACGTACCCGCGCAACCGGCCGTCGTACGTCACCACCAACACCTCCCAGTTCCTACCAGACAAAGATTATGCCACGACTATTATGCAAAGAAACTTAAAGTCCTAAACTTGCATAAAGGTTGCAAAAGTACACAATTTAAAAAGTTTTAAAAATGAGTACATCCACAATTTAAAAAGTTTTAAAAATGAGTACATCCTTACATAAATAATACAACTGATATAAATACTTATATTTGTTTTTGTACATACATACATAATGTACATAGAAAACAGACTGATACAAACAATCATACTCATGTATACAAATTTTTGCACCTTGCGAGGTATCGAACCCGCGTCCATCAGAAGTAAAGCAATGTGCTAAACAGCAAGACCACTGAAGCTATCTACATAAAACAGAAATATTTCATTATTTAATTCAGAAAACAAAAAATATTCAAAACTTCATATTCTTTAATTTTTTGTATCATATATTCAACTTGTGTATAATACTTTTAGATTATTCATATCATTGAATTAAATATTCCATACTGACCACTTGTTGTCTTTGACTCGAAGTGGCATGAATATTATGTCAGCAACAGCATGTGTATTGTCTGTGCACTCCAATCCACCTGGCCTCGAACAGTCCTAATGAATAATAAATTAAAATTAGTAATATTCTAGTTATCATAGTTGAATGGTCCTTTATAATGTAGCTCGTATGATGATATAATGATCTCTTATGAAATCTAAAGAAATGAGTGAACCAAACTAAATGACATCTGTGCACCAGGCACAGATGTCATTTATTTGTTTGGCTAGCTATTTGTATATGATGCCAGTGTAAAAAGTATGTATGACAACTTGATCTAGATCAAAGATCAACAATCTTGATCAAACTCTAATAACAGTACCATTAATTGTTAACACCTTAAGGGTAAACAAATAATTATTCTATGAATATACTTACGATTGGTATATTGAAGAGATTAGAGGCTGTAAGGTCAAAGAAGCTAACAACTCCATTGCCATAGGCTAGAACCAAGAAGGAGCAGTCGGGGCTCCACACTAATTTACGCCACTGGGGATATGCATCACGACTCACTGCAATTATTAGAGAATCACTCAAAAAAGTAAAATAAAATAATCTAATTTTCAAGTATGCAGTGATTACAATTAGTTTCATATTCTGTACTTGAGAAATCACATATTCCACCCGTACACACTTTCACCCATTTATGACATGGCATGACACACTCATTCTCACAATTTATAGTTCTAACAAGTTCTAACAGAACTTAAGAATCATTCAGTTTTATTTATGCACTAGCTGTTCCCGCGACTTCTTCCGTGTGGAATTTAACTTTATTTTTCTAAAATAAAAGTAGCCTAAGTTACTCCTTATTACATCAACTACCTGTCAATAAAAAGTCCCATCAAAATAGGTCCAGCCATTTCAGAGATTAGCTGGAACAAACAGAGAGACAGACAGACAGACAAAAATTTTTTTTGTTATGTGCATGTAGTAAAAAACGGTTATTGCAGATTACAAACACACTCCAATTTTATTTATATATATATCTATGTATAGATTTATAATGTTAGCTAGGACTTTTGGAATTATCAATTTTTTTTATGATACTTGTATAAAAAGCAAAAGCAATACTATACCTGTAGTCCTAGCTGCTATAGTAGCATAATCTGATCTCTTTGTTCTGATTTCCAGTATGTTATCAGTTAGGACAGCTATAACTTTTCCTTCATCTCCTAGAGCAAAATGCCATTTCTGTTGTTTCTCCTTGTGCCTATGTATAAATATTTAATTTGAAAAAAATAATATTTGCTACATATGTATGATATAATTTTGGGATGAAATAATGAAAATATTGGGATATAAATAAGGTTTGGTTGGATAATGAGAAATCCGAATATGTAATAATATACATCCTATAGACACATACATTTATTCTTTAACAATACCAGAAATTAAGATTATAATAAATAAAACATAATTATGATATAATTTGACTATTATTAAATTTGTTATACCAGATAAAGTTTCACTTAATAAAAAAAAAAATTTATGTAGAACAAGAAATTATATATATATATATATATATATGAAGCCCTTACTCTATTCTGATGAAGTATAAAGGCAATGTACAAATTACTTACACTGTTATGCTATCAATCAGGCTCTTCTTTGGACCAAAAAACTTCAACCATCGCCATAATGCAGATATGTTCTCTGGTAATATACTGTCAGGTTTTTGCTGGAATAAAAATAAAGAATATCTTACTACATTATATTCAAAACAACTTACTACCAGTTCATGACTTCAACTGCACAAAGTTTCATTCCCTATTTCAACCCTTCCATATTATTATTTGAGATTAAATATATAATATTTATAAGACTCGGCTGAGTGTCCACCCTAATCAGCTAGACCAGAATTTACTCATTAACAACCCCCCAAAATGCCTGAAAAGGACACAAATACAAGATAAAGTGTGCTCAAGGTCTTGATTTCTTAACAGAACACCGGAGGCATCATTTAAATAAAAAGTTGTGCACTTAGTGGACTGCATACTTGCATTGTCCAACCAACCAATCCAATTATAGTAGACTTACTGATTGCAGATATAAAAAAAAATGTTTAGTTGTGAAATGGTAAACAGAATAAAAACTTATGTTATTAGTAAGAATTACCATTATTATTATTAATAATAATAATAATATGAGATTGTGTACCGATATAGACTGAGATGTGGAAATAATTTGTCTCAAATATTCAAAACAAGATGTTAATGCTGGTGTGTTGGTGAAACATTATTAAAAAAATAATATTACATATTTTGTTTTTTTTATTTAGTATGGGACTTACTTTTCTTTGCTATCTTATTATTTATGTCATATTACAAAGTCTTTATAGATATATTACACTTCAGTATGGACTCAAAATATATGTTTTTATTATTTGTTTACTCTAATAGGAGATTTATATACTTAAGACAATAAAAAAAACATAATCCAATTAACTATAAACCTAAACAATACAAAGGGTATAAGTTAAATATAAAAACTGCGATAAGTGTGATAGTATTGAATTATGAAGAATTAAATGAAAATTAAAACTAATAAAAACTATATACTCACAATATATTCTGGTTCTGGTTTCCATTCTGAAAACACATATAATTCGTGTAATATTGATTTATTCTCCGCCATAATTATAATTATTTGACGGAGATTTAATAATTTAAATGCGAATCAGAATCTCATACCAAATCAATATGAAAATTTTATATGGATTATTTTGAAATAGTGTTGTGTTGTCAAAATTCAGTGTTACCATATATCAACAGATCTAAATTCCAAGTCGCTAAAAATGTATGATGCATCAACTGCATAATACACTTATATGAGGTTATAGTATATGTATTACTCTGTTTCAGTCCGATTTTAACTTTTCTTGTATATTACCAGCTAAAAATTAAAAGTCACAATTACTATGATGAATTTTAGAAGTGGGTATAGAGTGTCTGTATGTCAATTATATTCGTCTGCAGAAGACGAATATAATTGACAAACAGATAAATTACTTAAGTCAACTTAAAATGCCATATTTAGAACGTATTTAAAGAACCGCTTTTATTAATTCTATACCATATTGATTGATTATGTGTTTCATATTGATTTCATAAATATCTAGACTTGACAAAATGAAGTTGACATTGTTGATATATTTTTAAAACAACTTGGTGACTTCTGATTTGTCACTAAAGTACCTTATTTTTATAGGGTCACACTGAACAGCTGTTTTATGTCAATGATTGTCAAACGAATGAATTCGTCGCAAAATATTTGAATTTAACCTACAATATAAACAAAATTCAAAATCAATTTGTTTTAGCAGTATAAATAGTCATTGTTCTTAGAATACAAAGTGAAAAACTTTTTTGTGCGTATAAAATATTTGTGCTGTTTGTTTACCGTTCAGGATGTCAATATTAAAAGGAAACGTGAATTCTGATGGCTTTCATTTCTTCCACAAAGTACCGACTTTTTTTTATTATTGTAAATAAAATACTGTTATTTATATTATTATTTATTTAGTTAAGTCAAAATCAATAAGTATTTGTTAATAATACTCTAATTCAACAAAAGACTGGTTTATAAATGATGACGATTATGGAAACTTCATAGAAACAACAAATATTATTACAAATGCTAATTGGGAATTGTGTCTCACTTTGCTACTTAAAATGTTCATATAGTACTTTATTAAAACATTTGAAACCATATCTTATATTTATTTTCAGTATATAAATGAAAATGATAAGAACTTACAGTTTTGGGATGACTATTTACACAAGCTAAAGTCACTAGACTTCAATGTGTACAGTGATAAGTTAACAGTACCAATTCTTGTACCCATTGGGAACAAGATACTTTTTAGGGGACACTTGAAACATACAAATGAAGTCACAGTGTCATTAGGAGCAGATTACTTTACTAAATGTTCTTTGAAACAAGCAGAGGTATTAAGACAACATAGAATTGAAGGTATTGTAATATATACTTATTTTAATTTTTTTCATAGTGTTTCCAATTGTAAACATTATCAATCTGTGATTATTATATTTGGTATGATATTTGTAACAATTTTGAAATATTTATAGATAATATAATCACACTGGTTAGTGGAACTTAACTGGTTTTTAGAATGGCCTCACCTCTTTGTGCAATAACAGCCCAAATGTCTAAGACTCCATTTTACAAATATAATCACAATAAATGTATAAAAAATATTTATAACATTTGTAATTATTTATTTGTATCTTGAAATTCATTATCAATATTTATCTTCTAGATGCTCAATCTAAAGTGGAAATGTTTACAAAAGAAAAGGAATATCTTGAAAGTCAAATATCATTTAAAAATAATATGACTGAACATTTAGGACAAGAGATCATAGAGGTACATACAGATGAGGAAGACAAAGCGTGGAGGGAAAAACATAGGGAGAATGTTAAAAAGTACAAAAAACAAAACCAAACTCATAAGCAAACTACTAGTGACATAACAGATGAAGAACTATGGGTCAGATTAGAAGAATTGGAACTACAAGAAGAATTGGAAAATGAAATGTTACATATGGATAATAGAAAATACAATAAGGATTCACCTAATACAATTATAAGAGAAATTGAAGAATCAAATATTTCATTGACAGAGAAAACAGAACTAAAAGAAAATAAAGATGAAACTGTAAGTAACAAAATAATGAATGATCCTAAACCAGTTCTAGAACAAACATCAAAATTGAATATATTACAACAAGTAATAGATAAACAAAATGAATTGGAACAGAAGCTTACAGAACTCAAGTATAAAGAAAGAAGTGAGACTAAAACTGAGCAAGATTTAATTGCAAGATTAGATGAAATGGATGAACTTGATGACCTTGAAGATGAAATGAACAGGTAATATTCTAACAATGAAAATCAAATTCTCTTAGCAGTTGTAAAATAAGTTAATGTATTAACTTTAACTTTCAGATTAGAAGATAATATTTTGGAGACCAATGCTTTGGAAAGTGAAGAGGATAATGATGCTATTGCAAAATCATCTACATCAATTAGAAAAGGTGTCTCCTTTGCTGATGAAGATGATAGTGAAACTGTAGATATTGTTTTTAAACATAGCACAGTTGAACCATGTAAAGAACCATACAACCCTGATAATGGTCTCAAAAAACCTAGTGATATCTATTATGCTTGTCCAAATCTTTTTAATGAAACCACATCTATTCTGAAGAAATCCAAATATGAGTCTAATATAGACTACACAGGAGACACTGGAAAAAGTGTGATTGGCATGTCCATACCTGAATCTAATAAGATTCCTATTAATAAAACTATAATTGTTAAGGATGTTGTGGAAAAATCAAATCAGTGTGATAATAAAATAGAGATTGAGAATCGCCCAACAAGTCTTTTCAAGAAAAAAAGACTACAAAATAAATCATAGTGAAGATAATAAGAAATGATATAAAATAATTGACTAAATTAGATGTAAGGTGTATAGCGATGATTGTTCTTTTACAAAAATATAATAAGTAAATAATGTCAATGATTGTTATTCATTTTTTTTATTAATTATTATTTCATTAATTATTTGCAAACTTGGACCTCAAATAAAAATTGTTTACTAACTGTTATATTGTATAATGTTTTATTGTACTATGGTATGTCTACAGTTGGATTCACTTTGTATTCACCCTATTACTACTTACTGGTGTACAGGTCAGTAATACATATTAGTGACCTGTACACCAGTAGATAGTGACCACATGGTCACTAGCTTAAAAAATAGGCACGACTTCAAGATAGTTACTTGAATGAATATATATTCTACACCCAGGGACTTCAAACTTCTTCAATGATTTGGCCACAAATATGGGATAGCAATATATCATAATTATAAAAAGTTTTCTATTGGATGATTCATTATAAATTCTCTGGGGAATGTTGCTAAGGTATACCTAAGGTAACCGTTAAAGATAATAAAATTAGGGTCACCGGACCCACTGTAACGAAATGTGTTGTGGAAGAAAATTATTTTATATCTATATATCATACAAGGATTTTTAATTGAAAAATAAACTATTTAATCAGAAAAGTATGGTTGTGAACCGAGTTGAATATAGTCAATCTACGCTCTTCTAGAGTCGGCTACGCACAAGTAACCCGTGGTATTTCAGACATGCATAAGCTACAGTAACAATTTACATTCAGAGGGGTCGTCTGCTTGTTTGTCACCATATTAGTATATAAAAAAACTGTTTAGGCAATTCTGCTCTCAAGTGCTTCAAAAAATTCTCACAGTTCTGTTAACAATTGTAGCTGAAAACCTGAAAACGTGTATAACATGTATCTTGTAACCAAGTCATAAATATACTTAAAAAACTTGTCTGTCAGCTCAGTTGTCACTGTCATTTATCAATATCATTTTGACATTTTATTTTATCTTGGTTATATTTTAGTATTTTAGGTTATGAACAGAATTTTAAAATTTTCTTTATAAATAACATAGATTCGAAATATTCTTAAGTAATTAATTCTAAATAATATGATATCACGCAGCTGGAGAATCGTGTGCCGACGATATTCGCAGACAGTAACATTCAGAACAACAGAGTCGTCACCTGTAAATATGTTTATAATATTATTAATAATATTTTATTGTAAATAAAACAATAGAAATTTATTATACTCTATAACCTATAATTAATGCATATAATTTATATACATTATATATACGGGCTGTTCCTGATAATATTATTTTAAATTCCCGATATTCTGTCTATTTTATAATCGTCGCGCTCGCAGAACGGCTTCCTAACTATTTATTATTACATTAACTATATGTCCTATTCGTATAGCATGTAAGCAAGTAAAAAAAAAATTTATAAATTTGCTAATTTATATTTTTTTAAATATAGAAGCATGCGCCAAAGCCCTCATTTATTTTTAATTCTATTTACATTTTACAGTCACAGCACAATGAGAAACAGATTGGTTTATTCTACTCCATCAAGCCTGATCTGTGCAAGCAATTATTTGCCCATGGAGGCTTACCAAAGAGTTTTTCCAAACAAACCAAGACATTCACAGAAACAGCCATAATGGTGCGCCAGCCAGCTCTTGACTTAATTGATTGTATTAAAGCTACAGATTTTAACAAGCCAGTGATTAGATATGTGATGTGTATCCTTTTACATTTTTAAATACAGCAGTAATATTTTTTATATATTTATTAGTGTACTAACAACTAGAATATTCTAGTTTATATAGATACAGTAATGAGATAATATATATTATGTGAAGAAATAAAATAATATAGTAATATAACATATACATTTAATAATAATTATAAAATAATTATGTAGAGGTAGAGGGTAGAACAGGCATATGGGCTGTCTTAACAGATGTGGGACAAGTCCCACATGGGGTGGCTATATGGGGCTTGTCACACATTTGTGTTCTAACAAAGGTTAAGGAATTATTACTTACAAAATTTAGTATTGTTGTCTAAAATTTAATAAATTATTAATAACAATACATGTATTAAATCTGATTTGTAATACAACATTATGAATTAATTTGTTGATTATTTATATCATTATAATATGGATATCTGTGCTTCATTTAACAATGAAATATTACTATAATATAATAAATATAAATATAATATCTACTATAATATTTCTTAATATAGATCAGATGGGGAAAAAGGATCAGGTAAATCATTAACAATGGCACATTTGCTGCATTATGCACATGAAGAAGGCTACTTAATTATACATGTACCCTGGGGTAAGGCAATTTAATATTTTTACAATATAATAATATGCATAAAGTCAATAAAATATAATTAGTATTTTATGTAATTGGAATAATAAATTTGGCCAAACAACCTGGTAACTTTAGGTAAATTTCAACTTTCCATTATGTGAGGGATCCTTGCTTTGTAAGTTGTATTTTGACTGAAGGCTAAGATGTGGCGCTTAGTATTAGTTCTCAAGAATGGCAATGAGCATACATATACATGATGAAACTGGAATGATAAACAAGTGTGTTTCCCACTTGATGGAAAGTTGCATTTTACCTGAAGTCATACAACTTACAAAGCAAGTTGTTTGGCAACAGAGATAGGTGAGACAGGTTTATACAGTCTACCTCAATGTTGCTGTATTTCAACTCTTAATGTAATGATTATATATAATTTATTGTAAACAGTATCAGAATTCCTGCGGCGTGTGACGCGACATAAGGAGATGTCGAACTCTCAAACCCACGAAGGATTTGTGGACCTTCCTCTAGATGTCGCCGCGTGGCTCTTACATTTTAAGACTCAAAATCAAGCTTTACTAAAAAATACAGAGGTATATTCCCTTATGTTGATATCATAGATTGCTACAAATGATAGAATTAAAAATAAGACTCAAATATTTTTATTTATTAATTACAAACAAACATACAAAAATACAAACCTTTCCTCTTTATAATAATAGTATACATGACAACTAACTAGAAAAATGATGTAACCAGGAAGATGTCAGATTCAAATTAAGGTCTATGAAAAAATATGTATCTCTATTTGTTGATAAATCATGCTTAAAGACTGCACAGATTGCTTAATCACTTTTGTATTTTAGTGCACATATAGATCATATATTAGGTTAATACATCACCATCTGTTTCTTCCTTAAACGATATTACGCCGACGCCAAATGAATGGGCATTTGGCGTCGGCGTAATATCGTTTTCCATTCCATTATTTCCATTTATCCCTGTTCCGTCATCTCGTTATTTACTCCCTAACCATATCATCACAGTCCATCCATCTCTTTTTCAGTCTTCTTCTGCCCTTATAACGATCAACATCTATATGTGTGTTACATCCTTAATACTATCTTATTTCTTTAACACCTATGGTAGTTTTCAGCTCATACCTGACACAGTTTGAGTTCCTTATATTTCTTAATTTGACACACAATTCAATTATGTATATGATTTGCAGTTGAAGATATCCAAAAGCTATGTATGGAGCAAACGTGAAACTACGGAAGCTGGCGCCCCACTGTCACAATTAGTGGAACACGGCATCAACCGCGTGAAATACGCCTGCGACGTGCTCGACGCTCTTGTATATGAAATTAAACAACTCTCTGATAACAAACAGTTAGTAACTATATGAAAATATACTGTAGAAAACATTAAGTTATTACAATATTGACAATTATGGAAAAGTTGTCATCACACTAAAGTTCTTAATAATAGTGGATGAAGATGTAATGGTGATATGTTTGATTTGGCTAAATTAAAAATGTAAATTTAGCTATCAAAAAACTTGCAGTATGAGAAGTAATTGTTAGTAATAGGTGGAGGAATTGGTCTTATTGTTATCAAAAACCTCGGCCTCTCTGAAAAATACCTAATTAAATAATAATTTATAGTGTAAAATAATTTTACAGATAATGTGTTATACAATATTTCATTTTGTGTTTTAGATGTAAAACTTTTGTTGCAATTGATGGTTACAATGGCTTCTTCTACCCCCTAACGCGACTTCACACACCAACCAAGAAGAAAGTGAAACCAGAGGAAGTAACACTCACTACATCGTTTTTGGAACTCACGAAAAATGATTGGGTTTGTATTGAATTCAATATATAAAACAGATCAATATTATTAACCTGTTATTAAAATAGTTGTATTGTGTTTGAGGGCACATGTATTATAAAATTATGTAAACAAAAATATTTGTCAATGTGATTATTTTTTATTAACTAAAACCAAACCTCCAATGCAAAAACATGCCCAATACTGAAAGTTTGCTGAGAGAAGGTGTTTGGTTAAATAAATAATCTTTTTTTTTTATTATTTTCAGACAAATGGAGTTGTCGTTGTGACAGCAGATCAGTTGGCACTACCTGATGATAATCAAGAAAGTTACCTTCCTAGATACTTATTATACAAAAAGGTAATTATAAATTTATTATTTTTGGAAGATGTCAGGATGTAGGTGACTCAATATGTCTTATTGCAATCTCTTTTTGGGAATGTGTTATGAACAACTGAAATTATGATTACAAAATTTTTTCTTTCTCTTATTAATTATCAGAGATAAGAAAATGTTTTTTCTATACTGTTTTTATTGTTTTGCTTCTTATGCTTTATATTTATGACTTTTAATGTAAAGAGTATTACACTTCACATTTCTAAACCTGTTTTTATATTTTCAGGGTTTTGAGTTATTGGACCCATTTGTCCCAATTGAAGTTGGGCGATACAGTGATAAAGAATTCCTATCCTGTGCCAGTTACTACAGAGATAGGCTGTGGCTCCGGGGACCTCCAGAAATTGAAACAGAACTAAAATTCACAAGTGCTGGCAACCCTTATAAATTTATGGAGCAGTGTGCTCCATTATAAATAATTTTGTATATAGATTATAGGTGCTTAGATGTATATTATATTAATTAATAATGTAGGATTTTTTTTATTTATTACTCCATAATTTAATGTAATACCTATACTCAGGTTTAATAATTTTACAGACATGCAAACTCCATTTATAGGTTGGGTTATTGTTATTTGTGTAATATAATAAACACATTAATTACTGTACTTTATTATTATTTAAATGTTCTATCTGATGAACTTAAACTAAATTGTTAAATTTAAAACAGAAATACATAAAACAATTTAATAATTTATTTCGCTGAAAATAATATCTACAGAGTTGAACTTATAATAAAATTTAAACATCGTAGCCAATAAGGTGACGTTTGCCAATGCATTCACCGACGTAGAACCAGAACAGAACCTCAGCGCCGACTAGTGTGTTCAAGGTTGCCTGTTTGATTGTCTGCTGTTTCCATGCACCTGATTTAGCACTTGACAGCAGTTTAGCAATACCAGCCTTAATTTGCGGGATTTCGCTCGCTTTTGGTGGGGCCAATTCAACTCGTGCATATTTCAAAAAAATATTGAATTTTGGTCGAGCCTGGGCGATGGCGGCTGTAAAAAATTTACGAATTAAATGATCAGTGGATATCTTTAGAGAACTAAAGATGTAGGTAAGAGACAATTTTATGGTAATTGATATATAAATAGCAAATTATCTTAATATCGACATAATAGTTGTGATAATAATCACGAATTACATAACAAATTAATCACGCTAATAAAACTAAAATGCCTTACAGTTGATCAAAGAAGGTAATTTAGCAGCGGCACTAGCCATTTTGTTAGGTTATTCGAAATATTAAAAGCACTTGCTGAGAAATATTCTAGATGAAATTTTGATTTTGGAATGAATGAAAGCAATGGGATACTGAAAAATGAGTTTGACAGTCAGTCAATAGATTGAAGTCATACTGTCTGAAAAGCACCGACATTTTTTTACACCATATTTACTCTTTGGTCACATCGTAGGGGTTGAATCGATATCGACATTACATATAATCTCAAAAATTGTTACATGTTTGTGTTAAGGCCCAATATTTTTACATTAAAATAATGATTTTATTCTACTTATCCCTAACTTATTAACAGTCAAACAAACTTTAAGTTCACAGTGAGATTTGTGAAGTTAAAGTTTCAACAGCCATTGTCTAGTGCCAGAGTTTCTCGCGGAATAGGCTAACCTCCAGAGTCGTAAAAAAATGTCTCTCTTGCTTTTGCGTGACGTCGATGATTTCTGTCAAATTCTATCCGGCTATCGTATAATTTTGTGAATTTTCTCAGCAATATTCTTGATTTACATTAATTGTAGGTTTTCCATTACTATCAGAGTGATTATTCTGATTGATATCTAAAATTATGCAATCATTAGGTGAGTAGTAAGGAGGTTTTTCTCAGAAATCTTATAACGTGGCTACCACAACATCGTATGTAATTGTACTTATTATTCGACATATTACAATTTTTTATAGGAAACTCTAAAAAAACTTTTATTTTACTTAACCCAATGTATAAGATATATCAATTCGGATGATTACTAATAATGATTATCCGATATATTAATGATTTTGGGACACGTCATGTTTACCCGTTCGGTGCCGGTAATAGGTACATAATGAGTTAAAAAGGTTAACATTAAATTAAATTCTAATAATTACGTATATATTTATTATTACCCGCGCCAGTATTGTCTATGGAAATACAAATAATCACATATTGATTTTTTTTCAGAATTATTATTATTAATATTAAGTATATTCACAATAAGTAATGCAACCCTTCAAAGCACCATAGATCTGCCACGCCTACAAGTGATATTGCAGGATGGTATTAAATCTAAGGATGTTAGTTCACTGTATTTTGCTATAAAAGGATTGAAGCAGTTGAAAGCATCCATACCTGATGTCTGCCAAGTAAGTGTAACTACTGCTATTGTATTGCTATATTATAATTGAAAATAATATAGCAGGACTATTAAGAGACCACTATTTAGTCCCAAACAGTTATATTTAATCTGTAAACTGATTATTTCACTCTATACCAATGTAAATTTTGTGATTATTTAACAACAATACAATATCATAACAGAATATTCGAATCGGTATTCTAACTCAGTATAATACATACAGATATTATTTGTAATACTTGATTTAAATATTCAAAAAGTTAAGATATTTTTGAATTACATCTGTGATTGTCAATGCCTGTGTGGTGGACATGGAGTCTGTAGTGCTACAGAAATAATAGTTACCACTAACTAACAGGTCATATCACTTACAGTGGCATATAAACTGCCTGAGAAAATGTGGTACAAAATTATTAGTTTTAGTTTATGATGATGGCATATATGAACAGTGTAATGTGTGATCTACTTCTACTTATGTAAAAAAGTATTTTGTCAGTTATTACCTTAAATTGGACATATCCATTAATGTTTAATTACACATTTCATTATGGTGTTTTTATTTCCTTCCATCCTTAATTGCAGGACCTTAAAAACTCTAAATATGATATAAAAAATGTTGAACAAATATTCTACCTCACAAATGCGGCAGCCCTGTCAAATTGCCAGAATGTACTGTCGCCAGATGTTCTAAAGACTCCAACTCAAGTCCTGGATAAAAAGGATGTGACTATCCGTGAACTGTACTATGCTGTTTACTCACTGAAGGCCTTGGGGAAAGGCTCTATATATGATAAGGAGGATGCCTTGAAGAATCTTATTCAGTTATTGAAGAAGGACGATTCACCAGTGAAGTAAGTACATATATAAATACACTATTAACTTTCTACATATAAAAGCAGACAAAATCATGTAACCTGTGAATATGTCTACCTTTTCTTTTAAGATAGCCAATATAAGATCTTCATAAAATAATAATCTTTATTTTAAATTTCATTAACATCTATTTCATTGAGGTAAGGTAACAAACACAGACAGATTTATCAACACATATACACATTTATAATATTAGCAGCTTTGCATGGCTTTGTTTGTATTTTTTATTATCAGCCTTTGTGACACAATTTGTCTTCACACAAATTTTCATCTAATAATTAATCATTTTAATTCACTGAATTAATCTTTCATTGATTTGTTAAACAATCTGACACACATACATACTTGGCACTTATAATATTAGTATGTATATTTTTTATGTGCTGTTTAGCCTAACTTTAACATATCTATGCACCATCCACAACTTTTTTTAAAGATTTACAAACCAATTATTAGTTATGCTCTTACAATAGACAGCCACAACTTTTTTATATTTATAAATCAATATATTGCTATTTTGAAAAATAATACTGTAAATAAAGACAAATTGGAATACTCTTTTTTGTATATTATGTTATGACTTTTCTTTTCAGTATGTGAATGTTAATGTTCTACAAGTGTGTTACACATAAAAATTATCACTCTATAAACTGTAACAATGTGTTCATTAAAATCATGTTTACCCAAGTGAAGTCATTCATCAACAGTAAATATTTACTCCATTTGCAATAACATACATACATTTGCATACAATATATTCATGAATTAAAATAAAAATACTATAATTATAGTCTATTAATATCATTAATTCCTTACAGTTTTTATTTAACATATATTTATTGTTAGTTATGGATAATAAGGTTTCTTAAGTCACAAATGCATACCTGATAGGGAGTCAGCCCCTAATACATTGAGATAATTCCAAAAGACCTATAAAGAAGAAATGGCACCTGTGGGTTAGAAAATGCACTCTATCTAAATATATACTAATGAATAAAATTGAAGTGTCTACTTGTAATTTCAAGTTAACAGCTTTTCACTAAATGCATTTGAAAGTTATATACAGACCTTACATTGATAATATTTAAAAAAAAACTGTCTGTTTGTTTATTCTAATCTATGTAATTGTAACTATATAAATATTGTTTTGAACAGTTACGGATATGTGTTTGGACTGTGTGAACACATGGGGTGCGGTGTGTGGACTTCCACGCACGCGGAGGGCGTGCTGCTGGCGGCCGACGAGAGCGACGCCAAGGCGCTACACTTCGAGGGCGGATTACCAGTCACCTCACTACTTCTCACCACCATCGTCAAGTATGTAACTAGGAAATATATATGATTATTTTATAGCAGACAAACGAGCTTGCGGATCACCTGAAGTTAAGTTAATCACTAGGTATGTGATAATGCGGCTCAAATGAAGAGATGGTACTTTATGCTTCAGCTGATTATGGGGTATAGAAAATGATAGTTTTGATTACTATCTTAAATTTATTGGGTAAATTACTATTAATTACAAAATTTGGTGTAGTGATCAAATCATATGTTGCGTCGATCGATTAGATTTTTGGAAGTCTGTGTCGTTATATCGCGGATTCAAATTGGATGGGTGTGCGCCACAATCAGAACACTCCCTTTGCGTTGCGTTTTGTTGCTGCTCGTACGCGACACTGGTTAAGTTCAACTATCGTTTTTTAAAACATTCATCAAGCTATTAGGCGTAAACATATTCAACAATTTTTTTAGAAAATCTACACAGTTTTCTAAATAAATTTCATATAGGTATGGTACTGTTAGAATTGGTCTGGCTGTTTTCAATGCATATTGTGTATGTATTTACACAATAAGGTATATAAGTATTTCTATCAATTATTTAGCACCCATAACACAAGCTCTGTTTAGCTTGGAACTTTGCGAATGTATTGTCCAACGATAATATTATTATCTTATTTTCTTATTTAATATCTATTACAAACGCGAAATTTTATGATTATGGATGGATTACTATTATTTATTATTACTACAAAAACTACTAAATGGATTTTGATGAAACTTTACAGTAGCTTATATATCAGAATATCATACATGGTCTATAATTGGAAAAAAAATTGTAATTGAGCGAAATATAATGATAAATGTCAGGTAACTGTGAAGCGCAAATGAAATGACGCTGGTCAACTAATTAATATTATTATATGCATCTGTGCAGAACTTACAAAGAACTAAAGAAGCCATTGCCGCTAACTGAGGAGCAACGCTACAAGTTCGCTGAATACTTGCTCTCCCGCCGCTCAGTGAATTCCCCGCGCGGAGCGTCGCTCCTGCTCGACGCAGCCCTTGCGCTTGCTGATGTCGATGTAATTAGAAACCTTAATATTTCTGGCTTGTTATTTAAAACAATTGCTAATGATTCTTAATAGTAACAGAGTGAAATTAATTGCTGTGTGAGTACAAAATCGCAAATGAACTGTTTCCTCTACTTGCGAGTAAAGGAGTTTTAGTCTCGTCGCTGAACAGTCAACAGTAGGCTGCCAAATTAAATATATCCAAACTATTCAATGCTCGATGATGCCTCGTTTGGAGGCGAAACACGTGTTGTAATGGGTGTAGATTCAATAACGATAGGAATTTAATCACTAATGGGGAAGAGCAACGCTTCCAGTAACGTTTGGACAGGTTTCAGCACTAAACATTTGTGATCTCACACATGCTTAAAATAGCGTTCTATTTCATTACTTGATTTATAAGATTTAAACAAACTTATACAAAGTAATGTAATGGACCCTCGCTAAAATAACACAAATCTATAATATATTATTGAAATATTATTTTCTCATATGACAATTACATACTCTTTTGGATTACTATCTTGGAAATATTAAACATTTAAATTTATAATTAACCCTGCAGCCCACACCAATCAGCATCTCAATCAAGGGCAAGAAATATGTCACGGCTGAATACGAGAGCGTCGAGGTCTCCATCACTGACCTGATTGGTCGCCCTATCAAAGCACTGAAACCTGAAGAAGTAGTCGCCCAATCAGGCACAAGACTTGCCGACGATGTTGTTGTCCTCTCGAAGCAACCATTGACACAGAAACCCAAAGATACAACAACATTCATCCTTAATTTGTCAAAGATTAAGGCTCAATATGGTTTGTACAAGATTGTTCTCAGCGCTGGAGGCAAGACGGCAAGTGTGAATATAGCAGTGTTGGGTGAAATACAAGTCTCTAATATAGAGGTCGGTGTTGGAGATGTCGATGGTACTACAAGCCCCAAAATCACAAATGTTGCATATCCTAACAAACTGAGCGAGAAACTGCAAGCTGATCATTTACAAAAGTGAGTAAATATAGTAAATATAATGTTACAAAGAAAAACATTAATCTTATTTTTTAAAACTAGCCACATTAAAAGTATTGGTTTCATATTCCATATTTCGTATAAATTTATTGAAATGTATATATATATATATGTAGTGATTGACGAAAAATCATGGAAAATGGCAAGAACGCGCCTCTTATATTATGAATAAATTGAAATCGTGTTAATTTTTGCATATTTCATTGTAATGGATAATTAAATATTATTTGATATGTTTAAAATAAAATTGCTTATTTATATTATTGTTATATTTCTTGTATAATTTGCTATTAGAAACTTGCGAACAACTATTTGTGTTACTTAAAATGTAATGGTTTACTCCTCTATAGTCCATTTCTCATTTTTGCCATCGAGTGATGTTATTAATCAAATAAAACAATGGTGCAGGGTCTCGTTGAAGTTTAACGTCCGTGACAAATGGAACAAGCCAGTACTGGTGCAGCAGGCGTTCGTGCGCGTGGGCAGCCTCGCCGGCGAAGACGAGGCTATATTCGTGGCAGAGCCGGACAACACTAAGGCCTACAAAGTTGAACTGGTTAGTAAACTTAATAGATGTTACCATTCGCCAACGTCCAAAAATACAATCATAGTCTGAAACGGGAATTTTATATTGTCGACAGAATGTGGGTGCTATTGGTAAACATTTGAACCAAGTATCGGGCACCTATACGCTGACTGTGTACTTGGGAGACAGCGCAGTTTCCAATCCTATCTCGTGGACCATCGGCGGTGTGGCGTTCAACTTTGGAAAGGATGTTACCCCAGTTGGTATGTAGTTCTAACATAATGTAACGATCTATAGGAATTTTGATTATTTTATTCTTTGTTTATGTATCCAATAATTAAAATTAAAGAGCCTGTAATAAAAATGATTTAAATTTATATGAAAGTTATAAAATACGTGTATTTACATAAGTTAATTTATTAGAATGGAAAAATATGGACATATGTCAAATGGTTTACGGGTTCCCGCCTGATGAAAACGTTTTTGGCCTGAGGGCACCGCTAGGCGTTCTAATCTCCGATCGTTTGAATTGGACGGGGTATCGATCGGAGAGGCGACCGGGCGCGCGCAGCATTATTAGGGTTGTTGTATGTTAGGAATAGGAATATCGGCGAGGGGCGCGGACCCGCTGCCCGATCGCGCTCTACGTATAGTCGTTATATCAGTTATCTGTCTAGTATCTATAACATAAGCTCTGCTTGCATCGGGGGTAGATAACACTGTGTGAATCGTCCAGGCAGGCAATCGTACTATATGAGGGTTGTGGTGTGGTAGGGTGGGCGGCGCGGGGCGCGGCGCCGCTGCCGGAGATCGCGCACTCGTTCCGGTCGGCGGAGGCGCGGCCGGCGCGCGTGCTGTCGGACGTGTTCGCGGCGGCGTGCGGGGCGCCGCTGGTGCTGCTGGTGGTGTTGTGGGCGCGGCTGCGGATCAACTTCGGGAACTTCCCCGCCACGCCCAGCGCGCTCGTCTTCCACCTCGCCCTGGGAGGTAAGTCTTGGCCTACATTTACATTTACATTGTACTACATTAACTTACATTATATTACAAACAATTATATATACAAGATAAGAAATTATTATTATTAGCAGCTCCACGATTAAAAACCATTCTCAATCTTTTTTCAATGCTCATTTGAATTATCTTCATACGACGACTATAAAATTATGAATTCTTATCAATGTAATCACTGCAGTATTGAATAATGAGTTTAAAATTATCACTTATCTAAGTACTCACACTCATCTACTAAGAAAATTTATCAGTATCTACATTGATTCTAATTTAAATTTGGTACTTCTAATAAAAATAGTGATTTGTTACCGGAATTATTCAGTGTCGAGTGTAAACAAAATGTATGTATACAAATTAAAAAAAATAGAAATGTCTGTTAGTAATTTCAAATCTTTATCTGTCTGTTGTTCGTGCTAATCTCGGAAATGGCTGGATACGTTTTGGACGGGACTTTCACTTGCAGATAGTTTATGATATAATGACTACTTTTATTTAAAAAAAAAACTATTTTAATAAAAATAAGTTATATTCTGCGCGATCTAAGTCACGTATAACAGCTAGTACGTAATCACGCACAACGACCCAGATGAGAGGCTAAATGCGGAGAATAGAGTCCATATTACCACAACTAGTAATATTTATTAAAATATACCTTGTTTGCAGCTTCGTTGTCGCTGTACGGCGTGTTGTGGCTGAAGCTGACGATGTTCGAGACCGTGCGCTACTTGCTGCCTCTGGGAGCGCTCACCTTCCTCTCCGGACACCGCCTACTGCGGCGGCTCGTGCAAGACAAGAGCCATTCTCGTTAGACGTCCATTTATATTGGTCCGAGGGTTTCTTATAATAACATACACAATCAATTATATTTAGGTACTAACATTGCCTTTAAACAAGAAGCACGGCGCGTCTGCGGAGTGACAGAATTAAGGTGAAACCATAGTGGTATAGGTTCACGTTCTTTTCTCTGCTACTTTTACTACCCTACGTCTCCATGTGAAGTGCCTAGCATGATGTTGACGGGCTATAGTGTGTACCATCGTGATAGCTTCGAAGTGATTGTTTTATAATATAGTGTCAGAGTATGTGCAATTATTCATAATACATTAATTTACACCTATTTATTTCTTATTAATATTGGTACCTAAGTATTAAGGGTAAAACTTGATTGTGTTGGTCACAATTTCTATATTTTATTCAAATCCAAAGACTGACTGATAACCCTCGACCATAACACTAGTTTTGTACTAATAGTCTATTGTCAATACGATTTTTTCAGTTGTTCCTGCTACTGTAGAAATGCAGAGCTGCAAAAATATTCGCATTTACCCTTAGAAAATAGAATTGTATTAATAGGAAATGGTCATAATGAAATAGACATAAACAGTTATATTTTTTTAATTAAATTCTTTATTGCCCTGGGAGCCTCGAACCAAGTGAACGAGAATTTCTAGTATTGCAGAAAATAACGCGCATCCATACAGAAAGTTCATGAAACATCGCGAACTATTTATAACTGGGAGCAGCGAGAAATTAGGATTTTGTTGACACCTGAATCAGTAATGCATCCATTATCCTCATGTCAAAACAGTATATATGTAGGTCTCAGTTTCATTCCAACTGCAAGTAGGTGCAACATAGTCGGTTTTTATATGCATTAATTAATTTAATGTGATTTTTTTAATAAAATACGTGATTTGTTATATGTTGTTTAATTTTATCAATTCCCTTAAAAATGATTAAGAGTAAGTTCTTTGCAACATTATAGTAAAAAAATAAATACTACAAATGTAATATAAAGAATGGAGGTATAAAAGAAAACAACGAAAATAGTTTAAGGCTTACTTTAATAAATTTACATATAATAATTATGACGCAAAAACAATATGCGCAATATATTAGTAATGTCAAACAAGACAAGAATACACACTTGCGATGTCCATGTTATATGTTTTACATTATGAGATACTGGATATTTCTAGATATTTTTGATACAATAATAAATTGAGAAATGGTATTTATATTATAACTAAAACTTATAGAAATGCAAACTTTTATATATTCGTTTCAGTTTGAACCAGTTTAACGTGACGGCTAGGTTTTGTATTTAAGATCTATGACCTAAAATATGGTGGGGTCGAGATTCTCGGTAACCCTATTGCCATTTTCTTTACTGCGATATGGAATAAACTCTACGAAGTCTCAACCTCCTTAAAGACTTGTAACTTGATAAGTAACTGCAACCAATGTATGGATTACTCGATATCCCTAAGATTCAAAATATAAATATCAGATTGATTTTAGTAATTTGCTCTACATTATTAGTGTCATTATTGATACTTATAGGTCGAGCCTGAATAATACTATTATAATTTGAACCGCCAAGTTGTCTGGTATATAAACTATTAATATGTAATATTAACAATTTCTATACTAGTACTAGATATACAAAATAAGGCAGAAACTAAAATAAGTACAGTCAATGTCACTTATACTTAATTATTAAATACATAATGTAAAAAAGTTGTGATAAATAATAGGTCACTGAAATGAATTGCACCATCAAATACACTAGAAAGTTTCCGTAGCTACTACAAAATAAACGTAATTTTTTTTCTCTTGTCTGCCTGCAATCAGTCTCTCAAACTTATAATCTGATTATAATTTTGTAGGCATTAGTTAGAGTCATATACATCAAACTGCCATGATATAAATGCATGTATTAGTTTTAGAAGCAGATCATGCGAGATATTTAAAGTCTAGACGGACAGTTATTTGTATTCAGTACCTTAAAGCTAGCCGCTTATTAAGGTTAGTCCATCTACAGTGATTAATTTATAAAGCAGTAATTTATAATATGTCAAATTCTGGAATAAACTATTCATATTAGTAGTATGGAAATACATTTAGCATCATCCGTGCTAAACCTTTGAACCAGTTGCGTATTCGAGTATAGGCGATTTAGCACCACTGTGCAAAATGTTATAATAAATCATTATTCAACTAGTCATTGTTGTAGTCATTATTTACAATTCATTCATAATTTTCCCGTGTTTTAGTAGGCCACATGTTCCTTCAGTCAATCAGTCACAGGTACAATTACAAATATTTGATTTTATACAAAATTAGACAGTAAGCGGTTCAACCGTTACTGATATTGTTATCCTTACATCTAGTACAACATTGGAATCTTTAATACTGTCACTATATTATTTACATTAAGCTAAAATTTTTGTTTAGAATTCTGCATCCAAAGTGAACACATTGTCCGTGCGATTCGCCATGACACCCCATTTTTGGTATTCGCCTACTTTCTTCTCAAAGAAGTTTGTCTTGCCTTCCAAGGAAATGAGATTCATGAAGTCAAATGGATTCTTTGTGTTGTAATGCTGTAAAATAAAAATATAATTACATATAGTTCTTTAGGTAGAAGTAGAAAAATTATTTTAACAGTATGAGAACAATAACGGCTTTGATTACACACACACATTAAAAAAACAAAGTAAAATAATAGAAAGGTATATATATGCAGAAACTTGCCTTCGGCAGAGCCAAGAATTTACATTGATGTGTGTAAATGTGATATCAAATTGAGAGTTATCCAGATTATTTTTATAAAATGGGATCTTACCTTTTCGCCCAGCAAATCAACAAGCAATCTATCGGCAACGAATTCGATATATTGCGACATCAGTTCACAGTTCATGCCAAGGAGCCTGACAGGCAGTGCGTCTGTGAGGAACTCCTGTTCGATCAGGACGGCATCTTTAATTATATGAAGCACTTGTTGCTTGCTCGGCTTCTGAACAAGGTGCTTGAACATTAGGCAAGCAAAGTCTGTGTGGAGGCCCTGTTGAGTACATGTGTAGTATTAGAAATCATCAAATTTTAATAGAATTGGACAACTTTGATTTACATTATATTGACTAAATTTGACAACTCTTCTAAATTGTTTCTACCAGAAGTTAATATTTTTTATGTAATAGGAATAATGAACAAACTGACTGACTCAATATTGGATATATGGATATGGTGGTCCATGGACATAAGATGTCATACCTCTTATCCTATAATTTCACTGCCTCATTACACCCTACAACTAAAACTATTTACGAAGCAAGTTGCAACGGCTGATATAGACGAGACTGGGGTATCCATACTGACGTTTTAGAATGGCTTAAAATATTAAAACAGATGTTTGATAAAAAAATGTTGGGAGTTTAACATCAAATGAAATGTTCGTAATTTTACCTCATCCCTGGATATTAGTTCATTGCTGAAAGTCAACCCTGGCATAAGACCTCTTTTCTTGAGCCAAAAGATAGATGCAAAACTACCAGAAAAGAAAATGCCTTCCACAGCCGCAAAGGCAACGATACGTTCGCCGAAAGTAGCAGATTTGCTCGCGATCCACTGAAGAGCCCAGTCTGCCTTCTTCTTTATGCATGGTAGAGTTTCAATAGCATTGAACAGGAAATCCCTGAAGATATAAAGTTGATACATTTTGAAATCTTAACATTTCAATCTGTCATACTCAATTAGTTCATATAAGTACAATTTATAATTGGTTTTGGCTTCTTAACTAATGTTCTTTAATCAATGTTATTAATATATTTTATTTTAATAAAATACAATAATAACATAAAAATGTAAATGGTGGTAAAATACAATAATAACAAATATACCAGTTTAATGCTTAAATATTAATATTTCTATGCTTCTTATAAGAAGATTTTGCAAGGCTATATTTTTCATAACATCTTGCAATGTACCCAAAATCATTCACAAATAAATTATTATTATAAAGTTAACTAATTTGAATATAAAGTGAATAGTCTGAAATCTCATTAGAATATGTATGTTACAGATTAGAACTCCAGATTATAAACATATTTTAGGAAAAGTTGTATCCTCTAATAACATCATTTATGCAATACTATAATACTGATTTATCTATACTAATATTATCTTTACTCTACTCTAGCTAAAGAGTTTGAATGTGCTACTCTCAGGAATTACTGGTTCTAATAGATTTCTTTTGTGTATGATAGTTCATTTGTTATGTAAGACTTTATGACTATATATAACATTACACTACAACCAATAGAAGCGAAGCATTGGTGAAAAATGTTGCAAAAACAGGGAAAAATATTAATATTTGAGGGCATCCAAAGATAATCACGATAGTGTTTTTGATAACCATCTGAATGAAGTCGCAGACACAGCTAGAAATATGTATAGCTAGATTGAATATGAATTCTGCATATGAGCATAACATACTAGATATTACATACTAAATATAGAAATACTAATAAATTTTAGTGACATTTAATGTTATTAAATAGTAACTGCAAACAATACAATAATTAACATTGAAGTTATAGGTAGATCATATGGTATTCAAATTCGAATCTTAATAGGTCTAATCAAATAATTAATATGCTTGTTAAATAGGCTACAAATTTGTTTGAAATCAAACAGACAGAAAGTAATCCTCAAATATGTATGTATGATTTAATGACATTTCCATGACATAGGCTGAGTTAGGTTTAATGTATGCAAACTTGATATCCTGCATTAATTATTCATTGTTCTGTATTTGGTTTGTAAACAGTGTATCATTCTTTCTACACAACATAATGACTACTTGAGTAAATATAATTACTGCAAAGCCAACTATTTGTAGAAACAATAAGATAACAACAAAATCTAGGAATATTTTGTATTTTTATTAATGACTAGCTGTACACGCGACTTCATCCTCATGGATATTAAATTTATTTTTCTAAAATAAAAGTAGCTTAAGTTACTCTTTATCAGCTACATGTTATTTTTGTGTGTACTGTATTTATATTCATGTGTGTAATAAAAAAAAATGGTTATTTCAATATTACAAACAGCAACTCCAATTTTGTATGTATAGATATAAATAATGTGGATGCATCATTTAAATTACATTATCATCATCTGCTTATTCCTTACCCCATTCATTTAGGGTCAGCATGCATTTTCTCTTCAATTCATCCCTGTTTACAGTCATCTTGTTATATACTCCCTTTCTTGCCATATCATCTTTCACATAGTCCATCCATCTCTTTTTCAGCTTGTCTCTGCTCTTATAACCATCCACATTCATATGTAATACCTTCGTTAAAATATTATCTTCATTCCTACACATTACATGCCCGTACCATGACAGATGATGTTGTAAACCTCCACAACACGGATGCCACTTTCATACTTCCCCTAATATATTTGTTCTTTATCTAGTGCGTTCTTGTAACATTAAGATTACATTACTGCCTGTATTATGTGCGTATGTTGAACCACAGTTTAATGCTATAAATAAACATGATGCAATACTTCTTTTAATTTATACCATGGTTACTTACCTCTCTTTTGGATCTCTGATATATGTGTCAATAAGTAATGAATACATCTCTGAATGGACATTTTCCATAGCAATCTGGAATCCATAGAAGCATCTCGCTTCAGTCACTTGCACTTCTTGTGAGAAGCGTTCCACAAGATTCTCATTGACAATTCCATCAGAGGCAGCAAAAAATGCTAATACATGTTTAATAAAATGGCGCTCGCAGTCTTTCAAGCTCTCCCAGTCTGATAAGTCCTGTTAAAGGAAGACAGGACAGGTTAATGACCTTACCAAAATATACTCATGTTCTATATGACATGATAAGATTGATAAAATTGTACTTTTCTAATAAGATTATGGATCATTGAGTACATTATTCTGCAAGAAATGCCATAGAATATGATATACAATAAAATTATTAACTTGCTTAAGAATTAGGTTATGTGTGAGATCATTTATTAAACAACAAATGCGCAAGTTTAGAACCACTCCTTGAGGATATAATTATAATATTAAGATATACTTACTTTCTTATCTGCTATTTAGTAGCATTGGACATGGTTGAGTGGTTAAAACGTTAATTTTCACAATTGTATTATTACTACGTCGTAAATATTATTAAGTACCTTTGATAAATCAACTTCCTCTACTGTCCAGAATGAAGCTTCAGCCTTTTTGTACATATTCCAAATATCTGGATACTGTATAGGAAATATAACAAATCGTCTAGGATTTTCACGGAGTAGGGGCTCCAATTGAGGATCAAATTCTTTACTCTCCTTCTCCACTTCCATTTTCTCCATTGCGACTGGAGAGTTGGAGTTTCTCAATGATAAAATGTTTTTAACGGGAGACTAAAACAAAAATAATAAAATTGACAGCTATAAAAAATAGGTACTAATAACTGTAACAGTAAATAACATGTGCTTGCAATGGAGGCAAAATTCACTGTACAAAACCTCCATATTTTTTTTATGTACAATGGATTTAATAAACGACATACGGTAATATATAAGTCAATAACTACGATAATGTGAAGACATATTATATATTCTAATTATACCTTAATGTGAACATTGTTGATACCACTGCTAATGTTTTCTTTGTCTGTTATTAGAGACATCCTGAAGAATATATAATATTCAACGCACAAACCAAGAAATCAAAACTGGATAATTCTATGTGAATCCAATACGACTACGACAACGTAATGGATGGAGGACTATTTCTAAATAACTGATAGCTTCATTTGTACGACAAAGTAAAAATGAGCGCCCTTTCCAGATTTCAAAACAACAGCACGGAGGCGCGAATTCTATTAGAAAAAATTGGTCCAAATCGCGTCTATAATTTTCGTCCTAGAATGAAATTGGAATTTTTTATATATATATTTTAAATTACTATCCTTATATATTTACATCACATAAAATAATAAATTTTGTATTATTGTTAAAAAATCTTAATTTATTCCGTTTTTTATTTATCAAAATAATTTGGGAAAATATTTTATTTTAGTAATCTGAAACGTGAATAGGAACAGATCGACGATTTAATACATGTTAGATATTAACCATTCAAAAGTTGTTTACAAAAAGGCGGCAAATTAACTTCTGTCTCCCCCTTTTATTACTGAATGTAATTTAAACATTGTGTTATTTTTATTTATATAACACTAATCAAAACTTAGTAAGTATACTATTTATTATGCTCAATTATAAGAAATTATATTGAGTGTATATTGAGAAATTAATATAATACTAGGTATAATTTTTTCCCTCGCAAAATATTTGTTTCAGGATAATTGTGATTGGTTGACTTTTATCCAATCCAAACACACATTTTTTTTTAATTTGTTACACTTTAACTTAGCTACATGACTACAGTCTACAGCCAAATGAACAAATGTATCTATGTCACATTAACTATTGGTGATTTTCGCATGTATGTGGGTATAAAGAGAACAAGTAATTCTGTTTCGGTACTATTTAAAATTAAGTTCTACTTACAATTTCATTTAGTAAAATATAAACCTTTTGTTGTATCAACATTAAAAGTAGTCAGAAGCAAATGAAATTGTAAATACTCACATTTGGATAAGCTGAGATGATTACAGACAATCTTTAAGAATTATGAGAACGGAACTTACTGTTTGATTACTTAGAAGGAAAAGGAAAAAGGAAGCATCTTAACTAACTGATTTTGTTTATTCTTTTAGTTTAACCGTCTGTAAAATAGACGGGGTTTTAAATCAAAACCACTAAGCTTTAGCAATTCTAAAAGTCAAATCAGAAAGTCGTCGCACAAAATAAACATTTTAGATAACCTCATGATCTAGTTGCAGTAATACATTTTCTCGACTCTCAAACACTCCTTTGCTTGATAGTCGAAAAATGTATTAGGTACGTATTCTTCTAAAGACCTAAAGGACTAGCGCCAAAATTACTTTGTATTGTTGATTTCTCTGTGTAGCTCCTGGAATATAGAACCACTGATAATAAATTAAATTAGGTAGGAGAATTTATGAGTTGGCCGTTGAAGTAGGAGATATTCAAGATGATATCGACTAGATCTTACAAGATATTTTTATAAGAGAAACATTTTAATTTCCTTATCTATATTGTATATATATATATTTGTGTTTACTAATCTTGTTATGTCGATTCATTGTTTTTATAGCCATTTTGTTTTAAGATTATTTTATTGTTATTAGTCGCGTCTTATCAAGAATTAAAGAGTATGATGGAAGATTGCGGAAAGCGGCAAGAACTTCACTAACAAGAGCGTAGCTCTTAAATTATGAATGAATGAAATTCATTAACCCATAACCTATTGCAGTACGAGATATTCTGGTCGATATTAACTACATTTTATATAATTTTTTTTTAAAGAAGACGTTAAAATTTTTTAATATATTTTCTCATGTACTAGAGATATAAAAATTTTATACCTATATCATTTTATGTCTACCTGAAGTGTCAATATGACATTGCTCTGAGTAGTCTGTGGCTCAATTTCTCTGTATTTTGTGTTACTTCATAGATGTAACTTTAATCTTGTTGTTAAATTGTGGAAACTAAGTAAAATTTTATTAGTTTTTAATATCTGACAAAAATGTCTGATAATGACGATGATTATATGTGTGAGGAGGAGGAGGACTATGGTTTGGTTTGTATTATAAGATAAATTTATACGCAGTGCCATCCTAATAATACCTGTTTACCGTGATCAAAATTTGATACGTCAATTTATATTTATGATAAACCATGATATTTTATGTTTTAATTACATTAAAACATAACCGCGTGTTACTTTTTTACAATGTTTAAATTACAACAATTTAATCTTTATTAATGATATATAACCTCAAAAGTATAAAAGAATTTATGAGCCATATTATGTTTTAAATTTATAAATCGCTCAAATAGATCTTAATCCTTTTAAGGCCCACTGTAAATAAATTGCTCTTTATCGAAGTGAGACGTAAAAGTAGTCAATGGGAATTGCCCTCATCTTTCCCTCCAAAAGAAATTGATTTGCTAATGTATACTTTATAGAATTTTTGACAGTCATTTAATATAAAAATAACACTAATTATATTATTCCGAGTAGAAATTAGGGTTGGGTAACAAATGTGTTAATCTTTTGTTGTAGTAATTTGAATATACAGTCTTGGTTATATTTATTGTGATACAAGTTTGGACAGGGATTTGTTGAGAGCCCCATAACAAAATCCTACCCAAAAATTAATAAATTTCATATGTAACTCATGGACATAAAAAATATATAATTGTTTATAGGAATATTCTGAAGACAGTAATTCAGAGCCAGATGTGGATTTAGAGAACCAGTACTATAACAGCAAAGCATTAAAAGAAGATGAGCCCCAGGCAGCGCTGCTCAGTTTCCAGAAGGTTCTGGAGTTGGAAGGTGGAGACAAGGGTGAATGGGGTTTTAAAGCACTCAAACAGATGATTAAGATTAATTTCAAATTGGTTAGTTAATATATTCTTAAATATTGCAAGATTATAATATTTTATGTTATATTTTCTTTTGTTATATTGCAATATGAAAATTACTTTTTTTATATTGTCTATTCAGATTTTACAAAAAAAACTCATTTTATTTTACAAAAAAATAAATTGAAATGAAGAGTTCAATAATTAAAATATTGAACAATTAATTTAAATTTATATTTATTCTAGCTGTGCCAGCTGTTTCACCCATGTCAAATTTACATTATATTATTCTGATGTGTAAGCTATATTACTGTAAGTTTCATGAAAATCTGTTTAGTTGTTTTTGGGAAAGAAGCAACAAAAATCTATCCATACTCACAAACTTTCGTGTTTATAATATAAGATTTATTCAAACCTTATTGAACCTGTACAATAGTCAGGTGTAATACTGTTAGCATTGTCTACCTTAAGAAGTGCAGAGATACTTGAAGGTGGTTTAGTTAATTAAATAATTATTATAATAAATAATATATAATATTTCTCCTCCCAAACATGTATGGCTACAAATACATGTAGTATTTTAGATAATACAATGCAAATTTACTATTACAATCAATTGCTGTGAGAAGCTGGTATCTGAGATAGGTAAATAAAGTTATAATTTCAACTGAAATAGTATACTAAAATGTATGTATGATGTTTAATAAAATTATTTGGTGTGGTACCAATTTTGTTGTAAGAAGAGTGATAAATGAAACTGACAAATTAGGAATATACTTTTCATTTCAACACTATATAAATGAATGTGTAATATACCATAAATTATTAACTATTAATGATGAACTTTGTGACTACTGTTTCAGGGCAATTTCACAGAGATGATGACTAGATACAAGCAACTGCTGACTTACATAAAGAGTGCTGTCACTAGGAATCATTCAGAGAAATCCATTAATTCTATTTTAGACTATATATCAACATCTAGAAATGTAAGTATTATATACAGCATTCAACTATGTAAGTTTACTCCTTATGACATTTATTATCTGTGTGTGAAAGTCTAATCAAAATCGATCCAACCATTCATAAGATTAGCAAGACCAAATGGACACACACACAGTCAATATTTTTAAATTATTTGTTGATTTAAGTAGCATATGTACTTTCACGGGCATTTAGTGATAAGCTGTTAATTTGACATTGCAAAATGGACAATTTTATTTATTTGTATAGATTAAAACAGAAATATTGAACTATAAGTGAAAAACTAAAATATTTTCAAATCATCTACTGGTATTTTGCTAACTGATGTATGTCTATCTAGATCAGAGGTTCCCAAATTTTTTTGTGTTGTAGACCTTGCCATATTTTTGGGTTTTGGGTAGATCCCCCATTCTTACCTGGTATTGATTTTTTGGAAATTTCTAACTGTAGTAAAGTTTGACCACTGTTGTAGACACCTTGCAGTTTGTCATAAACCCCTGGGGATTAATATAGACCACTGTGGGAATCACTGATCAACTGTGTTGACCTGCAAGTCAACCCAATCTTGCTTGATTTATTTCTTCCATTACTCTTCTATCATTTAACCTTGCTAAGTGTCCAAACCTTTTCTTGTTTACAATTGTACACTTTATAATATAAATGATTTAATTTACGGTCTCCCGATATTTCGACACTGTTACAAACATTCCAGTTATGGGTCAACTGACCTCATAAATAATGTTATCACAACAAATATGCCGTTTATATAATGTTTTTTGTGACATTTGTATAAACAAGCATAGTACACTAAATGAATAGTATAAACACACCAAATGTAGCATTCTAGAATAAATACATGCATGCTGTTACACTTGTTTTACATAGTGGTAACAAAATGTTCATATGCCACTTCATCATCATTCACATGCCTTTCGTTTTCTGCAGACATGCAAATTCATTCTTTATTGCACTTATATATGTATGTAATTCACCAGTTATGTGTACATTTTATTTTGTCTCACTTGTTTTGCATTATGGTAACAAAATGGATAGTCAAATGGACCAATTCATCACCATTCACATGTTATTCATCTTTTGCAATCATACAAATTCATCAGTTATTTGTACATTTTATTTTGTCACACTTGTTTTGCATTATTCTAACAAAATGGATAGTCAAATGCACCAATTCATCACCATTCACATGTTATTCATCTTTTGAAATCATACAAATTCATCAGTTATGTGTACATTTTATTTTGTCACACTTGTTTTGCATTATTCTAACAAAATGGATAGTCAAATGCACCAATTCATCACCATTCACATGTTATTCATCTTTTGAAATCATACAAATTCATCAGTTATGTGTACATTTTATTTTGTCACACTTGTTTTGCATTATGGTAACAAAATGGATAGTCAAATGCACCAATTCATTACCATTCACATGTTATTCATCTTTTGAAATCATACAAATTCATCAGTTATGTGTACATTTTATTTTTCCCTTTTTCAATATCTCTTAAGGGGTTATTTATAAATTGTGGAGTAGGAAGGAGTTAACAAAGTGACAATAGGTGGGAAAGGATATCAAGTTACAGGCTATTTATTGACTGTTTGTTATTTACACATATTTAATACTTAATCTAATATTGATGTATTGTAATTTTAAACAGATGGAATTGTTACAAGACTTCTATGAAACAACATTGGAAGCGCTGAAGGATGCAAAGAATGATAGGCTATGGTTTAAAACAAACACAAAATTAGGCAAACTGTATTATGACAGGGGTGATTTTAATAAATTGGCAAAAATATTGAAACAATTACATCAGAGCTGCCAGGTGAGACTAACTTATTATAATTAAGATTACAACAACATTACAAACATTTATTAACTGCCTCACATATCTATAGCAATATAAAGAGTTTTGATTGTTTCTATATTTGTAATAGGTAAATTAAAAAAACTTCTTAACTGGTGAAGAAAAATCCCTTGACAATTCACAGTGCCATCTAAATGCAAGCTCAGCAGAGAGAACTGATATAAATAAATACATAATATACCTAGAAAATACCCAGACCAATACAAACAATCATACTCATGAATACAAATGTTTGTATCATGAGAAAAATTAACCCGAAACCATTGAAAGTAAACCAGAAGCTTACCAGCCATGAAGTTTATTTGAATAAAGATTATTTCTATTTCTTAAATTATGTATGGCATTACTTACATTTACAATTTACGTCATCCAGTATATTGTATACTAGCTGTACCCGCGACTTCGTCCGCGTGGAATTTAACTTTATTTTTCTAAAATAAAAGTAGCCTAAGTTACTCCTTATTACATAAGCTAAATACCAATTAAAGTCCCGTTAAAATCGGTCCAGCCATTTCAGAGATTAGCCGGAACAAACAGACCGACAAACAAAAATTGTAAAAAGTGGTTTTTTGGTGTATGTACCGTATTTATATTCATATGCATATAGTAAAATACAGTTATTTCAATATTACAGACTCTCCAATTTTATTCATATGTACAGATAAGACTGACCTATTTATAATTTGGTGTTTTAGACTGATGATGGAGAAGATGATCTAAAGAAAGGCACACAGTTACTGGAGATATATGCACTTGAAATCCAGATGTATACTGCACAAAAGAACAACAAAAAATTGAAAGCATTGTATGAACAATCTTTGCATATCAAATCAGCTATACCCCATCCTTTAATCATGGGAGTCATTAGAGGTTGTTGTCTACTATTGTTTTATTTATATATACATGTAATTATCTGGTTTATTTAACAACCAGTAAATTTAATTAACAACACATAATATACCTATTGTATTTTAGAAACTATTATCATCTATTATAATTTTGATATTACCTTGTATAAAAATCACATGAAATTTTGAATGCCTAAAGAGACAAAACCAGTGGGACATTATATTCTACAATGACATATGTTTAATCACAAATAAATTTGTTTTGATTTGACATGTCAAGTAAGTTATTTTGTACTTAAATTTATTGCATTAAATAAAAAATTACAGGATAAGAGGCGTAACATCTTAATCGTCCTATATGTTAGAGTGTTCATTACTTCATGTCCATTCAAATTCCTTTATAAATGGTTATGTAAGTACTATAATGTTTAGGCATTCATAATTGTATACTAAACTTCTTTGACTACTTTGAAATTCTTTTGAAGCTAAGAAAAAAAATAGATCTTTTATGGGAAAATAAGTAGCACCAGTACCAGAGATACAGTTCATAATATTTTATAATACATTTACAGAATGCGGAGGGAAAATGCATTTGAGAGAAGGAGAGTTTGAGAAGGCTCACACTGATTTCTTTGAAGCGTTCAAAAATTATGATGAGTCTGGGAGTCCTAGAAGAACTACTTGTTTGAAATATCTGGTGCTAGCTAATATGTAAGTAGGTTGAATTATTTTTTAATGCTTAATTCCAAGATTGAAGATTGATTAAAACTACATAAATAATATGACATCAGATTTATTGATATTTAATTTTTTTTTGGATGTGTCGTCCATTGACGTTAATCCCTTTTATTGTATGTAGGGAGTACTTATATTTTGGCCAGACATTTCCTCTGCAGGCGGAACACATCAACACTTATCTAGAAGCTTTAGGGCTAATTTGTTCTCGTGGTATTCAAGTTTGTGATATATATTTCGATAGGATCATGTAAAATCTCGTGAGAGGTGATTCTCCATTGAGAATCCACCCTCAGATAATCCAGCTTATGCCAGGTTGTTGAAGTCTGGTATTTTACGTCTCTGATATTGTCTAATTATATACGTCTTAATATAATCAGGCAATATCAGTTCATGTATATTATTATTATGAAATTTTACAGGCTTATGAAATCCGGCATAAATCCATTTGACTCCCAAGAAGCTAAACCCTACAAAAACGATCCTGAAATACTTGCAATGACAAATCTAGTAATGGCCTATCAAAATAATGACATCAATGAATTTGAATCTATATTGAAACATAATAGAAATAATATAATGGATGATCCATTCATTAGAGAACATATTGAAGACTTATTAAGGAATATTAGAACACAAGTGTTGATAAAACTGATAGGTCCATACACTAGAATCCATATACCTTTTATATCAAAGGAGCTGAATATAGATGAGAAAGAAGTGGAGAATTTACTTGTCACATGTATTTTGGATAAGTGAGTGTACAGTCAAATGCAATATTTATAAATAGTTTTATTTGTATATTTTATTATATGTCATTGGAATGGTAAACAAGCTTACGGACCACCTGATGGTAAGTCCAAACTGTCATCTAGTGAGTTTCAGCTAGAACTTTAAAACTAAGAATTCATGCCTCTGTTTTCTTGAAGATTATCTGTCTGAACTCTTAACTGAAACACATCAACAAACCAAGCTCTTTGGCAGCTGAAATTAGTGATGCTAGTGCTCACATAGAGGACTTTTTACATAATATACCTTGGTAATGATTGATATTTAGAATGGTAAGGTGGTGGTTGAAAATGGTATCTGTCTAGTATCAAATAGTTGTAGAATGTTTACACAGTTAGTAACTACCACTCATGTATTACTAATAAGACAGCATTCAACCATAGCTACTTGGCTTGTCTAATTATTATAATGGCGTAAATATTGTATTTTTACTCTCTCACGGAGTTCTCTCCCTCTCAGGTATTGTGAGACTCACTAAAAACCCTACAGCATTACTTCTCCCTGCCATAGTTCCAGGGACGTGTTATCTATCATCAATTACAAAATTTTACTTGTATAAGGTACTAAAATGTCCTATGTAACCAATAATAGTCTATTACGATATAAGTTTGTTTGCTACTTTTTTATCAAATTTCGAACTGATTGCCGTGAGGTGCCAGTCAGCTCGCAGCGCGGAAAACGACAGTATGCATTACAGTTTTATTATTGAGTTTATTGAAAATTTTGGTGTGTTGAAAGACGTCGTACGATATACGTGCTTATTTAATACACTCAGCTCTATTACACCCTCGCCCTCACCCTATAATTGTTCGTGGCTGTATGGATGCAGCTCCCTTTACGGGATAAAGAGAATCAAAAAAAGAAATGTTAATGTGAATGTGACGTGTTGCAGCACGATAAGCGGCCGCATCGACCAGGTGAACTCAGTGCTGGAGCTGGCCAGCAGCGCGCGCGGCGCGGCGCGGTACTCCGCGCTCGACAAGTGGACCGCGCAGCTCTCCTGCCTGCACCTCGCGCTCGCCAACAAGATGGCCTAGCCGCCGCCGCACCCCGCACACCTCCCGCACGCCCGCCGCGCCGCCGGAGCACCGTCGCTGTAGTGCCGCGCCCTACACACTGTAACAAGGCTAACCCTCCCCCCCTCGAACCCAGCGCACACCGCCACCCACACGTGCGTCGCGCTGCTATAGTGCCGTCCCTGCAAAGCGATGCAACACCGCCAATAACATGATGACCTAGCCCCCCCGGACTCCACGCACTCCGCCCCCGAGACGTCCGTCACGCCGCAGCAGTGCGTTCCCTGTAGTGCGACGCAGCACCGCCGCCCGTGTACATTATTACATGCCATTAAAGGATATTCTTTCACGCGCCATTTAGCGCGGGATAGCCAGCGCACGCAATTGCATTTTACAATTTTTTGTGTTCACTCTTTCCACAAATTTTATTTTTCAAAGATACGTTAAAGATTTATAATTTATCAATAACCCTATGTTTATGTCCCATCTGCCTTTTGCAAAGATAATTAAGTATCACAATAAAGCACGCACGATAGAAGTACGCGGGAATGCGCGAGCTGGGGGCGCGGGCGGTCTTTCTCCTTCTATTTGTCTACATTTACACATCCACATGCTTTCCTGCGTGAAAGCCAATCCAAAAGAGCGTACGTGTAAAAGTAGCTTAGCGCCTTTTAGACCCTAAAGTAATATTCATAAATTACGTTACACCTTGGGTTGGGTCCAGAAAATGTGATATTGGTGGAAGTGGTGGAAGGCGCCCTAATTTTAGTGACATTTCAAATATGTAAATATTAAAACACTTAACTTCATAATTTCTAGCTGTAAAATTAGAAATTACGTGACGTCACATTGGAGAGGGGGAGTGTCAGTGACGGGAGTGCGTATAAACAATCACGAAATTCGTGTGACGTAATTATGGATGGCCCATAAGCATGTGTCTACGGCATTTGCTGGCATTGTGATTCGTAATTTTTTTTATTGGGTATTTTGGGCCAAGCCACGAAAAATTGTTTTGTCAATTGAGATACAGTGTACAGAGAGGATTATGTATAAAAGCGCGTACACACAAAGCATTAACAGATATGTGACAAAGGTATACCTACTTTTTGGCTGATTACTAATGTAGTAGCATTGTTTACACAAGAAATAGAACTTGCCAGTTGCTGACAACGTTAAATTTTATCTGTCATCTGCGCAGGCTTTTATTGATTGATTTAATACACATGTTCTATTTGCGAGTTTGTACCACAACGCGAATATATTTGTAACCCAATTGTAGGTACCGTATCTTGATATTTAATTAGTTTCACCGCAATAACTCCTAGTTCTTTAAAGATGCTTTCTTGTGTCGGTGGTATGTCGGGTCGAATTGTAGAGCGGGCGATAAGCTATCTTGTGTTATATATCTTAAGTAAAAGAGTTCTCTTTTAATCCATAAAATTAAAGACCCCCAAACCATATGGTTATTTGAGCTGGACTGTGTGTTTATTTATATTTTCTAAACGTTTTATACTCAAATGTAAATTGCACAATTGATGTTTTCTCTATATATATATATGAAAAGGACATCATAAACCATTATTTTAGGACATAAATAAGTAAACATTGCAATTTGTATGATTACGAACCGGAAAAACGGATTCGTGTACGATATTTAATACAATAACGGTAAAAAAGACAGATCGAATTATCGGTAAATATAATGCCGCTGTATTTATAATAATAGTGATGTGTATTGGATACTTAATTTGGGTAAAGTGATTTTAAATAAGTGTCCACTAGTTAGACTTTAGACTATAAGACTAGTAACATCACTCATAGGTTTGATTCCAAATTTTCATTCGCTGTAAATCTTTAGTATGTGCTATTTGCTATGATATTTTAAAAGAGCTACCCATCGTTTTACTTAGAGGTCAACGCGTTCTTTTTCCAACCGTTTTTGATATATATAAACATTTTTACAGCTAAATATAAGTCCTACACTTCTTGTATATATTAAATTTGTGAACATTTGGTTGTACATCTCGTTGTAACAGAGTCCCAATATTGTGCTAAAAATAACAGATCAAGCTCATAATAATGAAAGCTTGATCCCTATTATAAGTCTCATTCAGAGTTACTATGGGTTTTTAGAGTAATATTTTATACAAGATTTTGAATAATTCAGTATAGTGGTATAATTAACAAGTTTACATTAATTCATATTTGAGCGAAGATATTAACAAATTCACAGATGGTATCTGTGGATTTGTTAATGTTTTCGAACTTTCTAAGTTCTTTAAATTTATTTAGAGCCCAGTTTCACTGATATCTTTATAGTTTTTCAAGCAATTTGCAGCAACTGAACATGATTTACTTTGTATAATCAGCCAACGTAACTACGCTAGTTTGTAAGCGCGAGATGCTTGATAAATATAGTTGGGTAAATGAAATTGTATTATACTATTTGTTATGTGTTTTATTTTGTATTATGTGTGCTGAAGATACAAATAAATCATTTGTCTATCTACATAATTCAGTTTAAATTGGTTAATGTAATACCCCCATACTGTAGCTCTATATTTTAAATTGTAGTTTCTCGGATTTGTTTTTATAATCTTCCGAGTCCAACAGAGTGTCAGTTGGATTTTAGGTTTTGGTTTACATTATTTAAATTATATAATTTCTTTGGTTATTTTTTATTAGATTTCATTTTTTTTTTCTGATTACAATATTTAGTTCTAATCTTAAAATGAACTACTTTATTTCTACAGCATGCTGAATATCATGCTAATTCAATACAAGTTGTTAAAATAAAAGCAATGTAAAATATATATAATTAAATTAAATTGCTAAAAGAAAAAATGTAGGTAGCTAATGTCAAAAGCAATTAAAAAAAATGTATAAAATAATTAATTTGCTTAAAGAAAAAATGTAATATCGAGTTTTGGTTGGACACTAATTATTACTCAGCTTGGATAATCTGAAATTTGTAAATCGTATACATCAATATAAAAATGTGCAAATACAAAATTATAATATAATTTTGGTTTTTTATTCAAACTACAATTCTAATATAACTTTTTTATTATATAAAAGTCATAATAGGTATATAGTCTTACACTATTATATAAGTACACAATATAAAATGGACGGATTCGTATTTTATATCACAGGTTAGTTATATTTCAGTATAGACAGTATACAAATGGTTTATTGTATATATTGCTATCATATAGCATTACAATATTGCAAATACCACCACAAAGAAACACAAAGTTTAATAGATCCTTAGTTTAAAAGATTCATTTTGATTAATAATTATATTTTAAGTATGGCTGCTGATATACAGTCGGTCAGTTATTTATTGTTCGGATGCGGTGCTCGTCGTTCGTTCTCTGTCGTTTTAATCATCTTAGAAGAGGGTGAGGATTTAATTGGTATTCCTATTGGCGAATTTAAATGATGTAGAAATAGAATAGTCAATAGGAACGTTAATATCATTCGGACAACCTAACAACTGACCGACTGTATATTAGCAACCTAAATGGCACTATAGTTAAGAGACGATATGAAACCACTGGATTTCAGAGAGAATTTCTATGTACATTTAACTATTTAGATTAAATAGTACTTTATGACCTAATATAGGATGTAGTACATCCAAGTGCCAAAAATCATTGACACATTTTAGTAACAGCATAATAATAATAATCCCAATTCACACTGTGCTACCTAGTCCCAAGCTAAGCAGAGCTTGTGTTATGTGTACTAGACAACTGATATAAATACTGAAATACATTTTTTTTGTGGATACATATACAATGTACATAGAAAATATTTAGACCAATACAAACAATCATACTTATGATCTATGATGCAAATATTGTCACCGTACGAGGAATAGAATCCGCGACTAACAGAAGTAAAGCGGTGTGCAAAACTGCTAGACCAAAAGGCCGTCGACGCACATATATAATAATAGTGACGCCAAAACCACAGATATAGTTCTTAGCGTAAATCCAATCACATACAACATAATTACACTTATTCACGCACACATTTGCGCCCACAACATTTTGGCAAACGATTAACAAAATGTATATTTTTTAATGTAAACATTTTTAAAATTATCTCAAATTACTAAGAAAGATTAATAATTAATTGAAAATATTTCGTAACTTCACATTTATCCAGATATTTTCTTTTTTCAATTATATTGATTTCTTTGCCTCACATAACATAATATATAGAAATGGCAACACTTTCGATACAAACACATTAATAGAATATTGTTCTCTCTCGAAATTAAAATAAGATTTAAAGTCAGTAAAATGACGAAAAACCTTGATATGTACTATCAATGAGCCTCAAAATATTGAAACTGAATATTAGTAAATATATTTTGTTAAGTGCTTCACTTAAAAAATACCTTTAACTACTCTTATCAAAGGTTATTAATATAAATGTGTGTTATTTAAAATTAAATCGATATATTTTTTTAAAAAGATGTCGGATTGCGACCATATTTAAAAAAATATCGTCGTATAAATTTGGTTAAGAATATGAATAAATATAATTCGGGTACACCATTTCATTATCATCCATTAAAAAAATATATGCTGTCATTTAAAATGATAAGTTCTCGATTGGTCGAAGACATCGCATTACCATCATATTTAAAAAAAGACCACCCAATTAAAAACCTCCTTTCTAAAAATCGGTGAATAATATGAATAAATATAATTACTTGTCAATTTAATTACCTATGATACACCATTTTGATGTTTCTCCCATGATAACGTCAGTTGGATAAAAAACTGGGAGCGTAAAGTGGTGAATCTTGCTGTCAGTGCGCTGGTTTCTCGTGCAGCCACGGTCGGAATATTGGCAGCGTGCTCGGGTAGTGCGTGGGAGGATGCGGAGGGTCGTCGTTCTCGTCTCTGAACGGATACGTGCCCAGCAGGATCGGTAATTGCAATTTTACCTCTTTATCCAGGCTCTTGGGTTCTATTATGAACTGTAACAACAATTAAGTATACAAGGTGAATGTTTTCTTTTTCGGAATACTGTAATGTGTTGGCTGCAGCTGGCCTTTTCAGCTTCACCGGACGATAGGGGGCGAGTGTAGATGGCACTCCAAACCCGCGGAAGGATTTATGGAGCGGCTGAAGGCCAACTCTCGCCTGACGGATAGGAAATCTACTGTCTATGATTATTGAAAAGTAATCCTTAAATTCAGAGACATATATATTAATTTGAGTTATGTAATAATACCTATTGAGTTACAACTTAATAGATATTATTATATAAATAAATAAAAGGAATGTGTTATGGGACACATAGTAAAGTTCAACAGACAGCGCTGCTCGCGTGATTTTAGTGACTTACGAAGACGTCGTACTGCACGGCGATGAGGTGGCAGCCGCGCAGGTTGGTGGGCGGCAGCGGCGGCACGTACAGCAGCTCGCCGCGCCACTCGTCGCGCTGTCCGCCGCGCACTTTGCCGCGGGTGAGCGACGCCAGCTCGCGCACCTCCTTCGCCGCCACTTTGCCGTGCGCCGAGTACTGGATAGTCTACGCACAGGACCAGATCTCCATAAACCACATGTACACATGTACATTGTCAATACAAGGCAATTTACATAAAAAATGTATTATACATTTTCTATGTCACAATGAAAGATAAGCTTTCGGTTTTATCTTACTAATTTAGAAAATATTATAAACGCAATAGTTTGTGAGTATGGATGTTTGTTACTCTTTCACGAGAAATAAATTAAACTACTAAACGAATTTTTATGACATTACACTCATATAAAAAATACTCATTCAAATAAAAAATCATTTAATTTACTACATTTAGTAGGAAATTTTGGCTCATAAAAAAAATTAAATGTTCTCAACATTTAATTTTATTTATTAATATTTATTTCCTATTGTCCAGTTCAGTATACAGATTCAACAGATTGCCATGAAACTGAAGGAATTCTTTTATACACTACAAAACACATTTTATCTCATTTTAAAATAATGTAGTATTCTAAGATTTAGTGTGAATATTCGTATTGTGTAGTATATAATACAAATATTCACTCTAAATTCATAGTCAGACAAAACTAGTATGGATATTACATTTAATTTCATAATATTTCTAAACAGAGTTGTCGTCGTTTTATGATGAGGTGGTAGAGATCTCGGGTCGATTGTAGATAGAGTGATGGTGTTGATTGTGAGAGTGAGACGTTTGATTGTAAGCGATGGTTGATGGTGAGGGAGGAGGTCGGTGGTATGTTAGTTACCTCAGTGAGCGCGGCGCGGGTGCACTTGATGGTGGTGCGCGAGTTGTTGACGAGCAGCGCGTCGAGCGCGATGGACTCGCCCGGCACGAACGCGCCGCGCTGCAGCGACACGCGGCACACCACCGCGCCCCCGCCCACGCACCCCACGCCCAGACGGTGCTCCACGCTGCACTCCAACTGGTGCTGCACCACGCATCATCCGCTCACAATAATAATATAGTGACTCTCACTAGTATAAATATACCTTCGCTACTACTTCTACCTCGCTCCGATGATAGGTGGTACCAACTGCTCACATTCGTATTACATTGTTATACTAGTGAGAGCTGCTCTAATAAGTAGCACAGACTGTAGTTAATATTTCTTGTTTTAAGACAATGTCACACTTTATACATATTCAATCCTCTTAACGTGTGATGTAACTTATGGATGCACCATTAAACTTTATTATTTTGTTTTTTTAACATTAAAAGATTCGTCCTTTTACTGTTGATGTCATACTGCTTATTAAGATCATAAAATGACTAGAATAATGAAAAGAGACTAACTTTATTAAAATAAACCTCCTTATAAAAGTACTTATAGGGTACTTTTGAATATTTGTTTTATTCTGCAATCGCTTTTAGAAATCAGATCTACCCAAGGAGCATGTCTAAGATATTTGGCTACTCTTTAACAACACAAATTTTGTATATGCAACTGTGTCAATACATATTAATATAAACTAATGAATAAATATTAAATAGTACAAAATCATGAGACAAAATATTAAATTATAATATGGAAGAGGACATAGACTTCTGAAACAGATATTGTCTATACCTACCTCAGAAGTTTGGGACTTCATAAATTATTTGTAATAAATATGTGATAAAAAAAATTACAGTCAATCAGAAACATAAAACTAATAAAAAATGAATAGAAAATGAGGAGTTCTTAACTGAACTGTTCTATTTGAAATGGTTTTGATTTTCACTTTGATAGTATGACGGTAATATGTTTAGAAATAACCTTTATTCATAATAAACTTAATATAAGCACTTTTGAACAGTCACATTTTTTTTATTTTACCACTCATTCGGAACGCAGACTGGCCAAGAAACTTGTGTGTTGCTCTATTAAATAAATATTGTTTTAAGTATGAAAATACTCACAGCTAACACAGGTGGTTCCAGATTCAAATCAATTGGGTTCATTACTATGAACACTTGTTGGTTTTTATGTGTTAAGCCATTGGGTTCTCTTAAAGCTGCTTTACAATAGTACTGAACCCAACCATGAGTGCCGAGGAATGTGGACGGCAGCCCCATTGGTAGGCCCAACTTGAATGGGAAACTGTGAATACCTGGCGAAAGGATTGAAGTGCCATGACCTGAAATAGAGAATTTTCTTATATTTTTTTTTTATTTTTACTTACATATCAATAAAACACAGCTGTTGTTTTTTTTGACTTGATTCTAGGTCAAACTGTATGAATTTTCCCAAAGGCAACCTATTTGATAATTACTTTTATATATTATATTTTGATGCTCTGTTTTTATATACTAATTATTTTCTAATGCCATATTGCTTCATCCTTACGATTTTGTTCTGCTAGCTGGATATACCAATTTTATGTCATCCTCATAGGAGTGTGTCCCATTTTAAACCAGCCTAATACAGTCCCTCCATCACAATGAGAGTCCACAAAAGACTTGTGATATAAAGTGATATTAAATTTACCTTTACAGATCAAAGATTATATATATAGAATTAGACCATAGATTAGGAATGTTTAAATTTGTGTTTCCTATAGCAATTTGGGCAACTTTTTATCCACTTATACTACTTATTACAAATCCATTTGAAGAAACATGTCATATATAAGTATTCTGATGCAAAGGAAGTGCTTCAGACAATAAAATGTATATATTATATAACTTTTTTTTTCTATGACAGGAGCATATATTGTATTCACAACAAATATTAATCATATAATTTATGAAATATATTAAAATAATATCTAACAGTAGTTAGACAAAATAATAATAATAATAATAATTAATAAAAATAAATAATAATAGGCATTACCTGGTTCTCCAAGCAGTCTCATCCTGAAATCAATGTAGTTTTCCTTATCAAAGAGCCTCTCATGACGGCCATTACCAACTCTAACAACACCTTCACCAACAACATGGAAATGAAGACCTGCAACACAAATAGGGAGTATTTATTTCTTACATCCATATTATCTGATAATGAAATGGTACACCTGTCTGGGCTAATGGATTATGATGGTGGGGCAACGGTTTATGATGATGAGATGAGCATGAGGTCAGGTCAGTTAGCACATTGTGGTAAATTCACCATGAAGGTTTCCAGGGGGAGGTCAAGCTGACATGGTACTTGCTATCAGTGGAGTTATTAATCCACATTACTAACAATCCCCTTCCCTACAGACTGAATTTTTTTAAACAGTAATTCAACACTTTGTAGATCATTTCTCTCAAAAAAAATTCAGTAAGTACTGTTATAGCTATTAATAATATATACAGAGATAGCTTTACCTAATACAGGTGTGTCATCTTGCAATTCCATCAATACTTTTCCTGAGAGAAATTGACCAGGAAAATATAGCAGTGATGTGTTGTCAAACACTATGAGGAACTTCAGCAGTTTTCTTGGCATTTTCACTTAGTTTTGTTTAGGTGAGAGTATGAAATTCACTCACGGCACTAATTTAAAACACAAATCAAAGATAACACAACAGCATATAGCACAGTGATTTATGGTAATGCTCAATTATGTAAATTAATAAAACTTTTGTCACAATAACTTTGTGACAGTGAACTCCAAAATTAATTAAAATGAACTAGACTAGACCGCAGAACCTTGCAATTACGAAAGTTACACCCACGGTTTATTTTACAGTAAAGTTCTCAAATTCTTGAGTAGGTATTCGTAGGTTGCAAACAAAGTTGAGAAATATGTTAATCGAAGCCTCGCTCGAAGGCCATCAACTTAAATGATTTGGTCAGTAAAGATAGATATTTAAAATTTCTGTAAAGAATCCAGATATTACAATAACTACAGTTTTAAAATTTTTAGTTTATCTTATTTTGTATTAGTAAAATTAAAAAAAATAACATATATAAAACAATATTTAAAAAAAGTAAATAAAATATATTGACACAATTGGTAAAACAACTGACAATTCTATTTGACAATGACAATTGCACAGAGTGATCATTTACGGCTGCAATTTATTGACAGAAAGGAACACAGAGTAATTTAAGTTGTTGTTTATTATTATTCAATTCATGGCGGTTTAATTCTTTTTATCCACATTAAAGTTGTTAAAAATAAGAAATAATTAATGAGGATAATATAAATTTCTTAACACTATCGATTACAAAACAAGTAAAATGCCTAGTGAAATGATAACACTTCAACTTGGCCAATGCGGCAATCAGAGTAAGTACTTTTGGAATAACTTGATAATTAAATTGTTTCATTCGTCAATTTATTCATAAAATATTAATTACAGTTGGCTTTGAATTTTGGAAACAGCTGTGCATAGAGCATGGCATATCTCCTGAAGGTATACTGGAGGAGTTTGCCTCGGCGGGGTCTGATCGTAAGGACGTGTTTTTCTATCAGGCCGACGATGACCATTACATACCGCGCGCCGTTCTATTGGATTTGGAGCCTCGTGTAATTCACACTATAATGAACTCTCCTTATGCCAAAGTAAGTTTTAACATTTTAAATCCACTGAATTCAATCAATCATGTTTATAATATATTACAGTAAGATCCAGCTTAACACGGTGAATATGTTCCACTAAGTTCCAGCATTAAACGAGGCGCTCTCCGGAATCACTACTATCAATATGTTTATTTTCTTCTCGCTCAGTTAATTCCTTGAGCTCATTATTAGAAAAGCTAGCTGCTGTTTCTTGAACTATTTCCTCAACATCTATCAGTTATATTCTGAATCCCTGGGTTGAAATAAAGGAGTGCTAAATGAGACAGTGTTAAGCGGGGTCTTACTTTATTATCCAGTTTCAAACCTAATTATGCAATTTTTAATATTTAAGAATGCTTGAATGTGCTATTATGGCAAATGATAAAATTAATCATGAACAAGCAACTACACAATGTTTTTCTTGGAAGCTTCCTCATCTAAATTGTTATTGATTGTTTAATACTTATATTATTGAAAACTTTCTTTGCTGTTGAATATAATTTGAACTTTTTTCCTGAATACTGAATATTATACAATTGATACTAAAAAAAATATAAACAGTACATATGTTGTATGTGCAGTGTAAAAATTTGTTTGTTAATACTTTGAATTCATTAATATTTGCAATCAAAGGGAGATAAATTAAATAGAAAACATATATAGTAAATATTTTAAGATTAAAGAAATACTTATATTTCAAGAAGGGTATATTAAGGTTTCTTCAGGTTTGGCAATAAGCATTTGGCAGCCCTAGTGTTTTAGGTGTCCATATGCTACAGTAACTGTTTACCATCACATTAGCCATATGTTCTATTGCCAGCATTGTAGAATAAAAAAAAAATGACTTGTTTCAGCTATATAATCCAGAAAATGTATATTTATCTAAACATGGTGGTGGTGCTGGTAATAATTGGGCTTCTGGGTATGCTCAGGGTGAGAAGTTGAATGAAGAAGTGTTTGATATCATCAACCGTGAAGCAGATGGCAGTGATAATTTAGAGGTAATTAAGTGATATAATTTTATACAATAAATAATAATTGTCATAAGCTGCTAAATTGTTCTACATGAATCAATTATTTTTGATCTGATTTGATTAGAATGGTGTACAATTTTTTCCATCCGTTTATTTCTATTCATAGCCAACCCAAATTTAAGTCAATTACTAAATACATGCTGTTTAAATTTTCTTAGTTAAAGAATATGGCGAGACTGGATTCCCAGTGGAGATTTAAAGGACAACTTTAACGTTTTCTTTCATATTATGTAATCCGTCTTCCAGACTTCCAGTTTTCCAGTCTTACCATGTCACTAAGAAAATTGTATCATATAGCATGATTAGTAATTAACTTAAATTTGGGTTGGCTATGAATAAAGATAAACAGAAGGGAAAATATATTACACCATTTAAATCAAATCAGATCAGTAATAATTTTTTCATGTATATTCATAAATTAGCAGCTTATCAACTCAAGTTTTTTTATATTATTTATTATTTTTTCCTCAGTTCAGTGTACATTTATTATATAGTTAATACATATAAAAAACAATTTTTCTGTGTTTTTGTCTCTCAAAAATCTTTATTAGACTGTTGTTAAGGTTTAGTTGTTTGTGTTAGACATAAACACCTATATAAGTATACAATGTAAATAAACAAGGTTTTAAAAAAATTGGTTGAGATTTTGCTAGTTCTTCTCAATTGAATATATATACTGAACTGGACAGTAGAGGAAAGCAACAAACTGTATGTTTTCATATATTTTCGAAAAAAAATGAAATAAACTATATGAATTGTTTTATTGTTTGTCAGGGTTTTGTGCTGTGTCATTCAATTGCTGGTGGTACGGGCTCGGGTATGGGCTCCTACATACTGGAGCACCTCTCAGACAGATTCCCAAAGAAGCTTGTGCAAACATACAGTGTATTCCCTAATTTGGATGAAATAAGGTGCATATTGTGTTATTTTATTTAATACTTAATATTCAAAACTGTCCCTTAGTGTTCTCCCGAAATTGTTGGTTTCAAGGTCTATAATAATTTATTGTACAATTCTCACTCAACTCTTTAAAATAAGGTGCATATTGTATAATTTTACTTGATCAGTTAAGAATATTTTTTTTTAAATGATGACTTTATAACAAAAATAGCATAAGATACATTCTGTCAAAAACCGTCCTGCCGTTTCACAGATTACCAAGAACAAATAGACACACAGAAAAATACTATACATACATCAAAAAATTTATTTAAAAATGCTTTTTTATATAGTAGTTATACACAGTTTCATTATACATAGTTTCATATGCGTTTAGTGAAACACTATTAATTTGAAATTACAAACAGACATTTCAATTTCATATATTTGTCAAAGCTCGTCCATTTATCATGTGAGGCTCGCTCTCGGAGAAGGCGGGATGGGGATTCGAATCACGAAATATTACAAAGGGGAGCAGTAAAGCATCACGTGATTAACGGACGGTCTAATTGTGTATGTATGTTTCAGTGATGTGGTAGTCCAGCCCTACAACTCGCTGTTGACTCTGAAGCGATTGACAGAGAGTGCTGATTGCGTCATGGTGCTTGACAACACGGCACTGAACCGCATCGCCAGCGACCGCCTGCACATACAAAACCCTTCATTTGCACAGATAAACACACTCGTGTCCACCATTATGAGTGCCAGTACCGCCACTCTCAGGTATATGGCAACATTTATTATTACTAAAACGAAATATTTTCATTTTGCTTAATATGATATTATTTACTTTCTTTATTTCAAAGAGCAACACACAAGTTTCTTGCTCATTCTTCTTGTGATAAATCTGCGTTCGGAATTAGTAGAATAAAATATAGGACTATTTAAAAGTGCTTGTATTGAGTCATCACAAGAAGAATGAGCAAGGGACTTGTGTATTGCTCTTTTAAATAAATGTTATTTTAAATACATAATTACACAACAACAAGTAGCATGCGATAATGAACATTGAAACTGCTACGAACTACCTTCCAGCACTAATACATACTCAAAATAATGCAACCAACTGTTTGAGTAACTAAGTAAGGGTAAATCAGTCGTAGTGTTTAGATTAGACCAGTCCTCTCAAGCGGCACTGTATTAATGATTATAATTTTATTTGTAAACAGGTATCCGTCATACATGAACAACGATTTGATCAGTTTGGTGGCGCCGTTAATACCTACCCCGCGGTTACACTTCCTCATGACTGGCTACACCCCACTGTCGGCCGACCACGAGCTTAATACCGTATGTTACCACATTTTATGATAGTTATGATGCCCTCGGCGATCTAATGGTTTAGGATACCGCTTTACTTCCGATTTCTGGTCTGATTTTCTGGTCGCGGGTTTGATTCCTCACACGGTTGTATTCATCATGAGTATGATTGATTGCATTGGTCTGGGTGTATTCTATGTGTATTATATATGTATTAACAAAAAAAGGTATGTAACTATTTATATTTGTTTAGTACGCATAACACAAGCTCTATTTAGAATGGGACTAGATGGCGCTGTGTGAATTGTCCAGGCTATTATAATTAGGAAACGTCACTGAATGCAGTTGTTTCTTGTTTTAGCATGTGTAATAGCTGAACTATATCATGACAAATTTAGCACAAAGCTGATTGAGTTGGTGGCTCACCTTCAATAGCAGTGATGCTGTGACAGGATATGGACGTGTAATATCTAATCGTTGAAGGTTTTCTCGTGAGACTACAGCATGGGGTTTTTAAAGAAGGATGTAGTAACATTATTTAAGGGGAGGCAAACTTTTGGTATATTTTGTTAATGGTATAGTTATGTTTTTTAAGGGTAGCAATCCTCATTCCTTGTTGTTCTAATCTGCGATATCTCTTTAGTCTTTCCATGTATAATGTAACACTGAGTAAAATTCATCTGAAGATATTATAAATTCAATTGCATTATATTTTCTAGGCTCCAAAGATTCGAAAAACGACAGTTTTAGATGTAATGCAGAGACTGCTTCAGCCAAAGAATATGATGGTATCGCTTAGTCCAGACAGAACTAACCAACACTGCTATATTTCAATACTGAACATAATACAGGTAAATAAAATTAATATGTATCTAGTCTAGTCTTGCTTTCAAGAAAGTACATGTTCTAGAAGATGTTTAATTTGCAGGACATAACAGAACAATAGAAGAGAATCGGAAATAAGTAGTTTTCATACCTAATATAAATATGGTATTGTATAGGTATGGGTGTCTTCTATGTATAATATATATTTGTTTACAAAAAAAGTACTTATTTATATCAGTTGTCTTGTACCCATAACACAAGCTCTGCTTAGCTTGGTGCTGTGTGATTTGGCAATTTTGTGAAATATTAATATTAATATATTTACTCCATTTCTTAACTAATAACCCATGACAATGACAATTATTAAAACAGTATGTGTAAATTGTCAGGGGGAGGTGGATCCGTCGCAGGTGCACAAGTCGTTGCAACGCATTCGCGAGCGTAAGCTGGCCTCGTTCATCCCGTGGGGGCCCGCCTCCATACAGGTGGCGCTCTCCCGCCGCTCGCCCTACGTGCACGCTTCACACAAGGTCTCCGGCCTTCTCCTTGCCAACCACACCAACATATCATCGGTGAGATTTTTATATGATTCTATATTGCATATGGCATTCTCTACCAGCTAACATCAGGCGGCGTTCATGTAAAATACAATATGTTATTTAATATTTTCATGCATTCATTAATTATTACTCCAAACTATTAGTCAATCTGACCTTAATCTTTATATGTAAAAATTACGTGTCACGTTGTTTGTCCGCCATGAACTTCTAAACTACTAAACAGATTGCAAATTTCATTTGCACATTATGTGCAATTTGATCCAACTTGATCTTAATTTTACGTCTTAATTAATAGTCGCAATATTATTTTATTCAAGAACCTTAACCCCAGCAATGCGTGGCCGGGTCTGCTAGTGTTATATAAATAAATTACGATATCATTTTTTTACATACCACAATGGTGGCAAACTATCGACTGATTCTGAGTTCCTTACAGTTTTTGCATCGTTTAGTCAAGCAAAAGTAATATAACTATGCAAAGATAAATATAGCTAATATTATTTAAGACATCTGAATGATTTATTATCGTAACTCCGGCTGATTAATCATATTTTCTGGTATTTTCAGCTATTCGACAGATGCCTGCAGCAGTTCGATAAGCTACGTAAGCGTGAAGCGTTCCTCGAGGTGTTCCGTAAGGAGCCCATGTTCAAAGACTCGCTAGAGGAGTTCGACGAGTCGCGAAGCGTGGTTGACGATCTAGTCCAGGAGTACCAGGCGGCCGCAACACCGGACTATGTACATTGGAATCCAGGTAAGGTGTTATGGATGATAATGGAATAGCCCACCTGCCTGCGCTAGCGGTTTACGATGGCTGGTACCCCGCCATGGTGGAGTGAATCTGCCTGACTGGATCTCATGCTTATCCTATCGTGGAGGGTGATAGGATAAGCATAAGATCCAGTCAGATATCCCATCATGGTAATGGGGTTATTAGTTCACATTACTACAGTTCCTTTCCCCCCATTCAGGTATAGTCATGTTTCTAGGCCTAAACAGAATCCTGTACGGTGAACATACCCATGTAGTCAGCCATTCTGTATTAAATGTAAAATCTATATTAATATGATAAAGAGTAAATTATGTCTGATTGAAAGAAAAAATAATACTTGGTCTATTTTAAAGAATATTTCACCTACAAAAGGCAATTTATTAATTTATTTTATTAGAATTTTAATTGTTTGTAATAAGTAAAGGTGTCAAGTCTCCTATCCTATAATTTCACTGGTAACCCCTCCATGATACTTAGATATATTCCACACGCTATAGGATATACCATAAGTTACTTAATATAGGACTAGTTTTATATAAAAAGGGTTGAGTTATCGGAGTTTACTAGCATTTTAGGATCTTGTGTTCTTGTACACGTCGATAATGTAAGGCATTATCGATTTGGATGAGATTTGCGAACCTTACCCGATTTGAAAGTCAAGTGACGTGTCGAAGAAACGTGTCTAACGTTTAGGACAGGTGCTCCATTTGGTTGAGCAATTATATCATAATATCACCATCATAAAAACTCATTCATATTTGAAATTATTGGTTTCAGAGAGCAGTCAAATATAACAAGAACTGTAACTAAAGTATGGAATTATATTGACATTACCAGAATCTCAGAGGATGTAAAGAGATTCCAAGCGGAATAAGTTGAATAATGTATACTTACAACTTGTTATCTTATGTTAAACAAAGTGCCATTTATCACTGATCAATGTAACTAAAATTAATAATCTCATTTTGTTAATCTCTAACAACGACTCGACAAGAGCCATTAACTCTTCAACAAAAGGTTGCACAGATAAATAAATACTACGTTATTTTTACCAAGAATTTATTTTATTTTTAATAGCTAACTTTTTAACATCCCTTAATCTTCCGTACCATACATATCACACCTGTGCGGAAATCACACATTTTTAAAAGCGTCCCTGCGCTTCTGTTGCCTCCAACAATCTGGAGCTGGTTATGTAGAAACAGATGGATATGATGTGAAAAAAAAATACAGAATAGACATCGATCGACCGAAGCTAACAAAACAAATATGTTAACTATTAGTAGTAGCATATTTTTTATAAAAATAAATTCGTTTCATAATAATAATGACTAAAACTAAATCGCACTTGTGTTCTACTCTTCACAGTGCAGACCAATGGGGCCTAGATATTTTATCACTATCAATACTAATTATGGCCTTAATATACAGGGATCGATTACATTTTTTTTCAATCGTATTTTTAAATCATGTATATGATTACACAATCTCGGTATTTCAAAAAGATAAAAAACTACAGCTTTGACAGTCTGATTGTAATTTGAAGACTGTGATTAATGTTAAAGTCTGGTATAAATTATACTGGTACATTTGGCTGTAATAGAACGAATGAAGATGCGATTATTATACATACAATAATATTATAGATAGTGCATTAGTGTGTCAAATTCATGTGCAATACTGACAAGTGCGGGACAGAGATGAGCTTGCATTGAGTATTATATGAAGCGGCGTTGAGACATTCTTCCCTTGAAAGTGAAACGTAGTCTGTGCCACGTCCACCCACATAGCATTCTTGGCACAAACTTGACATACTATAGACATATAGTTTAAGTAATTTAAAAATGATCCCTTGTATGTTTAAATCTCCCATTATTGTATAGGCAATTCAATCAAAAGACATTTCTCCATGCTATAAAAATAATATTACACCTCTTATCACTAATGCAGTTCTCGGAAAAAAAACAAACCATAGATGACAGCTTGCTAGGTACAGGATGCATGTCAAATTGTAACAGGGCAAGTTACATAAGTATCAATATAATTTTTATGATTTATTAACGTTTATACAGATCCTTTAAGAAATCTCATAGTTACAGAATGGATTATCTTTTATGATATACAAGTTATACATTTATTGAGACATCATAATATGATATTTTTGTAGTAGTTATTACAATTTACTAAAAACGATGCAAACCAGCAAAACTACTAGGCTAAAACTTGACAACTGCATTATTGAATACAACTCATACATTCAAACACCCCGTCACACTCAACTATAGCTAATTTTTATTTTTACACATTAATATAACAGTTGCACTTATAAAAGTTTTGTTAAAATTTCAACACAGAATGCTAAATAAGAACAAAACATACACATAGTCAATATCAAATATATCTGGTGCCATCAAGTAAAGACAATGTGATGAAACCTAAACTAACACAAATGCTTAGAATGGTGCTGACACTGATAGGATCAAAAGCAATGCATTGTGTTGTATTAGCAAAATTAAAAGTTAAAGACAGGGCTTGATGCCTATTTGTGGACAGGGCTAGGAAGTCTGACTGGGCGGCTGGAACTTGGGTTGGATGATAGACGTCTTGCGAACGGGGACTGTCTCTGGCGTTGGTATGGCGTCGCCGGTGGGCAACTTCGCAGGAATGGCCGGCGTTTTGAATGGAGCCGCTAAATTGCTCGGCCTCTGTTTTGCCATTTGATAATCACCAGAGTCGAAGAACTTTTGCTGAAATATAATAGGAAATATATAAGTTATGAACTATTATTTACTAAGTTTCAGTTTTTATGCCTATTAGACTAATGGACTATTTAAAAATAGAATGTCAATTTGGACTGCCCCTGGACTGGAATGAATAATACTATGGACACATCGCCTACCTCTATTTTGTCCTCTGAGTCCAGTTCCCCTGGGATCTCCACAGATTCTCCTTAGAAATTATTATGGTAAATTCATAATGAGTTTTGCAGGACGAGGGTAAACCTTTTTCGTCATTAATATCCACAAGAAAAGAAAAAAAACCAGACAAAGTATCATAATATTTTATGATTTACACAGAATTGTTACTATTTTACTACTGATAATATATATACTCCTACAAAAAAAACTGTTTTTTTAATTTGTATCTTTCCTATATATTAGTCTTACTACTAGTATTACTGTAGTCTCTGGTTTAAAATGTGCATATTACCTTATGCACATTTTAAACCAGAGACTATTGCATAAATCACAGACAACAATGTAAGTATTTTTAATTGCTAGGTAAAAGAAATATAATCATGCAAAATGTACACAAAATGTACACTCACAAAGTGACTGTCTTTCGATTAGCAACCTGGAACATCAATGGATTGACTCCAAACCAACACGACGTAGCTATACTGCTGAACGAATACAAGCTTGACATAATTATGATCACTGAACTCACTGCACAAACTTTAGCAATGTAAAATTTAAAGGCTACTGCACTTACTTGACTAACCACCCAGATGGTACCTCTCATGGTGGAACTGCAATTGTAATCCGAGAAACTATTAAACACCATGTAATGGCAAATTACGAAACTGAACATATTCAGGCAACTACAGTAGCAGTGGAAGACAAACATGGCTTCTTTAACATCTCTTCTATATACTGCCCACCCAGACATAAAATAGATGAGGAGAGCTTCTCCCAATTCTACAGCACTCTTGGAGGAAGATTTATTGCAGGAGGTGATTATAATGCAAAACACACATACTATATACAACTTAAATCAAGTGCATAACTTGACATCCATCTCTACCGGGGAACCAACATACTGGCCATCTGATCCACACAAAATGCCAGACTTACTGGATTTTTTTATGATTAAAGGAATGTCTCAGCATTACTTTAAAGCGGAGACATGTCTGGACAGTTCATCTGATCACAGCCCTGTTATCTTAACTGTTAGTGTTAACATAATAGTTCGGGAAAGACCAGAAATCATCTGTAATAAAAATATAGACTGGGACTCATTCAGAGAACATATAGAGAAAAACTTAATGCTGAATATCTCATTAAATACTATCAACGAAATTGAAGAAGCTACTAAATATATAACAACTATGATCCAGGAAGCTTGCTGGAGAATTGTACCCCACATCTAAAATACCAGAAGCATTTACAAACTGGTCACTCGAAATAAAAAATAAAATTCTCGAGAAACGTCGTTTACGTCGTACGTGGCATCGAAGCAGATGTGCTGAAGATAAAACTATTTTAAATAGAGCTATTGTGGAACTAAGAACAATGATACAGGAGCACAAAAACTACACATTACAGCGAAAATTAGAGGCACTGACGCCTACTGTTTCTACAGATTACTCATTATGGAAATATACGAAATCATTTAAAAGACCACAACAAACCAAGCCTCCCATAAGAACAAAAAACAATATCTGGGCTAGAACAAGTAAAGAAAAGGCCAATATTTTTGCCAAACACCTATCTGAGGTATTCATCCCGAATCACGTACCTAATGAGGGATTTGAGAACAATGTGAATTCAGTCCTAAACCAAGATCTACAATTAGACCTCCCAACAAAGCCTGTAACAGTACGAGAGCTTTGGAGGACCATAAAGTCTCTTAAAGATAAAAAGGCTCTGGTTTTGATCTTCTCACCAAAGAAGTGCTATGCCAATTGCCAAGAAAAGCTGTAATTTTCCTAACCATTCTGTTTAATGGTATTATAAGAGTTCAGCACTTTCCAGAGCTATGGAAGGTCTCAACCATCACCATGATACACAAACCTGGAAAACCTTCTCAGGAAGCCGCATCCTATAGACCCATTAGCCTCCTTCCAATCTTGTCCAAGCTTTTTGAGAAGATACTTCTGCGAAGAATCCATTCTCAACTTGCACAAAAAAATTATTCCTGATCACCAGTTCGGTTTCCGGCATCAACACTCAACTGTGGAACAGGTTCACAGGGTCTGTGATAGAATTCGAATGACTCTCGAAAACAAAGAATACTGTTCGGCTGCTTTTCTTGACATACAGCAAGCTGTTCGATCGTAATATAAAATCAGTAACTCACACAGTTATTACCTCCTACTACGATCTTACCTGCTACAAAGACTCTTTCAGGTAAGGGAATCTGGAGAAACATCATCATTCTATGAGATCAAAGCTGGAGTGCCACAGGGGTCAATTCTCGGTCCTATGTTATACCTCATCTATAGCGGACATTCTGGAAGTGAAAGGTGTCACTATAGCCACCTTTGCGGATGATACTGCATTGCTAGCTAGTAATAAAACACCTGACATGGCTTCAACCATTCTCCAGAATGGCCTGGATCACACCTATAGGTGGTTGCAAAGATGGAAAGTCAAGACCAGCATTACAAAATCTGTCCAAGTCACCTTTACTCTAAAACGTGGAAATTGTCCACCAGTAAGATTGGATTTATTGAAAAGAAAATAATTAATGATTATGCTCTACCACATAAGGACAATGTTAAGTATCTTGGAGTACACCTTGACCGCCGTTTGAATTGGAGGGAACATATTAAAACCAAGAGAGAATGCTTAATGATTCGCTTTAAAAACCTTTACTGGCTTATGGGTCGAAATACAAAACTGTCTATTGACAATAAACTACTGATTTATAAGTCCATTCTAAAACCTGTATGGACATACGGCATACAACTTTGGGGAAGTGCGTCAAAGTAAATGTTAACATCAAACCCAAAATATTATACTGATATCGGGTGTCCCTTGGTACATCACCAACAACGAAATTCACAAGGAACTCCTGACAGTAAAAGAGGAGATCCTCAATTGTAAAGAAAAATATAAAAAGCAACTATGTAACCACCCAAATCAACTGGCTGCTCAATGACTACAAATAATTTACCCCAAGCGACTAAAAAGAAGCGACATTTAATGTTTGCATTGCTTAAGGAGTAGATTCGCCCGTGGGGTGGACACTTTTCTTAATCCCACACCCAAAAAATCTGCTCATAGTTCCGGGATATGATTGCAGACAGGAAAAGAGTTTTTAAAAAAAAAAATTATGCAAAATGTATAGTAAAATCCACAACTATCTACTACTCATCTACATGATATGTATCAACTATCAGCTACATGATAAGACCGCCTTTAGCACATCAAATACTTTGTTAAGTATAATTGTTGTATTATATATTATATCTTTGCGTAGAATAAAAAGTTAATAAATCAATAAAAACATAGTGATGTTATTTATTGATAGCTAGACATTACACAATCTATGTCATAAGAGAGTTTAACTAGAAACAGTAACAATGTCTGACAGTAGTAAAACAAAATATTTACCCCTTTAGCTAGTCTCTTCTGTAGAAATGCGGAGTGTCCCCCAGGGCCTCTCATAGCATTCGGAAATTTGGCTTTTAGTTTGGCCTCTTCCAGTTTCTCCAACTCTTTTGGCTGTAATTGAAATCACTCATAATTTATTATCATCAGACTTCAAAAAGTAGAAAATAGTCAATTGTAAATGTATGGCCTGGTAAGTCTTACAGTAAATTAAAGTAATCTCTACAATAGTGGTCATTATTTATACATAAAATTAGAAAAGTCATGAGATCTCACTACATTTTATTTATTTTTATTGAGTTTGTGCCAATAAACATAAACAAAACATGGTAAGATCCAATCCAAGCAATATATCAGCAATGCTCAAATAAAAATCTATTTGATTACTTTTTTAATCCACATCTAATTTGTCATGATATAACTTACACTAATATCTGTTTTTAAATTATGAAACATGTTTTTTCATACATTACAATGTAAAATATATGCATGTGGATTATTAGTAACTAGCCGTGCCTGCAATTTCACCTGCATGAAATTTATAATTTAACACATAGGCGTGTTGTTTTGATGTATAAGCTATATTACTGTAAGGTTTCATCAAAATCCGTTCAGTATTTATGCATGAAAAAGTAACAAACATGCATACATCCATCTCTCTAACCATACTCACAAACTTTCGTGTTTATAATATTAATATAATTATAAACCTGCACAGATTACATTATCAACATGTATATAAAGAAAGTTGAAATAAAATATGAAATTGTATTCATAATATGAATTATAATATGCAACTTACATCTTTTGGTGGTTCATTTTGATCTGATGAGTCACTCATTGCGATTACTGAAACAAATTAATTTTAAGATACAGTAGGTATTTTGTTAGCTGATATGAAATCTATAGAAAACATTTACCCCAACTAACTCTTATTTAATTAACTGTAATAACTGAATTATATTATCATACTGGTTTTTCATTTGCACTATTATTTAGATGCAGAGATTCCCAGGCTAAGTGGAGATGGTTTTATGATACAATACTAGAAAACAGTAAGTCTGTTTCAAAAAGTGATATAAATAAAAATAAAGTTCAAAGGTAGATTTGAAATTGCAATAGAATTCAAATTGAATTTAATATATGAGCTATTTTACACATAGAGATGTAAAAATTACCAAGTGGACATTGAAAAAAATTGAGTTGAGTAAATAGTGACACTAAATAAAAAGCTCCTCTGAAGTTGGCCTATGATCCAAGTTGTATTTCGTGATCATGAATACCCATCCTTTATTATACAAGAGTAAAGATGCACTTTCAGCAGCACCAGAGACATCATAAACAAAGGTAGGTTAGGTTGTTTAAATTGTAAAAACTCAACAAATAATCATTTCCGCATCTTAATATTAATGCAAGTAGAAATTGACATAATATAATATGTAATAAAGATAAAGGAAAATTTTAGAAAAACAAATGTATTAAAATACATTCAGGTGAACATTTGGCAACTAATAAAGAATTGCTTCTTCTAATTTAATAAATATATTAATATTAATGTTTCACGTATGCACAATAGGAATGGAGAATGAATGTTTCCGGTTAATTTGCTTCTACTTACAATTTTAAATTAACAGAAATTATTGTTTGTTTACACTTTCAGCAATCACATGTGATTGACTGTCATTATCAACAGTAACAAGTAGTTTAATTGCTTTATGAGCTAGGAGAACTAAAAACTAATATATAAAATCAGAAATAATGTAGTGAGTACATTTAGAGGGTAGAAAGTTATCTAAAAATACTTGTACATCGCAGATTGCAGGTGGATAATTGAAGTGCAGACTAATACGAAAGTTGTTTACCTTGAAATATTTCGGCAAGTGCAAATTCTTTTAAAAGAATTATATTTAGTTAATATTATAGTTTAGGAAATTGACAACGAAAAATAAAATTCGAATAATACGCACGTTTATCAGTTATTTTCCAAAAAATAATGATGGGATTATTAAACAGTCAATTGTCACAAATAAAAATGGCGTTTGTTTTATTTTTTTTCTGTGATTGGAAGCATTACATTGTCCAAATAATAATTTGTCAATTAATAAAAATAAATAGTCACTTTATGCGTTTTTTAGATTATTATAAGTCTTTATAAATTTAACACAATATCTCCTATTTTGGGTTGTGTAACATTAAAGAAAACTAAAAAAAAACCAATATTTCATATTATACATATTGTATTGTATATCCTGTGGACCAGTGTAAGAGATGAGTGATGGAAGACATCAAATATCTTTATTACTGTCTGTGACTGTCACTGTCACTGTTGCGGTGTGTGTGTTGTATACTTTTGTTATTTTGTGTTATTTTTGATCTGTGATTGTAACAGAGTTTGAATTGCTTATATTATTATCTTTTAGATAACGAACAAATTAAGGTATTTTTATTTTATATCTTTCTTTAGATCTTTCTAAAATGGAAGAGGATATAATCGAGGAGGATGTGGATGGTTCAATTCATAGTATTCATGTTCGCAATTTTTTTTGCCATGATAATTTAGAAATTACTATGAATAAAAATGTGAACTTTATTGTTGGTCGCAATGGTAGCGGAAAAAGTGCTATCCTGGCGGCCCTAGTCGTCGGTTTAGGAGGCAGAGCTTCTGCTACTAACAGAGGCAGCAGTTTAAATTGTAAGTTGTGTTAATAATGTTTCTAATTAGGGCAAGGTGTGAGGAACTAGAATATAGGACTTCCTGGAAATTATTATGCTAAATTCCTGGAGTAGTTGCCATGATGAGCTAATCTGAATTCATCCTTATCTAATTATCTGCTGGGCCCCCACCTACCAGCAGGTTGATTAGCTTTACTGCAGGCGGGTGAATCCTATCATCTATGAAAAAGAAAATTCCACAACTAAATATTTCTTGCTTGAAAATGAATAGTGATCATAAAATTTTACCAAATTGACACCTAGCTTTATGAAGTGTCATATGTGATCTGTATTGTTTGTCCTTTATAAAACATGTAGCATTGATTAATAAAATAGTTTTTGCTTAAAAATAAAACATTATGAAATGTAAAAATAACATCTTAGCTCAGTAAAATGTAAAGACAAAAATTATTTGAACACTGGCACTCCACTTTTTCAACCTTCAACAATGTATTGTGCAAGTATTCATAAGATGATTATAAACTACTTGTGCCCGTATTTCACCCGTGTAAAATTTATAGCCTATGTGTTATTCTGATGTATAAGCTATGTTATTGTAAAGTTTCATTAAAATCCATTCCCTAGTTTTTGTGTGAAAGAGTAACATACATCTATCCATACTTACAACCTTTCTTGTTTATAATATTAGTGAGATAATGTACAGATAAAGTTGCAAATAACAATGTAGTATAAAATTGAATCTGAATACTGAATGAAACTAAACATTTAATGGTCTGTTTTCAATTTTCATTTAACGGTCATATTTTAGTATATATAAAGTCTACAATGAACAATATTATGTTTTCATTACAGTCTTTCAGCATGTAATTTATAATTTCAGCTCTTATAAAGAAAGGTGCTAATTCGGCTACAATAGAAATAAAAATAAATAATAGCAGTGAAAAGGCGTACAAACCGAATCTGTATGGAGACTATATAACTATTGTAAGGCACATTAATGCTTCTGGTGGATCCAATTACAAAGTGAAATCAGAGACAGGTAACTATATTAAATAAATTCTTAATTAATTTATGATAAACAAAAATTTATTTTTTTTCCCAACAATAAAAGAGTCAACAAAACAAGAAAATTATTTTTACTATAATAATTATTTATAGTTGATTGATTACATACTAATTCATTTCAAATTGTAACCACTGTAATAAATGTGATGATCCTTATTACATCAGCTATCTACCAAAAAAAGTCCCGTCAAAATGGTCCAGCCATTTCAGAGATTAGCCGGAACAAACAGATAGATAGACAGACAGACAAAAATTTTGATAATGATATTTTGGTGTATGTACCGTATTTATATTCATATGCATGTAGCCAAAAATTGTTATTTCAATATTACAAACAGATACTCCAATTTTATTTATATTTATAGATGTATATATAATAATAATTTGGTATATGTTATTGCTTTATAGGTGAAGTAATATCAACAAAATTTGAAGAAGTTAATGCTATAATACTAGCTCATGATATACAAGTGGACAATCCAATATCAGTACTGAATCAGGATGATGCCAGGAGCTTCCATGCATCAGATTCTAAGAAAAAGTACTCCCTCTTTAGAAAGGCTACAAATTTGGACCAGACAGAAACAAATTATATCAGGGCTTTGGAGAATTGTAACAAAGCAGTTAATATATGGAATAGAAAGAATGAGGTAAATACCCACTAACAGTTTATTACTTTTATGCTAGAACCCACTTAGGTTTTGTGTTATCAACTTATCACATAATTTTATTAAGTAAAATATACCTTTGTCTTTGAGTTGGTCTTGAATTATTTTTAACTGGTGACCCATCCTGGCTTCCTCACGAATACATTACAAATCTTTAAAATTCTCGCCACTTTCTATACTATAACATGCATGTATTATACATATAAATCTTCCCCTTGAATCACTCTATCTATTGCTCAGAATTGCATTAAAATCTGTTGCGTAATTTAAAAGATATAAGGGAACAGATAGTGCCAGCGTCCTTGTTTTTTACTATGTAAAAATTAGTTCTGCTCATTTCACAATTCATTAAACATCATAGAGTTCAAAATTCATATAGAATTTTTAATTTTATAGAATAACTTTATTGGATTGGGTATATATGAAATCCCATGTGTTGTAACTAGCTAATAAGAAATGCATTTTATATTCTCAATTTGTATTTAAATTATTATTCTTTTGTTATTTCATTCTATTATTTTCAATACTAACCAAAATATATATTTTCTTCTTATACCTAGTCTTTATTCCTTTACCTATATACAAATATAATAAAACTACAATATCATGCATAATTAAAATTAGAATATTAAGAATTCCAACTTATCGTTATAATAAATCGAACCATTTCTCTTCAGTCGTGTATAGAATTAGAAAAAGAATATAAAAAATGGAAGCAAAGTCATGAACAACTGCAGTCAAAAGACGAGATTGAAGCAAAGAAGCTGGCTCTACAGAATGAATATTATTGGAGTGAGATAGCTGAGTTTGAGCGTGAGGCGACAATAGTGCAGACTCAATACGACAGACAGCAGGAGAGGATCAATAAGCTGGCCGAAAAACTGAGCACCATTAATGAACACTTTGGAAGTAACACTGAAGTAATTGAGTAAGTTTTTACAAATTTACGGTTAGAATTGATTTAGTTTTTATTTTTCTCCAAATGTGATTTTGTTTCATCACATATTGTAAAATAAATGTACATTAATGTGAAGTAAAAGATATAAGATAACATACCCTATGTCCATTCTCATACTTTTATCTTTTAAATTTTTACGCCAAATGTAAAGAGCCACGACAGTCAGTTGTTTAGTTCTGAAAAATTAAAGCAAACAAACATTCACTCGCATTTGTAATATTAATATGGAAGTCTATATTACTCAAAGTAATTTAAAATACTAATTTTTTTAATTGGTCTTATAGTTTTGAGTTTTTTTACAAACATTTAAAAAGATATCATAGAAAATGAGGCATGTTTTTAAGATAACAGAGCAGTTTAATATAGCAGAGCGGAGTTACTGAATTAGAAGAAGAATTGGTAATGAAAACAATAGGCAAAAAGAACAAATTTACAAAACTGCCCGTGAATATAATTCTATATCTAAAAAAAATAAACATATTTTCTCTTTATAATATTAGTGTCCATTTCATAATTTGTATTATATTTTTACTGAATGGTTTTATAACATTTTGTTTAATTCTACTACCATAAAAACAAAATAATAGAATAGAATAGAATAGAAAATAGAATAGAAAATCATTTATTATATAAACTTAATTTAAGCACTTTTAATAGTCATAACAATTTGTTTTTTATCTACCACTCGTTCGATGTCTCATCACAAGAAGAACGAGCAAAATTGTGTGTTGCTCTTTTAAATAATCCTTGTAAGTTTACATTTACAAGTCGAAACGTGTGAATACAAACTACCAACAAGCACTAATTTTTTGGGTCAAATATAATCATGCAATAAGATTAAATCAGTCGTAGTGATAAGAGCAGACCAGTCCCTACAAGCAGCACTCGTTCACGAGTATGACGGATGAGCCAGCCATCACTGCGCTCGACCATATTTTAGTAAGCCCATTGACCCGGCCCACCACGCCGCCACATGTCTGGACATTTTAGTGATCATGACTACTCATTCCACACGAATCACAGCTACAAAAATTACTATATGGTAGTTACAGTATTCGCACTTTACATAAGGATGCATGCGGCAATCAATACAAAAATACGCTATCATATATCAAGAAAGCAGTATGAAAATTAAAATTATAATGTTGTCCGCAAATATACTTATTCTTGCTATATATTGCTATCATCTATAAATTCATCTATCTTATAATAGGCTTTTTTACATAACATTTGTTTAATATAAGATTTGAATTTCTCTGTAAGATTTAGCGTAGACTCTGGCAGTTTATTATAGAATCTTACGCAATTACCATAAAATGAATTACTAACTTTGTGTAGACGGCATTTCGGTAAAATTTTTTTTTTTTTTTTTTTTTTTTTTTTTTTCTTTTGTCTATCTGCGATCAGCCAATTAGCTTTTATCAGATTTTATAGCTTTCGTTATCTGTCGCTTTGAGTTACCACATCCAATAATGTGGTCCTCTTTTTATATACATCAGCTGTTTTAAATCGAAGCCAGACGTGACCTTTTCAGCCTGCATACGTAATTCGAGTCCAGGAGAGTTGTTGCTAGAGGGTTGGTATGGTGTTGAAGTCTTTGCCGGTAAGCCTTACATGAGCGTTTTATCTCTTCGTGCACCGTTGGGATCTCTGTGTAGTCATGCACCTCCCGGTTTTTTACATACCAAGGTGCATTGGTTATGATCTTTAACACCTTACTTTGGTAACGCTGAATTATTTCAATATTGGAATGACTTGCCGATCCCCATAGCTCTATACCATATGTCCATATAGGCCTTAAGATGGATTTGAATATGAGAACCTTATTTTCCAGGCTTAGAGCTGATTGTCTGCCTATTAGCCAGTGTATGTCTCTAAGTTTTATATTTGCCTGTTCTCTTTTGGCCTTAATATGATCACGCCAAGTAAGTCGTCTATCGAGATGCATACCCAAATATTTAACGGTATTGTTATGAGGCAGAATACAGCCGTCGAGCGTCACTGGTGGGCAGTCTCCTCTTTTCAGGGTAAAGGTAATGTGATTTGATTTTTCAGCACTGGCTCTTATGCGCACACACAACCATATGGTTCAGGTGTTCTTGTAGTCTTGCTGTAGCCACTTCAGGTTCTCTGTGGCAGGCAAGTATAGCTGTATCATCTGCATATGTTGCAATCACCACATTTTCTGAGGTAGGTAGATCTGCAGTAAAAATGGTATATAATAAAGGACCCAACACGGAACCCTGAGGAACACCAGCATCTATTGGATATAAGGAGGACAAACAGTCTTCGTATCGAACTTGAAATAGTCTGTGTTCTAGGTAGGATTTTATAAATAAAAGCAGAGTTGGACACAGTTTAAGCTTATATAACAGGCCTTTGTGCCAAACTCGGTCGAAAGCTTGCTGCACATCAAGAAAGGCAGCTGAGCAATATTCTTTCTTTTCCATTGTTTGCCTGATGGTGTGAGCCACTGTGTATTTGTTCTGTCGTGCCATGTTGTTGGCGGAAACCGAATTGGTGATGTGGTATAACATTTTGATCTTTTAGATGCGTTAGGAAACGTTTCAGAATAAGTTTCTCAAGCAGTTTTGACAATATTGACAGGAGGCTTATTGGTCTATATGAGGTTATTTCTGTGGCAGGTTTTCCTGTTTTAAGAATCATGTTTATGATGGAGACCTTCCAAAGGGAAAATATTGTTTTCTCAATATTGCGTTATAAAGAATGGTCAAGAGAAGAATACCTTTCTTTGGTATCTGCTTCAGGACTTCAGCTGTTATTAAGTCAAAACCAGGTGCCTTTTTATTCTTTAGACCATTAATGGTTCTCCTGACTTCTGCAGGTGTAACTGGTCGTAATGGCAATGACAGTTGTTGATCGCTGTTTATAACATTGTCTATTTCTGTCTCTGAGTCGCTGTCGTCTGACTTATTAGGCGTAAAAGCGTCTTTTAGGAAGTGAGCAAAGGTCTCAGCTTTATCATCTCAACCAACCGCCATTTGTTCCAATGGTGCATTGTGTTCCTGTGGTCTTCTAAGAGATTTTGTTACTTTCCAAACATATTCTTCTGCCTTATGTGGAGATAACGTCTTTAATTTGTCTTGAAGGGTTTTAGTCTCACATTCCTTTAATTATTTAGTTCTTTTTGGGCTTTATTTAATGCCTTTTACACAAGATCTCTGCTCGTCTGCCATTGAAATTTATCAATCTTGATTCTAATTTCAAGTATAATTCTTGTTTTGTGGTTCTATCTCAATACTAGGTGTTGACTTCCATGCGGCTGTTTGTATCAAATTTGTGGTGTACCATGTAGCATTATCAATATCTTCTTCGGTTTTGAGAGGTACGTGCAATTTTGTATTCTCTTCGATGTAATCTTTAAATGCTGGCCAATCTGTCTTTCTATTATACAAAGCCTCACGTGGCTCTTTCGAGATAAGTGTGGTGCTTAATGTACATATTACTGGCGAATGGTCAGAAGACCCATCCAGACATGATTCAACTTTTGTGTATAATCCAGATATCCCTTTGGTTATGAAGAAGTTATAAGGTCTGGTATTTTATTACGGTCAGAGGCCAATGTGTTGGTTCTCCAGTGGTAAGTACGTTCATATTTTCTTTCAATGATTTAAACAATTCTCGACCTCTAGTGGTGGTAAAACGTGAACCCCAGTAGGTATTTTTAGCGTTCCAATCTCCTCCGAATATATCTGCAACCTAAATATAAGTCATTGAATAATTGTTCGTCTAGTCGATGTCTTGGGGGACAGTATACAGCGATAATTTGGAGTAATCCTTGGAATCATCTAAATATTCGTAGCGAAAATTTAAGGAAGAACATGATGTTTTATGTTTCCATTTAAGAATTGGGATGTGCCATCAGGGTGTTTTATTGTATATGTTATACCCCTTTATTGTAATAATTCTACCATCAGTCATGTGGGTTTCCAATACTAAAAGAATGTCAATTTTGTTGTGATTGATAAATAATTCCACTTCCTGCTTATTGAATGATTAACATTCCATGTAGCAATTCTGAGATTTTTTACTTATTATATTTGGCAATTAATGTTGTGAAAGTAATTCCCATCTGTTGAATATATATCTATTTTTTCTGATTGTTTTATTAAAATTTGTTGTAACAAATTTGTTGGCTGATGTATAGTCTCTGATGTCCTACCCCAGTTTCCAGAATTTCTGGTCGCGGCTTTGAAGACTTTTGGATATATTTATATCATCATTAATATATAAGCAAGAGAGAGTCTGTTTTGTGTAGTGGAGGAAATTCATTCATTGTTGGCGGGTACATTGGAATAAGTGGTTTAGTTGGCTGTTTTTTAATAAGTGGTGTTTTTGTACTTAATGGCTGTGTCATTTTTCTTGCCCTGATTTCTTTGTATACCTGGCAACCCTTGTAATTGGCTGGGTGGTTACCAAGGCAAAGGGTACATGTTGCAGGTGTATTTCTGTCCTTTTTTGGACATTCTACAGTCTTGTGTCCTTCAGCGCATTTGACACATCTATATGGACGCATACAGTTGTTTTTTGTGTGTCCATACTGCTGGCACCTGGTACATTGTGGGATTTCACTTTTCAAAGGATCAATTTTAACTCTAGTATGTGTATATAATCTATTCTTTTTATATCTGAGTTCTTTGTAGGTTCAATGTTCACAAAGAACATATTTAGCGGCTTCTTATTTCTTCTGGATATTGCACATATTACTTCACCTCTGACTTTATTTCCAGTTTTTTCTATTTCTTCTATAATAGCTGTTTTCGGAGTGGTATGATGTAGATTTTTGATCACAATTCTGTAGCATTTATTTTGTTTTTGTGTAAAAGTGTGACCAATAAGTCCATTGCTTCAGTATCAATCAAGCTTTTGTAGGTTTCAGTACATTGTGTCATTAGTCTCAGCTGATCCTTGTTGATTATTTTGTATGAGTAGTTTTTTTCGGTAAAATTAGCTTATTTTTATTGCGTAAGTTTCTACTTGTACAGTCTTTAAGTTTCTTGAAACTATCTAAGTTTTTCCTTGTATACATAATATTTTCATAAATGTACTGTGAGGCAACGGTGAGGATATTTGATTGTTTAAAGCATTGACGTAATGACTCTCTAGAACCCATACCATAAATACTCTCTTTTGTAAAATAAATATAGTATTTATATCGGCAGCTTTACCCCATAGCAGTATGCCATATGACATAATGCTATGGAAATAACTAAAATATACAAGTTTTGCCGTCGCCACGTCTGTTAATTGCCTTATCCTTCTAATTGCATAAGCAGCAGAACTAAGTCTACAATTTTGAAATATGGGGCCCCCATTGTAACTTCGAGTCCACTGTTATTCCTAAAAAATAGGTATCATTAACAAAATTTACTATTTCATCATTAAGCAATAGCTGCGTATTTACTTGTTTTACATTAGGCAGCGTGAATTTAATGCACTTAGTTTTGTTGGAGTTCAATAATAGATTATTACATGTGAACCAATTTAGTATAGCAGATATAGTTTTACATCGTCTAATTGATTACATTGGCGACCAATTTTAAACACTAACGAAGTATCATCCGCAAATAACACTATGTCTGCAACTTTCTGAACCATGTAGGTCATTTATATAAATTAAAAAGAGAAATGGGCCTAATATTGAACCTTGAGGAACGCCCATTTTTATATTAGTTCCTTTAGACTTTACACCATCAATATCTACAGTTTGCACCCTATCCTCTAGATAAGTTTTCATTAGACTTAGGTCATTATCTCTAATACCATAGTGTTTGAGCTTGTACAAAAGTGTTTCATGATCTACGCAATCAAACGCCTTCGACAAGTCAAAATTTATAGCATCCTGTGATTTTTCCCATGATTCGAATATATGTGTAATAAGCGCTACACCTGCATCAGTAGTAGACTTGCCGGCAGTGAAACCATATTGCTGACTGTGAAGCAGTCCGTTATCCCTGAAGTTTTTGTGTGAACATTTGGTTAAACATAATCTTTTCAAATACTTTACTTAGAACTGGCAAAATAGAAATTGGTCTATAGTTGCCTATAAATCTATCTCCAGATTTAAAGAGAATTAATTTGCTAAATTTCATTAATTGAGGAAACACGCCATTATCAACACATTTATTGAAAATAGTAGCTAGATAAGGAGCAACAATATCTATGAATGAACTAACTACTTTAACTGACATGTCCCAGAGATCTTCCGTATTTTTTAAATTTAACTGTTTGAATATTTTTATATATGAAAAGGGCTGACATGTGAAAATTTAAATGTTAAAGACAGTCTTTCACATTAATTTCCATAATGTTTTTGCCCGAATTATAGATGAGTCTAGAGAAGATGTAATATCAATTGGAATATTAGCAAAAAAATCTTGAAAAATATGAACTATATCTTTTGTTGCTGTTATTAACTTATTGTCATAATTTAATGAGAATTGATTGCAGGCTTTTTCAGACCGTATATAATTCCCCAGATGGTCTTAATTTTGTCAGAGGACTGATTAATTTGTTTATTTATAAAATTAGATTTAGCTGCAATACAAACTTGTTTGAAAATTTTAGAGTAATTTCTCACATAAGTTGTAAATTTGTCATCAAATCTATATTTTTTTTATCATATAAATCAAATAAAATGTTTCTACTTTTTATTCCTACTGTTGCCCATTCTGTAAATTTAGATTTAACACAATATTCTATTTTCTTGAAAATATTCGGGTATTCTTTTGACAAAAGACTAATTAACTTATGTAAAGAATATCAGGATTATTAAGACTGACAGATTGTAACTCTAAGTCTAATTTATATTTAACCGTGCTTTTGTATTTATTAATATTGTAAGCATTTATTTGTCTTTTTGATCTTTTATTATTGGTATTTTTTTTAGTCTGATTACTAAACTTAACAACTTAATTTTTCAATATACTCACAGTTACAAAAAACATTGTCAAGACAAGTAGCAGTCGTAGCGGTTACACGAGTGGGTTCCTGAAAGACATTACTCAAATTAAAAGACTGAAATAAACTAATAATTTTTGTACATGTGGGTGTATCACAAAGAATATCAACGTTAAAATCACCACACACAATGATTTTTTTACTGCTATTAAATACTTTTTTTAATATATCCTCCATCACCTCTATATACATTATAATCACTATTAGGAGGCCTATAAACACATATAAGTATATAATTATCTAGTTCTATACATGAGATTTCTGTACAACACTCAATAGAAAGTCTAACAATGTCAGCACGTTCCTTTACTTTAATATTATTTCTTGCAATTATCATAGACCCACCTCTGTTAACTGACTTTCTATTGAAGCAGCTGACAACATTATAATTATTTAAACTGAACATCATATTGCTTTCTTTAAGCCAATGTTCAGTGAAACAGATAATGTCAATATTGTATTTTTCAAAAAATAATTGTATAATTAATTCACTGCCGGGAAAACTTTGTATGTTCTGATGAACAATTACCAATTCTAATTGCTTTCCCTTTGTCTTTGTTAGCAGTTTAAATCTGCAGTCAAATTACTTATATCAATATTTAAACAAAAATTAATAGAATCATTTGTTATGTCACAATTTTTATATTGAAGTTTACCATGTAAACTGTTCATGAAGTCCCTATTATAAGCCACTAAAGTGGCTATTTTATTCTTAGAAGATTTAGAAAGATACATTGTATCTTTTGTCAAATAAAAATCACTAATAAAACTATTAGTGTCAAAAAATGTAAAAACGTCACTATGACGACATGTCAATGTATGCAATAAATTATTAAGGTAATGTACCTTATTGTTAATTTTTTATGATAATGGCTACTTGTATAAATACATTACAAATCTTATATACATTCAATTGTAACAAATATTGAATACCTTTAATTATATCCTGTCTATTTAATTTAATACATACCGAAAAATAACACAACTGTGGTCATTTTATTTATTTTAGCTAGATTTAATTAATAATTTGTGCAAATGATGCCCCTGTAATTTAATACATACCCTAAGATGATACTTCAATATAGACCCAAAATTACAGCCTATTCTGTCAGAAAACACCATTGTTTTTTACTTATAGTCACTGACACAAATCCCCTGAACTTCATTTATCTGCACAGTTGATGAATTATTATTTGGCAAAGTTGAATGATCACATGTACAATGTTTAATTAACGATCAAATAAGCATTGTATTTACTGACATCAATATATCCATTGCCAAAATATGCTCCTGGATTTGTTTTTGTGAGATAGTATATTGTTAAAATCATGAAGCATTTCTAAATTCTCAATTTGTATTTAAACTTGTATCCATTATATAACTTTTGTTATTTCATTCTATTATTATTATACTTATTAATATATATAATTTTAAATTGTTTAAACTAGTTTTTATTCAGCTTTACCTATTTACAAATATATATAAAATACAATATCTTAGTTATAAACTTTTTTAATTTTAAATATTTTTTTAATTTATCGTTATGACTAACATACACCATGTTATTATTATAGTTGCCCTGTGATGTGTCACTAGAAAAAGGTCAATAAAAACTGGATGGCTGCATGGAACTGAAGTCAGAAGGAGATACAGCACACTAATAAGCTCATCATATAAATATTAATCTCATTACTTTGTTGAGATTCAAATTTTGTGTCAAGATCATTAATTTTTAGATATGCCTGCTTTAACTCAATACCAACTCAGGATACGATCAATAAGCTTGCTCAAAAACTGTATCACTACATTAATGAACACTTAATAGTTCTTGAAGCTGATACACTGAATAACTTTCTGATGACTATTATGAAGTTCTGACAATTCAGATTTTAATTGATTTTTATTTATAATTTTTAAATTTCATTTTCTCTTCTCTCTCCCTGATCATTGTCAAATCTTTGGATGCCTTAAGTTCTTGTAAAAGATATAAGATTCATCTCTGTCTGCCTATGTCCATTCTCATACTTTTAGATAGTGACATTATTAAGAATATAAATAGTTACTAGGGACAGTCAGTGAGCTATTTCTGAAAAAGCTAAGTAAACGAGAAACAAACATTACTATACAGTTTAAGTGTTAAAATTGTGAATAAATTCTATATATTATATACAAGTTATATTTATAAATTGATAATCTAAATAAACGTTTTAACTGAATAACGAAATAAATGTAGATAAATTGTTTTTTTCCCTTTAAATTATAATAATACAAAATATAAAAAGACTTACAATTAAATTATGGGCATTTTTTTTCGACGTATGCAACAACCGAACTTCACTATAATTATTATTAATTTAACTTAATATGAATATTTTATGAAAACTTGCAATGATTATGAGTTTCTTGGGATAAATCCAAGAAACAATTGCAAAATAATTTTGAATAAAACTTAGTTGTTCACGAACAGTTTGACAGATGGCCGGTAATATTTGTAATGTCGATTTTTGCTAAAAACTAAACTACACAAACAACAATCGACACTAATTACAATATTAGATCACTAATAACAATATTGAAATTATATATTTGTATGATAAACAATTAAAATTTATTTATTATTACGGCCATAAAAATGACAATTGTCGTAATATAAGAAAAAAAAATAAAAACAAGTAATGATATGGACTTCCGCACAATAACATCTAACTCAATAAAATATATATTTTTCTTTCCTACCAGTGCATTGAAGAATCGTTTGGATGAAAACAAGCTTGAGAAGACAGCACTGGAACAAGAATTGCGCAGTCTGGAAGACGAAGTCCGAGAGACGCAGGCGGCGTGGCGGACCGCGCAGCACGTCTCCAGCAAACAAGCCGAGCTGATCAATAGGGAGAATCGGAAGGTGGCCGATATCGAGCAGGAGATCGCCAATATCGAGTGAGTCTAGATAACATTGTACTGCATTGAAATATTAATTTACAAGCGACCTGTGCCGCCGTCGCAAGGATGGAGGATTCAAACACGCATGTATTATATAATAAAACTTCGTCTTGAATCACTATCTATTAAAAAAATGCATTAAAATCCGTTGCGTAATTTAAAATACATAGTAAGTAATACACTCCTAAAGTTTCGCTCTTCTATTACAAGCCTTTATTTTTTAATAACGATAGTAATTTATATGAAAAAACAGCGTGGGTTGGATCAGCTAGCGTCATGATAATAATAATAACCCTGGACAATTAACACAGCGCTATCAAGTCCCGAACTATGCAGAGCTTGTGTACTAGGTAACCGATATAAAAACGTAAATACGTTTATTAAAATATATACAAAATATGCATAGAAAGTACTGAGATCGATACAAACAATCATAGTCGGGAATACAAATGTTAACACCAGGAATCGAAATGGCGACCATTGGAAGCAAAGCAGTGTGATAAACCGTGGTTTTGCGGTTATATGTAATCGACCACATGGTGGTGTGTGCAGGTGTTGGTTTTCAGCCGCTTCCCTGAGTTCGGAGCGCCCTCTGCGAGTGTAGAGGGCGCTCAGGGCGTTCGGTGAAGCTGTAAAGTCCGGCTGCGGCCAATAAAATTAGAGTAGTCCGCAATCGAATCGTGTGTGCACAGTTCGGGCGACGCGGCTGCGACCCGTGCGTGTCTGGAGGCTCGCGCAGAGGAGGCCAAGCTGGTGGCGAGCGCGGCCCGCGCGCGGTACGACACCGCGCGGCACGGCGCCGACCAGGCCCGCGCCGCGCACGAACGGGCCGCCGCCGCCGCGGACCTCGCCGCCGGCCACGCCCACCGACACCGCGACAAACTCAGTATGCCCCCTACCTCTTTTATATCATACCTACTCGCTCCGGCTTCGTTCGTGTGTACATGTATCATATAAACCTTCTAGAATCACTCTATCTATTAAAAAAAAACAGCGTCAAAATTCGTTGCGTAGTTTTAAAGATTTAAGCATACGTAGGGACAGTCAGCGACGGCGACTTTGTTTTATGCTATGTAATGTAATGAAGGGTGGTATTTGTTAGGCAAATGATAGTTACGACATTAAATTGTCTCTAGTTGCCTTAATTTTGTCCTCTTATCATATGATTCCATCTTGGCGTTATGTGTATATTTCTTGATTTTGTTTCCTTAATATACGTATATATTTATTTTTGATTAAAATACATTTACAAGTATTTTATCTACTGCTGTTAGCGCGCGAGATTGAGCTCATTCTAAGCTCATGGCATGGATGGGCACGACATTTGAGTGTATACTGATTGATATATACTAGTTGACCCGGAATACGTTATTTTGCAGTATAAATAAAAATAGAGGATGGTGATAGAAAGGCGAAAATTTACGGTTGTATGAATTTTTAATGCTACATTATAAAAAAAATCCATAACATAAAAAGAAAATATTAGGGGTGGACAACCCTTATCACTTAGGGGTTGGAAAAATAGATAGTAGCAGATTCTCAGACCTACTCAATATGAATATAAAATTTCATAAAAATCGTTCAAGCCCTTTCGGAGGAGTATGATAACTAACATTGTCGAGATTTCACATATAAAATGAGATGGTGCATACAGATCTTCTATCGAGCCCCCGTCTAATTGAAACGGGGATCGAAATTACGACGGCCCGAGTCGAAGTTCGAACCCTAGCGGTGCCCTTAGATTAAAGTCGTATCCGTCATGTGGGAGTTGGCTTTCGGCCGCTCTGTAAGACCTTCCGCTGGCGTGGAGTGTCATCTGGTGGTGGTCCACAGAGCAACTGAAGCAGGAGCTGCGCGAGCTGGAGTCGCGGGGCTCGGACTCGCTGGCGGTGTTCGGGTCGCGCATGGTGGAGCTGTGCCGGCGCGTGGAGGACGCCGCGCGGCGCAACATGTTCAGCGAGCCGCCGCGCGGGCCCGTCGGTCTGTACGCACTCTCTTAACCTTACCTTAACCACAGCCCGGGGAGTGAGAGAGAGAGATGAGGGGCTCGATCCCCTGTTTCCGCAACTTAAGAGAGCGTTACGAATTGGAAATTTTTATGTCAACAAAATCACTTTCATAATAATATCTCAGAACGGTTCACACAGTGGCAAAACTAAGCAGAGCTAGTGTTATGAGTATTAAACGACTGATACAAATAGATAGAAACATTTGTTTTTTCTGTAAATACATACGAGTACATATTATACACAGAAAACACCTCGACCAATACAAACTATCATACTCATACATACAAATGAATCACGACCATCGAAAATAAGGAAGGTTAGCATGATCACTGAGACCGCTCTACCGTTGTGTACCTATTATGCTATTTATACTATATTATATATATAGCACAATAGATACAAGACGGGCGATTTTCCACATGGTAAAGATGACAATATGAGAAAAGTAGAATGATTTAAAGAAACATCCTGTACTAAATGTACTTCCTTTTAGGTGCTTATCTGAAGGTGAAGCAACAGGAATGGGCTGGTGTTTTAGAGCATATCCTCGGAAATTCCATTCAGACGTTTTGTGTTAATTCGCCCGAAGACTCTAGAAAGTTGTTTGAGATCATGGGTCAAGTAAGTCAATAAGAATAAATATATTTAAAGAATCTAGAAAATTAAAAAAAATTCTAGAGAGTATGATTATATAGTAATAATAAAAAACTCAGGACAATTCACACAGCGCCATCTCAATTACCAATTTAAGCTAGCTATACCTTGTGTTATGGGTATTAGATGACTCGATCAGTCACGGGCGCGCATGTCGTGCTCGGTATAGAGTAGAGTAGAGTGGATGTAGAGAGTGGTCCCGTGGTGCAGGTGTACGGCGGCGCGGCCAAGCCGGGCGTGACGTGCAGCGAGTTCGCACGTCGCGCTCGGTATAGAGTAGAGTAGAGTGGATGTAGAGAGTGGTCCCGTGGTGCAGGTGTACGGCGGCGCGGCCAAGCCGGGCGTGACGTGCAGCGAGTTCGCACGTCGCGCTCGGTATAGAGTAGAGTAGAGTGGATGTAGAGAGTGGTCCCGTGGTGCAGAGTAGTCGCGCTCGGTAGTGGATGTAGAGAGTGGTCCCGTGGTGCAGGTGTACGGCGGCGCGGCCAAGCCGGGCGTGACGTGCAGCGAGTTCGCACGTCGCGCTCGGTATAGAGTAGAGTAGAGTGGATGTAGAGAGTGGTCCCGTGGTGCAGGTGTACGGCGGCGCGGCCAAGCCGGGCGTGACGTGCAGCGAGTTCGGGCGACACACGCACGACGTGCGCGGGCGCTGCGTGCGGGCGCGCGGGCACGCGGCGGCGCTGCACGCGCTGGACGTGCCCGACCCGGTCATCGCCAACTTCCTCATCGACAACCTCGCGCTCGAGCGCGTGCTGCTCGTGCCCACCCACGGTAACCTCGCGCTGCGCTACATTTACACGTTTCTTCTGCACTCATAAAATATCTACTGCCGTTAGTTTCACTGCTTTCGTTTCTTATATACTAGTTATCGATTGCGTTGTTCGAATAGAGGAGGCGATCCGGCTGGCGGACACGGAGGAGAACGTGCCGGAGAACTGTGCCAAGATCGTGACGCTGGACACCACCGAGTACCACCCCGCGCCCAACTACCGCAGCTACGGCGGCGTCGCTCGCCGCGCGCGATACCTGCATCTCACCACCGCGCAGAGGAAGAGGTACTCCTCCCCCCACAGCCTCGTCCCCGTCTCTACACATGTATCGTTAGAATACATGTGTAGAGTCCCACTGTGGATGACATCTCTTCCCTTCTATTCAATAGCTGACCAGCACAACTTCGTCTGCATCACACTTTAAACTTATCATTATATTTTGCCCAGTTTACTTAATATATATTATTATTATTATCTAGCTGGAAACTATGACCTATAACAGATTTTTGTTATAAATAATATACAATGTAATAATAAACTCTACTCGCAGCCAGGTGATGGCAGAAATAAGTGAAGCTGAAGCAACGTTGCGATCGCTGGAGAACACTGAAAAAGAGTTGAGAGATGCAGCAAAAGAAGCGCGCGACAGCGAAGACAGCGCTCGACGAGAGCTGCAAGCGCTGGTGGGGGAGAAGCACCGCGCCGAGGAGCGCGAGCGTGCGGCCGCCGCCGCCGCCCTCGAGCAGCAGAACGCGCCGCACCTCGCCATGCTCGTGAGTACCGTCCGTGCGCGTGCAGCGCTGCAGCGCTGGTGGGGGAGACGCACCGCGCCGAGGAGCGCGAGCGTGCGGCCGCCGCCGCCGCCCTCGAGCAGCAGAACGCGCCGCACCTCGCCATGCTCGTGAGTACCGTCCGTGCGCGTGCAGCGCTGCAGCGCTGTTGGGGGAGACGCACCGCGCCGAGGAGCGCGAGCGTGCGGCCGCCGCCGCCGCCCTCGAGCAGCAGAACGCGCCGCACCTCGCCATGCTCGTGAGTACTGTCCGTGCGCGTGCAGCGCTGCAGCGCTGGTGGGGGAGACGCACCGCGCCGAGGAGCGCGAGCGTGCGGCCGCCGCCGCCGCCCTCGAGCAGCAGAACGCGCCGCACCTCGCCATGCTCGTGAGTACTGTCCGTGCGCGTGCAGCGCTGCAGCGCTGGTGGGGGAGACGCACCGCGCCGAGGAAGCACCCTCGAGCGCCGCCGCACCTCGCCATGCTCGTGAGTACGTCCGTGCGCGTGCAGCGCTGCAGCGCTGGTGGGGGAGACGCACCGCGCCGCGCGAGCCCTCGAGCCGCCAGAGCAGAACGCGCCGCACCTCGCCATGCTCGTGAGTACCGTCCGTGCGCGTGCAGCGCTGCAGCGCTGGTGGGGGAGAAGCACCGCGCCAAGGAGCGCGAGCGTGCGGCCGCCGCCGCCACCCTCGAGCAGCAGAACGCGCCGCACCTCGCCATGCTCGTGAGTACCGTCCGTGCGCGTGCAGCGCTGCAGCGCTGGTGGGGGAGAAGCACCGCGCCAAGGAGCGCGAGCGTGCGGCCGCCGCCGCCACCCTCGAGCAGCAGAACGCGCCGCACCTCGCCATGCTCGTGAGTACCGTCCGTGCGCGTGCAGCGCTGCAGCGCTGGTGGGGGAGACGCACCGCGCCGAGGAGCGCGAGCGTGCGGCCGCCGCCGCCGCCCTCGAGCAGCAGAACGCGCCGCACCTCGCCATGCTCGTGAGTACCGTCCGTGCGCGTGCAGCGCTGCAGCGCTGGTGGGGGAGACGCACCGCGCCGAGGAGCGCGAGCGTGCGGCCGCCGCCGCCGCCCTCGAGCAGCAGAACGCGCCGCACCTCGCCATGCTCGTGAGTACCGTCCGTGCGCGTGCAGCGCTGCAGCGCTGGTGGGGGAGACGCACCGCGCCGAGGAGCGCGAGCGTGCGGCCGCCGCCGCCACCCTCGAGCAGCAGAACGCGCCGCACCTCGCCATGCTCGTGAGTACCGTCCGTGCGCGTGCTACGTTCACAACGTATTGTCCCGTACTGCGATACTCGTCTCATCGTGAGTATGTTCTTCGTGTGTGCAGCGCTACAATGCAGATATTAAAAAGTGAGCAGATCCTCGTAATTTAATTGATATTTTCAATTGATTTCTTAGAAGATTCTCAGGTATTTTGATGCTGGCAGTAAACATCTGTAAGAGATTGCTTTTAACGTTATAGGTTCTCATTGTTTTCTGTGTAAATAATTCTCGTAATTTTTATTTCCTTTGAATGTGTTGTTGGTAACAATAAATAATCTCTATCTAACCTTCTGTAATAAAAAAGCATTATTTTGACATACGTTCAAAGTCAAGACCATTTATTAATATAAGACATTTTTAACAATAAAAAAACCTACACTACAAATATTTATAATTATATATAAATGCGGTAAAGCAGAGTTCTATTTATAGTAAGTATTAAATGTGTAATTAATTATATTTACATGCATTGAAACATACAGACGGAGGAACTGAACGTATCCAAAGAGAAGCTGCGGACATTAAAAAAGAAACTGGAGGAGCTGTCGGCGTCAGAGTCACAGTATAGAACCAAGATCGATCAGTCCGACGGCCGGATACGATCGGTGAAGAACAAGCTCGGGGCCGTCACTACTATGTGTAGGACGATTAATGTAAGTTTAATAATAATAAGTTTATTGTGGATAAAAGCTGTTACAAAATGGATGTTGGGTTGTACGGGTCGTGCCGTAACTATAAGATGATGAAGAAGATACTGATTGAAACTGTATATTAAAATTGATTAATGTTAAATGAGTAAGCGCAGCGTTCTTGACGACCAAATGCGGACTGATTTTTGGCCAAATATAGTGAAAATATAATAATATATAACAAATAAATAAATATTAAACATATTAAGGCATTGAACGAAAAAACACGTTTAAATTAGGTTCATTTATAATAAAAAATAAATTGTATAACTGAGGTAATTAATGCGTCACATCGTGTCGCGCATTATATATTACTATCTTTTGCCCGCGGCTTCGCTCACGTTAATTTATTCCCTTAGGGGTGGAATTTATCAAAATCTTTTCCTAGGGCATGCCTACGTCATAGCTTTATGCATGCAAAGTCTCAGCCCGATCGGTTTAAAATTGACAAAGTTTCATACAAACTTTTATCCCCTTGTGGATAAAATTAATCAAAATCCTTTCTTAGCTGATGCCTACGTCATAACATCATAACGTCATAACGTCAACATACCTGCATACCAAATTTCAGCCCGATCCGTCCAGTGGTTTGGGCTGTACGTTGATAGATCACTACGTTAGTAGTGATCTATCAACGCACAGCGTATCGTCACCTTTGAGTTATATTATATATACTAGAGGGTGCGTGTGTGCGCGGGCCCCAAGAGGCCCGCGAGGCGTTGTCGCTGATTTTCTTTGTGAAGACGGTTTTCTTTTCGAATAGACTTGGTTGGCAAGTAGAGTTGTCTGTTTTGATACGAAATCATTCATGTGACTTCAAATTGTAACAGTGTGGCAAAACTTTATGTTGTAATGTTCACAATACAAAACCTAACCTAACCTACCTTTCTGTATACTATATTAGTCTAGGGTCAAGTTTTTAATGTAGAGATTAACCTACCTTTTTGTTTACTATATTATTCTGAGGGCATAATTTCTACTGTAAGAGTCGCAATAGAAATCCTAACCAAACGTAACTTTCAGTATACCATTTCGACCTGTGGCTTTAATTTTTATTGCAATAGGCACAATACAAAACCTCACATTACCTACCTTTCTGTATACTATATTAATTTGGGTTCACAGTTTATAATGTAGAAATCATAATACAAAACCTAACCTAACCTACTTTTTTGTTTACTATATTATTCTGAGGCCATAATTTCTACTGTAAGAGTCGCAATACAAAACCTAACCTAACCTACCTTTCTATATACCATTTCGACTTTTTATTTTTTTTTATTTTGGCTTAGCTACCGGTGACAAAAACATTTCGTCCATACATTGTCAACTCCTTCTAATAGTTTACTATGAAAACCGATGTATCAAACTTACATCGGTTTTCATAGTAAAGTTTTCCAAATAATTTTGATAAAAGCCTTAGGGTTATTATTTATCGTAGGTAAAGGACCTATGATAAATAATAACCACTCAACACTCTTTTAATTAAAATATCATAAATATTAAAATCGGAGAAAGTTTTTAGCGCTGGCAATACTAAGATTCAATGCCATCCCATAAAAGCGGACTCGCTGCATGGTTACAATGTACCAAAATAAAAAATCTTCCAAATTTTGTTCAAAGCCAACCTCGGCGACCATCTTGGATTTTTCCATTTTGATACTTCTGACGTATATATTACATGACGACAGATATATTTCGTCCATATAATGTACAGAGACACGGTCCTTTTAAAATATTCGGTCGGTTCCTTAGTAAATATTACTTTCTACGAAAATCTATGCATGGTGTTGCCCCCTAATTTTACAAAAAATTGCATAAAACTATTAAGATGAGATTTATTATAGATACCCGTCACTTTTATGTTTAAATGTCGAAAAAAAATTCCCACATTTAAGGTTTGCAAAATTACCCAAAAATCGGGGAAAATTTGTAGCCTATATAATACTTCACGTCTTTGCTCCATAGAAGTAACTTGCTGTAAGAAATAAAATACTACCCCAAAAATGAGTTTTAAAACGTCCCTAAACTTGTCATCGGGAATAAAGTACCCTAACTCGGCCGCCATCTTGAATGATTCCATTTTAAATAGTTGTTTTAACATATACACCTTGGTGAGAAACATTTCGTCCATACATTGTACAGAGCCAAGGTAACTCCTTCTAGTAGTTCCTAAGTACTGTTTACAATGGAAATCTATATATGGTGTTGCCAGCTCATTTTAACAAAAAACACCTAAGACCCCTTGGGGATTATTTTTGACAGATCGTCATCATTGTTTGGTCTAAAATGATGAAACAAAAAATTCCACGTTTTTTTTTACTTCTCTCCGATATTACCCTAAAATCGGGGAAAATTTTTAGACCAGATAGTGCTTCGTACCCAGAGTTTCCACTGTTCCATAAAAGTCAACTCGCTGCAGTGACGATGGGTACCTGAAAATTGAATTTAAAAAAGTACCCTAACTCGGCCGCCATCTTAGATTTTTACTTCTTAATACTTTTGACGTATTCACCCTAATAACAGAAACATTTCGTCCATACATTATGTAGAGTCTCGGTGACTTCTTCTTGTACTATTCCCTAAGAAAACTGATCTAAGATGTTGCCAAATAATTGTGACAAAAACCAATAAGGGGATGATTTTTGACAGATATCCATCATTATTTTGTTTGAAATATCGAAAAAAAAATCCCACATTTTGGACTTGTCTTCTAAATTACCCAAAATCGGGGAAAATTTTCATACCATTTTTCCTTTTTCGTCCATATATTGTACAGAGACACGATCCTTCTAGTGGGTCCTTAGTAAATATTACTTTTTACGAAAATCGATGCATGGTGTTGCCACCTAATTTTACAAAAAATCGCATATAACTATTAAAATGATATTTATTATAGATCTCCGTTGCTCTTATATATAGTTTGTCGAAAAAAAAATCCCACATTTTGGGTTTGCAAAATTACCCAAAAAACGGGGAACATTTGTAACCTAGGTAATATTTCGAACCGAAATCTACCACGGCTCAATAAAGGTCGACTCGCTGCAGGGAAGCCAGGTAAATTTATCATCAGAGAAAAAATACTCAAACTCGGCCGCCACCTTGGATTTTTCCTTTTTTAAATACTTTTAACTTATCCACTTTGGTGACAGAAACATTTTGTCCATACATTGTACAGATGTAAGGTGACTCCTTCTAGTACTTCCTTAGTACTGTTTACTATGAAAATTAGTTAATACTTCGCACCGAGAGTTTCCATTCCTCAATAGAAGTCAGTTCGCTGCAGGGTTGATAGGTGCCACAAAACTGAATTTACTAAAAAGACCTTAAAATTGTCATAATAAATAAAGTATCCTAATTCGGCCGCCATCTTGGATTTTTCCTTTTTAAATACTTTTAACACATACATTTTGGTGACAGAAACACTTCATATATACATTGTACAGAGCCCAGGTTACACCTCTAGTTCCTTAGTACGGTTTACTATGAAAATCGATGTATGGTGCTGCCAGATGATTTTGACAAAAACCACCTAGGATCCTTTGGGGGATGATTTTGAACCAATGCTCATCACTGTTTTGTTCAAATTAACGAAAAAAAAAAAAAAATTCCCACGTTTTTTTACTTTTCTCCGAAATTACCCCAAAATCGGGGAAAATTTTTAGACCAGGTAAAATTTTCCACCGAGAGTTTCCATTGCTCTATAGAAGTCAACTCGCGTCAGGGATTAATTGTACCCCAAAATTGAATTTTAAAAAGTCCCTAAAATTGTCAACATAAATTAAGTACCCTAACTCGGCCGCCATCTTAGATTTTTACTTTTTAATACTTTTGACATATTCACCCTAGTGACAGAAACATTTCGTTCATACATTGTATAGAGCCTCAGCGACTCCTTCTAGTTCTATTCTCTAAGAAAACTGATGTAAGGTGTTGCCAGATAATTCTGACAAAAAACACCTAAACTCAATAGGGGGATTGTTTTTGACAGATTTTCATCATTCTTTTGTTTGAAATGTCCAAAAAAAATTTTCCCACTTTTTAGGACCTATCTCAAAAATTACCCTAAAATCGGGGAAAATTTTTATACCAGGTAATACTTTGTGTTGAGACACATCATCTCTCCATAGTAGTCGACTGGCTGTGGGGTTGCCAAGTGTCCTAAAACTACATTTAAAAATATCCCAATTTTTCTCCGAAAAGCAAAACTCCCCTATCTCTGCCGCCATCTTGGATTTCTAAAATTTCATAATTTTCCCTAGAGGCCGAGTCCTTCGGCTATCCGACGCCGTACAGTGCGTTGAGCTAGCATACTCGTAGGTACCCTATCAATTTCAGTTTTTGAAGCTAGACCTCAATTTCAAAATTTGTCCGATGATGTATGGGTGTTGCCAGCAAATTCTGAAGAAATCCACCTAAAACCCTTCAGGGGACGATTTGTAGTAGACCAAAACGAGTTCTTCATTTAAAATGTCAAAAAAAAAAAAAAAAAAAAAAAAAAAAAAAAAAAAAAAAAAAAAAAAAAAAAAAAAAAAAAAAAAAAAAAAAAAAAAAAAAAAAAATTTCCCACTTTATGGGACTTTTTTCCAAAATTAACCCAAAATCGGGGAAAATTTTAGACCTGGCAAATCTTCTTACTCAGACTTACCCATGTCAGTAGGTGGCGTTTAGCTGCAGGGTTGCCATGTGCAGCAAAAACTCGATTGAAAATATCCCAAATTTTTTCCAAAAACTAAATCTCCCATAGCTTGGTCGCCATCTTGGATTTTTGAAATTTCATAATTTTCCCTAGAGGCCGGGTCTTTCAGCCTCCCAATGCCCTATAATAGGGATCGGTAGCTCCCCCGCAAGTACCCTAGGAATTTCAGTTTTTGGAGAGACACCCCAATTTCTATTTTGGTCAAACCATGTATGGGTGTTGCCAGCAAATTCCAACAAAACCCACCTAAAACCCTTTAGGGGATGTTTCTCGATAGGCCTTGATGCCTCTTTTGTCAAAAATGCCGAAAAAATTTTTTCCCACTTTTTGGGACATTTCTCCCAAATTACCCTAAATTCGGAAATTCTTTTTATCGCTGGCAATACTTCTTACCGAGACCCATCATCGCCCCATAGAAGCCGACTCGCTGCGGGGTTGCCCTGTACCTAAAAAATGATTTTGAAAATAATCCGGATTTTTAGGACCAAATTCACACGCCCCCAACTCGTCGGCCATCTTGGATTTTCGAAATTTCATAATTTTCCCTAGAGGTCGGGTCCTTCGAGTTTCCTATGCCCTACAACCGGTGTCGCCAGCACCCCCGCAACTACCCTGGGAATTTCGGTTTTTGAAACCCTAGAAAATTTTCAACCAGTTTTTGGCAATTTTTTCGCCGCCATCTTGGATTTTAATTTTTTGTTTTTACGCCATATTCTGGGTCCCGCCGAGACGTGCCAAATCACTCTTTGAACGGAATCGATCCGAGCGAAACTGTAAAAGTTAGCCGCCATCTTTGTCCGCCATCTTGGATTTTCCCAAATTTCGGAATTTTCTCGTGGTCACCCTAGCCAAAGGAACATTTCCCCCATACATCGTCTCGACCCCCGGACGCTCCTTCTGGGAGAACAACTATGTCAATCAGTGAGTGAGTCACCGTAATGCAGCTTTATATATTATAGACTAGAGGGTGCGTGTGTGCGCGGGCCTCAAGAGGCCCGCGAGGCGTTGTCGTTGATTTTTTTGTGCAGACGGTTTTCTTTTCGAATAGACTTGGTTGGCAAGTAGAGTTGTCTGTTTTGATACGATTAGGTGACTTCCTATTGTAACAGTGAATTTTTGTTTCACGTGTACCATCCTGTGGCGAAACTTTGAATTGTAATGGTCACAATACAAAACCTAACCTAACCTACCTTTTTGTTTACTATATTATTCTGTGGCTTTAATTTTTATTGCAATGGTCACAATACAAAACCTCACATTACCTACCTTTCTGTATTAGTATACAGAAATGTATGCTTAGTGTTGCCACCTAATTTTACAAAAAAATCGCATGAAACTATTAAGATGAGATTTATTATAGATCCCCGTCACTCTTATGTTAGAATGTCGAAACAAAAAATTCCCACATTTTGGGTTTGCAAAATTACCTAAAAATCGGGGAAAATTTGTAGCCTAGATAATATTTCAAACCGAAATCTACCATGGCTCAATAAAGGCCGACTCGCTGCAGGGAAGCCAGGTACCCCAAAATGTATTCCTAAATTTATCATCAGAGATAAAATACTCGAACTCGGCCGCCATCTTGGATTTTTCCTTTTTGAATACTTTTAACTTATCCACTTTGGCGATTGAAACATTTTGTCCATACATTGTACAGAGCTAAGGTGACTCCTAGTAGTTCCTTAGTACTGTTTACTATGAAAATTAGTTAATACTTCGCACCGAGAGTTTCCATTCCTCAATACAAGTCAATTCGTTGCAGGGATGATGCCACAGAACTGAATTTTAAAAAGTTCTTAAAATTGTCATCATAGATAAAGTATCCTAATTCGGCCGCCATCTTGGATTTTTTATTTTTAAATACTTTTAACATATACACTGGTGATAGAAACATTTCATCCATATATTGTACAGAGCCCAGGTTACATACACCTAAGAGTTCCTTAGTACGGTTTACTATGAAAATCGATGTATGGTGTTGCCAGGAGATTTTGACAAAAACCACCTAGGGCCCTTTGAGGGATAATTTTGGACCAATGCTTATCACTGTTTTGTTCAAATTGACGAAAAAAAATTCCACGTTTTTTTACTTTTCTTCGAAATTACCCCAAAATCGGGAAAATTTTTTGGACCAGGTAATATTTCCCACCGAGAATTTCCATTGCTCTATAGAAGTCAACTCGCTGCAACGTTTAGTGGTACCCCAAAATTGAATTTTTAAAAGTCCCTAAAAATGTCAACATAAATTAAGTACCCTAACTCGGCCGCCATCTTAGATTTTTACTTTTTAATACTTTTGACGTATTCACCCTAGTGACAGAAACATTTCGTTCATACATTGTATAGAGCCTCAGTGACTCCTTCTAGTACTATTCTCTAAGAAAACTGATGTAAGGTGTTGCCAGATAATTCTGACAAAAACCACCTAAAATCAATAGGGGGATTGTTTTTGACAGATTTTCATCATTCTTTTGTTTGAAATGTCCGAAAATTATTGTCCCACTTTTTAGGACTTATCTCAAAAATTACCCTAAAATTGGGGAAAATTTTTATACCAGGTAATACTTTGTATTGAGACACATCATCTCTCCATAGAAGTCGACTGGCTGTGGGGTTGGCAAGTGTCCTAAAACTACATTTAAAAATATCCCAAATTTTCTCCGAAAAGCAAAACTCCCCTATCTCTGCCGCCATTTTGGATTTTTACTTCTTAATACTTTTGACGTATTCACCTTAGTAACAGAAACATTTCGTCCATACATTATGTAGAGCCTCGGTGACTTCTTCTTGTACTATTCCCTAAGAAAACTGATCTGAGGTGTTGCCAGATAATTTTGACAAAAACCACCAAAAATCCTTAAGGGGATGACTTTTGACAGATTTTCATCATTCTTTAGTTTGAAATGTCGAAAAAAAATTTTTCCACTTTTTAGGACCTGTCTCAAAAAATACCCCAAAATCGGGGAAAATTTTCATACCAGGTAATACTTTGTGTCAATAGACATCATCTCTCCGTAGAAGTCGACTCGCTGCGGTGTTGCCATGTGTCCTAAAACAACATTTAAAAATGTCCCAAATTTTATCCGAAAAGCAAAACTCCCCTATCTGTGCCGCCATCTTGGATTTCTAAAATTTCATAATTTTCACTAGATGCCGGGTCCTTCGGCTATCCGACGCCGCACAGTGCGTTGACCTAGCACACTCGTAGGTACCCTATCAATTTCAGTTTTTAAAGCTAGACCTCAATTTCAATATTTGTCCCATGATGTATGGGTGTTGCCAGCGAATTCTGACAAAATTCCCCTAAAACCCTTCAGGGGACGATTTTTGGTAGACCAACAAGACTTTTTCATTTGAAATGTCGAAAAAAATTTTTCCCACTTTATGGGACTTTTCTCCAAATTTAACCCAAAATCGGGGAAAATTTTTAGCCCTGGCAAATCTTCTTACTGAGACTTACCCATGTCAGTAGGTGGCGTTTAGCTACGGGGTTGCCATGAGCAGCAAAAACGCGATTGAAAATATCCCAAAATTTTTCCAAAAACTAAATCTCCCATAGCTTGGCCGCCATCTTGGATTTCTGAAATTTCATAATTTTCCCTAGAGGCCGGGTTTTTCAGCCTCCCAATGGCCTACAATAGGGATCGGTAGTATCCCCGCAAGTACCCTAGGAATTTCAGTTTTTGGAGAGACACCCCAATTTCTATTTTGGTCAAACCATGTATGGGTGTTGCCAGCAAATTCCAACAAAACACATCTAAAACCCTTTAGGGGATGTTTCTCGATAGGGCTTGATGCCTCTTTTGTCAAAAATGTCGAAAAAAATTTTTCCCACTTTTTGGACCATTTCTCCCAAATTACCCCAAATTCGGGAATTCTTTTTAGCGCTGGCAATACTTCTTACCGAGACCCATCATCGCCCCATAGAAGCCGACTCGCTGCGGGGTTGCCCTGTACCTAAAAAATGACTTTGAAAATAATCCGGATTTTTAGGACCAATTTCACACGCCCCCAACTCGGCGGCCATCTTGGATTTTCCAAATTTCATAATTTTCCCTAGAGGTCGGGTCCTTCGAGTTTCCTATGCCCCACAACCGGAGTCGCCAGCACCCCCGCAACTACCCTGGGAATTTCGGTTTTTGAAACTGTAGAAAATTTTCAACCAGTTTTTGGCAATTTTTTCGCCGCCATCTTGGATTTTAATTTTTTGTTTTTACGCCATATTCTGGGTCCCGCCGAGACGTGCCAAATCACTCTTTGAACGGAATCGATCCGAGCGAAACTGTAAAAGTTAGCCGCCATCTTTGTCCGCCATCTTGGATTTTCCCAAATTTCGGAATTTTCTCGTGGTCACCCTAGCCAAAGGAACATTTCCCCCATACATCGTCTCGACCCCCGGACGCTCCTTCTGGGAGAACAACTATGTCAATCAGTGAGTGAGTCACCGTAATGCAGCTTTATATATTATAGATATTTAGACTAGCTATACTCGCGGTTGCACCCGCGTGAAACTTATAGCCTATATGTTAATCTGATGTACAAGCTATATTATTGTGAAGTTTCATTAAAATCCATTCAGTAGTTTTTGCGTGAAAGACTAACAAAATAACCGTCTATACATACTTCCACGTTTCTAATATTACTAAGATTGTTCTTGTATTTCTTAGGAAGAAATAGAGCAAGAGCAACTAAAGAATGACCAGGCGGTGAGTGAGCGGGACACGTGCAAACAGAAACTCAACCAGGACAGGTCCAAACTGGAACAAGTGGCGGTCATTTTAGAAGAGAAAAGGGCTAACATAGAAAAACTCATATACGAAGCAGTCAAGCTGTGCCCTAGAGTCCAGAATCCAAGGTAAACCCAACTACAATAAATGTTCAGTTGAATTAATTTTATAACTTTTATAATAGCGTACCATCAGTAGATAAATGAGTACACATTTATTAATAATATGTTGGACAATTCTATTTAGTCACAAACTAAGCAGAGGTTGTGTTATGTGCACTAGACAACTGATAGATATACTTAATTTTTAATATACATAGAAGGGGGGGGGGGGAGTACAAGATTGTTAAGTGGATTAATGATCTCATTTCTAACAATGTACCGTGTCAAGTTGACTTCCACACGTTTCCCCTTGAAAAGCATCGTGATAAATTTCTGGTGAATTTAGCCATGATGAGCTAACTGATACGACCTCAGGCAGATCTTATCATCTTTCACTAGTTGTACCGGGCGAGGAATCAAACCCACAACGCGTAATCTTGGTATATTTTTTTATTATTTTATTCTAACAGAGAACGAAGCATCGTGACCAGCGAACTGAAGAAGACACAGTTGAAACTGAACTCCATTCGTAGCGACGGCATGACGAAAGCGCAGGTCGCTGAGAAATTGTTACAAGTCGGCCGCAAATACAAACGCACCAAAGACACGTTGGACAGACTCAAGTACCTCATAGACGATGTGAGTGCATTAAACGTGTTACATTTTTAAAGAATACACAATTAGAATAGTCCGAACTAAAATATTTTTTGTGTGATTTTATACATACTGTTACACTAACTGTGACAGGAACGGAGAATGTTAGAAAATAGAAAAAAAAATAGAAATAATCTTTATTCAAATAAACTCATTACAAGCACTTTTGAATAGTCATATTTTGATTTTATCATTCATTCGGAATGCAGATTCATCACAAGAAGAATGAACAAGAAACTTGTGTGTTGCTCTTTTGAATAGATGTTTTTTTTATATAAATAAATACAGTATAATAAGTAAGAGGCATGCGATAATCAACATAGAAATCGCTACGCACTCATTATTACTGTAATCAGATAATATTGTCAGTGCTATGGATTTTAAGTTTTTCTATAAAATAATAATTGTCGTTAACGAAATCTTCAATTTTATAGTAAGCTTTTTTTGCAAAGGAAGTATTCTATATGACATTTAAATATATTATCAGGCAGATTTATAACAGACTCTGGTATTTTGTTGTAAAACCGTACTCAAATGCCATAAAACGAATTACTAACTTTAGTTAAACGACATTTAAGGTAAAATCTGTTTTTTATTGTTACGTAAGCTTTTATTAGTGTAATCACTAACTCTTTTGAAATTGTCTATATTCTTCCTGGCATATAAGATCTTTTCATAAATGTATTGAGAAACAAAGGTGAGGATTTTTGATTAAAAAATCGTATAATTCGTGTGACGTAACGTAGTAATGCTCCTATACTTTATAAACGTTATTATGTTGTTCGCAGATTCAAAGCACAACAGACAAGCATTTGAATTTCTGCCACAAAATGCAGACATACATCGCAAGGAGAGTACAATACTGTTTTCAGTCTATACTGACTTTGCGTGGTTATTCCGTGAGTATTTTTTATTTTTAATCTTATAATGTTAGCTACAAAATGGATATATTATTTTTTTAATAAAATACTTAAAACACCTGTATGTGATCTAGTAAACATCGAAATATATTTATGACTTCGTCCGCGTGGAGTTTTATTTTCTATTTCTAAAATAATAGATTTTTTCTAAAATAAAAGTCGCCTAAGTTACTCCTTATTACATCAGCTACCGGCCAAAAAAAGTCCTGTCAAAATCGGTCCAGCCATTTCAGAGATTAGCTGGAACAAACAGACCGACAGACAGACAGACAAAAATTGTAAAAAATGTTATTTTGGTGTATGTACCGTATTTATATTCATATGCATGTAGTAAAAAACGGTTATTAAAATATTACAAACAGACACTCCAATATTATGCATACGTATAGATGTATACATAAAAATAATTAAAGTAAGTTAGAAATGTAAATGTTGTAAGTTATTAGATACAATATAATTAGTGATGGAGATTACTCCGTCGCTGATCATATGAAAGTTTAAAAATCACTAACACTACTTAGTGATTTTAGACCTTTCGTGTTTAATACGCATTATTTATATTGTTAACCGGGGATAGTACAAAGCATTTTATGGTAAATAAAGGAATTTATCTCTCACGACGTTTCGACTAGGATGTACTGGCCGTAGTCACGATCTGTCTCAAGCTGTTGTTTATTCGTATTATGACCTAGTTAACGATGTGTAATAGACTTTAGTATACACTAATAGTTGATGATGTTTTTATTTTTTACGATGCTTATATCTTTTTCTTATAGATTACTAGATGTACCCGCGACTTCGTCCGCGTAAATTGTCGATACTTCCATATAACCTTTCATCTCCTCTTTCAACCCCTTACAACCCTGTTTTCGGATTAAAAATGTATTAAATGTGTACCAAATTTCTTTTAAATCGGTTCAGTAGTTTTGGCGTGAAAGCGAGACAGACAGACAGACAGACAGACATAGTTACTTTCGCATTTATAATATTAGTAAGGATAAGGAAGTAAGGATTGCAATATAACTATTTGTATCAATCTGTCTTATAGGGATTTTTTTTATTTGAAACACAACTCTTATTCTTACTCTTAACTGCTATACTATAATGTCTCCGCTAATATATTATACAGGTAAAGATTTTTTTTTTAATTCATCTATTACAAACAAAAAAGTTATTTTACTTTTTGATATTTGTTAAAATATTTTTTTAATGGTGTAAATGAAATGATGCACCCGTCTGCGCTAATGGTTTACGCTGGCGGGGTACCAGTGGAGGATGATAAAATGAGCATGAAGTCAGGTCAGTTAGCCCATCATGACAACTTCACCGGGAATTTAACATGATGGTTTCCAGGGGAAACCGCGTGGAGGTCAGCCTAACGTGGTTTGTTAGCAATGTGGATATTAGTCCTCATTACTAACAATCACCTCCCCCCAAATATGGATATTATAATATTTGTTAATATGGATATTTTAGTGATATGCGTATGTGGTGACATGTGCAGGGCCGCATGGAAATCGACAACGGGCGCGGCATGTTGGAGATCACGTGCACGGGACGAGAGTCGGGCGCGCGGCGCGTGGCGTCCTCCACGCGGTCGCTCTCAGGCGGCGAGCGCTCCTACTCCACCGTCGCATTCATTATGGCACTTTGGGAGTGCGTCGAACTGCCGTTCTACTTCATGGACGAATTCGACGTGTTTATGGTTAGAATTGTTTAATTTTGGTTCTATATTTTCTACTGTCGAGTGGCGTATGAACATGAACTTACCTTACTACTACTGTAAGTATTGAATGACTATTGAATACATGAATTCATCACGTGGCAGAGGGAAACTCCGAGCAGTTCCCGGGATTTATGACCCGGGTGTAGGTTTATTGCCGATGTTCGTACGTATTCTATTGTTCATTTTCATTTGAAAATACATATACATTTTTAAAAAGTAGTACCTTTAACAGTTCCTTAGTATCTATAAGTATACGCTCTACTTATTTTGTGATTAGATGCCCCGTGTGAATTGTCCAAAATTATTATTTAAAACTATACCCACCAGAGAAAAGTTCGCTTTTTTTCTTCAAAATGTAAAAAAACTTACCTGACAAGCTTCATGTTCATCATATTACCAAGATTCCAATATTTAAACTTAAATAAACATTTAATTTCATACCCATTTTATTGACAAGCATTTATTCATCAACAACAGGACAATGTGAACCGTAAAATAGTAATGGAGTTGTTAATCGACCACGCGCTGAAGAACAAGAGCCGCCAGTTCGTGTTCCTGACGCCGCAGGACACGTCCTCCGTCGTCGCCGGACCGCACATAAGTATACACATGTAAGTATTATTTATTTAAATATTGCGTGTAATGGAACTAACGTAAATTCACCACTATTAGCCATAGTAATCATAAGAAATGAAAGGCTGTTAGGGAGTGGGGAACTTGACAAACTACAGCGACCCCAAATAATGGGATAAAGTCAAGACAATGATGACGACTCATGGAAATGAGTTTTCTGCAGGACAGCAACAATTGATTTTTTAAATGTAACTGAAATGTCAAACAACTTGTATGACCCAGTTGCTGGTAAATGATAACCGTCAGCTATATACATGAGTGTTGAATAATTGATATATTTAGAGACTAACGTCGTAGTTATTACTCATCTAGCTGTTCATTAATATTGTAGAAAACACGAACCTATTTCACTAGTTTCGTAACATATTAAAATATAAAATGTATAATTGTTTGTTAGTGTGTATTTTTTATGACACATTATAAAAATGACCCAAAAAAAAAATGTTATGAGTGGACAACCCACTTAGCTGTATGAAAAATAGATAGTAGCTGATGCTCAGACCTATTTAATATGCTTATAAAATTTATAAAAATCGATCAAGCCAAGGTCAAGTTTCGGAGGAGTATGGTAACATTGTGACACGAGAACTGTATATGTTGACCGCGTCAAATACAAACAGTATATTAAATATATTCCTTAATTACTGTATAATTAGCAGGGACATCTTATTATTTGACGTCCGTGATAAGAATGAAAGAATGTTATGCCTCCCTCCTATACTATAATCTCACGCGCTACCTCGCTCTTCAACCGAAACAGTTTACAAAACTTCAAGAACCTTAGCCACGCGTTGCTGTGGCTATGTCTTGAATAAAATAATATTGCGACTGTAAATTGCGACGTAGGCTATCCTATCTTTCAAGTTGGATCAAATTGCACACAATGTGCAAATCAAATTTGCAATCGGTTCAGTAGTTTAGGAGTCCATCGCGGACAAATAAGGTGACACGTGTTTTTATTTATAAAGATTTTACATTTCGTATTAAAATATATGTAGTTGTTGAAGTATATTTTTTACTTGCAGGATGGCGGCTCCACGACCTTAAGTTACGAATGGTATTTTTATATGAACCAGTGAGATTTGTACCAATGTTATTGTTCATTCAATTTGTGATTAAGAATTAAACGTATTTTTATTAAATATTGATTATTATTTAACCACAAATAAATAACGTATAGTTCAATAAGTACATACTGTGGTATTTACCGTTCTTACTTATACCGATATATATACAATAAATAATAGATTTCCATAAACAGTACTACAGAAAGTTTCTCTTTCCAAAGATTGTTGATTGACTTTTGATCAACAGTATTAAGTTATTTTGTCAAATAGTAACTTACCTTTAAGATTATTATCCAAGATGGGTAAGCCAGAGGCGTTGTGAGCCATCAGCGTAATGGTGATCAACTTATTGACATTTCGCGAGGTAGGTAGGTATATGAAAACCATCGTGGCAGGGGCCAGACTACATACTTCAACTTGACATGGTATATTGTCAGCGATGTAGTTATTAGTCCACATTATGGATAATGGATTGATACACCCGCCTGGGTTAACGATTTATGATGGCTGAGATCAGTGGAGGATGATAAAGCGAGCTCGAAGTCAAGAATATTACCCCATCTCAAAATGGTTGCCAGGGGGAACCGCGTGGAAGTCAATCTGATATGGTATATTGCTGCAATTGGTCCATTACTCATAATCCCTAATGGTGAGAGCTGAGGGTCCACCGGAGTTTTACCCAGATATGTTTCAATTGCTAGAATATCATAACCAGCCAAATCTGAATTCACATCCTTTCGAGGTCAAAATGGATTAGTAAACCACACGGCCTTAAATATCTCCAGGATATTTTGATATCAGTAAAGACATTATTATTTTATTTCATATCAGTTTCTTGCTCATATGTCTCGATTTGAATCTACATCGAGAGTGAAGGTAGAACTATTATACTCTTTCTCTAATTTATCTTCTAGTTTCTAAAAATCTTACAGTTTCATTGCAAAATAACACCGTTCAAAGTCTATGGTCAGGGGACTAGTCAGTTGACAGGAAAGATTGAAATATCTCAGGATGGTAAAATAAAAGTCACATGAAAATTCATTGATATCATTTATTGAATACTCGCACGACATAGCAGTAATCATACAATACGTGATACATGTATGTTTATTGCACAAATGAAAATACAACAGTTCTACGAAAATTATAATCAGTCCGATATGGATTCTTATTCAACTGCTATGAGATCACTCACACACCATTTCTTGGAATTAAATTGCAAAACTAATGATCTTTTACATTTTTTTTATATTAGTTTATTAGATTTATATAAAAAATAACTTATATCTAATATTCGAAAACTAACACACGAGACTGCATATTTTATAAAATATACACTCTTCCCCAGCACTATATACAACATCATTTAACTTTGTGATGAATTTCAGAATCATTGATCTCGGTATAAACAAAAACAAACATGTATATAGTACGTAATATACAATTTAGAAGATCGATTTAATAAATTAAATTGATAATGATTATACATACTATTTGCATTGAATTAAAACCATTTCTGAATGCGTGACCGCTGACCCCTTAATATTATTAACACATAGATATTTCTAACTACAATGGGATATGGCCTATTTAATTTTTTTTTATGACTGGAATGGTAAACATTGATGGACCACTAAAATTAAACTTACAACCGTCGTCGTCGGACATCATGAAATGCAAAGTCCTGTATCAACTCTATATGTGTTACCATTCTCGAGGATTAAAGTATCATTGAGCGGAGCGCGAAGCGAGCGATTGCACTCTTTGCAACGATATTCCTCCAAAATGGTTTGACCGATCGAGACCAAAATTTCAACGAAGATCTGACGGACGGGCCTTAATCGTTTACCACTCAAAAAATCGATCGATCAAGGTCGAGTTTTAAGAATAAGCGCACTCCGCTCAACACGGGTGTGGTGTGTAAACAACACACCGTTAACAAACCTACTGTTATTGCCAGTCATTTCATTGCTATATCCCATTATTGAATCATAAGAGAAGTTTGCAGAGCAAACTGCTTCACGGCAGATATAAATAAAACAAACAGTTGTGAAGACGCCATTGTATAGGCTTCTGTAAAAATAATAAAATGAAGTTTGATTCGTAATAAAAAATTAAAGTTAACTTTTTATAAAAAATAGATTTAAATGCAGTCGTGCTGCTACAATGCTCTATTTAGTAACCAAACAATCGCTTCGCATTCAACATTGGCATTTTACACTATATATACATTAACAAGCAAGGATTAATTCAATTTACTTAAACATTTAGATTTACTTAAGCTAATTCAACTAAGTCTTATGTACCTATAAGGTAAATATCATTCACCATAAGCGTAATGTTTTCCACCTAAGCTTAAATCTATCAATTCTCTATAATGAAAATACCATCAACTGATACCGTACCATATAGCTTTATTATCACTACCAAATATATTGAAAAGATTCATTCGTTTAAAAATACAAAATATCACACGTGGCCTAGCACAGCGGGGGACAACTGACATTTAAACATCACATTACAGAAAAAAAAAACATATTTTATACAGCCAAATTAAATCGGCAAATGTTACAGTAATGTAATTTTTGTCGCTGTCACCTGCATGCTATAACGGGCGAGGTCTGATTATTTCCTCAGATACAAGAAGCTTCTAATAATAAAAATAATATTCAAGTTCAAATTCATCTATATATTTGATAGTGCAATATGCTAATGTAATTTGTAAGGCGAAATCCGTCTATATAAGAATAGGAACATATTATTATATCCACAGAATTATGGCATTCAAGTTTTAGATCTCCTAGGTCACAGTATAAGGTTTGATCTCTTACCAGACCACTTGTTTGTAAGTCTTATTATACACTGCGTAAAATCAGTTGTTATTTAAGAAAATATAAACATTGTCAAGGCGATAGAAAAGATCAAGTGTGTAATAACAATTTTTAGACAATAGTTAACACGCTATGCTTATTGTATTCTATAAATATAAATAGCAGGTGGAAAACGAATTTAATTTAAGAAATAAATAAAAAATAGTAACCATGCATACATAGAGTTGTAATCAAACCATGTCATTCAAGACAATATTGTAATAATATATTTTCGAGTCAGCCGCGAGTCTTTGGTTAAAATATTGTTTGCAAGCATTTAATTTCACATTTTATTAGGATTTTTATCTGACTCGAAAGTCTGTATCAGTCTCGTGGAATCACTTTGTTCATTTATTAATAACATCAACCAATAAATTATATAAGAAAATTACAATTAATATTTTAGTATTTACAAAATTTATTTAGAAAGTGCACATAACCTAGAGATTAAATTATTATCGATTCTGTATTGTAGAATAACGTCCTTGTATTTTAAAGATATTCGTTTGATATTCAGATTTGATTAAAGGCGAGATTTTTTTGACAAATTCTAGTGTCGATTAATAAACGAGGTTCAAAATTGTACTTTTGGAGAATTATCTAAAGTCACGTCTAAAGTCATAAATCCAATACGATATTAAAGCCAAATTAATCTAGTAATGTCTGTATTGCATAGTTATAATTCGTTCAAAATTATATTATATACATGTTGGTCAGTACGCACAGACATTTGCTGGTAAAGTTAGATTTAGAGAATATTTTAGAATTGTCTAGAATTCAGATGCAACTGTTTTTGTATTAAACAACTAAATTAAAAGATTTGTGGATATCTATCTATCAAGTATTTGATAGTATCTATCATAAATTAAGTTACGTATTAAAATTATGAATTTAATTTTGAAATCTTATATTTTCTGGTTAATAAGTAACATGCATTGACTGGCATAATGAATAGTTGGGTCACGTATGTTACGATTATATATATAGGGAAGTAAAATTACAGATCTGTGGTACATTTTTTGAGATACAATATAAGAATAAGTGATTAGTCTTAATGCATTCTTAAACTTTCGCTAAAGTTTCTCTTATTAAATTTAAACAAAGAGACGTCGTGACAGCGATATAAATATGTAGTTGCGAAATATAAAAGATGGAATGTTCACACACATCCGCAAAGTCACAGATTGTTAAAGGGCCATCTAGTAATGACGTCACACAAAATTCAAGATTTTCGATTCCTCCCCCGTTCCTGTAACAACATTTATGACACTCCCCTCCCTAGTATAGAATTATACAATAGTATAACTTGTCAACAATAGTGCATACAGCTGAAGAAAAATATTTTAAAGATTTTCGTTAATAGTAGTTAGTATAGTTAATCTGGTAAAACACTAGTGGAGCAACAAAAGTGCAACGTGGCTAATTTGCCAGGAATTAACTAGTATGGATTTTAGCGGTAACCGCATAGAGGGCACACCCTAAAAAATTGTAGAAAATAGCTGATATATAAACGGCCCTTTTTATACGCGTTGAAGCAAAGCAAAAGCAAGTCAAATATAAAATATAAACAGTTTGTTTATTCGGCGTTTTATTATTACTTTTCTATTTACTGTTTTTTTTCTTATTATGTTTCTATTGTGTACACATTTACACAATAAAGTGTTTATTATTATTATTTTGCGTATTAAGTATCAATACACAGGATATATTATATTTTATAATATGTCATGAAATTTAGGACCCATTGTCACACTATGTCATATGTTGTCAACCTTCTGACCGCGTGACGCCATTTATAAATGATCCCTACAGCTAACTAACTATAATTATTGTATTATTAGTTCGCATGCCGACATCAAGTCAAAACGTATTAGAATAACTTAAAAACAATACAAAAAATGTATTTCATTAAATGCTAATCATTTGGGATGACAGTTGAAGCATCAATATACAAAAATAATATTCGAGGTATAATATATTAATAACAGATTTAGTATCAAGAGATGTCTTCGAGAAAGTTCCTTGTTGAATGTAATTAGTGCTAACTGATGGACGCGTTTTCGTCTGCGTACAATTACTATTTACAGTAGTTTTTTTAGGCAAACATATTCCTTACTTAAGAAATATGCAAGTAATATTTTTGGGACATAAAGTAGCTTACTTACTTTACTTCGTCAATGTTCCAAAATTTATCAAATCGGGTTTAGTGGATTAGGCGTCAAATTATAATACATACACAGACATTAATTTAGAATTTATATTAGTATGGATTAAGAAAAATTATAAATTCTTTATTAATTTTCTTAGTATTTGCAACTTTATATACTATTCTATATACTCGTAACTCAGTCAATGCGTTTAAACTATCAACTATATCGTATAGTTTGTCTAAAGTTATATTAAAGTCACAGCTTTGTGGTGCAAGCAGAAATATTTAGTTTTACTACTTAAACTGCAGACATTATTTATATAAAATTGTATTAATTTTATTAAAAATAAAATTACTATCATGCGAGTTTTAATTAAGCGTAATATGGTACGCGGAGTTGTCTAATATTACAAGTTGTAAGTGTAACTTTTTTAACATGCACATAATTAAGGTTAAGCATTTGGAGAAACATGAGGCGTTAGAGAAGTAGACCGGCTGGTCTACTCTGGTATCTAATGTCAATGATTTCAATCCAATTCCGCTTTTACTGGTCATTTGAATTGCTATCAATAAGATCGTTTAATTGATGACTGAAATATGGATCTAATATTAATACGTTATTGTTGGGAGTACGTTTATTAACAGAAATTGATCTAGAAGAGTAGACCGACAGCTTACTGAAGCATTTTCTATGTAGAATGGGATCACAACTGCATATCACTTTGAGAATTAGAGAAAATTGCTCTTTTCTTTAGTTTAGGCATATGCGAAGTGGACTAACAGCTACTTTGATGATATAACTAGTAAAAACATACAGATCTAATGGATTCATCGATATACTGAATTTTGCTAATGTTTTTTTGTAACTGAAACAGGAAACAAGCTAACTGACCACCTGATGGTAAGTGGTAATCCTCGCCTGTATATAATAATAGCACCATACTCATCACCTTGGCAACCAACGTCTGTATAGCACCACGGCCATCAAGATCAAGTCGTCGTCAAGAGACGCTAATGGGACATCTGTTGCTGTTGTGAAGAAGTAAGCTCATGCGCCGCTGGAGTCGCGGTAGAATGATAATGCAACCTCGCGAATCTGGCAATGGCGCTCGTAGGTACACCGTGTGGTTTTTTAGTGGGTAAGAATATCACACATTCCCTCGTCATCCCTCTGACGGGGGGACGGTCTTTTGAAGATTTTTCTACAAGATAAAAAAACGACTACTAGGTGAGTTGATTTGCCTATTATTTCATTGTCATAGTCCTTCAATGAAAACACCATTTATAAATCAAGTTGCATGGAGTCTAGCATACGCAAGACGATCAGTCTAAACCACGATAGAAAGTTAATTCATCCTAAATAACCAGAACAATCATTTGCTTATCTAAACGTCTAATTTACATTAAGATAGTTCCACGTGTAAATTTTTAAATTCTTCCAGTTTAAAATTAAAAATTTATGAAAGTGAGATACAGTGGTGGTTTGACCAAAAACGAAAATAAATGCACCATGTTAGTTCCTGGTCAATATCCTAGAATGTATATAGTCCTTTGACGATAGCTAGCAATAAACTTGATGTATCAGTCTATAAATTACACTAAATTAATTAAAAATTTGTGAGATTTGCATTATAAGTTAAACAGCCAATCTTTTTTTCTTTCTTTTAAAGTATAAAGTATAGACTGATGTATTTTATACTATATATACATATACAGAGAATATAGTAGGCACAGGATGACAATGGTTTCTGTCAAGAAAATTAATTGTCTACGAGTTCTGAGTTAGTTGTGAAGTGAATGCCGTGACGGAAACCAGGTAGCCCCCACAAAACTGAACCATTATCACTAAGAAACAAAGTAATAATTTGAATACAAATTTTGAACATTCATATTAAATTATGTGACCGTACAATTGTAGAATCCTTTCAAACATTATCAATTTTCCACATTGCTTCTGTGACAAAATCTTAACATCATGAATACTATCATTAGCTTTCAGTTTTACCTTTTATGAGTAACCCTGACACAAGATTTTGTTATGCAGTTATAAAACTAAAAATTTTGCGCCTTTTTGTAAAAGTAACTAATATTGATATACACTTGCATTCCCAAGTTTCATGTATATTATGCATGCTATCCTATTATAAAAGTTTTACTAAACCGGTTATAGTAATTGTCTATTGTAATGTGGTGTTTATAAATTGTGTACAACATTGTATGTACATAAATAACTTTACAGGATGCATCGAAGAGAGTATGACAAATAAAAACTGATCATATTAATAAAATAACAACATATGTCGTTGAAACATTTAAAATAATTATATGCGTACGATTTTACATAAAATTATATGTAATATTTTAAAACTTTTCACCAATTTTAAAGTGCAACAAAAGTTCAAAAATTTGATAGTCTGGTGTGAATACACCACATATTTCAGTCATTTCTTCGTAGCTTGAAAGCACTTCGAATTGACGGTAGATTTGATATATCATAAGAGTCTAATTTGATTTGTTAGTAAAATGTTCAATTTTATTGTTTTATTTCTTTTGTTGACTCTGAAGAGTAATTTCATGTTTTCTTCTTAGTAAGTGCTCCGAACTCACGATAGATTTGACATATCAAAAGAGTCTGTAATAGACCTACATGAATAAAGATATGTTATAAGTAAGAAGCTCAATTCTATAAGAGCCATTCTAAAGATTTGATTACTGTGAAATATTAAAAATTGCACAAGTATATATCATAAATTGTGGTAAATACTACTTACTACAGACCTGCTTTATTTGTTATATTCTTTTCAATTACCCCGTAGGATCACTGTACAATCTTGTACAAGATCATAACAATACTAACAATAAATAGAGTCCTTAATGTAAACCACAATCATTCTACCTCTGAATCTACATCCGGTACAGACTGATGCCTCGTGGACGGCGTCTTAGTGGACGGTGTTTTGGGACTCTTCTGGTCGGACTGCGGGGGCGTAGGTGGGAACACGTGCTCTGTGTCTTGTGATGTTGATGCACCGGTGTCGGCTTGTGTTGAAGATTGTTCAAGAAGTTGCTGGTACACCTTGTCCTGTTGACAGTACAATTAGATTTTTTGATGCTTGATAATGGAATGTTGTATTCATCTGCGCTGTCTCACCAGCCTATACTCTGGCGAGACACTACTGGAGGATATGATGAAATCTGATGACTAAGGTCGTGATTGTATCGTGGCTAATTTGCTAGGAATTAACTAAAATGGACTCTAGGGATAGCCGCGTGGAGTTTAATCCTAAAAATAGTTGTTAGGCTTGATATACAAATCGGCATAGTTTATACGCGTTGTAGCTGCCCAAATATTTTAATTAGCGATTGAATATCAACAAATATGAAGCGACAGGGTCAGAAGGAACTTTGCAGGTTCTTAACACTTATTGTTGATATGCATTCCTCCAAAAGTAGTTATAATGCATTCAAAGTAAATTAGGATTACAAGATTGGATTCAGTAATACAATCGGATTGTAATTGAATTGTATTTCCCAACCTAGAATTATAATATGGGACAAAAGTTTCAACACGTAAACTCGCATTTTCTATATTTATACTCATTTGTTTACTTTCGATTAAGATTTCAATAATCAGTTACAAATGATATATTGTAATATAATAATATGACAATGGTGAAATAGAAAGTTATATTGAATCTTTTAATTGCGGATTCCATTCCCACATCATTCAATCATTTTAAATAACAGTTCTAGAAAGTTATATGACATCTATGATCGATGTAGCATATCTACATATAGCATCTAGAAAGCATTGGAGCTATCCGATGCTTTCTAATTAACACTGTTAGAGTTCCTAAGTTAGGTTAAGCTGTACATATTGTACCTTGTAGTTTAGATAAGTAAAATCTACGTAAATTTTCTGTCCTTAAGGCTTAAAACCAGTAGCCCGGGGACTGTTGCCCCTGGAGAAGTAGTTCTCATGTCTCTGATTTTGTAATTTTATTGCCAAAATTGCATCTTATAAGCAAAATACAAGGACTAAAATAGAAAATAATTTAATCAAATAATCTTAAATTTGAGTACTTTTGAATAGTTATAATTATCTTTTTTTAATCTACCGCTCATTAGGAAAGCTGTGTCATTATAGAAGAACGAGCAAGAAACATACGTGTTGGTCTTAGGCTCTTAGCGTGTACCAGACGACACGTCTCAGATGTTGTAAATTCATTGGCTTATTGCATCCTACAACCGAACTGGTCTCTGGCTCACTGGTCGTCTCCGACTGTATGCGGGTGTGTGGCGGCGGTACTCACGAACATGTCGAGGGTGACGTTGTGCGACTGGATGCGGTGGCTCTCGTCCAGGTTGAGGTCGGGACAGATGAGGTGGAGGCCGGCGGCGCGCTGCACGAACTCCCCGTCGCCGCCGCGCACCACCCGCACGCTGCCCGCGCCGCGCACGCTCGCCGCGAACGGCGACAGCCACCGCCAGCACGCCGACACCGCCTCCCACGCGTACCCTGCCCACCAAACACAGAACCAAATATAAAACCAGCCTTGACCAGCACGCAGATACCGCCTATGACGCGTACCCTACGTAAACACCACATCCCCACGTCACATACAATTCTCCTCCGATCGATACCCCATCCAATTCAAACAAGGATTGGTAATACGATGGCCTGAGCCGAGGCCTGAATCCCTAGCAGTACCCTCGGAATAAAGTTGTACCCGTCAGTCTATCTATGTAGTCCTTCCGCGGGTTTGAAGTGCCATCTGCACTAGTTCCCTATCGTCCGGTGAAGCTGTAAAGGCCAGATGCGACCAACAGCATTAGAGTAGGCCGGAAAAAACCCCCCACTACCCTCATTTCCAATACATACTCATCTTACCAGCAAAGATAGGCATATATTTTAAAATGTGAAAAATATTTTCAAACATTTCATTGCAATTTGAAATATAACTTCTACTACTCTTTCATATGTAATATTTTGAAGTGAAAGGAGTTTTTTTTTAAGTAGAAGAAATGTAGCTTAATCAAAGCTATACAACAATATATATAATAAATGTAAGCAATTCACAACTAGCTCTTTCCTGCGGCGCTGCAGGCGTCTTGAATATAATATATGTACCTCTAATTTGAATCAGTACCATAGCTTTTACGTGAATTAGTAAGAAATATCTAAGTTTATTCCAAGTTCATAACATTAGTACAATTAAAAAAAACTATTTACTCACCTGACACCCTAATAGCTAGTTCCTTACTGAACGCGTGCGCTATAGCGGCCGCAGCCACTATACTGTACGGGAACATATTAACATCTACATGCAACACTGCCAAGTCTATCAACTGTCCACATATCACAAACTCGAGCGATGAGTACTGAGGGAACACGAACGTGTACCCTCTCAAGGCGTTAGCACCGATGTCACTTTCACCGACCAGCCGCCTCTTGGCACTGCGGCCTTCGCTTGCCAACTGCATGTATATATTTAGCCAGCTGTTTATCGTGATGGGAGTGATACTCCACGATAATATCTTGAGGATTAGGAGCTCTTCTAGTAGAATCTCCTCGGTGGTGCACGCGCCATCTGTCACGTAGGCGAACTCGCCTATCTTCGGTGGGTATACTTCTTCTACTTTCGCAGCAATAAATAAGCATGTTATACCTGAAATACGTATATATTTAAATATATCTGTAATGGTAAACAAGCTGACGACTCGCCACATGGTAGGTAGTAACCGTTTCGTAGCAAGGTAGTGACGGTCTCGGTAGTCTAGCTGTTTTAGCACATATCTTTACTTCTTATGGGCGCAGATTCAATTCCACGGTTCAAACATTTGTATACATGAGTATATGTATCATAGAATTTCCCAGACCAATACAAACAGTATTGGTCTAGGTGTTTCAATATAAATATTTACAAAAAAGTCAATTTATATTAGGTACTAGACAAACCCAAAACACAATCTCTGCTTAGCTTGGGACTAGATGGCGCTAAGTAAATTGGTCAGGGTTTTATATTAATATTATATGTGTACATGAACAGCACATCGGCCATCACATCATCATATAACGTCAATGGATCCTTTTAAACGTTGCCATTCCCTGAGATTAAGGATTCAAAGCTCGCCTACCCTATAATTTACTGCCTATTTTTAACTTTCAACGAAATACATAAACAATCTGCTCGTAGGCTGTAATATGTGAAACAGGGCACACAAACGACTTTATACGGAGTTTACCTTTGTTATTAAAAAGTAATTAATTTTGAATTAAAATTACCTAGGTCATCACCGAAAGTGTACACATAATGCGAAATATCTAATATAAATAAACATCGTGACAGTAGATTTATATATATTTAACAATAATACGATAATATAACAAAACTTATTATCAACTTAAAGATTTGTACGCTTGATATCAGCTGATTTTGCAAGGGCCCCGTTTCTCACCAATATCATATATGTAATGTTACCAAAATCTTTTACAAATAAAATTATTATTAATAATAATAGTAGAAAATATTTACTCAAAGCTACGAAGCAATCTGAAAGCAATGTTATAGTATGTTGACTAATAAAAATACTATCTCCAAGTTATCTCAGGTATCTAACAATTTTAGTAATCATCATTTAAGAAATGAACTTTAAAAACAAGTTAATATACTATAAAATAAGCTTAGCAATTTGATATTGTTTGCATTTAATCGATTTGCGGTGAACGTGAGTAAATATACAGCTATGTTCCCCAATGGCCAATGAATGGTAGGAACGATTTACTCATCAGTAGGTAATTGCGTATTACAACATTAATATCTAATAGATGTATTTACTACAGAAAACAATATGTAGTCGCCGGATCTACGAGGAAGTCGATATTTATAAAGTGCCATACTCAAACGTAAGTTACGATACGATAATGACTAATAATTACGGCTGCTTGATAAACTTAGTAACTGTATAAGAATGGTTACAATCTCTGTATATATAGGCTAATATATTTTATCATATAAACTAATGTTGTAACACAATTTTGATTTATTTGTACATTCATAAAATTCGTGACCGAATTAATTTTATTTTATATTTTTATTCCGACAGCCTCTTTAGCCGATTGACTTCCGATGGTCGAGGGTTCGATTCCTCGCATGGCGCAAACATTTGTATTCACGAGTATAATTGTTTGTATTGATCTGAATGTTTTTTATTAGGTATGTATTTACATCAGGTCGAGTACCCATAACACAACCTCTGCTTACAGTAGGTCTAGATGGTGTTGTGTTATGCATATACCCATATCTATATACCTCTGCGCTGTCACGTTGCAACCTGTATTGCTCATTAATATCATACCCATATTATTATTAATTTTAACAATTTTATTAATTTATTATATCAATCACGCCACTACTCTTTTCAATAGCAGTGCAGTATGTAGCATTGAGATAGATTTAAAATGCTACTTACGTATAATGTTAAATATTATGATCTCTACAATTTTCTGGTTGAACTGCATAAGTTCTATATTAGAACGTGTATATAAAACTACACTAGCAGGCTCCACCTAGATACGGCTGGGCAGGGAGAGAAACACGAGCGGTGAAGGTTAGCGTTGACGTACGGTCAGAAGAACCGGGAAATGCTCGGAGTTTCCCTCTCTACCACACGATGGACCTGGCATCTGCACGGTTAATCCATGGAATGCTAAGAGGTTCGTCTCTCAATAGTTAGTGTGTTAAATCATATAAGTGTAGTATATATTCACTTTTGTATTTCTATATTAGTATTTTATTTAGTGAAATATTTTATTAGTGAATTATGATACATACCTATGAGCTGCAACCGGCCCTTCTGGACATCCACTGTGTTGCTGAGGTACCTGTCAATATAATCCACCGTCAGGTGGAACGATTCTCTGTGTAGTTTGTATACCTCGCAAACCTTAAAAAAAAATGTTTTGAAATTAAATACACTGTGACTTAAAATATCATATACCTATACCTACTTGTCAAAAAAATATACCTACATATATATTAATACGTGAAACAAAAATTTAGTAGTCCTTACGAAATTAGCAAGGACGATGAGTAAGAAATTTCGCATACTTATAGTTTATATAGAGCAGGAGAACAGAATGCTACTTTAATTCAATTATGCATAAAAAATACTTTAAATCAATAAAAAAAACATTACACACTACAGTTATACATATTATTTGACACGCACAAGCATATACAGTCTTTTCTTTATTGTTAAAGTCCACTTGAGAATAGAATAATATTGTTTGTCTAGTCTTACTGAATGTTAAATTAATTATGATCAATTTCGACCACTGGGCGACAACTAGTATTAATAATTAGATGATTCGTTTACTAGAAATTTTAGTGGACTGCGACGACCTATGGTAAGCTCTTATCTTCTCGTCGCCATTTTAATGAACATCGTAAAATGGCATTTAATTGTAAATTTCAGTCACTAAAATCTAGAATTTTTATTTTGAGTATGTAAAACATGGAAGAGGTCGAGAAGAGAATGGCGGAAGAGAAGGTAATCCCTTCTCTTCTCGGCCTCTTTCGTCCATTCTACTCTAATCCACTCTACTCCATTCAGTTCCATTTTAGCCCGTTCAATCCCATTCCACATTAATTTTTTCATAAAATTAATGTGGAAATTATTAAATTGACAGTAACAGTTTGTAGAAAGAAAAGCTGGCTACGTCTTTTGGTAATTTTTTTCGTTCCTAAGAAATTTTCTTAGAACTTCAAAATATAAAAACCAACTAATTTGTTTTTACTACATGATTTAGTATTTGATATACCTAAGTAAAAGCCGATTGTATAACAGCTTGTTTTGAGTTATTTAGCTCATAGTAAAAGTGCATATAGGCATGCTTAAGTTTCCTTATATGGTGATGAAAATGTAATTATTTTAATAAATTACATGTTATGGGAAAATATGTAGCAATTTCTATAGATAGATTATAAAATCAATAGTAGATCGAAACAATACGGTATGAAAGGGACAACAATAGTTATACATAGATAGTGAATAATCTGTAATATTGTAAAGCAGTTTTTTAGTTAAGAATCGAGTTTAATCATTGACGACTGCAAAAAGAATAACAAAAATAGAACATAAAAATTTCGATTGAAAAGGGAGTTTGCATCTCAAAGTCCCGTTTTCAACCTAAATTCTCTCTCTCTCTGTAAAATACTTTAATACCTCTATATTATTTATAATTTACAAAGACGAGACAGATCTATGAGCTGATTGTGATTGCACAAAGCTCTAACGGTCCGTCAGACTAAAGTCGCATACGTCAGGCAGAAGTTGGCCTTTAGCCGCTCCATAAGTCCTTCCGTGGGTTTGGAGTGCCATCTGCACTTCGTCCCTATTGTTGTGAAGTATATATATTTATAGTTATTGTGCGGTGAAATTGTAAAGGCCAGCTGCGGTCAACAGCATTAGAATAGTTCGGAAAAAATGTGAATGTCATGAAATGTCATGAGGTGTGAAGTCAGCTTATTATTTTTTTTATATAGAATAGGGGAAAACGAGGTTGCGGATCACCTGATAGTAAGTGACTACCGCCGCCCATGAGCATCAGCAAAACATTGTAAATGCTTTGCCGGCCTTTTAAAACGGAATAAGCTCTTTTGTTGAAGGTTTCAATATCGTATCGGTTTGGAAATATCATTTTGCTGTGATTCCACAATGTAATTGTGCGTATTCATTAACAGGACTAAGAATATAACGTCTTTATATGACGACTGTGAGAAGTAACCTCGTGAGTTGCCATTCCGGAGGGAAAAGATGTTATGCCAGTAATTTCACCCTTCATCTGAAACTCAGCTTACAGTACAAGCTATTTGTTGGCCATAATAGTATACTACTAAATTATTACTTTACCGTTTATTCAGATAATAATAATATATACATATATATTTATATCTGCTTGCTAGCAACGCAAGATGCTTGTTGGCCTTAATATTCTACTATATTACTACCTCACCGTTACACAGTAATAATATATTATAAATTCTAGAAATCATTCCGAACTGACTGGTAGATTTGACATATAAGAGTCTGTAATAGACCTACATGAATAAAGATATTTTGAATTGGAATTTGAATTTGTATATTTTTTATAAAACCTTGAATTATATTAAACCTTTTAAAGATTTTGTTGCATTTTATCATGCGGGTCTCGTAGGTCGTACCCGCATTTCTTATGCACAAATTCAATTCAACACAAAAGATGATAAAGAACATAACTAAGAACAGGTAGTGAGCCGGTATCGCCCGTCGCCATTGTTGCGATAAAGCTTTCAATTTTAAACACGTAAACTTACTTCATTGGCCTGCATTAATTAATTCATGGTATAAGTAAACTAGAACAAATGGATACTTATTCTTTATCAATAACATTCCTTTAATTTTATTAATGGGTTTCTCTCCAAGATTGGGTGACAAGGGAAAGAAAGAAGTTTAATAGTACAGGGTGAAGTGCCCAAATAGCTAGCAATGTAAAATAAAATACAACTTTTTTTCAATTTATGAATGTAACGTACATTCATAATAGGTAAAAAATTATGACTGATTCAGCCGTTAAACAGAGGTATTTACTACTACTGACTGGTTGGATGAACAAAGTTTATCTATTATAAAGTATAGAGTAGGCATTATTTGGCAAACCTTTTTTAATACAACCATGAAGAGATAAAGTAGACTTTTATGTTTTGGTTTGAAATTAATGCAGAGGTGCTAGAATTATGATGCTATCCAAAGATAAGTGAACACTACAACTAATGAAAATCGGTAACGCGAGAATGAGGATTTTTGATGAGCCGTTCTCCCATTTTCTTACGTAGTAGTCAGGGGCGAACTAGGCAACATAGGCAAGTGCCTAGGGCCCGCAATTTTTAAAACTAACAAACGCCAAGTTAGTTTTGACTGAAAAGGAGGTTTGGAATAACAATGGTGTCCAACCCGCTTTAGCCTTGGTACCAGGAAGTGTTCGATAATACTGACAATAGTGCTGCTATTTATTATAGTTGCTGTATTTCAAGATGGCGACTTTAGACAGTGTCCTCCAGAGAACCAAAGGGTTATATTCAATTTTACTTGCTTTATAACTATCTACTAAACTAAGTAAACTGGACTATAACGGCTCTTAATGGATGCTGTAGATCGTAGTAGGTAGTTCAGCAGTTCTACGGTTTCCGTAGAGCCACGTTTATCATTCAACGGTTTGTCAACAGATTTTTTCAATAAATCTACGATAATGTGATTTTTTTAATAGCAGTCTGTGTATGCTGGCTTTCAATTATTTTCTATTGGGGTTGAAAACAAAACTTTGCTTGATTATCATAATAATAGCAGATGTTTAGAAAATCTTCGAAATGAGACAAGGTTCTGTCAGCATTTGTATGAACAAGTGCACGCTAATACATAGTACGTGCGAAATGCAAGAATACATACATCAATACATACAAGGTTGTATATATAATTAGAGACCAAAACTTTAATTTAGATGTTATTGTTTTAGAACATACATATAAGCTAACACGTTTCAAAGATTTTCAATTGAAATATATTCTATACAAAACACTAATTAAAAAATATGAATACTTTCTATTAACAAAGTGTAACTTAAAAGTCATGACTAATACTGCGATGTACAGCGTAAGATATGGACGGGGACAAAAAAAGGTGTAAGACGTCTTTCAATTAAGTAATTATGCTTCATTTAGATTTTGGAATTGCATTTAAATAATGAGGTAATGTTTACAAAACGCATATTTAAAGTCGCATTTAATTCGTTTTAGTCTGGGGGCCGGTGTGGGGTACCGATATTGTGAAGGCGTGAATAAAAAGCTGTCTGCACTAATGACATCCTAAAAATAACGCTCAAGTGAGATTCTGGCATTTATAACATCTGTCTAGATGTGCCTAGTATCGTTTTATAGCACGTAGGTAAATAACAAATATCTACGTCCACGATCAGAACAATTATTGCAATTCAAGTTTTTAGTTACATCTTAAGATTACTTATTCTTCTTTCCATAGTATAAAATGAAGTCGCTTCCGCTGATCGTTCGTTTATATCTCTGCAACTATGCAACGAATTTTAATGCCTTTTTTAGCAATAGTGTGGAAAGGGGAAAGTTTGTAGGTACAATACATGTACCGTGCGAAGCTGGGGCGGGTAACTAGTATGGTATAAAATAATTCTATTAAAACATCAGTACATTATTATTAGAATAAGAGCAGTATATGTAACATGTAGATATAGGTCATAAGTTCTTTAACGGAATGATATTTAAATTTATGACGTTACAGCGTAAACGCATCTTCAGGTCTAGAAAAAGGTTATCTTCAAACCTAACTTCTTGTGTAGGTATACATTACACATTTCGTCGTCTATTATAGGAAAAACTTATATTGAAAGACCAAATAATTAAGGCACGATAGTGTATAAACGCGTTGGTTCTGGTGGGGTCAGTGACACATTGCAAAAAAGAGGTCACTGATCTCAATATTACATCACTAACTTTTCTACATGTAAAGTCGCCGTCTGAGAACAGTGTTGTTTTATCCTGATAGTCCTTAGCATATTTTATATATGGTGTACCTAAACCACTCACCTTTTGATAGTTCACTGTTTCACTGTATTGCAGCATGGAAAGATAGTAAATTACTTTAAACATTAAGCATGATATTTTACTAACAATTAACTTTAGAAATTAGTAATTTAAATATGTAAATTTCATAATTAGCTAATTTTCTATAATTTAGATTACTTTATAGTTATTTAAAGTATATTTTAGAAATTTATGAAGAATAATGGATACCCCACTAACTATAATTATGGTTTAAAGCTTAAGTCAATATATGCTATGATGTTACACATTTCTTAATAAACTATATTGATAATAATGTCAGAATATTACCTCATTGAGCCAATCCAGCAGGATAGCTCTCATCCGGAGCTGAAGATTGGGATGATTGTCAAACATGTTGATATTCTTCTTGCGGCTGGATTTGGCATCACACTCACACATACTGTTCCACACATCCTGAGGATCTGCCCAGGAGAGCACTGGCAGGGGACATTTCCGTTTTGGAAGTGTGGGACAATCTGATTTACTTGTGCTGCAATAATGTAGATATGCTCTGTATAGTAAGATGAGATAGACAACTACACATAATACATCATTAAATATCAAAATTTATACCATTATATGTGGTTGACATATCATGATTTAGACATCTCATAAACATTTATAATATCATTCTTATCATAATTTTTTTGAACTTCCCAATGTCCTTGTATACATCATAAATATTGCAGGGTTTTAAATTAACATAACAAACAATTATATCAGAAATATAATTAGCTACAAACATAATTTTATTTGGATAGATTTTAGCTTGTACAACTGTGCATGAGAGCATTCTCATGCTTGCAGTTCTGTCTGGGTATCATATTAACTCACCTGGGCCTTTTATTTGAATGTGGAGTTGATTCGCCCCTGGCCACATTCTCTAGAGGACTCAGTACACAATTTGGCAAATCTGATATGCTTGGTGGACTTAAAAAACTATCAGCATTGTAGTCTATGTCTGTAAACACACTCCTTGGCTGATCAGCATTGTCATATTGTGAGCCCTCATCATCACTAGAACAAGACGACTCCACAACCACATTGTGTGTTGGTTGATCCTGTAGTTTCTCATTGAGTCTCGGTGATATCTTCACCGGAGGCATGTTTTCCACCTACAACACAGATCAGTCTTTAACTAAGTGGTTGCACACAAATACAGTACAAACAAGGAGTACTACAGACCTCATCATCAGTAGAATTTCTTTTCCGTTTTAAATTCATGCGTTTTTCAGTGTCATCAAGTGAACTGTAAAACAAGTGTAAGTGTAAAGTAAACAGAACATCAAGGTCGACGTTTAAAGCGTGTCTGAAGGAACACTTGTTACATACCCATTTTGTGCCATTATGGGCTAAGGCAACAGCTGGCACACTATCCCCAACGTCTGAAACATAATACTGATTACTTATATGTGCTTTCATAGGCCATAAGAGTTACCAAAATAAGGATTAATGACCTAAAATTACCGCATGTCATGTTCAAATTGCAAATAGGGTTATGTCATTTGACAACCTTATTGAGGCCAAATTTCTAATGTTAACGTATAAATTTAACCATCTATCTTCCAGTGAGATATAACTGACGCGTATAAATAACAAAAACATGAAATATTCATGGTAACAGAGGCTCAAATGAGTGTATATTTCTCAGCGTGCCCCCTGCTGATTGGCGGGAGAAAACATTTCAGAGGGCATATTTGGGTGGTAAATGAATGTTAATATAAGCATTTTAGTGTTTTATTTTCACTATATAGTATTAGGAGTAATATTATATCATATTTATTTAAAAAGAATGCAGTCAGCTGTTGAAAAAAATGCCACGAATTCGTCTCAATCGCGCGCGAAATCCTCCGTCAGCGCCATTAGACACGTCGCTGGCTTGGGTTTCTCGGGCCATCCACTTATGGAAATTGATAAAAATAGTACTCAGGTGACATGATATATCAGATCATACAATATATCAAAGAAATAATGCTATATAAACCCGATTTTCATGATCTTTAACGACATAACCGGCGCCAATGTAATCGGCTTGGCTTATCACCTACACAATTTTTATAACCTACTAGCAAGTAAAGATTAACATTACTGTTTAAGAAGAATATTCAATAAGATTCTCTACATATCAAGGGATTCGAAATTAGATTAAACATATACCTGGTCATTCACAAATTATTTCAAAATTCACAAAACAAATTTTCTAATATACTAGGTATGGATGATCACACCAAATGCACAATTGTACAATATTTTTCTCACGTTTAAAGTTTATCACACTAAATATGATTAAAAAATGATACACTTAGACTTTTTCCTCAAATTTATGGTCTATATTTCAGGATTTCACGGCTCGATAACGACCGGCTTTCCGCGCGAAAATGTCGCGGTAAAACTTGGGATACTCTGCAAGGAGACAAACAACTAACTTCGTGTTTGTTTCTACTGAAACTTTACGTCATTTCGATATTGTGCTTCCATTCACGCAGAAATTATTTTACAACATTTGACACTTCCTATATGTATCTTGTTTAACATAACTATTAGTTCAATATTTATATCATTAATGACATTTTATCATAATCTGTTATTTTTTAATAATAAATACGATAGAATAATATTAAATATCTATATATATTTGAGTTAAAATTTAATTTGGATTATCTATGCCATATAATTAATTTTCTTAATCCGTGAAACGAAACTCGTGGAACTATTGATGCTTATCTCTGATTGGTTCATTTGTATCACTAGCGCCAAATGTGGTGGCTTGGCGTTATTCTTTTTGTCCGATTGGTATTTCATGAAATTTTAAACAGCAACTTCATGTTCTACTACAGCTGGCCGCCAGCTGATTGAAAATCGTGTGAGAAAAGTCAATAAAAGTAGGTGCGCTTCTGTGGATATATTGATAACGTGGCTACACAGTGACATATTTGTGCGTTATGTGAATAACAGGTGTAGTTTACGACAATATCAATCGATATGGCCGTGCAAAATATCGCAGTGAAATTATGTGGTGTATTGCAGTCGCAGTCAGATGAAGGTAAGATTTTGTATCAATATTTTTTTTTATATAAATCCTGTATATTTTGATTTCTGTGGTTAGTTTGCAAGTAGTTTTTTACTATTTGTACTGAGAATATTAAATTTAAGTCATAATTTTGAATGAAAACAGTCTTTTATAATCTGTTCTAATATGTATAACATTTCTTCTATTATAAGGAAGAGGGCACGCTCTATTTACGCATATGATGGGTCGGTGAGTTTAAAAAAGTATATTCCATGAATAACTGCAGCAATTGGCAGATTTAATATAGTTGTAAGTTAGCATTATCTTCATGTCAACCTTTCCTAGATTAGTCACCACAGAGAACATAATACATACATGAGCTTGAGCACTAGCTGAATCTGATAGTCAACCAGAAATATGAACATTAGGTTTCTTATAATATTTATTATGTTTCTAGAGTTAGGACAGCCTGAAAAGCTTTCACTCTATATATATGATCCTCTTCAATGATACTCAGTGTTTTCTATGTAGTTCTAAATTTAGATAGTTTACTTTCATGTGTAAAACTAACATTTCTTCCTAAATAAGTAGTTTATGTCAATTCATAAAATTAAACACACAATTATAATTTCAGAAGTGACCGCTAGAGAATGGCGACTGCTGGGGCAAGAACAAGATGGATCCCAATTGCTGTCCTGGGTTTCAAAAAATGGCATCAATGACGTACTTAATATTGGTGTTTATACCAACAAAACCAAAGTTTTGACCACTCTCTACACTTTCCAAGAAAAATTAAATATAATACAAGCATCGGTGAATGCTACTCGTAGTTTGCTGGTATATGTTGTAAAACAGCTACCCAGTGAAGATGGTGACTGTGAACAGCCACTGTATTGTCCCTATTTAATCTGTTTACTCCCCGATAAAGAGAGCAGCCCAGTGGAAGTGGAAGAAGGGTCTACAAAACAGATAATGGTGCAGTATGTTTATGGAAAGAGCAATAAATATAGCCCAGGAATAAGGAATGATCGGTTTCTTCTGTTTAAACATTTGGAATGTAAGTTGACATTCAAATTATTTTTTTAGTTTTTTTATGTAACTAGAAGGTTGACAAGCTGACTGTCCACCTGATAGTAAACTGTCTCCTATATACAACATTACCATGGAGTATGTTATCATGTCAGCCATGATATATCTCATGCATTGTCATTCCAGAGGTCCAAAGTTTTGGTTTGCCTGTTTTATGTGGTTAAACTAAAATATAATTATTATGGAGTTAAGTAAGGCTAAAAGCGGAAAATTTATGTGTCTTTAATTTTTATTGTTATTTTTCTTGAAGAGCTAGCAAATCAAATTTATGTAACTTAATTGCTTACTTTAAAAAAACATTATTATTTTGTCTTAGGTATTAAAATATACCGCACACCATTGTTCTTGAATGAGTGTGATGATGGAACAGAAAAATGGGGCTTTGACGGCATCTACACAGAGCCAGAGACAATAGTGAAGGTTTTCTCATGGTCGCAGTGGGACTGTGCTAATCAGGTATGGCAGTATTTCAGTCATTGACACTTTCTAAATTATACATAATTCTAAAATATTCCTTAATAAAAATAAATTCTTTTATAAGTAGGAGTATAACTATAACATTGCTGGTATTTTTTTATTAGGTTCAAAGAGAGATTTCCATGGGTATTTAAAATTATCTGGTATCCTGCCTAGATCTGTTGTGCGCATCCTGTTTTGAAGCGCGCTACAAATTTAGTTAGAGACGTTAAATAGTTACATTTGTTAACAATATTATACATGAACTTGATATAATTATAATGTTATTTATGAGCTGTCGTTTCATGTTAATGGTACCCGCAACTTCGTCTATAAAGACTTTGCAGTTCTAGTAGTCCATTTGTTATTTTTCCTATACGAACTTTAATTCCCTTCAGGAATTAATTTATCTCAAAACCATAATTCGTTTAGCTGTGAAAACGTTCTAAACATTTATAGGTAATATTAGTACGGATATGGGAAAGAGAGTGTATTTTTCAATGGAGAACTTTCGCTTACACGTAACTGGTACTAAAACAGTACTCTTATGTTTAGGTGCTTTACTACATTCACTATCGCCCACCGACGCAGAGTTTCGCCGAAGGTGAAGAGGTAAAGTCGCCATCCGAAGCAACTCCGACGCTTTCAGCTCTCCAGTTCCACGCTGATTTGCCTCATGAAACAGTTGTAAGTTAATTATCAATATGCTTTATTAAATTTGACGTGTTTATTGCCGAAATATCAGGATTAAAAAAAACGTGGTAAGATAATAATATCGTAATTCAGATAGCGCCATATAGTCCAAAGTTAAGCATAGCTCGTGCTATGGGTACTAGACAACAGGCACTAGACAAATACATAGATAAGTTTTTTTTGTAAATATATACATATATGTACAGTCCAGTTTCTTGTCTGTGTATTTAACACAGAAAAGACACAGATTGATTCAATCAATCATACTCATGAATACAAATGCTTGTACCATGCGATTAATCGAACCCGCGACCATCGAAGATAAGGCGGGGTGCTAAGCCGCTAGACCACCAAGGCGGTCAAGATGGTAAAGGTAGCATATGACTCTTTGCAGCTACGTAGAGCGATGACATACGTAGAGTTGCGGGTAACAACTGGAAGAGAAGGGCTGAAGATCTTGCCATTTGGCGTACCTTAGAAGAGGTCTTTGTCCAGCAGTAGACTGCAGTGGGCTGATGATGATGATGAAGATCCCGTGATTTTTCTTGATTATAAATATTTACAATTGGTTATTTTGCTTCGATATAACATTAAATGTAATGATGATAATCAATAATTACCATAATTAATTTATAATGACATGACATTAAATAATTATCACTAATTATATATAGCGAACATGTATGAATAGATAGATGAATGTTAGCCTAGATAGATAGATGAATGAAGAGGGAAGGGGATTATTAGTAATGTGGACTGATCTTATTACATACACAGGCCAGGTTGACCTTCACGTGGTTCCCGCTGGAAACCATCGTGATAAATTCTTGGTGAATTTATCACGATAGGCTAACTGACTTGACCTCATGCTCATCTTCTTCCACTGGTGCCCCGCCAGCGTAAACCGTTAGCGCAGGCGGATGCACCATTCCATTATCATCCATAAAAAAAACAATCTAGTTGAGCCTGACACTCACTATCTAGGGCGGTAGAATTGTTGGTTGGTAGAATACCAAAGCAACTCTGAGAATGGTACTCGTAGGTACACTGTGTGGTTTTTTAGTGCGTAAGAATTACACACACTCCCTTGTCATCCCTATGTCAAGGGGGTGGTCTTTTTCTGTCTGGATATTTCCACACGATAAAAAATGGGTGCGGATAACCTGTGTTATGTCATTAAAAACGTTGTTATTGGACAGTTGAACATTCCGCTGAGCCTGCCGCACGTGGCGAGCTCGAGCGAGGGTGCCGCGTGTGGTGCGTACGAGGATGATCCCGTGCCACTGCGGGTACACGACTGCAGCCTGGACCTTCAGATCGTGTGTGACCAGAGGGGCATAATATGCATATGCCATCACTACCTGTATAAGGTACAGATATCAGAAATAGAAATAATTTTTATTCAGATAAGTCACTTTCAAATAAATTTATATAAGCACTTTTGAATAGTCATATTTTTTATTTTTACCAATCCATTTATGTATAAAAGTTTAATGAACTCTATTATAATGTTATACAGAGTATTGCACAATGTTTGTACACTACTTTAACGCAATTTTAATTGAAATATGTGGCAAGTGCCTCTTATTGTTGGCAGGTGTTGCCACATACAATATTTTTTTTTTTTGTAAGAGATGGTAATTTTCTAGGAATTGGTATAATGTGTGCTAGATGACAACAAACTCTACCTTGCCATTGTTGTCATCTGCTTGGGTAACAAAGTCTCCCCAATTTCAGTCACCAATCAGATTGAAGACTAAATATTTGTGGTCTGACACATTCTAATGGTAGCGGAATTAAACGAAATAATATAAATACTTTAAGTAATGTAATGGACTTCTGAAAAATAACACCTAATTCTATAAAATATATAAATTTAATATCATGTAAAATTTTAATTTATTTATATCTCCTCACAAACATGGATGGCAACAATATAGTATTTTTATAACAAAATACATAAATTTATTATTGTAATCGATTTGCTGTGAGGAGCTGGTGTCTGAAATAGGTATAACCTGTTATACAGATCACCAGGCCCCCAACCAAAATATAATGTAAGTTAGATAAATTATGATGCTTAATAAATGGATATACACTAAGTAAATGGATCAGTATTTTGGATATTTAAAGTATTATTTGTTATTTAGCCTCTAGACGACTCAACCACATCCCTAGTACTGGAAGACTGTGCGGATCTGAAGGATTCGGGCGTAAACTTCGCCTATTCAATAACGCTGCTACAGCATGGTTGTGTAGTGCACTGTGTGGTACCTGACCTGCCGTGGACTCGCGCCAAGTCCTTGAGGCCATCGTATACGTTATATGCAGGTAGATTTATTTAATAATAATATACGTTTATTAATACAAATATTATTGACATCCATCATCATCATCATCATCGCACCCCGGAACACGTCCACTGCTGGACATAGGCCTCCCCCCAAGATCTTATTGACATTAAATTAAATTGGCAGCATGTATATATGTACACACACATACATATACATACACACAGCCTGGTGACAGTTCAACAATTAAAAACCAACATACTACTAAAGGATATTTGCTAAAAAAGAAAGCTCAGCATATTGCTGCAGCCGAAGCTACAGCGCTGATTTTCACCGACGACCTCAGTAGTTTTTGCATGAAAGAGTAATAAACATCCATCCATACCTACAAACTTTCGAGATTATAATATTAATAAGATTAATTTCTTTGTCAACAGAAAACCATCTCCTAGTGAACATTCCAATGTTATTCACTCATCTCATCGACATCAGTTTACACCACGAGCCGTGCTGCCACATCGTTATACCGATGGAAGACAGCGACAGTGGGCCCAGCCTCGCCCCACTGCTGGGCTGGGGACCCCACGCCATGATCGATCTCAACACTTTAGATGTAGTGATGATGACTGTCCAAGAGAAGGACATCACGGCGACGTTCAAAAGTAACACAGCTATAGAGAACAAACTTGCGATTATGCATTACTTGATACAGCATGAGGGCAATATGGATCTGGCTGAGGAGGTATGAAATCAGATTTTTTTGTTGCACTAATCTTAAGTATAAAAATAAATAAAATTTAACTGCCTGTTTGTAATTTCAAATTAACAGGTATTCGCTAAATGTATATGAAAGTATATACTCATGTCATTAATTTAAAAAAATCTCTGTCTGTACATTATTTTGATTTATCTCGTAGGGTTCAGCCAGAGTTTGCAATGTAAGCGCAAAGAAATGTGTTTATTTACGATATCTCATTAGAAACCTCTAAATTTATCAGTGTTTCTCTACAATATTATGTATATATTATACATATAAACCTTCCTCTCATCAATTCATAAGAATCACTCTATCTATTTAAAAAAACATCTTCAAAATCCGTTGCGATTTAAGCATACATAGGAACCTACAGACAGCGTCAGCAACTTTGTTTTATACTATGTAGTGATAGTGATATGGTTGATTTCACAGTTGATATCGTGGATGTGCGTGAACCAGCGCGAGGGTCTGGGCGCGTTGCAGCGCGTGATGCAGGAGTTCCTCATCGGGACCACGTACGCCGTCACCCGGCGCTCGCTGCCCACCTCCGCACTCGGCCTCATGAAGATGCTACCCTTCACACTCCATCTCAAGTTTGGTGACGTTAAGGTAAACGTAACGTGTAACGGCTTCAAGTTCAATGATTGGTACATAGAATGTTGGGTTTAGGATTGGTGTTTATGCTATAAAAACTACCGAATTGTTAATTATCTTATATATAAAATTCTCGTGTCACAATGTTAGTTACCATACTTCTCCGAACGGTTTAACCGATTTTTATGAAATTTTATATGAGAAGTCACTAGGTCTGAAAATCGGTTAAGTGATAAGGGTTTTCCACTCCTAACATTTATTATTTGGATATTTTTTTTATAATGTGGCATTTAAAATACATAGAACCCTAAATTTTCACTCTTCTATTCTTATTTTATAATAGCGGTTTTAATTTATATGCCAAAATAACGCTTCGGGGTCAGTTAGTAAATATGCATATATTGTAGTAATTTTATGAGTGAACTAGTTATCGATATTACTAGTTAATGTAAAATGTGTTATGAAATTATTACTTATTAGTTAAATATGAACGCAATGTACTTAACTGTACAATTCAGTTTACTTCTTCTTTTTCATTTAATTCGAATGACTTCAACCAAACCAGGTCCGTTAGTTCAGGAATATACAGTGGTGTAGTTTACACGGCAAGATTTGTTGTCTATGTACGTTGATGTAGAGTCTGTTGCGTTAGAAATAGCTATAAAAGTGCGAACTGGAATGCAATGTAAAATGTGCGTAGTAATGCGTGAAAGTCGGGCTGACATTGCCAACAAATGTGGCTAAAAATCCTTAGTACAAAATAGCCCTCTAATGTGCGGTGCGGTGGGCAGGTGTGGGAGACGTCGGTGTCGGTGAGCCAGGAGAAGCTGTGGAACAGCGCGGCCGTGGTGCTGGCGCCGCGACAGCGCGTGTGTCAGTTCGCGGAGGACGTCTGGACGAGAGTCTGGGCCGCGCTCAGCCGCCCGCCCGGCCCGCGCCTGCAGCCCGCGCACGTGCTCGACAAGCTGCGCGTCAGCCTCCACTGCTACCAGGTGTGTACACGGGCCGCGCTCAGCCGCCCGCCCGGCCCGCGCCTGCAGCCCGCGCACGTGCTCGACAAGCTGCGCGTCAGCCTCCACTGCTACCAGGTGTGTACACGGGCCGCGCTCAGCCGCCCGCCCGGCCCGCGCCTGCAGCCCGCGCACGTGCTCGACAAGCTGCGCGTCAGCCTCCACTGCTACCAGGTGTGTACACGGGCCGCGCTCAGCCGCCCGCCCGGCCCGCGCCTGCAGCCCGCGCACGTGCTCGACAAGCTGCGCGTCAGCCTCCACTGCTACCAGGTGTGTACACGGGCCGCGCTCAGCCGCCCGCCCGGCCCGCGCCTGCAGCCCGCGCACGTGCTCGACAAGCTGCGCGTCAGCCTCCACTGCTACCAGGTGTGTACACGGGCCGCGCTCAGCCGCCCGCCCGGCCCGCGCCTGCAGCCCGCGCACGTGCTCGACAAGCTGCGCGTCAGCCTCCACTGCTACCAGGTGTGTACACGGGCCGCGCTCAGCCGCCCGCCCGGCCCGCGCCTGCAGCCCGCGCACGTGCTCGACAAGCTGCGCGTCAGCCTCCACTGCTACCAGGTGTGTACACGGGCCGCGCTCAGCCGCCCGCCCGGCCCGCGCCTGCAGCCCGCGCACGTGCTCGACAAGCTGCGCGTCAGCCTCCACTGCTACCAGGTGTGTACACGGGCCGCGCTCAGCCGCCCGCCCGGCCCGCGCCTGCAGCCCGCGCACGTGCTCGACAAGCTGCGCGTCAGCCTCCACTGCTATCAGGTGTGTACACGGGCCGCGCTCAGCCGCCCGCCCGGCCCGCGCCTGCAGCCCGCGCACGTGCTCGACAAGCTGCGCGTCAGCCTCCACTGCTACCAGGTGTGTACACGGGCCGCGCTCAGCCGCCCGCCCGGCCCGCGCCTGCAGCCCGCGCACGTGCTCGACAAGCGGGCTGCGCGTCAGCCTCCACTGCTACCAGGTGTGTACACGGGCCGCGCTCAGCCGCCCGCCCGGCCCGCGCCTGCAGCCCGCGCACGTGCTCGACAAGCTGCGCGTCGCCTCCACTACCAGGTGTGTACACGGGCCGCGCTCAGCGCCCGCCCGGCCCGCGCCTGCAGCCCGCGCACGTGCTCGACAAGCTGCGCGTCAGCCTCCACTGCTATCAGGTGTGTACACGGGCCGCGCTCAGCCGCCCGCCCGGCCCGCGCCTGCAGCCCGCGCACGTGCTCGACAAGCTGCGCGTCAGCCTCCACTGCTACCAGGTGTGTACACGGGCCGCGCTCAGCCGCCCGCCCGGCCCGCGCCTGCAGCCCGCGCACGTGCTCGACAAGCTGCGCGTCAGCCTCCACTGCTATCAGGTGTGTACACGGGCCGCGCTCAGCCGCCCGCCCGGCCCGCGCCTGCAGCCCGCGCACGTGCTCGACAAGCTGCGCGTCAGCCTCCACTGCTACCAGGTGTGTACACGGGCCGCGCTCAGCCGCCCGCCCGGCCCGCGCCTGCTGCCCGCGCACGTGCTCGACAAGCTGCGCGTCAGCCTCCACTGCTATCAGGTGTGTACACGGGCCGCGCTCAGCCGCCCGCCCGGCCCGCGCCTGCAGCCCGCGCACGTGCTCGACAAGCTGCGCGTCAGCCTCCACTGCTACCAGGTGTGTACACGGGCCGCGCTCAGCCGCCCGCCCGGCCCGCGCCTGCAGCCCGCGCACGTGCTCGACAAGCTGCGCGTCAGCCTCCACTGCTATCAGGTGCCTGCAGCTGTTCTCTTATCGCCGCCTGCTGGTGTGCTAGACAGAACTACAGCTAGTTGCGGGTTATACATAAATACGTTGCACTAAATGCAGTTAGCCACATTTTAATAGTTAAGATTTCGTGTCTTCTAAATCTTCTCTTTGGAAAGTGATTTGGGATATTGTGTATATATTACAGTAGTGGATGTGTTAGATGCCTTGCCTAAACATTAGCGGCGTCACTTTTCAGGACAAATTAAGAATCTCAACCGTCCACTCGAATACTCACAAGCAAAGCTTTGACCATGGACTCATTATCACTCACATGTTGTACACATTGACCATAAGTTACGACTCATCGTCACTCACCTGTGCTTCTAGCCGGAAGCGTTGTCGCGGTGCACCACGCCGCTGTCCCCGATGGGCGGGGGCGTGGGCGGCGTGGGCGGCGGGGGAGTCCCGGGGATCCCGGGGGGAGGAGGCTCGGGCGCGACCGGGCGGCGCGCTACTCACCAGGACCTGCTGCCGTTCTTCGAGGTGGACGTGTGCACGGCCAGTAAGCAGGAGCACGTGATCGCTGCGGTCAGTGAGCATATCATTTTTACTGTCTTAAAAATGTAACATGTCAGTGTATAATGTCCTGAAATTAATCATAAGTGTTCCATGGTCAGTAAAGATATCTAATGTTAATATTCCGTTTACAGTACTGTATTCGAACAGTGCTGTATTTTTTTTCTACTACAATAGTGGCAAACGAGCATTTGGCTCATTTGATGGCAAATGGTTACAGCAGCATATGGACGCATAAAACACTAGAGGAGTTACGTGCGCATTGCCGACCTTTGAGTTACCCTAACATCTTCTCTGAAGCAGCACTGTCCGAAACCATTTAGGTTTCAGCGTATGGGGATGAACTTCCTATCGATGGCGAGCGTGGCGATGGTAAACGGATTTTAAAATGTCTAATTCTCCACAAAATTATCGTTACTAATATGACACTTCTAAACAACGCAACTGCATGTACTTATATGAATTGATAAATAATGAAACGTGATCTGTCGGACGGGGCCAACAGAATCTGCGCGAGGTGAGCGTGCACCTCATGCGGTCCAGTGAGCGGGCGAAGGGCGGGGGCGGGGGCGTGGGCGGGGCGGGGGGCGGGGCGGGCCCGGAGGGCGGGGGCGGGGCGGGGCTCGAGAGCGGCGTACACGCGCTCGCCACGCGCTGGGCGGCCGCGCAGCTTGACGCCTCGCGCGCGCTCTGTCGAGCTGTCACGAGGGCAGCCGCCGCCGCGCCGGTACACCACCAGCACAGGGGGTTCACCTTCATGTACGGACGGTCCCGGCCTACCTTGGTTTTGTTTATGTACTAATAGATATCACCCTGTATGTGACTGGTGATTCGTTCGGTAAACTAGTCCGCCTCGTGATTGTGGTACGCTTGGCCCGTCTGTGGCGCTTGTGTACTGTGCTTTGTTCATTGACACTGAAGCAAGTAATATGTGGAGATGAATATTTATATACCAGTTCCTTTGTAGTTCAGCAAAGTTTGGTTCCAATCTCTCAGGAACATAGTTGTACTTGACACAAAAAATCTTTTCGTGTCAATTTAATATCCCCAATCTGCATAATCTATGTAAATTTAGATAATTATTTATGTATGTATATGTGAAAACATTGTAGCCTAGTGATTTACTACACCGACTTATACCAAAAAGTGTCGTGACCAAATCTGACCGACTCAAAAAAAAACGTCGAATAACAATCTAGGTATATTTCTGCTGACTCTACAGTGAAAAAAACATCACTATCAAATAAGAAAAAGAATTCTATAGATGGCGGTAGGAACATCGCCTATCATTTAGGAATTTTGGAATCAATGTTACCCAGAGAAATGTTGCTCACATTTTTCGTTCATCGTAACATATAGTATATATGTAGATAGTTGACAATGCCGTGACTAGTCGTGACTAGTATGTCTGTATGTTTGTCAAAATCACGTAAATCCAAGCAAAGCGTATCATAATTGCGAGTTCGTTCTAGTCTACGCGATCTCCTTTCTATTTGTGTAGTGGTGAACTATTGAAGGAAACAGACGTTTCACGTTAAGTCTAACTTTAGTTGTTACGTTAGTGTTCGGTTTTTCGAGAGTTGTTGGTCACAAGATGGTGGCCTATGAACATTGATTCGGAAAAAAAAAAAAGTTATATGAGCAGCCCGCGAACGGAACGAACGAGCTCCTAACATTAGAAACGTTTGTTTCTGAAATGATGCACAAGTATCGATGTCATTTTTCGTTGCGCAGGTTTTTGTCGTTTTTAGTTCTCGCTTGTTTTTTTATTTCACTGCCAGTCATTTGCCGCTTTTCTATGTGGGTAGTTAATTTTGGTTTTTATTTTACAGGTGTTGTTTTGTGTTGGTTATATTTTTTTTTATTTTGTATTGGCTTGTCAGTGTCGGTTTTATTTGTTCATTAAATATTTGATAATCTCGGGTATTTAATTTGGTTTCATTGGGCTGTGTCAATAAACATATATCATACATTTCATAACATATATATTGTCTTAAAATTATTTCAGTGTTTATAGCCTACTGAAACATAATCATAGATTCATTATCATATATTTTTTGTATTCATCAAGATTGGTATTAATTTCATTATAAAATAATAATTTAATTTTCATATTGTGAGAAAAGAGTACATATATTAAATAATCATATATAATTTAATTTTTTCTATCTGACCACCCATACATTTGTCGCGGTTGTTAAAAAATATAAAATAACGTTACAGTGATGAAATGGACCCTACGCACGCGTACATAGTGTTCAAACTCCTGGAGCAGTACTTCCTCGCGACGGACTCGATCGCGTTCCCGCTGCCGGCCGGGTTCAGTTCGTTCTTCACGTACCTCGGCTACCGCACGCTACCGTTCCACGCGTTCATTCAATACGTGCATAGAAACGTGTTCGAACTGCAGATCGACGTGCTGAAGGCTATTATAGCTTGTAAGTCAATGTTACTCTTATTACGTATGTGCCGCCACATAGCGAATAAGCAACAAAATCATCAACGTTATATGTATGTACTATCACGTCTGGAACATGGTTTTAAACTGATTCTACCACTGACCGCTGTGTCATTGTCTAGCGATTTGAATAAGCGTATCTTTTTTTATGGATGATAATGGAATGGCGCACTCGTTTGCGCTGACGGGGCACCAGTGGATGATAAGATGAGAATGAGGTCAGATCAGTCATCACGATGGTTTCCAGGGAGAACCGCGTGGAGGTCAACCTGGCATGGTACATTGCTAGCAATAAGATCATCAGTCCACATTACTAACAATATTCCCCCCAATACAGTATATTAAGTTTGCTGTTTAACGCCAAAGCTCAATCGGAGTTCCACAGCGAGCAAACAGTCGAGCCACAGCTCCGACAATGTTGACCCATTCTATAAGATAAGCTGTAGTAGAATCCGCGCGACCCCGTGATTCCGGCATTGCCGGCTTACAAGTACGCCATATGATCTTGCGCGCGTACATAAGAATCCCACAGACACGTTCGCTGGCGGTGGATTGAGCTTTGGAAGAATTTGCACGTTAAAAAAACAAAGTGAGACAGAGGTGCTCACGCATATGACTTTGGACAAAGTATGCCTTGGTAAAAACTTATACATATAGTTTCATTATTGAACCCTATATTCCTTGACGTTTACTGTAAGTTCTGTTTCAGGTAAGGATGACAGCGAGAAAACAGTGAGAAACAAGCTCCGGCTGATCCAACTGGTGGGCGAGGGCCGCGGGCGGCGGGCGCTGGCGGCGTGGCCGCACCGCCGCGCGCTGGTGCTGCGCGCGCGCGACCACGCCGCCTCCCTGCTGAGCGGCGGCGGCGCGGGGGCGGCGGGGGCGGCGGGGGCGGCCGCCTCCGCCAGGCACCGGCCCGCGCGCGACGCCGGTGAGTAACCACCTACATACTGGCGGCGTGGCCGCACCGCCGCGCGACCACGCCGCCTCCCTGCTGAGCGGCGGCGGCGCGGGGGCGGCGGGGGCGGCGGGGGCGGCCGCCTCCGCCAGGCACCGGCCCGCGCGCGACGCCGGTGAGTAACCACCTACATACTGGCGGCGTGGCCGCACCGCCGCTGCTTCCACACACACACACACACACACTGAGCGGCGGCGTCGGCGAAGACGACGATCCCACACCATAACTCACAATCAACCGAGCGCTTGACTTTGCAGCCCAGTTATGTATTATATTACCCAATATATATATCAGAAATATAAATGGGCACACAAAGGTTTTTTGTGTGAAGGAAAATATCCCTTACTTTCCTTTCCAGTAAATCAGTCATTCCACGATATTCTCTATAATTGTAATATAAGATTATTCATTAACTTATTTTATTTCTAATTTATGTGGAAAAGCCCATTGCTGGACGAAGATTTTCACCATTTCTTTACAAAAATTAATTACTTAAAATGTTTATATTAATAACAGGTATCGCAGCGTTACCATCCGGCGAGCGTCTGTCGCCACTCGACACATTTTTGGATCTACTGACGGCTAAAGCGAGCCTCAATGAACTGGACTTCAACCTCATTATAGAGGCGACATTAGCATCAGTGCAACAAGATACAGCAGCATAATACAAATTATTGTAATTCCCATAGCAGTCCTTATTTAAAAGGATTAGACAAACATTATATAATAAATGCGAAATTAATGGAAATATGAGTTACCATTTGTATATCGTAGTAACTCCTATATGTTATCATATTTATATTACTCGTATTAATACTATAATACGAGTATATACGATACTGTATGATTTTTTGCCGTTCGGAGAAAAATATTAAACTAAAATAAACAATATTTACTCATTAATAGTAGTAAGTTGATTGGACTAAATCAATTTACTACTCGCGACATCTATCTATACTTATTATTATTATTATCATAGTGATATGACACAATCTATAATAATTCTAGTGAGGTCCTTTTACAATAGTAGTGCTATTAATAATTGAACTACAATTATAATTACCAGCGATTTAATTTTCTCTAAATATATAGTAGAGGTTCACTCTACACTATGTATAGCACAGTGTTTTTTTATCGCGTATAGATCGGGTATGGCTTAAATGTATTTGGGAATGTACCATGTTATTTTTATTTGGTAAAAGGAACTAAAGAAATCCTCAGCATTTTTAGATTAAAATTAACAAAAAAAGGTGTTCCCCAAAATAAATTTCAATTTTAATATCCATCAAATCTTATTATTCTTATTAAGTCTTTTTTTTCCTCACGGCAAAAGTCAGGTGTCATTCTGGTATCTTTTCTTGTGTAGCTTTGGAATGTTGTATTCATTACTTTAAAATATATTATGATCAGTATATAATTTGATAGTGTAATCTGCTGAGCGGCTATATTAATTGATAGTGTAATTTAAGAGTTAGGTATTTTTCAGACCAAAGAAAAGCATAAATGTGTTTTGTTGTGTTATTTGTCATTCCATATTAGTGCAATATATGATAGTTTAATTATTAAATTATTATTTAAGTATTTAATTTAAAATAATGTCTTGTGATATTTTGTTTAAAATAAAAAAATAAGTACAATGTCTTAAATTTTATTTATTATAATACAACTTGTACTAATTATATTTCATTTTTATTAATTATAAAAAGGGTTATATGTAACCCAATGGGCTCTCTCTTGATCTTTGTCACTTTTATGCGAAGTGAACAGAGATTTATAGACTTCACTGGTTTGTGGGTCTTTGGCGACACTGTAATCCTTCTTAGTTTTCTTATATGATGGGTCCTGTACAAGTTCTGTCGGGTGAGCGCGCTTTGATGATCCAAAGTGACCTCTGGGTTGCTTATTGGGGTTGAACTTTGGTAGAGACAAAGGTATTGTATCAATTTCCTTCTTTACTGCTTGGCTTGAGCCAGGCACAGATTCTTCCTTGACAATGTTTCCATTTGGTTGTTGAGATCCAGAAGTGCAAGGTTCATCTGTTACAGGTTCGGTTTTAATTTCAATTTCCTTAGATTTTTCTGCTTTCAACTTTTTACTGCTCTTCCTGCTGGCAACACGCACCGCCATCTTTGTTTTTAACAGCTCAATGTCTTCTTCATTGCCATTTATTACGATAACATCGTTATCTGAGAAGGGTTCCTGGCACTGTTAACAAAAAATATTGTAATCGTTACTAAAATTATAGCTTAGAAGCATCCTATTAACAAAATAATATAAGTCACTTTGAACATACAAATATAGTACAAGTTTTTTAGTGTTAAATATCTAAAACATATTCTTAAACTGAAGGACAAACATAATATTATACATCCTCATGAAGGTAGCATGTTATCTTAGCTTAACTGAAACTTTAACTTCTTTTTATATAACGTGGAATGGCAAACAATCTTCTACCACATGTTACTGTATCTCATATTGTATGGAGTCCCTTTCTATAGTCAACAGGTGGCTTTGTTAGTTGTAAATAAAAGATAACTTCATTGTCAAACATTATAATATGAAAGATTCATTTGCTCTTTAAGAATGTTGTATAAAATTGATTCATATATTATATAATAAACTACAAAATTTTTTATTTAGTTAAGACAATTTTTACGAAGCTGTCGAAGCCTCCTTTTAAACCTAAAAATGCTTGTCCCATGAGTTTTGCACTCTTCCATAGCTTACACAGTAAGTTTCAAAAAAATTTCTAATTTTTTTTATATATAAATATCACAATATGTGTAAAAATATTTATCACAAACATTTGACAACAACTTACCATATGACAGAGATTCTGCTTGACCTCCTTTAAGGCTCTCTCAGCGAGCACACAGCCACAACTCCAGAGTAAAATAAAGCGGAACTTTCCGGTCATCTCCAGCCCACTGATGGGGCAGATGTAAGGTGCACTACCATCACCTACAGCACCTTCGGTATGCTCAGTCTCCACATATGCTGGGTTTTTATTGAGTTTTAAATCCTTTATGTCCTGTAATAAATAAAATTAACATTATTTATAAATTGATAGTGTGCCTATATTTATTTGTCCATAATTAATTAATTAGAAAATAATAAAAAATTAACAACTAATTTTACTAATAGTGTGAATTAACATTATTTATAAATTAATAATAGAATGTGCCTTTTATTTCTCTGTGATTAATTAAACATTAAGATTTAATTAAAATTTAAGAGCAGTTTTTGTGTAATATTGTGCATGTTTGTAATGTGTGAATGAATGATTCAGTGATGGTTTTTCAGCATCTTGTAATGATCATCCACAGGACAACTGTATCAGTCCTGTGAGGTTTTAATAATTCTCCAACTTTATATACTTGATATAGTACTTAAGCAACACTTTCTGATACAATATGATGCAAATTATTTGACAAAAGTAGAGTTTTATGAAACATAAAGAGTTGATTAGTAAATAAATATTATTATTACTGTTATGAAATATTTACGATGATGTTATGTCTTACATAGTACATAAAATATATAAATATAAATAGGTAAATTTACCTTGAGATTTTTTATATGGCTTATAGATTCTGGTTTAGTTTCTTTGTCGAGCAATGCCTCTAAAATAGAACTTTTGCTGTAAAGACGACCAAGTCCACACGCCACCACTGGTTCTTGAAGCCGTTGTTGTGATAACGCGCAGTTACGCCACTTGAACGAACGCTCCGCATCCTTGTCTTTCTGTAAAACACCATTATTTTTGTAGAATGTTATGGGCATATTAAAAGCATTACATGTTCCAGTATTATGTACCTGTTCTGGCTTCTTTTTCATGCGAACAAGTTCATCGCGACGAGGTATAGTTCCACCATCACAACCCATGATGCTTTATTTGTTTATTTTATTATTTTCAATAAGTATTTATTTTAGTATAGACACACAAATATAAAACATGGATGCAATGACATCAAATTTATTTTTTTAAATAGGTGATTGTGACACTGGTGATTGATGTTGACAATCACAGACAGATCAGAAATTTATTTTTGGTTTGGATGTCACTGTCACTGTCAACCACAGTGTAAGTAACAAGTCGTCATATCGTCTCGATTTTCTTTAGTACATTCTTTTAAATTTTCCTTAAATTTACCATTCAGAATTTTCAGATTTGTGGCATGAAAAAAATCAAAAGTGGTACAGAGATTTACTTATGCCTGAATCTATAATCATGACTTCGGCCGACGATGAAAGGGTTCCTACTAATGGGTCCGATTGCAGCACGCAAGAAAATAATCATTCTAATATCGCCACTAAGAAGAAAATTAAGAAACGCGGCATAGTTTTTTTGTCTACAATTCCTCCATACATGAATGTGGCCAAAATTCGTGAAATATTTAGTCAGTTCGGAGATGTTGGAAGGGTTTTTCTGCAACCTAGTGGCAGTGAGTATTTAAGGTTATGTTTTTGTTATTAAGTTTTTATTTTGTTATATGAGTATTATTTTCGTTGTAGAAATTGGCGAAAGAAGAAAACGGGTTCCTAATCAATTTACTGAAGGTTGGGTGGAATTTGAGAAGAAAAAAATAGCGAAACAGGTTGCCGCCCAATTAAATAACACAAAAATTGGTAGTCGAAAGAAATCACGTTACTACGATATGATTTGGAATATTAAATATATTCCCAGGTTTAAGTGGGTCCATTTAAGTGAACGGTTAGCTTATGAAAGGGCAGCATATAAACAAAGACTTCGGGCTGAGATATCACAGGCAAAGAAGGAAGCTCACTACTTGCAGAGTAATGTAGAGAAAAGTAAAAAGATAAAGAAAAAGCAGTCTGTTGAAGGTTCTGTTGAGTAAATAATTGAAATATAACTTTAATTTTATTTGAACTCACCCTCTAAAATGATAGATGCACAAATTGTATTAGTAAAATAACTCTATCTTGTCTAGCTATCTTTGTGTCATATGTTACTTATTAATCATTATAAAATTTACATCCAGTATTGGTTATTTATGTCGATTGAGGGTCATTATAGTAATAATAGTAAAAATGAAAAGTGTATCCCTTTTATGACTAACTATTAAATGATCTTATTGAAATTGGATATGAAGATGGCTTTGAATCTGTTAAAATCTATCTGGCCTCAAAAAGCAGCTGACACAGGTAAAATAGCTAGCAATTCGTAAAAAACAACTGTATGCAACTTCTGTTCCATATATATAAATAATTAAACTACTTCTTTAGTACATTTTTCATATTTTTTAATTACCTCCTATCTATATCTTGCGATTGGTTCATCAAGACTAGCAGATTTGTTTCTATATTTTAATTGAAAAATAATATATAACCAATTTGAAGTCAGAATTTTTAATATGGCAACATCTTATTAATCTCTTATTCTTTGGTCTTTATTTCTGACGGAAATTAACTCTCCCGCTAATTATTTCTTCAACTCGCATCCTCTGGTGTGAGTTTAGCGGGTCTGGCGTTAGTTTTTGTATGTACCGTCGTGGGGGTATTTTGTGAGAGAGGATTCCTTGAGAGAATTCCCTGTGCACACGTACTCCATCTAGGGCGTTTGGCTGCAGCCTCTCAAAACTATGTAACTCCTTCATGAATTGCTTGCGCTGTGCTACACTCGCCCAGTGATAACGGTGTCGGCAGACCACTCGACTGAAACACAATATAATTTATTTAACTGTAAACGCATACAACCGATGGTCCGAATGTCACCTATTAACACGAAGCAAAAAACGTCTACATCGTGGCGTCCATGATACCCTGATGCTCTCCATCCTTAACCCTTACCCTATTACGGATGGGATGTCAGGGTTCTGTATTTGTGTAATATTATTTCATTGTTACAACCAAAATTGCGTGGCATTAGAATTACACCACAGTTGCATCTTCGTTCTATTTATGTATAAATATAAATGAAGATGTTGGATTGTCTAGAGTTATAGTAAGTATATTTTAACGCGTAGCTGCACGCTCCTATCCAATTTGGCTGGGCAGGGAGAGAAAGATGACGTACCTACATCGTCAAGGTGCCCGTTAAACTTACACCTGGATCACAAGTCCCAGGAACTGCTTGGAGTTTACCTCTCTGTCAGACATGCTTGTTTCTCTATGCTCGTGCATTAGAAAATCACTGACTGATATTGACTGTATACTGTATTAGTGATTTTCTAATGCACAAGCCTATATTCGCTGTTAGGCAATATAGAGTTCAATTTTTCAACCAACATTTCATAAATATTTTGATGAGGGAACTTATAGGGATACTTACTATGCCAGAGCCAATTTGGAATATGTAGGATGTACGCTAACATCTGACCGCGCCAACTCCGGAAATCCAGGGTATAACGGCACTCTCCTTTTGGTCTCTTCATGCGATTTCTCATAGACGGCCATTTTCCTCACGATAGTAAAATGCAAGTCGAAATCTTAAATTAAAAACAATGATACATATGAGTAATCACTGCATTTTAATTTAGGACTCGCTGCTTGCTATGCACAGTTCTTTGTTGATTCAGAGGGACGTGGTTGCTATAGAAACTGCGTTAGTGTTTACAGTCTTAGTAAATGAATGTTGTACGATATCAATGCTATACGTAGGCGAGGCTATATGTGGCGAATTGGCCTAATGTCCTGATCATCATAATGTATGATTTTTAATAGATTATAAATGGCACACCCCCCTGTGTTAACGGTTTTCGCTGGCAAGGCACCGATGGAGAATAAGATGAGGTCAGGTCATCGTAAAAATATCATCAAGAATTTATCACGTCGGTTTCCAGATTGAACCGCATGGAGGTCAACCTTACCATCCATCCAGCATACAGCTAGCAATGTACCATCATTGCTAGCTGTATGCTGGATCATTCATTTTACTAATATTCCCCTTTTCCCCGTACTGTATTAATTAACCACCATCATTTCCAAAGGCCACCATAGTCTACCTGTTGATCCCGATTACTACTAGCCATTGCCTTGCTTTCTCTTTATTATTTATGAGTCGGCGCAGTTTGTCTTTACCATACAAAATTATGCATTTGTAAGAACATTTTACGTTTTGTCTAATCAACATATAATATCTAGTTAGATAATACTGTTGTGGACCATCGGAGAGGGAAGCAGAATAATTATTTCCGGCTCGAGCCGAGGTTCGAATCTTTAGCGGCGCCCTCAGACTAAAGTCGTATCCGTCAGGCGGGAGTTAGCCTTCAGCCACTCCATAAGTCTTTCCGCAGGTTTGGAATGCCATCAGCAGTCTCCTCCTATCGTCCGGTAAAGCTGTAAAGGCCAGCTGTGGCCAACAGCATTATAGTCCGAAAAAACAAAATCTATGTTCTTATCTGTTTATGGATAACGATGTAAACTTAATTAGCAACCAACCAATTATCTTGATACAATTGAATGTGCTCAGTGAATACGCTCAAATTAGTGTTAAACTGTAGAAGGCAAATTACACATCATTACGCCATATTAGAATACATTACAACATTTAATTTATTTTTATTTAACATTTATTTACTTTATTAATTTTATATGAATTAAAGATGTGGTATTACATTAATAAGAAAAGGCACAACTGGTAAAAATATATGATTAAAAATTACAATAATTTTCATAATGAAGAATATATTACTCAAAATATTTTTGTATTTAGTGTAAATAATTTCTTGAAACTTGACTATTTGGAAACTATGTAAATAAACTTTTTATCAACCCATCAGAAAATGATATAAGCCACTAACAACACAATAATGTAATTATGAAAAAAATTCAATTCAAAACAACTCAATATCAAATTAACAGTTTATTAGTACAGAATAATATTATTAAATCTACTTCCAGGTGGAAATATTGCAATATTCCCTGAAGTTATTGATAAAATATACGCAGTATCCCTTCAGCTATTATTTACACAGTTGGTGTTATGTTCAAGATGTTGCAGACACTGCCGCCACTCTGCTCTTGCAAACACAGTCATTAAATTGATTCACTAATACTGAGCACAACAGCGACTTATTCGCATTTGCACTGTAGCAATCCAGTACCTGGAATAGAAATGGATGTTACATATTTAATCTTCCTAAGTTAATTCCTAAACTAAGCTCACTTAGTTTTGATATCAATAAATACATCATTTTATTCGACGGCCTCTGTGGTGTAGCAGTTTAGCACACAAAATAGTTGCGGCTTTGATTCCTCGCACTATGCAAATATTTATATATGATTGTTTGTATCGGTCTGTGTGTTTTCTATGTATAGTATGTATTTAAAAAATTTATGTATTTATATCTGTAGTCTAGTACCCATAACAAGCTCTGCTCAGCTTGGTACTAGATGACGCTGTGTGAATTGTTCAGGTTATTATTATTATCACAGAAAGGGTTAGTCAAAGGTATTGTCAAATAACTGTGTGGTGAAAGTTACACTCGCCATGCCCACATTTCGCTGTGTATATGAAATACAATGTGGCAAGGTCAATCCCTAAAGCCATGCCTCGTAATAAATTTAATGAGTGATGAAAACAAAGACATTATACCTGTTTTCATCACTTATCAGTCACCGCTGAGTCTATCAGATATAAGAAACAAACCAAAGATTTTTATGTTGGCCAGATTTAAACTTGTAACCTTTTACAGTTATGTGGTTAAAAACAAGGCCATAATGCTCTCCAATAAAAATTATTTGTGGAAGACTAATGTAGTATATATCACAATAGTAACTGTATGAATATATAGCACATAAATTGTGTCATAAAATAAATATTTTCTAGCAAATTCCGGAATTATAACTATAATGCAATGAAAAGAAATTGCAATTTATTTATGCAGTGCACCAGTGGATGATGATAAAATGAGGTCGGGACAGTTAATTCCAATTTTACCACAAATTTATCACCATGGTTTCTAAGGGGGTACATGGAGGTACAACCTGACATAACATGCTAGCAATGGGGTTATTAGTACACATTACCAACAATCCCTCCCCCCCCTCAATATATTATTATAATAGTCTAAAACCATAGTTTACCTTTGCTTTTTCATCCTGACAAGGTGGTAATTTACTAGTGATTTTGTCTTGCTGTGCCAGTTCAAATAAATCATTGGCTTCTTTCAATGTCTTTTGGTACTCGATAATCATGCCTGTAGTTATTTTTTCATGTGCCCTCTTCAAGTTGTCTATACGGCGATTCCAGTACGCCTCCTCGGCGGCATTCTCATTTTGCCGCTTCTGAGAGTCGTAATATGGAGGTGGCGCGTATTGTGGTGGAGGCGCAGACTGTGGCTGCTCTGCTTGCTGTAAAAATTAATTCAGATTCTATAGCTTTTAATACAATCATTTCTAATATTGTAAATGTGATAATGAGTTTCCTTATTATTTTTATATTATAACTGGTCCCAACAGTTTAATTTTGGCATATAGAATAAAAAATTGTATACATATTTTGTTTTTTATCTCAACCAAGTAGACAAAGTTATGGGAAGAAGCTCATGTTTTAATAAAAAGCAAAATAACATTATTAATACATACATACTAATATGTGTCTGTAATTAAGGAATAAAGAATTAATCTATCTAATATGTATGTCCTAAAATAATAAATATATCCTAATATTGAGGTACAATATAAAAAAGAAATGACAGGTAGGAATGGAAATAACATCACAGGATATATATGTATTTAATATTATAACATTTTATAGATATTGAAATTGTATGGATATATAAATTGTTAGTTGATCTTCTAAGACTTTATTTGATACTATATTATGACCATAAATAATCTGTCATCAAATGTTCAACTAAAACATTTAATATTTTAATGAGAATATAACACATCATTCAACTTGCGGATATTATAAACATACAAATGGATGAATTTTATAAATACATGAAAATAATTTACAAATATTTAATACATCACATTATTTTGAAGTAACAAAACTTGACATTGATATAAATTATGTAATGCAGCATGATAATTTACCCTAGCACTCAATTGAGCCTGTATTCGGTCTAAGGCTTCTTGGGACACTTGTATGGCATTTTCGTTGTCAACACTTATTTTTCGAGTACTTTGTGAACCACCCATGTTTGTAAAAATATTTCTTTAAAATAATTTTATCGGCAAATCACGTCAAATAGACATTTTTTGACTTTACATAGACCAGTGACAATATAGAGCAGTTTAAGTTACACAGATTAAACACGAAACGCAACAGATCATATAATCGTAGACAAATGTTTATTACAGAGTACGGGGTTTAGGTACATAATTTTCGCAAAATGTCCTAAATTTAATCTCAATTACATTTGTCCCAATTAATTTTAAAACTATATGCAACATGTTGGACCCACATTTTGTTTAACGGCAATGTGTTTTGTCTGTAGCTAATTACTTTGTTTAAGTAATGATTGAACCAAAGGAAATTGAATCTTATGTTAATAAAACTGATGAAATAAAAATATATTTGTCTCCATTATATGATCCGTTGTAGTTAGTTTCACAATAAGAAGCCCCTTTTCTTATTATAAAGATTCTAGTTATATTAATATAAAATCTTTATTAATCTTAAACGGAACTTGTATTAAGTACAAAGTGGAGTACAACAAAAATTTATGTTATTACTCGTATAATTTATGATTCTATTCAATTTGTGCCATCGCTGAATAATGGGCATTATAATGTCAAGCAATATATCGTGTTAAACACCCTTAATAAGACAACATTTACAGCTATTCAACAATAGATGGCGCCGTAAGTATATCTACTTGTTAGTCTGTTATTACATAAATACATACAAAATTTTTGTTCTATAACTTATCATAACAATTTGTTATCGTATGTATTATAAGTACATATAATCAATATCGATCTGAAACACAGCAGCAATACCTACATGTGAAATTTTATTTCACCACAACAGTAGTAGCTACAATATGCATCGTGCAAATTTACTAGGTACTTATTTTATCACTGGATTTTTAACTGATATATCTACATATTTAGATGGACTTTGTTCGATTGATATGTTGTCTAAGTAATTAGGTATATACAATAATTAAAAATATAGTCTAATGTTATGTTCTAAACACCACACCAGATGGTAAGTGAACACCACTACGACATCACGTTATCATATGACGCCAGTGTTACCGGTCACGCGTTGCAATTCGATAGTACATTTGCATAGATATTATGTCCTGTAATTTCCACTATCTTATCAAGCGATACACATCTTACAAAGCAAGCTGCTTGGCGGCTTAATTAGGTCTCACCTAGCTTACGTAGAGACGTAGCTCGGTAAATATATAAAGAGTTTGTAATTAAACAATACAATGTCATCAAATTTGTTTTCTAATGTCTCATTATTACTAGGAATCAAAACAGATATCTAAAACTAATATATCTATATACATATATACGACGTCCCTATGTATGTTTAAATGTTTAAAACTACGCAACGGATTTTGAAGCGGTTTTTTTAATGGATAGAGTGATTCTAGAGGAAGGTTTATATATATATATATAATACATATACATCCGTGGGAAGCCGGGGCGAGTAGATAGTTACCTATAAACGCGAAAGTTTGTGAGTATGGATGTTTGTTACTGTTTCATGGAAAACAAAACTTCTGAACGGATTTTGATGAAACTTTACAGTAATATAGATTACACATAAGAATAACATATAGGCTATAAATCTCACGCGGATGAAGCCGCGGGCACAGCTAGTATATTATAAGAACCAAATTTTGGAATGGTTTATAATTTTTAATGACTATAATGGAATGGTATTTATTTTGGACATTATATTTTTATGTTTGGTTTTAATTATTTATGACTTTTTATAAAAAATATTATTTACACATTTTGCCTGCGTTAATAATATCTATATGATGTGAGGTACCAGTGGAGGATGATAAAATCAGCATAATGTCAGATTATTTAGCTTAACCCATCATGTAAAATGCCCCTACCTATAATTAAAGTCAATGATGTCCATGGCTTCCGCGTGGAGGTCAACCCGGCATAGACATTCAAGCAATTGTGTCACTGGTCCCAATGACTATCAATTTTCTTTCCATAGACACTAATGTTTTCAATTCCCGTGGAACTTCCGTTTTTAGTAGGTATTTGGAAATATAAAATTTCTTGAATGTCCGCGTCTTAAATTACCCTTATGTTATTGGTGTGTTTCAACATATTCTTTTTTTTTGGACGTGATCACAGCAAATTGGAGTTCTACTGCTAGTTCTTTGTATATTTATCTATATAGATGGCAGATTGCTTTAATATTTGATTTTCAGATCTATAACACCCTTTCTTTTCGAACAAAATCGTTGTTTCGAATTTCGAAGCAATCTTCAGCAATAGATAGAGTGATTCCAGAGGAAGTTTTATATGTATAATACATGCATATTATAGTAAAGAAAATTTCTTGCTCATTCTTCTTGTGACCAGTCTGCGGTCTGAATGAGTGGTAGAATAAAAAAACTATGGCTATTCAAAAATGTTTATATTAATAAGTTTATTTGAATAAAGAATATTTCTATTTTTGTATAGACAAGTCAGGAAACCCAATATAATACTTTATAGTTGAAAATAATTTTGATTTAACCTTTGTTTATACTGATTCTAGTTGTTTGTCAGTCAGCGCGTGACCACGGCTAGTCCGACCTAGTCGAAACGTCTAGAGAGGTAAAATACCTTCATTTGGCACTGGCAGTGCAGCGGTTTTACCGCGTGTAATGTATAGTCTATGTGTTATTCTGATGTGAGGTTACCTTTATTTGGCACTACTTATGCCCGCGGTTTAACCAACATGAAATTTATATCCTATGTAGTTATGTATTTATTCTGATATATAAGACATACTATTATAAAGTTTCATTAAAATTAATTAAGTAGTTTTGTGTAAAAGCAACAAATATTCAAACATTCCCACTCACAAACTTCCACGTTTATAATATTAGTAAGATAAAACTATTCGTGCTAACAATATGATTAAGAAAATTTATGATTATGGATGTTTGTTACTAATTCACGCAAAAACTACTGAACGGATTTTAATGAAACTTTCCAGTAATATAGCTTATGCATCAGAATAACACATAGGCTATAAATGATAATATATATAATATAATATTATTTTTTATTGAAATTTAACGCGGATGAAACCGCGGGCACATCTAGTGTGTAAAAAACACGAATGTTAAAAAAAAACATCTTTTTAAATCAATTATATTTATAAAATATTAAGTTTACGAAGTTCCTCAGGCAAAAACATTTTTATTTTTACATTTGCAAGTGAGGAATTTTGGCGAATCGAACCCCTTGGTGAGTCGTGACGAGAGGTGCGGGACTCGGGGCACAAAAACTGACCACGATTTTATTGGGTTTAACATAACCGGTCGAGCCGGTCGTCGCCGCCGCGCCGCGCCGCGCCGCCGCTATCATCCCGCCCGGCCCGTACTTTCTTTTGTCTGATTGGAATGCGATCCGGCACCGCAGCCACACTGTAATAACTTGCATTCAATTTTGTAAAATTATTCATTATCATCATCATCATCACTTGACACTTCACTTATCAAATTTTGTATAATAATTATATTTATACAACTGGTACAGGTTTTTGATATTTGGTTTATAGATATAGGCTTCACTACAGTCCACTTATTAAATTTTGTAAAATTATTTCATTATACAACTGGTACAGACATTTGTTTTATCTTATTGATATTTGGCTTATAGTTATGGATTTCACTACCCAATCTTCTTCTTGGTCGTTCTTCTTGATGACTCAGCTTTTTATTCATTTCTATTTTATTCCATTTTACTCATACAGAGGAAGATTGAGATCCGTTTCATGTATTAATTGCGAATATTAATTTCAGTTTGATTTAAGATTCTATAGGGTTGGAAATTGTCAAGTATCGCCCGATATATCCGTATGTTACATTACCACCACGTTCTATTAAATCACTTTACTTATATTAATGGTATTCGTTATAGTTAAGCATATTTTTTAACATACAATAATCAAGTAAAATATGGTAAAAACAAAATAAAATATAGTAGAATATTCAAACAAAAATATATTTTTTAGTACTGTTTATTGGTTTAAAATTTTTTAAAGCTTATATTTGGAGAGAAAATGTAAATAAGTCTTCGTAATATTTTTTTTGCTGCCACTATTGTCACTATACAGCAATTAAATCTTAGTAAATACAGAAACATACAGGAATGAAGATAAAATATAACACTTTTCATCGTTTTATAGAGCCAGCCTAGATTATACGAGAAGTATTAGAGAACTTTTAAAAGATTTATACAATTAAAATTGTTCGGGTAATCGGCCCTTTGCCTCATTGGATGTAATGATACATGGGGTACATTGTAAAATAGTTCACACACACACATAATTTTGACAGTTCACAACATTAGAGCCGAGGTCTACTACAAAAGTCAGAGATATTAGTCGAAATGTATAAATATATATAATAAGGATAATTTTTAAAACCGAACGAATCACAATATTTTATTTGAAAAAGTAGTTTAAGAGCGCGTGCTGGATCGCACACTGTTCCCAATCGCGCATCGCCCTGGCGCGCCAGGCAAGAGCTCTCGAGTCTTGAGCCTTCTAGTACAGATACATACCTATAAATATACTTATAGTTACTCACCGTACACTAGCATTATAATAATAAAATTGTACTTCAATACTAAACTTATAAAGAAATAGAGGTTTTAATACAAGTATGTAATATTATGTTATCTGTGACACAAGTAAACTTTAGAACTACTGCATCGATTTGAGAAATTATTTTATTGTTTGTAAGACAAATTATTCTAGAATGACATAAGCTATATTTTTACGTGTATAATATATTAATGTATACAAAACATACAAGGTTTTATGAAGGTTGTACTTTGTGGGACTGTGGGACAACCAGACGAAGCCGGTCGGTGTCGTAGAATATACTAAATATATGGCCTAAAACCATAACTAAGCCTGTCAAACATTGCATGCAGTCACAACATCAACTATAAACGCAAACGAGAATAAATAAATAATTAGATTAGACTCAAAAAATATTTGAAAGAGATAAAATATTAATAGAACTTAAAAAATAAAATATTTACATACAACTAATAAAAAAATGTTATTACAATGTCAGTGA